TACTGGGTCAGCTAATGGTTTTCTTTTAGCAATAGCATTTGCATGTAGTCCCCTAATTTCTACACCACCAGATTGAATAAGATCTATTTCTGGGTATACATAAACAGGGATCTCTGAAAATTTTACTTTATGAGTATAATATTTAAAAATATGCATTTATTAATTACCAGGGTTCTCTTCAGGGAGTGATTGTAAGACTAATGAATGTTTTTTCACATTAATAAAAAGTTTCTGTAAAGAGGTAGGGACAAAAAGTGATCGTGTATCTTCACTTAATATTTGTATTTGTAACATATTATCCATAAATGCTACCCAATTATCAAACCAACCAATTGTACCAACAGTTGCTAAAAGGATAAAACCAATAAAAATTTAAAATTAATGATGCTATATTTTAACTTTACTACTTTTACTTACCATCAAGATTTACACGATTCAGACTTCTGAACAGTCCTTTATAATTATATCCTCGAAGTCTTAACTCTTTATAAACATCCTTAATATTTAAATCTGTATCATTAGGTTCGTAAGGATGTGGAGGCATGTCAATCATTTCTTTGTTGACATCGGTAGGAATATATAAACGACCAGTGACAACTGGTGCTCCACTTTCCACTACCTCAAATGTACCACTACCTTTTTGTACCATAACAATAAATTCAACGTTACCATCCTTAGGAATATTAGTTGCTCTTTGGAAACGAACATTTTCAAATACAATAGGTACTTCAGAAAATAATTCGCCTCGCATTAAAGCTAATGTTTCCCATGCCATTACCTATTTAAATTAAGGGAAATGGAGTTATTAATGAGCACAATATACTAGTAAATTTTAAAATGAATACATAATTAAATGTATATAAGTTAGAATTTTTACATATTATTAGGGAGTTATTTTGACCTGGCATCAGTGCCATCCTCTAAAAATACGCGAGAGGTGGCATTAGTCTTTTTACTAATGAAAATGATACATTTGGATCCATAAACAATCAACTATTATGATAAATTTACTTTTTTTAAGTCAACAAAATATTTTAAATTTATATTATATGATGGTATAGAGTTTTCAAGTCAAGACGGTTATATATAATCAATAGAATTTTCATATACTACAAGCGTCTTGGTAGATAATATGATATATAGCTATGCGAAATGCCCTAAGTAGCATATAGGTAAATAATATTCAAATATTTGGAGGAACAAGATAAGACAACTAACAAAAATAAGCAGTGATGTCATAAGCTATAGGCATGGTTGAGTTTTATATACCTAGGATCATTTTTACAAAATAATAGTAACTTTCACTAACATGTGAAACGTAGGATTACATGTGATCAGATGAAGTGAAGAAGTGAAGTATCAGGTATTTTATGTTTTCTGTGATGTGACAAGATAATTCCAATAAAACTTAAAGTTAAATTCTACTTAATTATGGCGAGACTATGTATATGGTTCAGTATAAGGCAGCAGTATACAGAAGAATAGAACAGAAAATAAATGAAGCAAAAATGCTATTGCTTAGGTAGACAAGTAGAGTGACAAGAGAAGATAGGATAAGGGATGAGTATATAAAGAGGTAACTCAAGCATGGCTTTGTAGACAAAATGAGAGAAAATAGACAGAGATGGTTTAAGCATAGGGAGAGAGAGGAATCTGAAACAGTAAGCATCGTAATGAAAATAAACGCAAGAGTAAATAGGTAGAGAGGAAGTCTAAAAAAGACGGACATACTTCACACGTGAATGGGCCACTGTGGTAGGTGAGGAGTTGAAAAGGTAAAAGAGGAAAAATTGAATGTATATCTGTAAACAATGATAAACCATTGCTAACGAAAAAACGATTCTGAGCGAAGTTCAGTTAATAGTGTTTCAAGGATTGAGAATGATATGAGGATAGCTAAATTATGCGAGGTAGAAGATTTGGTTCACCGGAACTCTAGAATGAAAGTAATGGCCCCAAATGTTTGGAATGATGACGAAAGAAAAAAAGACTTTTGACCCAATTAAAAATTTGATCAAATTATTTTACTTGTTGTCATCTATTTATCATTTATTATTATTTTTTATACATCTTTTTCACTTTTAATTTATTCAGTTTGATTTAAAAATTTAATTGCTTCTTATTTTTAATTTGATATATGTAAGATCCATTAAACGTATTATATTATGAATTTTTACATTTAAAACGTGAATAAAAAGTAAGTGTCAGTATTTGTATTATGTTATTTATTTTAAATACACTTAAAACTGAATGAATTTCAAAAATATGTCTTAATATGACTTTTGAAGACATTTTAAAAGTAGATACCTATTAGAGTAAAGGAACACCAACTGGATCCCTACCTATTTACACTATTTCTAAACATTCTAAGATTGTTCAATAATAATATATGAAGTCAAAAAGATTAAATGAAAAGTATAAAAACAAATTTATTTGAAAAGTTGGTTGTCTAGGTTAGTTTTGCAATACTCCATAATACTTTCAAACTACATTTGAACTAAACTTGAGTTATATAAGTTTAGGTGTTAGTAATATTAGGTAAAGTTTTTCTAAAAATATATTCAAATGTACCAGGTATCCAGTTGCTGGGAATAAATTTCTTCCATCAATGACATGACCAGATAAGTATTCATATTCATCGTCTTTTAATGAAATTAAAATATTACGCTCCCCTGATTTAATTTTGTCTTGAACACGATACATTGTCACATACCACTCTTCTGAATGTTCCCACCGTATTAAAGGTGCAATCATTGGTGTACCTCGACTTACTGGAAATTCAATGTCCGGGTAAAGTTTACTAATTTTTGGATTGATACCAGCTTCAAATAGTCTACATTAAACATATACATTTTAAGTGTATAATAACTAAAAAGTAAAAATATCATACTCTTACTGTCCAAAAGCTGACAACAGATACCCAAGTGCGTCTTTGTGATCCTTAGAAACTAAGTCAACAGTGTAAATATTTTTTTTTAATTTCTGATTTATTATATCACATAGAATGCCATCTGGAGCTAATTCTATCAGTACAGATCCCTTTGGTAAATGTCCAATTGATTCATCAAACAATACACTATTTAATAAATTATTCACAAAATATTCGGCAGAACAGTAATTTGCTTTATCTGTTCCCCATTGTTTTTCAGGTACTGATGTACTAATCCACTTTCCTGTTCGTAATTTAGGATGTGGCACAATTTTTTTCAAATTTTCCAGCAGTGATGGTAATGCCTTTTCAATAAGTTTTGAATGGTAGGGCACATCAAATACATTTATTATTTTAGTTGAAATATCTTTTGATTTCAACTGCGAAACAAATTGTTCAACAGATTCTTTTAAACCAGATATGGTACAACTATCTTGAGAGTTNCTACAGCTAAACCATAATAATAAGCAGCTTTTAATGTTTGTTCCGCAGTTAAACAGCCATCCGCATATGCACATCCCAGTTCTCCGGTAGACAGCCCAATAACAAGGTCTGGAGTAATTCCAATAGCAATCAATAAATCAAATAAGGCGATCTAAAATAAATATCAAAAATATAAAAAAACAATTTTTAAGTTTTGAACATTTTTACTAAAAACTTATTAAAAACGCAATTACTTCCATGGCTGTGATTCCCACAAATGAATTAACTGTATTATTTAACGTTTGATGATCAGAGTTTGTTATTATTTTTATTAAATCGAGTCCAAATTCTTTTAAGATGTTATTACTCTTTTGGATCGACTCGTTAAAAATAGGTAGTTTCATTAGTGATTTGCCCATTCCAGTCCATTGAGAACCCAGTCCAGTAAACACAAAACATACAGAACGTGGTTCTCCAGAATAATACTAAATTAATTAATTAATTAATAAAATGAATAATCCTTAGACAATTCTAGAAGTAAACATTGCTTAGTAATGTGTAATTGTAAGGTTGAGTATAACATAAAGCCCAACAAAAATATAAGTTTTTTTAAGAATAAATTATTTGTATAAATCATCATGTATATCATCAAATCATTCTCATCATTGAAATTCTAGGTACAGTTTAATTTAATAGTAAATTTAACAGTCATTTGGTTCAGATATATTTTGTATCCCACAAATTTTTACACCAATATGATGAAGTAAAATTTAATATTTTTTTTTATACATATATATTTTCAATTGTGAACTTTAAATTCAAGTAAAAATAAATTATAAGTATTAAGGAAACTTGTATAACTCTTTATAACAGTTTTTGAAGTAAAAATAATTATTGCATAAGGTTATATATCTATAAATATAATTTTTTTTTAAACAATATAAAATAGGTAAGTACTTGGAAATCCATAGGGCGATTTAATTTAGGTTCTTTGGATATAATAGTGAATCCTCTGTAAAGATGTCCAGGAATCTGTTCTGCCTGAACATCTTGTAACAAACGCACATACTCTCTGTCTAATGGTCTTGACAAAAACTGCAATTTAAAATATTGTTTAACTAAGTTTGTGTGTATATCGCACTTAAGTATTCATAAAACTTACATCGTTTAGTATGATAGTTACAGCTTCTTCCGTTCTACCTGATGCTACAACTAATCTGGGCAAATCATCTTCGGGAAGTCCATTATTAATTTTAACTTTTTCATTCCAGTTAAGTAATACATGGCAATTAGCACCACCAAAACCAAACGAATTGATACCAACCATACCGCCATTCCAGGGTGTTTTTTCAGCTACTACATTAATACGGCCATTATAAAATGCCGTTATATCTTCTCTTGGCGTATGAAAATTTATATTAGGGGGTATATAACCACTTTCCATAGCTATTATCACTTTAGCTACAGAACATAGACCCGAAGCAGGTTCAGAATGGCCAATATTTGATTTTACAGAACCGATTAGTAAAGGTTCTGTGCGTCCGGGGCAAAATACATTTTCTAGTGCTTTGACTTCTTCGGGATCACCAACCTATATATAACAAATATTATTAAATGCATAAGGTTGTTATTATATATTATGTTTTAATATACTTTTGTCCCTGTTCCATGAGCTTCTATCCAAGCTAAATCACATGGTTTTACTTCACATTCTTCATAAAATTCTTCTAATAATCTTTGTTGCAGAGGTCCTGAAGGATATGTTATTCCTTGTTCTTTATATCCATCACAATTAGTTTTAGCATGTATGACTTTTGCATATACTCGTTTAGCGTCTTTAACTTTCTGTAAGTAAATAACGCAAACTGCTTCTGATCTAACATAACCATTAGCACCTTCGTCAAATGATTTACATCGTCCATCCATACACAATACACCCAAACGTGCAAATTGTAGAGATACAAATGGATGAAGACACAAATTACAACCTCCAACCAATGCAGAGTCACAATGGCCATCACGAATCGATTTATATGCGTGTTCCAATGCATACAAGCTTGAAGAACAAGCAGAATCCACCGAATAACTAGGACCTATGTAGGTTTTTTTTTAATTATAATTCATTCAACATATACATACTACATAGATATAAATTTATAATATTTGAAGATTTACCTACTAACCTAATTATTAGTCATAACCAGGACTTGGAGTATTAACATTTGCTTATTCTTTTTAGTACCAAACACCTAATATATTCTCAGTAAGAAACAAATCCGTTTCAAACTTTAATGATACTTACGCCCTTTTTTTTACCAATGGTTTGCTAGTTTAGAGTTTTAAATAAGAGTTTAAATTTAAAAATTAAATTTTTTAGTTAGAAATTAGAGTTTTTGTAATATATATATATTTTTTGAAAAAAAAAAATAAACAGAGGTTCTGTAGAGGGTATACAGGAGTAAGAATACCTGTATACTACGTATACCCATTTACCATTTGGTGAATTAGCGTATAGGTACTCTATACAAATAGTACAAATACACATGTATACAATCGTTTATCTTACCATTTAAAGAAAATTTGAGTAGGTAAGTATAGCCTATAAACATTATGATATTTACAAATTAAGTAATCTGTATTTTATATAATTATTTATTATGAGTTATGACATTTATCAATTATTTAAGTATTAAGTATGAACAGTTTAACAAATAATTAAGTTATTTATTACCACCAATTTTCAACATTTCTAGAAGGGGTCTTGAAAAATCATTAATAATTAGTTTAAAATGTATCATTAAATTACACGCACACTTGCTTGCACACACCTATATTATGTAATTAGTAACCATATAACTAGGATTATGAAATATTGAATTGCATCTTTATAATATTTGGGTACCGCCAAAAATATATGAATATTCTTTATTGGAACAAAACAAAAAAAAGAGGTCTTAGATTTCAGTCTAAATGGTTTGATGAATTTTCTTGGCTTGTATATTCTAAAATAAAAAATTTTATGCACATTGCCCGTTATGACAATGACCACTGAGAGAATGTTTTCAACACTTCAACGAGTAAAAACATATTTAAGAAATACTACTAGTCAGGTAAATTTTACACTTATTATTGGTTATAATGTTCTTAAATTTGTCTTTAGAAACGACTAAATGGCCTTTGCATGCTGTCAGTATACAAAAATATAACTGTTAAATGTGTTAAAGTACTCTATCATCTTTCATTGTCTTTAAAAAAATTTAACTTTGTATTTTGGAAAATGTGTACACAATATTATATACTAGATTTTTTTATATGAATAAATATGTAGGTAGGTATACTGAATATGTCTTTTCAAATTTGTATATCCCCCTCCCCCCTTGTGAAGAAATCCTAGATATGCTACTGAGTTGAAGCAAAATTGCTGGTAGAAAAGTTGTCCACAGAAAAAAAATATAAAATAATAAACATTTTTATAAAACCATAAGTTTCGCTCCACTCAGAATCTAAAAAATATAATTTCGTATAGTATCGAGTCGGTTCGCTCGCATATGTTATTGGATACTGCTGTCAAAAAAAAAAAATCCAATGTATTTTCCCAATTCCACAATTTTATTTATCGCTCTAAACAATAGATTTTAGAATATATAGAATATAAATAGCTATGGCAAGGTATATTTAGTAACTAAAATTTTAGTTATGCGGGTTTCCCTTGAGAGAGTAGGTAATACAGTTATATTCAATAAATTATTTTTCTGGAATGTTTGTTGTTTCGTTTATTTAGTTTAAAATCTATAGACTAAACAACCATACGGATAACAATGATCAAATGATAATTATTTCTACATATAAATAAATTGAAGTGTCTGTAAACTACTTTAAATATTATTATTGATAGTAAAGTTGTTTTGTGGATTTTTTTCCGGGGATTTGTTTTTCTGAGTTTTACCATCTCGAAATGGACGGTTACAAAATTCACCAAATTGTTTACTAGAATTAGTAACCAAATCGTAAAATATACCCTCAATAAAATAGGCGTTTTGGGGTTTAGGCATTTTAAACAGTTTAGTGATTTTATTTACGGTTACATATTCCGGTCAGTAGACGGTTACTGTATCGTCAAATCAAAAATTCGGAATTTATTTTGGTTACCAACATAATTGATAACATTATCACAAATCATAATTCACGTTATGTTTTTGAATTTTCAACTTCGAATTTTTATATATGATAGTGAATTAGTTATAATAAAATATTGCTGATAAATTACATCGAGTTACGTATCTTTGGTAATATATAGGAAACATAAGTATCTAAAAAACAAAAGCTGCCCTTGATTTTAATGAAAGAAGTTATAAAATCTGATGACCACGGTTTAAGATATACATATATAAATATATACACATTTCAAATCGTGCTGATGAAGATGTTATTAACAATGTCATGGTCTTGAAGAAATCAAATGTCATCTGAAAAATCTCACGATCATTCAGAATACCTAATCATTTTCGTCGAATGTTGATTTTATTTTAGTGTTTTTTGCATATTTTCTGTGCTATTTAGATTTTCTTAAATCTTAAGTGTATAATAACTATATAATTTAGTGTTTATATTATAAGCGCTAAAAATTAAATTTTTTTTAGTGTTATAACTTTCAAGCCCTGGTTATAATTTGTAAATAATAAAATTAAACTCACCATTAACACCTAACCAATAAGATATTCTATTGGCAAGCATGGCACGTGCACATCCAGTAAGTCCAAATCCATTCACTTGAAGTTTCTCATAAAACCAAGTTTTTTCTGATTCGCTGAAGCATGCTCCTACAAATACTCCTGTTTTTGATCCTTTTAGCGACTTAGGTGCATTACCTTAACATTAGAAAAAATGTAATTTTTTTAAATTATTAACTGGTAGCTATTTTAATATTATAATTAAGTATATGTAAAAACGAAGATCTGGAATAGACTTGGAAAATTTGAATATCTCGCCACAAAATACACCTTAAATGTTATGAAAATATTGGCTTCAATTACACTTTAAAAATTCCAAAAAATCAAAATTAGAATATAATTATAATTTAACCAGACATGGAGTGAGCACTCTATTGAACAGCTTTGATTTTCAAAATTTTTATAATATAGAAACCAGACATAAATAAAACATAATGAATAATATTCCAAACACTCTTTTATGGTTGAAGTCTGGCTCTTAGGGTAGAAAAAAAAAGTCAAAATATCGAAAAACGCCAAATACATATATTTTTGTGCGCCCCTTCTGACTAAAGACCCGTGAATGAATTTTCCATTTTCTCATGTCCCGCCGAGATACGACGGGTTTACAGGTGCGCATTTGCGGACTTGGACAAATTGTATTATTCACAGACGCTGTTTGGCTCTCTGGGTCAAAACTGAACCTAAAAATATGCTATAGTGGTTTTCTATTAGTAGTTTCTAAATAAAATTCCAAACAATCAGAATTTCGATATTTCAATTATTTAACCCATTCAACGACATGGCCTTTGGGTTTTGGGTTCGTAACGAATAAAAGTGTTAAAATCTCGTATATTTTTGCGAAAAATCGGAATATTAATTCTAACTAAAGAACTAAAGATATGGAAAAAATATGGATTAATTTTTGATACTCTGACTTTTTTTTACCCCAAGGGCCTTCAACCATAAAACACTATTGGAATATTATTTATTAGGTTTTATTTATGTCTGGTTTCTAAATTATAACAATTTTAGAAATCAAAGCTGTTCATATACTGTGATTCACTAAGCGTGCTTACCCCATGTTTTTGGTTAAATTGTGAATATATTCTAATTCTGATTTTTTGGAATTTTTAAGTGTAGTTGAATCCAATATTTTCATAATATTTAAGGTGTATCCTGCGGCGAGATATTCCACTTTTAAGTTTAGGTAGGGGGAGAGTAGTGGAGCACAAATAATACGCCGCACGCCATGCCGCCACACAAATGACACTCCACTATGGTATTCTCCCCCTACTTAAACTTAAAAGTGAAATATCCCGACAACTCATCAAAAATTTTAACATCAAAATTTATTTAAAATAATATTCCATCTATTTATGGAATTTTCAATATAGGTTCTCATTTTGAAAAAACCAAAGTTGGTATTGCCACAGGATGCTCCTTAAATGGTGTGAAAAATGTAATTATTCGAAAATAATTGGCTTTAATTACACTTAAAAATTCCAAAAATCAGAATTAGAATATTCGCAAAATTTAACTAAAAACAATGGGCGAGCACGCTTAGTGAATCACCTTGTATACTCGTATAAAACCACCAATAATATTCTATGGAATTATACTAAGTTATTTCTTCATAATTCATGCATAGACAAAACTATGTATTAACTAGTTAGAAAGCTGGGAAAAAGTTAAGTTACATGTATTAATAGTTTTAAACGCAGTTGGTTTAAATTCTAGTTTTAAAAGGGAAATTTAATGTATATCTGTGCGCAACGATTAATCATTGCTAACGAAAAAATGATTCTGAGCAGAATTCAGTTAATAGTGTTGCTTTATCATATTATGGTAAAATAATTACATATGCATAGGTACCTCTAATGCATTATTTTCTTTGATAATATTTGTTTACTATTGTACGTATTTGCTGTTTTCAAAACCAAAAATCAAAAAATGATCTCCCTAAAGTACCACCCCATTCAGATTTCCTTTCAGAAAAAGTGCTATCATTGTAAATCGGAGCGAAATTTCTCGTAGAAAAGTTGTCCATAGGAAAAAAAATAAAAAATATTAATCTTTATAAAACCAATACATTCCTCGCTCCACTTAGAATCTAAAAAGTAACACTAATTCTAATTTTAATCAAATTTAAATTATTATTTTCACGGTATAATGTTGTAAATATAAAAAACTAACTTCCAATCTAATTAATTATAATAATTTTTTATTATAACTAACAATATTTAATTTAATTGAGGAGTAACTTGTCCAGTTTTGTACTATAGAAAAATGTAGTTATTGGTACCTATAAATATCCTGCTGTGTTACCTGAGTCTACTATTGCTTCATATGATTTTTCCAAAATGATACGACACATTGGGTCCATCGTATGTGCTTGTTTGTAATGAATTCCAAAAAATGCTGCGTCAAATTTATCTACTTGATTCAGTTTGCCAGTTCGTTGAGGAATTTCCGGGTGATCTTAATCAAAACAAAATTAAAAAATAAATTAATTAACATAGTAAAACGTATAAAATTATATTTAAGTACCAATAGTCCATCTTCTATCGTCATCAGATATTAAATCGACTTTATTAAAAAGGTTTTCAGCGAAATCTGGGAGTCCATCAGAATTTGGAAACGATCCAGAAAACCCAGATATAACGATTTCATCACCAGGATCACATTTAACTAGTCGACGGCCAGCCTTCAATGCAATCTCCCTGTCTTTTTTAATTTTAAGCTCAATGGCTTGTTGTCTCGACATGGCTTTATACTAAAACGTCAAAATTGTCTTTAGTTCCTACCTATGGACAATCACTAAATAAGTAAAATTTTTGTTGTTCTGTGAAATGTAACTATAGATATTCAACTATTAACTAATTAATAAAGCACAGGATGCACCATAAATTTGCATATTGTACGACATAGGTCCTAAGGTGCGTAGGTCATCGCATTTTAATCAATGGGCGAATAATTTATGTTTTTTATAGATGATGAATTGATGACTATTATATACATATATATACATATATATATATATATTAGAAAAACGAATACATTGAAATTATTTAAATTGACATATTATGTATTTTTTAAAATAATTACCTAGTATGAAAGCTTCAAAGTAAAATGATTATTAAGTTATGAATACAAACATAATATATACAAGGTCAAATTTTATGTTACAGTAAATTTCACCATAAATACCTACTTATTTTGTTGCTTATATATTTTAAAATGTTTCATTGCTCATATTTTTATTCAATTTTATATTTGGGGATGGATAATACTAGGTATCACATTTTGATTTTCAAATTCTAACCTGTCCTATATTAAAAATTCTATAAATAGGTAAATGTTTATTTTAAATATATTTTGGTGTTGATATTTATTTAAACAAAACTTTATCACAAGTGGTTTTACCACCAAGCTTGAAAAAAATAAGAGCAATACAATATTTTAAATATATAAGCAATAAAATAAGTAGGTATTTTATGGTGAAATTTACTATAACATAAAATTTGACCTTGTATATGTTATGTTTGTATTCATAACTTAATAATCATTTTACTTTAAAGCTCAAAATTTGTTCACATAGATAACTAAGCTATTTTTTGAGAAAAAAAAATTTAGGTTGGTATTTCATGGTGAAATTAACCATAATATAAATTTTGTACAGCCGTGTATATCAAGGTGGTTTTGGGGGTTTAACCCCTCCTCTAAAAAAAAATGTATGTATTTTTATAGATATGATAACTTTATTTCATTTAGTTACCTGTACATTGTATATGAACCAAAATAGGGAACAATCTTAATCCTCTCCACAAAAACGTGCTTGCCTCCATTTAATACTTGACAACTTTTTCTTTGGCCTACTCAGGTGGCCAGAGTCCAACTACACATAACTCTCCTATTTCTTAACTGGGTACATAGGTATCTCATCATTTTTCTTTCAACATACAGTATGTGACATACCCACCACCTCAAGCTAGTCAGTTCCTCATATTTCCTTCTATATTTTCTACCTCTACTCAGCATCATTATAACACACATATTATACATTGGTACTAATTATTAACTAAATCGACCTGACCTTTTTTTAAAACAAACAATATGTATTCCAATTTTTAAAAATATTAATGCATTTATCATTCATTTAAAATAATGTTTAGTGACTTGATACCTAGACTAATAGAGGTACAATTTAAAACATAATAATCTTTTAAGACTGGATTGAGTTAGTTAGAACTCATAAGTTATTTCAAAAATGAAGATAGAAATTGGATTCTGTCTGTCACATAATGAGTCTATTAGATAATGTCACCCCTTTAAAAACTCAACTTTTAGTATATAACATTTTATTTGTTAAAAATAGTTTCATATATGAATTTGGTTCATAATGATAAATTATATTTATATTATACTACTTTATGGAACTAAATAGCATTAATTAAAATAAAAATTTGGTATGTACAGTTCTAATTTTGTTAACTGCTCAAATAAATGAATAATTAGAAAAACAAAACTAATGTGGCTAATAAAGATCATGTAACTCAAAATTTTGATTTATCAATTATTATATGCAAACAATTAATGGGTACAGGTATTGAAATAATAGTTTAAAATGTACAAGTAGTACAGCACCTACTAATACTACTAATATGATAAAGTATTTCATTTAGATGTAGCTAAATGCACCGAAAATAAGTCAAGAGTGATCATATTAAAAAATGTCACTCTGGAATTAAATAATTTAGAAAATAAAGAACTAAGATTTGTAAATTATATTTAGAACCTCAATTTTTTGAAAATCTAAATTATCAGAACTAGATATAATTTAATAATTTGGTTTTTACTTTATGATTTTATTATTTAAATATAATAAAAAAATAATACATCAAAAGGATAATATTTTAAAAATCTATTTTATAAGAATGATAATTTCAAAAATAATTAATTGTTAGGATTCTAAAACTAAAGTAATTTGATAGTTTAGTGTTCTGAGTTGTTAAGATTCCAAAATGTTATTATCCTAATAAACGTATTGGCTTTTTTTAGTTACAATTCTCTAATTAACTCATTTTTAGTTTTATTTGCCATACTAATTATTTTCTGGATATGTTTGTATTCTAAAAACTAATTTTCCAATACTTTATGGCCGTTCTTTAATTTTGAGTTAAATAATAAACTATTTTTCCCTTTTAACTTATTTTTGGTGAGTTTTTAAAATAAATACTTAATCAATTTTGTTTTTTGCCTCTATAAATATTTTACCAAACTTGCATAAGACAGGTCTACAATTATTTATATGCTTTGGTTTCAAATATCAATATTAAAATAACTTTAATATTGTCGTTTTAAGTATTTAATAACATAGGTATAATCCAATAGAATTTTAGAAAAGGTAGATATTTTTAATAAAAAGGTTAGTTGTAGGAAAGCTCATAACTCCTTATCAACAATATTTTTACCAATAGTTGAATTTGATTCAGTACATACAAATTTATAAATCATTTTTTGAGATTGATGTAAAAATTTAATCAAGGAAAACAATTAAAAAATATTTTTAAGCCATTTAATAGGTACAACGTAGAAATACTTAAAACAAAATTAATTAAATAACCTATGCAAAAAATTAGGTTTTATTTTAATACTACATTATAATTTAAGTTTGATTATGGAACTGTTAAGGAGTTTTCAAAATAATTTATATCCTAATTTTTTTAATAAGTACAACCTACACTAATTTTGAAAAAAAATTAATAGTTTTCAAAGAATATTAATGTACTTATCTAATCAGTTTTACACAATGTACATACCTATTTAAAAATAATACTCATCTATAAGTATTGACACATAATAAAAACTTGACTATCTACAATAATCAATAATATTACTTATTTTATAATTTAAATAAAAATATAAAGGTACCTATAATTAGTTTTACAATAAACTTTATTTTACTTAATATATTTTAAAATTGATGGTATCTATAATAGGTACATAATAAGTATAAATATAAAATTACGCTTATGGTTTTTGCCAAACTTCAAAAATATACTTTACACAAGACTAATTAACAAAATGATTAGTATTTTTAAAAATTCTTATTACTAAACTAATTATTAAATGTTTAACCTAACTAGGTAGAAATAGATATTTATATTTTGTATTTAATATAAATTGTATGATGATGTAATCAGTATTGTAATAATTGAGTTATTATTTAAGACACACCAATACAGCAATACCTTGTTAATTATTTATTTAAAAAAAGTATAAATAAGTAACTAACTAAACATTATTACATACAAAATAAAAACAATAAACAATACAAATTCGAATGTTACTAAAAATTGTAAAAAAAAAAATATGTAAAATTAATAAAAAATGTAAACTTACCGTTTAATAATACAAAAATTATTAAATCAAATGTCCTTAATGAAAAATTGTCCAACGATTACTAAAGTTGTACCGAGAAGGTTCTCGGCAAACACAATGACATATTAACTTACTCAGTCCTAGTAAAAAAAGTCAATCAAATAACTACTTTTGAATTATTCATAAATCTAATAAATATAATATAGCTACAGCTACAGCAAATAGGTATAGGTAATATAAATATATACATCAAGGTCAATAAATAAACGATTATTAACTTATAAATGCAATATTTAAAAGGAAAAAAAAGACAGTCAGAAATTAATCAAATGTTTAGTTGAATGTATTGAACGAGGTCATTGTTCTCAGTTTCATGTGCTATTTTTCATTTGATTTCTTTGATTTTGAGTTCAAGAAATGGTTTCACTCTTAGAAGCTAACTGCTCTTTTGCTAACTGCTTTTTTGCTAACTGCTCTTTTGCTAACTGGTCTTTTGCTAACTGTTCCATCATATCATGGTTATAAGTTGAATGTAACATTAATGCTAAAACTCCACCTCTTGTAGACATTCTATTTCGTATTTGCCGTTCTTTTTCAACCAGCTCATCCAATTTCAACCACTAAAAAAATTAAAAATTACAATTCTTTTTTTTTTTCAAATTTAATTTATTTCTATATTATTTATTAATAAGATTTAAAAATTATTAATACCATAGAAATTAATTTTACTCAGTTTGTTTTAAAATGGGTGGTTTGTAATTTTTTTTTTTCGACTTTGAATAATATAATTTTTTCTTATCTTAAGTCACAAATAACTTTTAAATTACTCTCTCTGGATTATTATTATTAATATGAAATTCAATCACTGATATATATGTATATACTGTGTATCATCATGAATTATCATCAATGATATTTAATTCCTAGTCTTGTAATACAATTTTTTTTTATCAAAGAAAAATATATTAATAAAATTTATTTGGAACTTTTGAATTTATAATTATATATCATGTTCCAAATATTGTCTAGCAATACATTTTGGTTATGACTAATTCCAATGAAATATGTTACAAAAATAATAAACACAATAGACAATAATACAATATGAATTTAAATTTAAAACAATCAAAAGGGAAGGTTATAGCCTACTTAGACTATTATCTATGGCTATGCCACTCCTCATATGTGGAACAGATCTGAGTATACTTAATAAGAATATTTACTCTATACACATTTTTTTTATTTTAGTAAAATATTAATTAACCTGGCGGACTCTTTCCATATCAATTTCTGCTCTTCTTAATTTATCCCAGCAATAGTGTTTAATACATGTTTTTTTTGACACTCGGCAAAATTCTCCAGTTAAATTGAAAACATTTGAAACAAGAGGGCAACCACATACCTAAAAAATAATTGGATATAATTTTAATATTTATATGTCTACAAAATTTGAATTAATCTCATTAGTAGTCAATTTTGTATTAATATACAAATTAAGTTTATATAATTTTAACATTTTTAACATCAAAACTACAGAGACTGTTTAATTTAAACTTATAAAAAAACAAAATTGTTAAAATATATAAAATCCATTGATTAATGAATAGTCTTAAAAATATAAGTAAAATGTAGTTTTTTATTGTAATACAATCATTTATATACTAAAACATTATAAAAACACTTTAATATAAAATAGTAATTGAATTTTAAATAAACAATCAATATGATCAACATTAACTTTATTTGAAGCATATATTTTTACCTCAGTGTCACTAATGACAGTTGAATCCTTGAAATGTTCTGGACATAAAACTCTTAGTCTCTTGCAGTAGGTACCTTGTGAAGGACTATAAAAATCGCAAAACATATTATTTCCATCAATTCTAGTTTGGTAAATTGAACCAAATGATGACTGACTTTCGTACTATAGAATATATATTTATAAAATTACATAAAACAATATTTTAAATAAAGTTATAAAATAAAAACCTTATTAAAACATTTTTCCATGTGCTTAACAGCAGTTCTTGTATGTATTTCATGTCCACATGTAACACAATGCATACTCATTTCTTCATCAATATCTTGTATCTCTTGGTTTAGGTCAACAGTCAACAATTTTGATTTTTCCAATAATTGATCAAGTTCCTAAAATATTTATAAAAATAATAACACTCAACATTAAACATTAATGAGTATCCAGTTTTAATTTAATAATAAAATATCAAATATATAGCATAGTAATATAAAGTCTAAATAAATATATTTATAACTATATTATAATTATTATAAATAATTTAATCAATGTATGTATTTTTATTTATTTATGTAATTAATTGAGACAAATAATATATAAACATAAATAATAGCATATTTAAAGGAATTGTTACTTTATGTCTTTTATCCAACTCTTTTAATATATCCCTAACTTCGAGTTGTTCTTTTCTAACAGCTTCTAAATTCTTTTTATTTGATTTTTCTGCAATAGAGGGTCGCATCATCCATTCATGAATTCTTTGAGGCAGTACCTAAATAATTAATTATAAACTTAATTATTAAATAAATAACTTGATTATTAAATAATTTATAAAATTTACTTACACTAAAAATCCTTGCACCAGCTAAACTCATGCCACATTTGTCTGAACAGTATTTAGAATTAAACCTTGCTATTTGAGTACATTCAAGACCATAGCATTGTCTACGGTTTAATAAAGGTAAATTAGCATGGTCACCCTCAGAACTGGAGTCTTTACGTTTTTTTTTTGTTGACTTGCATAAAGACCTATTCTCCTTTAATCATTTATAAATAATAGTAACAAAATTAAGTATGATAAATTTCATATTTTTACTTGTATGTTGTTCAGATTTAAACATTTTCTGTTTTCACATAAATCTACACCGCCAAACTTTCTCATTTCAGAACAACCAAAACACAGACCACAATCTTCAACCCGTTCACAGTTTTCACAGCGGCCACAAAACCTATGCTTAGGTCGATGTTTACTACGATTATCTAATAAACAATTTAAATTGTAATAAATTATTTGTATTTAAATTAGAAACATTTGATATTTTTGGGGTTTACAATTTTAGTTACTATAAGATTAAATAACCTATAAGCCCTAATTTTTAATTAGTTGAAAATAACAATCCATAAGCAACAATATTATACCCTTCTAATCTTATTTTTTTTAATACATAAAATACTTTAATCCCAAGAGTGATAAATTAATTTTTTTTGACTTTTTTAAAATTATTTTCTAAACTTATTCACTTTTAATTGGAGAAAATGATATAAAGATTTAATATAATACTTATATGTGCACACATTTTGATTTAACAAATGTTAAAAAAAATGGAATTAATTTTTCTTTTTAGCTGTCAATTATTGAGAAAAAAAAAGTAAATTGGGCTATAATCATCCATGCTAAGCTATTAATAAATAATTAAAGAAAATTTTTATGTTAACACAATTAATCAACTTACCTCGTTTAATTTCAACATATTGGTCAATCTTTTCTTTAAAATCACTACGACTCATTGAAGTTTTAAATACTGTTTTTAATGAAGAATCTTCTGCTTTACATTTCTAGAATGAAATAGAAAAATTAATCTAATAAAAAAATCTAACTCTAATTACTCAATATAAGCATACATCACAAAAATAATGTTTGATAAGTTTAGACTGTTTTCTTGTAATTCCAATACAATCACCATGATACCAATCTTCACATGAATCACATCCACTATAATTAATAGCATATACTTAATAATTATTTGCGTACACGTCTTGTTTGTTATGACTTATTATAAAAATTGCTCCAAATTGTTGTTGATGACTAGGGTTCAGAACTTTTAAATTCAGAAGGTTCAGAAGCTTTTAAAATTTACTAAATATGCATGCATTTATATATTTAAAAAAGTACAAATATACTATAAAAATTTACACTAATAAATTGTATTTTTACACAAAATGTTCACTAGGGATTTCTCTTGATGTATACTCTTCCAAAAAAATGTTAATAGTCACTAATTTTGTGAAGAATTATTTATTAAGCTTTACAGAAATTTTGCAAAAAATAAACTCTTTTTTGAAGTGTTAGTTACTAGCTTATGAACTTCATTACTTTTTTTGTTCCTAATAACTGCTAGTTTTTTTTTTCAGTATTAATGTGCTAAGTCAAAACAAATTTTCTATCACTGTTTACTTTCACCTCACATAACTTATAAAATCAATAGTTCTATTGATTTTAAATATATCTGTACTATACTCCAACATAAAACTTTTCAAAAGATTTGCTGCGGGTTGTTTAATTTTTGGCATTTTCGGCAATGAAATAAAAATAATTTAATCAAAACGAAACAAGAATAACACTAACTCAAGAACATATTGGTTGGAACTAACATTTTTATTTACGGATAAATATATTCAGGACAGTTGTAAGATATTTTCCGCTCTAAATCTAAAATATTGCAGTCTTTTTTTACGATTATTAATTTCATTTTAACGCTTTAGTTTCTTTAAAATAGAATACCTCCTTAAAGCAACACATGACTTGCTTATATCCTCGTAATGGGTCTGAATATATTAATGCAATAAACTATAGGCAATGAATTATTTCCTAAGAAAAATATTTTATAGAATATAATTGTATTTTGATAGAAGTTATTAAATAAATATTTGAAAACCACAACAGAAAAATTTCAAAATTAACGCATCTATTTATTTATTATTGAATTTTTAAATAGTATTATCATGAATCATCAAATACTTTTAAAACTACAAAATCACTAAATATGCAAAAAAATGCAATATAAATATAACCTCTTTCTTAACTATATGGGGCTTTAACACTGGGATGAATTAGGCTTAGAATTAAATTTAATATAATTTAACTAACCCAGGAAATAAGATTATAATAATTAAATACATAGGCCTTGCTAGCAGGGGGGCAGAATATATATATATATTATATGTAATAAAACTGATTATTTTGGTTATTAGTTAATTAAATTAATATTAGTGATGGAATAATTTAAATATTTTATATCATGAATTTAATTAAAAATTTAATATAATAATTTAAATTTCAGTTTTTAAAAAAGAAATTTAGCCCGTAGAAGGGGCAATTACCCCCCCCCCCATGCATACATCTAATAAAATATCATAAATATTTAACGAGTGACCAGACATACAGAGTAGCAACATTTTACCTAGTGTTTTATCCAAAAAATGCAACAATGTGTTAGAGCTAATCATAACTTAAGGAAGTATGGGCCACTTATGTAGACACAAATACCTAAATTCAAAACAAAAAAAGTTTCCTATGCTCTTCTTAAAAAATTAAATAAAATTAAACCAAATTAAATATATTTACATCATAAATCTTGAACAGTCTGACGATCTACAAATGCAGTATGCTTGTCCATCTTGTTTCAGTAATGTAGCAATTTTTGATTTACGTTCTGGAAGCATAAACTGCCTGGCAATTTCTTCTTTCTAAAATACAACAATAATACCTATTTTAATATTAACTAAGTAACTATTAAATTACGCTTACCGAAAGTCGCGACATCTTATTAATGTATCTAATTAAAAATACACAACTCGAACTAGCCGTGGTTAACAATGTTAACAATTTAACATACAAATAAATTAATTAAACATCACCTAACAGTTAAATTCAGATTTCATTGTATTTATGAGCATATGTACCAGTCAAAACTTTCTTGAAAGTGGATATTTCAGCCCACAGATACATAAAACAATATAGAATTATGATCATACTAAAATATTTAGCCATGGTAAGGACAGAGCTACTGATGTCTTTTACGCATGCGTATCGCATGTCGCATGCGTATCGCATGTCGCATGCGTATCACTCGTCGCATAAGTATTGTATAATGATTATAATACCGCCAGATAGTGATGATAAGTACATCATACGTGATTACGTGAATTCGACCAATTACGCACGATATAAATTTTGCGCATGCGCATTTGTCCCAATTCCCCATAATTATGTTTGCTTCAAATATTTAGTCAATAGCACTATCCATAATAAATGATCAAAGTTTAATAATTAAATGGTTGTTAATAATAATATTATATTTATGATTACTAACTTAAATTGTTTGATTCAAATTTTATTTTATCGTATATAAACAGCATAATTCTGTATAACTAACGTAATAATACACAAACGCCATTATTATCATAAAAAATGTGATTTTGACTTAAGAAGAAATAATTAATTTACATTAAATTTGTACGATTTTATTAATACCAAAAAATAAAAAATAAAAGTTTTTGTACATGAGTACAATTATAAATTATAATTATTTTCCAATAAAAATAATAAGTTTTGTAAATATAGTTACAACTTGTTTTTGTTAGTACCTATTTTAAAACTAAGTAATATTAAATTAATATTGAAATTCTAGTAAATTTGTCTTAAATTAATTCAATTAATATTATATTATTTTTTAAATACTTTTATTATAAAACATGGTGATTAATCAATAATATGAAAAAAATACAAATTTAAACAATTATTTGAATTATTAGATATTGTTTATATTATATCCACACATGAATGTACACTAGACCGGTACCGGCATTTTATTTTTATGTAAGTGTTTAGCCTGTAAAATATACACCACTTGCGCATTAAGGATCAACTTCTAACGAAACGATCATTCTACGCTCTATGCATCATAGTAAATCATAGGCACAACTAGGGGGGGAAACATGAATTCTATGAATTTGTGAAATGTAGGAGAATTCTATAGGTAAAAAGAAATCAACTTTAAATGTTAGATATTATAATGCAGATGAGTAAATTAAAAATTTGTCACAAAATGACACTCAATGGACTAATGGTACTCACCTAAGAGATCATTTTGGATTTTCTATAAACCAATAACTAAACAACTGTTCTACATATTTTATTTCTTCAACCAATAGTTAATAGTAGTACAATAGAAGAGAGTGAGTAGCACCTATTATATTTTATTTTTCTCTTGTTTGTATGAACTACTTAGGTTTTTTTTTTCTAGGTTTTAGCACCCTCATGTAGTGTATACCATTAACAATTCAATACAGTAAACAGTAAACTCTAAGGACAACAGTCAGATTTTTAAAATTAATAAATATTGGTAATATATTATATATAGGTAAACAGTGAAAGACGTTAAAATCAAAACAAAATAGCGTTATCAATCAAAAGTCAAAATCTATAGAGATAAATTTCGACAATATAAAGTTCCATAAACCGTTTTAACATGAAATTGAGAGAGTAAAATTTCCGCAAAATGTAAATGTGTTATGAGAGAGCTAAAAGGGGTTATTTATCTGGAAAACGGAATACAAAAAAGTAGGAGAAATAAATAAAAATTGTGAAAGAAAGTCAAACCAAGTATTTTTACAACTCTTTAGAATATAAAATAGTTTTCCTTTATTTTATAATGATTTAAACTATGATTTACCAATATTAAACAGTAAAATATCAATTTAAATTATTGAATTTTAGTATAGATATTATTTATACAATAACTTTTTACTTCTCACATTATTTATACAATATTATATTAAAATATAAGATATAACTAAAATTATAAATAATGCGAATTTTTTAAATCAGAATGAAAAATCTGCTAATTTAATATGTATGAAATATATTTTTAATTCAAGTATCTAAGATAACTGTTCAAACAATGTCCATGTTAATGCTACCATTATAGATCGTCTTAAAATTCGAAGTGATAACCCTCTAAAATAACCAGCTACTCCATATTTCTGAAAACAAATTAAATATTTTTTAATTGTCATTTAAACAAAATAATTATAATATCTACTTGTTTTATTAAAAGAATTGCATCAAAAAATATAATTTTTTCCTTTGATAATTGCTGACTAGTTTTTATTACATCAAATGGTTGAGTTATACATGACGCTAATACTCCAGCTAAGAGTCCGCTTCCAAAAATGTAAAATGTTTCTTTTTTGTCCAATTCTAATAGGTAAAGTAAAACATAAAAAACAAAATTTTATTAATGAATCATATATCAGTCTAGTAGTTAAATCTATTATTAAACGAGCTAGGGACATACTTTATAATTTATGTGAAAAATGTATGAGTTAGTATAAATTGGAAATGAATTACATATATATATATATGATCAAAAATGACAATTGTACTATTTGTAAACAAATTAATTTATGTATTTACATTATTAAAATTCTTGTTATTCTACATTGGAGAAGTTTCTACCGTAATTTCTGCAGTCTATCTCTTCTTAAAAGGTAGTAGCAAGAAAAACTGTGAAGATATGCATCAATCAAATAATACTATGATTACTATGTTTATAATAAATTTGAATACATGATAATATTCCAATTATTTGATGTAAAATTCTATTTAAAAGCTGTATTGGGGGGGGTTAAGTTCATTAAAAGCATTTCCTGTTTAAGTTACTTGCAAATACAAGCTGAATAAAATAGGAAGAAGTTTACCATTCACCTTTATTTCTCTAGATGTGTAGTTATAAAGCATTTGTAAAATATAAATATATTCTTGTTAAACTCAGGATTACAAAGAAATTAAATGAAATTTACCCTGTTAAACAATTTTGGATTGGATTTCTATACAAATTTAAGCATGTTGTGAGAGGTGAGTGTTTATTAAGATTTATTCACTTTAAAGACCTGATGAAACCTAGAGGATGTCATTTTGAATATGAATTGTATTTGTGGCAAGGATTCAGGTTAGGGGGTTTTAATTCCCAACTATTATGTTTTTATAAGAATTGCCACATTTATATTACCTATTTAAAGTACTTAAATCATAATATAATGACAAAAATATGGTCAGAAGAAAATTATATGCTGTTGAAGAGTTCGCCTGTTTTAATTTTTAATTTACAACACTTACTTTCAAATAATGTAGTATTTTTAAATTGAGTAAAGAACATAAAATATAGAGCGGAAAATGGAGCATCTCGTAAAATTGTCGGTGTCCAACCACGATACATAACCTTCCAGCCCTCAAATGTATACATATTAGATAGGCCATTAGCTAAATTTGTGTAATGATACAGTCCACTCTAAAAAAGTTTTAAAATAACTAAAGTAAAAACAGAAACAAAATAATTAAATAAAAAATTACCTTGGTATATACAAACATTTTCAGTATGTATCACCAATCCATTGAATTTATAATGAACTATTCTATTTTTATCATAATACCAAAAAAATAAACAGTAAATAAATACTACAGCAATATTTCAATATGAAACATATATATACAATCATTGTTCAATAAAATACTTTATTTGGTGTCCCCCATATAATATAATGTGATAATTATATTCAAATATTTTAAATAAATGTTGAAAAAGTGTTTAATGCTAACAAAAAAAAAATAGATAAATCGAAATATCTATAAATAATTGAAATGCAAAAATTTGAACAATATAAATTTTAAATAAAATGTAATTTTTTTATTGACTATCAGAAATTGGTACTGTGTACTAAGTAGATAATATGGAATGCTCAAACTTAATAGTAAAAACAGCATATTTTTTTTTTTTTGCATTTATAATATTTAAATAAACTCTGGTTCTATTTGAAATATATGTTTAAATATTACGGATTTCATTATCTGCTATAAAATATGTGAATTTATCCAAAAAATCAGAAAACAAATGAATACTAGAATCAAAATACAGTAGAACCTCATTAATCCAAACCAATTAGGGCTCTAGGTTGACCGAATTAACAAAAGTCCGGATTAAATAGCTTTTATAATTAGTTTGGCTGTTAGGATTATCCTTAAATCTTTCTAAATGTAAGGTTATGGCTTTTAATAGAACCTGTTCCTTAATAGTTTTCTCTTACTGCCTCGATGAGTCGGCTATTATGCATGCTGCTGATGATGGTGTCATTGATCTAGGTTTCAAATTTAACCATAGTCTTAACCCAAGTTCCCACATTAATTATTTATTTAAAAAATTATAGGCAAACCTAATTACATATTACATATAAGTATAATTTTTAATAAACAGAAAAGTAATGATAAAACAATACAAAAAATATTATGGTAAAAAGGTTGGTTGTTTATTAGCCATGTGCATAATACAATAGATAGGGTTGTTGCGACTGTAGTTTGAGAGACAATTCAACACAGGGAAAAATGTATGGAAATGGAGGAAATACTGTAGATTCTGAAGTTAATACAGAAATGAAAAGTGGGGGCATCTAATGAGCTGTCTAGGAGTTTATGTAGAAATGATAAATTTGCAGCTGCTCTTCTATTAGCCAGTGATGTGAGTTTGAGTATGCTAAGGACAAGAATATAGTCATACAGGGCATGACCAATCTTCAGAACAATAAAAAGCATCTCTGGACGCACTCTAGTTATACGGAGTTTTACGCTGTGTGAGGATCTCATTACATGGATCCGTAATCAATAATAGATCGAATTAAGGAACAATAAAGAGATTTTAAAGAATACTTAAGCTTAAATTCAAAGATTATTTGCTTGACAAAACCTAGTACTTGGTTACTAGTACTAACTTTTGTAGTTACTAAATGTTAGGATTTAATAATCCCAAGTTATTTTTGGCCCTAGACCTTCTGCTATTTACTATTCAAACGTAAAAATATGTCCTAGGATAATAAGGATGGGTGCAGCCACTTTTATAGGTTAAATGTATACCTGTAAGCAACAATATAAACCATTTCTTACGAAAAAACAATTCTGAGCGGAGTTCAGTTGATAGTGATGCTTTGTCAAAAATAAATATTACATTTTATAGTAAAATAATTAAATAGGCCCTATATATTTATTTAATGTTGTACCAATTTTTCTAGGTTTTCTACGTTTTTACAGGTTTTCACATGTTTTATACCGATTTTCACATTTGCTGGGAAAAATTACCTCCCTAAAGTACCCCACGCCAATTTCCTTTAGATAAAGTAATACGTGTAGAAATACAAGTCTTCTGGTAGAAAAGTTGTGCAGATATAAAAAAAATAAATAAATAAAAAAGAATAAACATATTAGTAAAACTATAACTTTCTTCGCTCCACTCAAAATCTAAAAATCACCCTATATTTTACATACCTATACAATTTATTATTGTCAAGAAATCTACTGAAAAACCAGTACAAATTTCTTCTTGAAAACTAAACTGATGCAGTTTAGGCAATTTAAAAATTTAAAAATCCAATTTAAAAGTAGGATAAACTGACTAGTGTAACAAGATGGTTGATTATGTATTATTATATTATCCCCGTTTTTTCCAACCACAAAATTAATATTATTAATATATTAAATTGTTATCCCAATTTTAAATATTAATTCACAGTAATTTATTAGGTGTGTGAATTTGTTTTTCAATTTTTCCTTGAGTCTAAATTATAAAATTTAATTTTGTATGAACACTAATTTCTAAGAGGAAATTTAAACCAGTTTAGTTTAGGAAATTCATTATAATTTGCTTTAAATGTTTTATACTAATATTGGACCAACCAATATCAGAAGCAAGTCTAGTTAATTTCTTGTATTTGTCTATGTAACAGCTATTAAGTATTAACTTACTTCTATTCTAGTTTTTAGGACGGTGAAGGGCATTAGTATGGTAACAGTAATACATCGTGCACTGAATCCAGCTATTCCAGATTTCATCATAGAATTTCCATCATTGTTTTTTAAATGTTTATATATTATTTGAGTAAGTGGTATATGAATGGCAATACCTGGAATATTGCGTGCAAGAGACTATAAAGATAAATAAAACACAATGCATTAGGTATGAAATACATATGTAATAAATATTAATAAAATAAATGGGTAAATACACTGTTTAGATTTAAAAAATATAAGTATACAACATTTTCTCTTAAGCTGAAATATTTAGATCTATTTTATTATAATTTATTTCTGAAGGTGAAAATGTATACAATCATTACAACAAGAATGACCTCTTCATTCATTAATTAACAAAATTGTGTTTTATTATTATATTTATGGAGTTAACCAATTGATTATAATATCATTCATTATATAATCAATGGTTCTACTCATGGGTTTAATATCAAATACTGTGGTTAATCTTCAAACTATTAAAAAATAAAAACAATGAAGTCATCTTTAATATGGAAAAAGTTATTTTTAATACAATACATTAATTATTTTTAAAATATGAAATTTTTAAACCCTAGGTCCCTGTAAAATTGATGTATAGGGGCAAATCAATGTGGAAAACCGCTCAGATATATTTACAAGAGTTAATAATTTAAGTTATTATAGTTTAGCAGGCAAATATCTCTAAAATAATTACATTTAAAAAATGTACAGAATTTTATAAACAGAAAGAAGAATATTAATATTATAGTCTTTTTGTTATTGGTAAAATATTATGCAAGAAGTTGTCCTAGAACAATGGGGACGGATACAGCCACAGTTATAGGTAATTTAATATATATCTGTAAGTAACAATTAATCATTAGTAATGAAAAAAACATTCTAAGCAAAGTTTGGTTGATATTAAGTTTGGTTGATATAAGTTTGGTTTGTATTGCTTTGTTAACAATATATATGTCATATTATAGTAAAATAATTACACATGCATTATGTATTTTCATTAATAATATTTATTTAATATTGTACTTATTTTCCCATTTATTGGGAAAATCAAAAGATAAATCCCTAAAATATCTCCTTAGTCAGATTTCCTTTTAGGAAAAGTACTATCATTGTAAATCTGAGCAAAATTGCTGGTAGAAAAGTGGTCCATAGAAAAAAAAAAATAAACATCATTGTAAAACCAATACATTCCTCACTCTGCTCAGAATCTAAAAAATGTGTAGTTTATAAATAGAGTGCTAAGACATAATTGATAGGATTTGAAAGTCGAATACCTCAAAACTAACATTCAAAATTTCATTGACATTTTAAAATAGACTACAAAAGTCACTATTTATTGGAAACATTAGACAAAAACATTCCGGATTAAATATAATATAAACCTTATGCAAATATTAAAATATTATAAAAATTATCATGATTTTAAACTATAGATAAGTAACGAACTGATGAAAAATAATTTTAAGATTTCTTTAATTAATAAATATAGTAAAATCTCGATTAACCATAATTATTGTAATGGTCAATCAAAAAGATGGTTAACAGATATTTTACAATAAATGTGTATTTGTATTAACCAAAGTAGACTACAATAAGAGAATACAATTAATTTTAGTAAATTAGTTAAACAGAATATATATATGTATGTTCTACGAGCTATACTAAAGTATAGTTCTACATGCTTACATATTATAGTGATTTATGATAATTTTTTTTATTTATCTTTTTATGGGGATTTGTATTTTGATAATGATAGTTAATTGAAGTTATACTGCTTTATATTGCTTACCGGAGCTAATCCTCTCCAAAATCCATAAAAAGGTTCTTGCTTCCAAACCAATTTTGTGGCATTGATTAAACCTAAATCTTTTTTCCTAAAAAGAAATAGTAATTAAATAGGTATATTTATTTATTTTCACAAAAAAAAGCTAAAATTAGTTACATTAAAGGGTCTTGTAAGACTGTTTTAACTACATCAAATGGTTGAAATAAAACTGTAGAGAATAGCCCTGACGTAGATCCAGCAATAATTGATTTTAATATTAGATGCTAAAAATGCAATTTATGAATAGAAATTACTATCTAAAACCAATCAAATATTTTATAATTTACTAACTTCCTTGATAAATGTAGCTATATCATTACTATTATTTAAAATATGATCCATATTGAAGTATAAAATTTATTTATTAACTTTTGTTTAAATTTAACTAAAAAAAAAAAGCTAAATAGTAAACTCAAAATAACTGATAAATGAACACTTAGTATCGAAGTAACTGAAACTCCAAATCAGCTGACATAAAAACCGATAAAAATTAAAAACGGTTATGGATGATATGCCAACGATCACGCTTATGAATCGTTCGTTCAGACATATTATAGCACTGCTAGGTGGATCTCAATTCTCAACTCCCAAGACGAAGTACAAAACTACAAACACAAATATAAGCATATAGATTATTGATTATTGATGTGATATCAGCTGTTAATTGTTATCACTAAGCAATACTAGTATATGATCTAAGCCGTCCACTGACTAGAGAGTAAAAAAAAACATTTTATGTCACTAATAAAATAAATGGTTCTTATCAATACTTTCCTACCTGGATTAAACGACACAGTTACCTTATTATTATTAGAGATGATTATTTTAAAATTTAAACATAGGTTTTAATGATTTAATGTGGACATAATAATATAATACATTATATTTAAAATTTTTTCCAATTGATAGTAGTTGCCAGTTAGTAGCAGCATTGATTAAGAATGCCTAATTAATGGTAGGAGTAGTTACAGTAAGCAGTAAGAACTGTTAAAAATCAATTATTAATCTATAAGGTAAATTAAATGTGACGTTTTTTTCAAGTAGGCAGGTACTGATAAGAACCGTTTATTTTATTTGTGATATAAATCGTATTTTTTACTGTTTGGTGTCCACTGACGCCGTGTGCCGTGTACACGATTTAAGATTTAGATAGATAAGATCTGAAATCGTAGTTTGAAAAAGAAAAATATTTCGATTATTAACCATTAGAGCAGTAGAGCGCTAGTCGTAATTCTTACTAGTTGTACTCGTATGGAAATTATTATCGCGAGTGCGATAGCACACCAACTTTTTAAAGTATCAAACATCAACCAGAAAAAACAAGAAAAGTTCGAAATAAGGAAACTACTTGCTAATGAACTCTCCTTGTGCAAGGATTCACCGCCACTAGTTAATACTTTTACAAAGAGCAAAGTTGATATAGCCTTAAAAGCTGTTAAAAATGGCAAAGCTGCTGGAGTGGATGGCATCTTACCAGAATTTCAAAATAACCTTGGGGTCAAAGGTAGAAATTGGTTAGCTAAATTAAAAACAAACATTGCAAATTTCGAAGTTCTCTCAAAATTATGGAATGAGGCCAAAGTAATAGCCATTTTAAAACCGGGGAAGACAGCAAATGACAAAAACTATAGACCAATCTCACTATTATCAACGGCATACAATGTTTTCGTGAAATTAATAATTCTTCTAAAAATGTAACCGATACTAGAAAAATAATTACCAATAGAACAAGCTGGATTTAGGACAGGCAGTAACTGCTGTGATCAGGTCCTTGCTTTTACCACACATGTAGAAAACGGCTTCCAAAACAAGAAGAAATCCAGTGCAGTTTTTCTTGATTAGTCTGTGGTGTATGATACAGTCTGGAAGAGAGGGCTGCTATTCAAGCTGGCTAATATAGTGAGATATAGTGAGACAGTGAGATTATTGAAATCAATGCTATCAAACAGGAAATTCAGAGTGTACCTAAATGGTGCAAAGAGTCCATACAAATATTTACAGAATGGACTACCCAAAGGGTCGGTTCTTTCACCTCTTTTTTTTAATATTTATACAGCCGATTTAGCAATGACAGAGGTGAGAAAATTTATCTATGCAGATAACATTGCATTAGTATACCAAGCTGATTACTTTAACGAGATAGAGAGCGTACTAAACCGAGACTTGACTACTCTTCAAAAATATTTCAGAAAGTGGTACCTTACATTAAACCCAAATAAAACGATAGCGATAGTTCTTCACTTAAATAACCGGGAAGCTAACAGAAAACTAGAACTAAAGATAGGGAAAACTCCAGTGGCCAATAGCAAATGTCCAAGATATCTAGGGATAAAAATAGACAGATCTTTAACATTCAAGGACCATAGAGGCAAAAAAGAAAAACTTTAAATCTAGAAACAATATAATAGCAAAACTAGCGGGCACAAGTTGTGGTAGCAACGTGGAAGTTCTATGAACATCTACACTGGCATTGGTTTACAGCGTGGCCGAGTACTGTACTCCGCTATGGCCAATGAGTGCTCGCTGTATAAAAGTAGACATAGAGCTCAACAAGTCAATGCGAATTATATCGGGGACTGTGAGAACGACCCAAATTCAATGGTTGCCGGTGCTGGCGAACATAATACCTCCAGAATTGAGGAAGTTAAGGAAGGCTCACCAGGAAGTAACAAAAGTAACGAATAATCCTGAACTCCCACTATATAATGACATCGTCTTGCACCCCCCCAAAAAGATTGAAGTCAAGACACCCTATTTGGGACTTGAAATTTCCGACAAAATCAATATCCAAGATATGGAAAAATCGTTGGAAAGATTCAGGAGTACAAAACTTAACATAGATTGAAGACCCAATGATGAAAGTTTTGAGATTCAATCTGCCCCGACACATGTGGACAGCTTTAAATAAAGCTAGGTCTAATCAGAGTAGAAGTAAGTGTTCTACACAAATGGAACATGACCGATTCTCCCTTATGTTCGTGTGGAGCCGAACAAATCATGCAACACATAATTGAAGAGTGTCCTAATATTAAGTTCAACGGGGGTGTAACAAGACTGCACAAAGCCGAAGAGGATGCAGTAACATGGATATACGTTTGTGAAGACGCCTTTATATAATTACCTAAGTAATATTTCATTTGGAAATTGTCATTCCTTTAAATATTAGATATAACTGTAGCTATCCTGTTATGTTGCTATGATATTTTGTTACTTATTTACTTGTCGTTAACATACTTATACTTATTCTCATTTATATTTATATCTATTACCTATTTATTTATTTTTTTTTTTTATTTATATATCTATCTATTCAAAAACTTATTTATATATTTAATATTTTATTTCTGTTTCTTTATAGTGTAAGTTAGGATATTATAGCTGATGTCATGTACAAAATAAATAAAAGATCAGAAAATGTAAAATTAAAAAACTTGGAAATTTAAATGCCGATATCTTGAACAAAAATTGAAAAATTTGAAAGAACGAACAATTTTGAATAATAATTCCAACACAATTTTGAACAAATAAACATAATAAAAGAAAAAATATTTTCTATGATAAAAATATATATTATTTAATTAAGTTTTAAATTATTATTTTATTTAATTTCAACTATTTGTAAGCATTAAAATTATTCAAGTGTAGTTAAACATCCATTTAGATTAATTATCAAGACTAAACCAATACACTTTCTAATTAACTTCATTAATTAAAAATTTAAATAACATAGAAATAGGTTGCTTAGTGTACCCGGTTAACTTGTTTTTGATTTTAAAATTATTTGTACAGAATTTTTCTCCTAATTTATTTCTCATTACGTGTTATCGTTATAGAAGATCTTACCTTATCTCTTTATTACAGTCGGCTGTAATATTTTCGGATAAAATACTATCGACACAAATATTTTTCGGTTTAAATTCGATTCGGCAAATTTATTTTCGGTTGTTTTACGCGCTCCCAATTTATACTACAGTACGTTTCACGAAACTAGCGACTCCGTAGTGGCGCTTCCAGTGACAAATTTTTGTGAGGGTTTCCCTAAACGTATGACTAAAAAAGCGCGATAATTTAAAAATGACGCAACAATCAACCATCAAACAGCTGGCCCTGTTGATATGAATTTTACCTTCCACTGCCAAATATTTGAAATTTGCGAAATTTCACCACTGGAAGCACCACTATGAAGTCGCTAGTTTCGTGAAATGCACTGTAGTTAGCAATCTAGTTTATTATTTACATCTACGGTTATGGATGAGTAATATCATAACCGAAATTTAGGTACCACGATAACCGACGTTACAGCTTGTTATCATTCTTGTTTTTATTAATCTGATTTGTGCCAAATTTTTTTTACAATTATTACCTATTAATTTGTCTCTGAATAATATTATTTTTAATATTTTCCGAATTTGTTATTTCGGTGACCACGGCCGGTAGTCGGTGAATTGCCTTTTCGCTACACCTTATTTAAATGTAACCACTTTGATAACCAGTATGCTCTACGATCACTTGTTCCATCCATCCACGATGTAGAGTAGATCGTGTATCCACGAATATATTATTAATGTTGAAAACTCCGCTGATCTTTCCGTATCTTTTATCACTATTCCTGTGATAATGATTATAGATGTTTAGATATATAATATAATATATTAATATATTTTATATACCGCTGAATGCTGGTCATAACAATTTTAAATTCTGAACTAATAAATAAAGTTTATGAAAATTTGTTTTAATTATTTTATAAATAATAAATAAATACAATTATTTATTATTGTAACTACTTACCTACATTTCAGTTTTTTCATGATATTCAATTTGCTTTATGAAAATTATTCCCACCTAGTAATCGAATATTATTTTAAATAATACCTTTTTAGAAATGATTGTTAGACATATTACCACAGTTGTTGGTGTTTCCAGTTTTTGTTTTGGAATATGGGCTAATAGAAAATACAGGGAATATAATGCATTGTGTAAAATACCAATATTTAAAATATTTGATGCTGTTTATGCTGATAACGTGACAAATGACCAGCAACTAATCAGTAATAATGAACAACGGATATCACAAGTAAGATACAAATATTTAAAAAAAAAATTATAATTAGGTACATGATATTTTTAACTCTTTAATGTACCTATTTTATATTTGTCTTTTTCTATACTTGCTGAACTTTTCCTTTTTTAGATAATGAAATATGGATTTCCAAGTTTAGATAATGTACGTTCATATAAAAACTTTGTTCTTTCATATGATCAAAGGAACCGTATACCCCATTGGGTTTTAGAACATTTAACACCAGAAAGTGTACAATATAACTCAACTGTAGACAGACAATTATGTGACTTTTATGAAGATAAATCATTTCATGAGTTTTTTCGGTAATTTTAATTTAACTATTGCTTTAAAATATAAAGTATTTATTATTAAAAGTATTTTCAGATCAACAAATAAAGATTATAAAAATAGTGGTTTTGATCGAGGGCATCTAGCAGCAGCAGGCAACCATAAAGCAAGTCAAGAATTAATAAAGCAGACATTTATTTTATCAAATATTGCCCCACAAGTGGGTAAAGGGTTTAATAGAAATGCTTGGAATAATTTAGAAAAATATGTAAGAAAAAAAGCAAAAAATAATAAAAATGTTTATGTCTGTTCAGGCCCTCTATTTTTGCCAAAGTAAGATACATTATTTCTATTATTTCATGTATATTATTTTTTTATAAACTAGGGCTGTGTTAAGGGAGGGTTAGAGGTTAATTACTTAAGTCAAAAAAAGGGGTCATAAAAACTTCAAAATCTAAATTAGTGTTATATAATAGATAGTTAAACAAATAAAAAAATAAACCAAAAATTTACTTAGAGGGATGCTGAATAGTGTATTGCTCTAAACCACCAATGTAAGTTAGCACGGCTTCGAAATAAACATATTATGTAGTTGTGTATATATTACATTGTACTGTTCCTTATGTAGGTAAATTATTTTCAGAAAAGGAGATGATGGAAAATTATGGATAAAATATCAAGTCATTGGCGATAACCATATTGCTGTTCCAACACATTTTTATAAAATCGTTGTTACTGAAAGTAAAAACTCAACATTTTATTTAGAAAGTTATATAATGCCAAATCAAGTGATTCCAGATGACATACCGTTAAAAGACTTTAAAGTACTTATTTTATGCTTTCAAATTTTAAGTTTCAATTTTAATTAGTGGATAATTAGTAGATGTATTTTAAGTGGTTAAATGTAGGTTAAACAATACTTTATAGCTTTTTAGCAGTAATCTTAACTGGCAGTTTGTGGACTGTATAAAATCAGACCCCTTATATTTTTCACATATATTGCTACAAAATGATAAACTAAATTGAACATTTTATAATTATACTATTTTCTATAAAAAATTTAGCTATAAACTACTATATTATATTTGGATCTACATATATGTGTGGATAGGCCTTTTTTCATACTATAAAAAATGTTAAAACCGACATTGAATACTCTTAGAGCAGATAAAATAACAAATTTAAAAAATAGTTTACACTATATTATATCATATTAGCGATTAAGAATTGTACCCAATAAAATTATCAAATATGTACTTTTATTTGATCTGGCCTGCACAACCTTTTTAATTATTAAACTTAGTCTGAGGGTCTAAAAAAGTTGCCGATCTCTGTTTTATAGAATTGAGTAAAAATGTTGAAATAATACTATACTTTTAATAATTCAAGCAACAAACATAACACCCCCTTCAAAATTCTACCAGAAATATAGTTTTATTTTACTGTCACTTTTACATGACATAAATAAATTATTGATGTATTATCAGTATTGTGTATGTGCATTCTATTCAATTGTATAATATGTATATAATTATTGTTAAACTATTTTAGTGAGTATTATACAAAATAGTATAAAAATATTAAATTGATGTAAGCTGTGTATATTTTTTATAACTAAAAGTACAGATTAAATCTATTTTTATATTTCAGTTAATTATTACGTAGGTATTATAGCTATTATAGAATATATACACTTGAACAATTTAAATTTATGCATGGCTGGTCTTTTAGTCATACAGTCAATTTTTTCTTTAAGTCGATCACCCTAAGTTTGCTATAAAAATATTTTACATACAATTTGATATTGATTAGTCAAGTTTAACGTATGTCCCAAAGGTTAGGTTAGGTTGAAATAATCATATTTAATTTTAGTTTTTATTTATTCTATAGCTTTAAAATGATTTATTACCTTTGATAGTGAATGGTGGATAAACCTTTTTTTATTTTATAAGTTCAGTTGTTGTGTCAGATATTAAACATTATCATATTTATTTTTATTAGTCGTAGAGTTTCTATTGTCACGAAATATTATGTACCTGTATGTTCTATAGTTATACATATGTTGTATCTTGTATATTATTCATATTGTCTATATACTATCGTATGACATTCGGGATTAAACAAAAATGTATTTAATTAGTAATAATTTAAATCAAATCATTAGAAGTAAGTCATCATCAAATTTACAAGTGTTGAAACTTGTATTTTATAACCTTAGAAAAGTAAAATTCAGCATAAGACAAAGACTTCTTTAGTAATAAAAAAACAATAGTATTTAGAGAAAAGGCCCGTATCTCAACCAGAGATACTCAGAGGGTTCTACTTGAACAGCAGTTAGAATAAAATATCTTATATATGCCATGTCATCATCACATATATGAGATCATTCTTAAAAGCATTCTTGGTAAAAACTATTATGTAACCTCTAGTCAAAATGTACCCTTATTTCAACAATTTCAATCAGTATGGCCAAAGATTAATGCTAAAAATTTAAACCTGAACTTAATGATAGTCAAGTAAGTGAACAATTAAACAATACAATTGAATCTGTTAATATTTTGTATGAATTCTTTGAATAAAACTGTATATAAAAGATAATCGTGAATTACTTAAACTGTAATTATTTTTAATGGAACTTCACCTAGAGGAGTATTATTTTAAAGACAAGACCAATTCATCATACTCATTGGATGACAAAAGAAATTTATTACTTAAAGATATTCATGTTTGGTGACGTTTATTTTAAATAAAAGAGAATATCATTCAATTATCAATGTATGTATTTCTATTGTTTGCATAAACATTACAACATAGCTCAATGCTCCAAAAACTAATTTTATTCCCCATCAGAATTTTGAATTTTAATGAGATATTTACAAATATAAAAAAATAAACAAAAAATTATCAGAAGTAATATTAAAACAATTTGTCAATTATCTTTGGCACTTTGATGACTGAAACAATTTGATTAGCATTTTTTGATGACGGTATATCTAACTACACAAAAAATAAAATGGCTCAAGCATTAGAAACAAATGAATATTAAGACACTGTGAAAAAACATTCAAACATAAAAGTCTATGAAATACCAAATATTTTAGGAAAAATATAGAAGAATTTATTTATAAGACCCAGAATTGTTTTAAACAATTTAATATCAATTTATGTTTTATTGATTCACCAACTTTCTGGCAAAATATAAAATACAAACAAGGATATGAAATAATTCGCAATTTAATTCAAATAAGTCAAATTAATTGAAGATTTAATCGAATGGACTAAAAAATGAAGATCAAAGCAGTATACACTACAAGCTGTCTCAGAGTACCGGACACTATATTGAAATAACAATAAAAGCATTGTAATGGAATAGATAACTGTGTATTGTATTTCTGTTTTAAAATAAATGTTAACCAATAAAACTATTACACTTAATATAATAATTAAAAAATTATATTTTGAAGAAAACCTATTTTTAAACTTTGGGGGCGTTTTTCTACGTACTTTTGATTTTCAAATGACAACCTATATTAAAAATGCTACAATAGGTTGATCCCTCTATATATTTGTATATTAATATTCAAATTATAAGTATGTTCACATAATTTATTTATAAATTAAACGGTTTAATAATAAATATTTGTTTAGATGCCTCTGGATGTAATTGAACGTGCATCAGGACTACAATTTTTCAAACGATTGACACTTGATCAATTAATACAATTGAAGGATTAAATAATTAAAGTCAATCAAGTTAGTAGTTAACATTTATTTTTGTATTAATTAGAATATATAGATTATAAATAAAGTTATTGATTATTTATTTTAAAAATTACTTTACACTTTATATTTAATTATTTTAATTTGCAAAAAATCCAGTTTCCTATATTTTAAATCATTTTGAAAAAATTGATATTATGACATCTTATTTGGGACACCCAGTACCCAATGGACAGCGAAATTCAAATTATATTTTTTTTGGTAAGATATTATCAAAGCATTAAGTACCTAGATACCTTTACTCTGTCTCACGAGAGAGCATGCCCTATGATAACGAAAATTGGTCGGCTCTGCGCATACCCACTATTGTTGGCTGCGGAATTTGAATATATGTAAGGGATACAATGACCAGATTGGTCGACAAACGATGCACAGATCATGCTCTTTCTTGGGACTAAGTAAAGTGTTATTTTTGTTTTTATTTTAAATTTTGATTAAAACAATTTTAAGCAATGGCAAAAAATCCCCTAAAAACGAATGGAAAATATTTGTATTTAAAACGGTTTTAGGGTTTCGTAAGGAGAGTTGTAGTAAGAAGCAAGATAAAAACTATATTTTTAAATGCCCATTATTTCCAATTAAATGTAGTAAAAAATATTTTAAAACAACTGCCAACATTTCAGACAAGGCAGTACAAATTGCAGATTTTTGGGAAATGAAATAAATATAACGATAAATAACTGCATTATTTAAATTATATCTGTAAACAAAAATAAGTAATTGCTAAAAAAAATGATTCGGAATAAAGTTCAGTTATATATATTTTAAAAGGCTGTAGTATTTACAATCTTTGTCAAAAATTGATTTTAAAACTTATAAAAAAAATTACTACATTATATTTAATTTTTTTTTTTTTTTTTATCCGCTAAGTACTGCTTGTTATGAACCTCTTGTCAAATTGTCAAGTATTTCTCTATTTAGTTTTATTCTCAGAGTACCTACCAAATAAAATGTATGTAGACCTCAAAATGAAAATGTTGATAAATAATAGCTCAAAAATGGCTCAAAAGAGCAAGGAATTTATTGGTTTTACAATGATGTTTATTTTTTTATCAGTGAACAACTATAAGAAATCTTGCTTTGATTTTCAAGTGCAGCACCTTTTCTCGAAGATAATTTTTTGATTTTCTAATGGGTTTTCATAATAACTGTAAGAACTTCGCTCGACCGAATCCCACTATCATTTATCATAATATTTAATATAATTTTGTATTCTTATTGTGATAACTCTATGAGTGATGAATAATCTTAATATTATACTTAATATTTTACTAATGTATTTCGTACAATCCACTATTTTTCCTCAGTTTTTCGGTTTTTTATATTTGATGAGAAATCTGAAAAAATCGAAAAATGATCCCTAAAGTACCTCCCCAGTTCGATTTCCTTTTAAAAAAATGTTATCATTGTAAAATATTTCTGATAAAAAAGTTATGCATAGATAAAAAATAAATAAATATCTTTGTAAATCCATAAGCTTCTTCGGTCCACTTAAAATCTAAAAGAGTCGCTGTCCGTGCGAAGTGAGAAAAATTGTTTTGGACCCTACCATTCATTATATCTTTATATATTTCTACATACGTGAATAAGGCGTTTACCCACAGTTTTAACAAAACATCACTGGATATTATAATATGTACTCAGTCGTCTGTGGTTCTATCATATTGTATATGGATAAGATGGCATCAGTCTATATTGTATTCCTGTGTACAATTTTCCAAAGGGTCTTTTTGGTCTGTTCAAAATAAAATATAAAGCTGTTCAGTGGTCATGGTAATGGCATGCTATGGCGCTCTATATGTTCGATAAAACTAATTTTCTAAAAATATACGTTTTTTAATAAAAAAAAAACGACAACCAATAATTGTGCGACTGTTTTTTATAGCTAAATTATTTTTTGGCAATTTTATTTTCGTGAACGTTTCGGATAAAAAACTTTTCTATTAAAATATTTTTAAAATATTCCAGCATTTTATTTTCGTCTGTTATATTTTTATATAAATCATTTTTTGATTTAACTTTTCTAGTCAAATATTTTTTTGCTTAAATAATTTTCGTAAATATAATTTTTGTCTACCGAATTATTATAAGAAAAAATAAAATAATATTTTTGAATGAAAAATAAAGGCTACCATAACAACCCTATCCATTAATTTGAATTCTATGGCGACGTCATAATATCGTGGAATAAACATAAATAGTGCGTTTTACTACAGCAAATAAGTGAACTCCAAAACTCTAGTTTTATGTATCTAGTGAACTCTCAACTCATTCAGCAATCAGTATTTTATTCAATAATATCGACTGCCCCAACGAAAAAGATGGTATCATTGATACTATAGGTAATTTTATTATAAATACTATAGATTAGTCACTAGCTGGTTTTTCGACGGCTCAGCGATTGTCGTGTACCGCTGTAAAGCCTGCAATCACATATTTAGTTCTAGCGTGTAACGTTACAATCGCTAGTACTAGTCTCCCACTAACTTAGCCTAACCTACCCGCTGACGTTGAAATCATCAATTTAAAAATAAACATAATTGAATTTATTTTTAACTATTTCTGTACCAAATTAATATTTTCAATATGGTCATTAAATTTTCAATATTTTTACTTTATTTAATCAATGTTATTATTGCTTTACATCTTGTGCGAATACATAATATTTTAGAATATGGGTGGTAAATTAGTAAAGTAATACGTTGTGACTTGTTTATTATTATTTTTTTATTTTGTTCTGCTATTGCGTCAAAAACCTAATAATGTCTAGTGACAAATGTATGTAATATATACATTGTACAAATATACAAAGAAATTCGTCAAATATAATATTCCACTCTTTCCCGTCAGATATAGACGTTGCAAAAAAATGGATAATTAATTCTGTTATAAATATTTACTTTATTTAAATTTAAAACTTTGATAATATATTATGTAATAATTTATTTATGCATTCATTATATAGGAAACATTGAATTGGATACTTTCGTGAATAGTACGAACAAATTGAAAAGAAAATTGATCTGTTCTAATCATTTAAAAAAAAACTGATTATTCCAATCCAGCATTGACCAAATCACGACTAAAATCAAAAATCTCTTCCCAAAAGTTTTTTAAGTAATAAATCATTTTTAATACCTATACAATTATAAACTCATGAAATGTATTTCATACTTAATTTCAAAATATTTTTTTTACTTGACAGCCAACTAATTATTCTGTATTACTGCCTAGTGTCTAATAAATGTAAAGTTTATGATAAGTTGACGTATATTTCGATTTTGTTCATATTTCGTTTATCACAAAAAATCAATCTTAAATATTTTTAATATTTTAAAACAAAGAAAAAACAATAATTGTCTAAATATTAATACTCTACAAAATTGAAAAATGTATTAAATTTAAAAGAAAAGGTGGACATTTGTGATGGGCGGGCAACTGTTGTAGGTAAGAAGTTGGGAAAATAAGATATATAAAATGGAATTTAATTTATATCCGTTCGTAACGATAAATCATTACTCACGAAATCGTTGAAACGTTTTGAAATTTTTTTTACACCTAGAAACGCTTATTACTAAATATTAATATTTTGTAAAAATTTCATGGTTCCTATGATTATTGTTGCCGTAAATTTCCCGTTTTTCCTAAATTTTTAACGCATAAATTAAATAATTCAATGTATGTACAGTCGATTTTGTGGCCGATACAAATGTAGGAGAATGTGTAACGAACAAGTATCTTCGTAAGTCTCCTAAATCTAGGATAATAAACTACTCATCAAATGTATATGTTCATGATACTATAAATATGACACTTACAAATCATTTGTCTGAAGGTATGAAATAATAAAGATTGTTTTTGTTATTATTAAAATTATTTTTTTACTTCAACATTGAATTTATAAAACATTCATATATGTACGTATTGTTGATGTTCTATTAAATATTCCCACTAACGAAGAACCAATTATTGAAGACAATCCAGTAGTAGAAGTACTTTACGAATAAGATAGTTTGTTTTTATCAAATTCAAATTTGTTTTCAAATACACATATTGTAGAAGAAACAACAACATTAGAAACATGTTCAATTGTACATTTTACTGGTTATTTAGTAAAAAAATATCTGGATTTTTACAACTGTAACATCTACTTATTGAAATTAATAAAAAACTATGGCACAATCAATGAAAGAAATAAATTATTGATATTGAATAAAATGTACAATGGTATCATTAATGGAGTTTGAAAACACCATCAAATGAAGTAGTAATGATATGTACAATGTGTCTGAAATACTTTGAGAATAATTGGTAATTAATAAAATATAAAAAAGAAATCTTAAAAACATTAATGCATAAGAAGACCTTTATTACTTATATTACCCTCATTTGACAGTCATGAATGCAAAGAACACTATTTGTATATTATTTGCCAATTGTTTGTAATAAAAATTGTCTATACATGTAAATAGATTAATGAACAATGTATAAAATCAACATTGACAACTTAACCACATTCTAAACTAAGAATTTTAAATAATAAATAGAATTAAATAAAATCAAATGTAATTATTTATATATAAAATAAAAGTCGACAAATTATTGTTGTATAGTCAACAGTTTTCAGGATAATAATGTTTAAAAATATTAAAAACTTAATAATAACCAAAAATAAATGTAAATAGTTACCAATGACAACCTTATTTAACCTAAAGAACTAGTTTTTCATCATTAACTCGAATTTTGATGGGAATTTAAAAAATTACCTCCCCAATATATACAAAAAGGTAACTTTTTAATTTGCACAAAATGTCTGATTAAAAAGGGGTTCACAAGTGGAAAAAATTACGCTCATAATCTAATAAACAAGCTTTTCATTAGTTTTATTTGACAAATAACTATGAATGTATGAAAAAAAACAGAATATCACTATTTTTTTGAATTCCCTTAATCAGAAAGTTATCAATTAATATTTTTTATATTAAATAAATGCAATTGCAATAATTTCTGGGTTAAATACTTTTTAATCAGACCCTGAAGCAAATTAAAATAAAATATGAAACAAACGAATAATTATGGAATGAAAAAAAATTGATAAGAAATAATGTTTATACGGTACAGTTGTAGTTACACAGTCATTTACCACCAGAGGTAACCGTGGGATTGATTAAAAACCGGTTTTCTACGAGCTTATAACCACGAATTAAATAATATACAAAAATAATAATCATATGGCCATCTATCAGGAGTTATAATTTATTTAATGGCGCGCCGTAGAAAAACCGGTCAGTGAGCAATCTACAGCAGCGTTTCTTAACCTATGGTCCGTGGCCCTCTGGGGGTCCACGATACTCAAGTTGGGGGTCCGCGGCAGCCTTAACACATAAGTCAATATGTGACACTATTGCATTATTACAATATTGTTGAATTGTTATTATTATTTTTGTTTCATACATAATATACAGGGCCATCAGAATTTAATGGTACAGCAATTTTCTCTTGTAAACATTCAAAATAGAGAACAATGTTTAATACAAAAGTTTCTTTAATTATAAACACCTAAAATAATTTGTACATTTTTTTTTATTAGGTATTCATTTTTAAAATTCAAACCTAAATTAAAAATTCCATAAACTAACGGAGTAATATTTTAAATACATTTTGGTGTTAAAATTTTTGATTTCCGTTAAATCGTTGACGAGATAGTTAACTTTTTAGTTTAGGCAGGAGTGTTGCTTGTGTAGTGGCATGGAACGGCGCGCGTCGTTTGAATATTATAATTTTGGTTATGATAACGTGATGCTTTGTAAAAACAAAAAAAAAGGAGGTATTAGTAAAAATATCGCTAAGGGGTACGTGATTTCTAAAAATCTTTCAACAGGGTTCCGTGATCTACAAAAAAGTTAAGAACCGCTGATCTATAATATTTATAATCAACGATAGTATCTCGATAAGGTAATATTTCGAAACAAGTTATCACTGGTTATCTAATAGTGGAGTGTTTTCCCTATCGCCCGCAAAAACGGTCGTATCTCAAAACATCCACAGAGAATAGATAATTAATAATTGCATAATTTATTGCAACCTTGATTTCCATCGAAAACAGCTGTATAATGTTTATATTTGTTTTAATAAAGATTACTTTTATTAAAAATGAGATAATACCTTTTTCGTTAAGGCAGTCGATATAATTTAGTTGTGTATCACTTTTGAAAATTCGTAAATTATAATTGTTAATTTGCAAATTACTTTATTTTTTCATTGTGATAATAATGAATAATACATCTTAGTAATATTACTTGTCATTTTAAATAATTAGGTATAATTAACATTACAAAGTTTTGTATTTGAGTATCTACAATTTAGTAATTTACACTTAAATGGTAATTATTGTACAATAACAAGTAAGTAAATATAATATATTATATAAGGATAGGTATTCCAATAGTAATATAGTCTTTTTCAGACTATTTAATATTTAAATATAAACTATGAATTATAACATTTTATTTGGTACTTGTTTGTTAGCTGGGGCACTGGCTCATTAAACCTATTCAAATGTATATTTTATATTGCTCATGATAAAAAAAAAATAATACACATAGGTAGGTATTTATATTTATTACAACAAATTATAAATTATCTGTAATAGTATAGGTAGTACTAAAAATATTTTATAATAATTATAAATATCTAATACAAAAATTAAATTAATGGAAATATAATTTAGCTGTAAAACCAATAAATTGTGATATTTAAACAATCATGTTTATTGGTTAAAATTTAACCTCGCAAAACTAAAAAATATAATCACTTTTACAATTTATGGGTTTTCATGGTTATCCAAAAACATTGTAGATAACGAAAATTATTGTGAATCACAATTTTTAAGACACCAATAAACCGCATGTAGATTGCTTACTTTATCATTTAAAAAGTACCTATGTATTTAATGTTTTATATTATTATGAAGGTTAGAATTCAGAAATATCTGATTTTGTGAAATGCATCTTGTCATATACTCTGTAGTTATGAATTATCTCAAATACAAGGACAGGGATCAGGGATATTTATATTTATAGAGCTTTTTTTTTTTCATGTTAGGCATCACACTAGTACTATAAACTAGTAGACTAGACAATTAAATATAACTAGGTTTACAAATTAAAATATGGTTAGGGTTATTATGTCAACTAGATGTTTTCAATTGTTTGGTACTAGGCCGTATCCGTTGCTTTCTGGTTGGCAATAGTCAAGTTTTCAAGCATGCAAGGTCCTAGTGCCATTGGACTTACCAATAGGTGTGCCTGCTATCGTCTAATGTTCAACACTGATGAGACCTGGTCATTAAGGTATCCCCATTTCAGTATATTATGACTCTCAGTAGTTTTAATGTCTTCTATATGTCCTTGTTATTCGTACCCTGGGGATAAATGTTTGGCCGGTTCAATCCATCCTCTGATATCCACTATTTTATTATTGCATGCGTTAATTCTACTCTGAGAGAGATCATTTTCTAGAAACTGAGGAAACTTTCTCGATTGCAGTCGAAAAGTTGTATCCATCTGTCCATACATAGGATGTCTCGGTTCTTTTTTGTGTTTGTATCTTTTTAAGTTAGTGACAATTAGTCATCTTATTGAGGGTAGAGCTATGCCTGCCAATAAATACACCTTTTTAATTGTTGTGTTTTTTATAGCGCTAATAAACTATTACAATTAGTCTGTATTTAGAGTTCGGCAGAATTTTAAAACCCTTTAATAATTCTTTTGAAAATAGTTTATCATGGTTGTAGATGGTTAATGCTAGTTCAAATCAATAGATAAACTTAATATATTATTATCAATTATTTAAATTACTTTGCATCCATTCTTCTTCAGAAATAAATGTATGTCTAAAATTATTCACTATTCAAAAGTAATTTACTACTATTTACTAAAAAAAAAAACAAATTTATAAAATTATACTATGATAATTGTAATAATGTTTTTACAATTATATTTATTATTTATTAATAAAATTAATTTAATACACTTGTTTCATATTCTTAGTTTAATATTTACTAATTATAAACTATTTATTGATAGTTAAACTTACAAAAACACTAAAACTATTTACATACAAGTTAATATCTACTCCCTATTTGTGGTGAATGTAGGGAGTCTATTACAAAAATTAATAATATAATACATTGCATTTTTTTTTCTTTACTTAGCTTTAACAATTAAGTTAACAGGAACAACAATAACAATAGACCTATTTTTACCATTGGTTTTAATTTAATATTACTTTCAATTAGCTTAATATCAGTAGGAAGTTTGTTAAAAAATATTATTTTAATAATTCCCCATTAGTGTTGTGTTTGGTTTAATTATTTATTAATTATAATTAATAACTATAATATAATTTGTTAATGCTATTTTATATATTGTATCACTTAATTTAATTAATTGTTTATACATTTTGGAATTTGAATTTAGATTTTAGATGCATTGGTTTTACAATGATGTTTGTTTTATTTTTTTTAATCTGAATAACGACTTGAAATCTGACTGAGATGGTACTTTTAGATTTTTCTAGCCATTTTCATAACGAATGGAAAAAACTTAGAAAAACTGGTACAATATTAAACAATTATTATTAAAGAAAATATATTATGCCCAATTTATGTAATTTTTTAACCATAATATGACGTAAATATTTTTAACAAAACAACACTATTAACCGAACTCTACTCAATTGTTTTTTGCTAACAGTGATTAATCTCTGTGTATATATACATTACATTTCCTCTCTACCTTCCCAACTTCTCACCTAGAATAATGACTCACCCATTGTCCGAAGTATGTTTGTATCTTTTTTAGGATTTTAAATACTTTTTGTAAAGATTTGTATTTAGAAAATTCATTTTTCCAATTTGTGCTAAATAAAACAAAGCTGTAAATTAATTTTAATATTAAATTATATATATGAGCCATGCTATAGACACTTAATTTTTAAAATAAATGACTAGTTACTAGAGGATTTTTTAATAATTGTTCTTTAAAAACCAATTTGGTTTACTATACTTAATTTTTTGTTTATATAGTTAATATGTCTCCATATTCATTAATTGAATATAAATTAAGACAATATATTTTTTTGGGCCATGAATCTTCTATGTATGTTCCACCTCCTATAAGAAATTCATTTTGGTACCCAAAAGATAAATACTATGAAAATATTACTGGTGTGAGAATAATTGCGAAAATTGTAAATAAAAATAAAGCTGAAGAGATCGATTCTATTGTTCCAATAATCTTAAAGGTTAGTTTAGTGATTTTTTAAGTTGAAGGTTTTCATGTATTGTATACAATTATTCATACATAGGTTAAAAAAGAAGGAAAACTTCATGATGACCGACTCTTGATTTTTACATTGGCTGTATGCACTAAATTTAATATGACACAATGTGCCAAAATGGTTGCTGATGCTAATGCTGCAGTCTCCATAATTTGTACTGATGGATTAAAATTTTTGATGTTTATAAAATTTTGTCAAGACATTAACATTATTCTTTATGAAAAGGGTAATTATTTTAAATATAATAATACTAATACTGTAATATATAATATATACAGTGCCATTTAGTTATAACTCGTTAGAAAATTAAGAGGAGTTTTTTCTCAATTGCTACATGTAATAATTGTTACCACAGTTGTATTATAATTTATCAACATATTTATAAACATAATATTAGTTACGTACACAAATGACTGGTATTATGAATATATTATTGTTATGCTTAATGAAATTTTCATCCTGTATTATATTTACCCTTCCTCATGAAATATTTATTTCTATTTTTAATCTACTTGTATTTATTTAGGTTATATATCTTATAAACCTTCTGGATTTGGTAGCAGATTACGTAAAACTATTAACAATTGGTATTTAAAAAATGATCCATTTGAATTAACAAAACTAGTGCTAAAGCATAAATGTTTTGAAGGTTGGACTCATAGAGATGTAATGAACCAAATTCATATTCATTCAAAGGATCCAGGTAATTAAAAAAGAAAATACTTATTTATTATTTAAATGATTAACAGTTTAAATTATAGGCCAGCAAATGATAATTATCTATATATTACATGGTATTAAAAAAGTTAAAGAAATTTTTGAACTTAAATTAAAAGACGTTCACAATGATGGTGTAATTGAACAACTCAAATTAATATATGAATATATAAATAACATACATAATATACCTAAAATGAACGAAATTACATTGAAAAATGAAATTGAGTGTAATAAATGGAGCCTACAAATAATACCTTCAAAAATGCTTAGAAGTACTAAAGTTAGTATTAATTATTTTTTTACTTAAAAATATAAATATTTTAATTTGAATTTCAATGCACTTTAGATCTTAACTTCACTTGTCATACATATGCCATTATCAATATTATTGGATAATACGTGTTATTTTGCCAAACAAAGATTATTTCGCAATTCAACACCTCATAAAGGTCTTAAAGAATATATATCGCGCTTTAATAATCCATATTTACTAAAAGAATCAAAAATACACCCAATCGAATCATTTGTAGAATATGTTAAATATTCAAGAAGATGTAAGTAAGTACTAAAACTAAACATATTACTTAGTTATGTACTCCTATAAATTGCCATAATATTTAATATAAAATTGCAGTAATATATTAACAATACAACATAATATATGTAAAAAAAAAAAAAGTATTACTGATACACCTGATAAATTAAAAGTGTTTATGAAAACAAACGAAAAAAATACATGTGTTAACCAAACTACAAACGAAATTGATATGACAGAAGTTAATCAGGAAGAACAATATGAAACTAATGATATTCAAAATAAACCAACTGGTATACTCATGTTTAAGCCATGTCCAAGATTAGTAGAGGAGTTGTTAACATTTTTGTCTGAAGATCTAATAAAAAAAACTTTAGAAGTATTTATTTACAAATATTTTATTTCATTAAATATATTAATAATTATCAGGTTTGGAACGTATAATACAGTACAGTATAAAACACGTTTTATACTGTATAATTTTTTTTTTTTTTTTTTTGTGGCTGCAATTGAACCGAAATTTCAGTTAAAATAATTGTCAATTGAATTTAATATTCTTTTTATATATATTATATTAATTATCTAAGAAATATGTGATAATTTATTGTATTAATTACTTCATCTTTATTCTTTATTATAACTACATTAATATTTATAATACTAAAAAAAAAATTTGTTTGTTATATTAATTTATAAGTTTAAATACTTATTAAAATTTAAAATGTACAGTATTATCACTATTATAATAAACTTCAAAGAAAGAAAGAAAAATGTCAGTCGTTATAAAGTTTTATGCATTTTAGTTATTTTGTATGTGTAACGCATAAAATGTTTTATACGTGTATATTACCAACCCTGGTAATTATTTATCATATTAATAAATGCATGTGTATTTATAACAAAAAGTGTGTTATGGCTAAAAACTTGTTATTTTGAATTTTACTTTTATAGATTAAATTATGAGCTCAGCAAAGAAGTTATTAACCCATAATTTTACTGCCTAAATATAATAATTTTTGAAAACACTAAAAAATTAATACTATATTAATAAACTCTTATAAACTATTTTCATCCAATAACTTTATAAATAAATTGTTAATTAAAATCAGTTGGCTCTTTTGGTAGTTTTCTATTTTATCCATTTTACAAATATACCAATAATTTACACTAAGTCACTAAGAGAAGGGCCGTTATTACCAATGTATAAAAAGACAATTATCTGATTCTTAAACTGAGTTTATGGCTGGTAACTGACCACCATTGGTCGATTATTTTATAAAATCTGTTTAAAAATCAATGTTTACGTTGTTGAGAACTTGCCTAATTTATGCTCAAAAACTTCTAAATTGTTCAATTTTATATTTCTGCTTATATCAAAAACTATATATTTTTTAGATTCTCTGTGTATTTTAATTTATATTCTAACAAAGTTTTATTTTCAACATTTTGATAATAATTAGTTTATGTAATACAGATATATAAAATATAATACAAAAATAAACAACATAAATAATTTTTTTTTTTTTAGAACCTGATTCCATCAAATCGTCGAATATTAATATCATATGACAGTAGAATGTGTATGAAAACAAAGAAATGTTTTTATACCAATTTACTCGGAGTGGATGAAGCAATTACATTGATAATACTGTCTTTGATTTACCCAGAAACATTGGAAAATAAACCAACAATATTTGCCTTAAAAGAAAAATCACTTTCGAAAATTGAAATTGATTATAATCAATCTTTAACTTTTTCCAATTTGGAATCTGTTTTATATAAGGAAAATAAGGTAAACATTTTTGTTTTTCAAAATATATTCATTAAATATTATGTATAGTGTTTGAACAGTTTAGGTTCTGAGTGGAGTGAGGAAGCTTATGGTTTTACAAAGATTTTTTTTATCTGCAATTTTTCAACTAGAAATCTTGCTCGGATTTTTAAGTGTAGCACCTTTTCTGAAAAGAAATTTGACTGAAAAAGTACATTAAAGAAGTCAAATTTCGATTTTTTTTCTGGAGTTTTCTCATCAAATTTGAAAAATCAAAACAAAATCAAAGGGAAAATATAAGAAATGTAGATATTAGTTAAAATATATTATGGTTTTTACTTTTCCTGTAATTTTCCCAAGATTTTTCCCGGCAAATGTGAAATACTGGGATAAAACATGCGAAAAACTAGAAAACGTAGGAAAACTGAGAATTTTTGTTACAAAATTAAATATATAAATATATTAATTATATTAAATATATAAAGCCTAATTAATTATTTTACTATAAAATGATATATATATTGTTGACAAAGCATCACTATTAACTGAACTCCGCTCAGAATTGTTTCTCCATAAAAGCAATGATTTATTGTTACTTACAGGTATACATTAAATAACCTATAACGCTGGTTGCACCTGTCCCCATTATCCTAGGACTTTTTTTTAATATTGTATATAATTTTTTTAGAAAACTACTAATTCAGATGATAGTAATATGGATCATCTATCTTCTATAAACTGGGCTAGACAAAATAAACAAAATTATGATTTATTTGTGTTATTGGGAACTAATCAAATGAATTTAAGAAATATCAAAAAAGCAATTAAAAAATATCAAAAATTTTCTCAGAAAACAGTGAAGTAAGATTTTTTATTATCATTAATGGTTGATTTAGTGGAATTAACTAATTTTGTAATAAAACTAAAATATTAGTTGAATATTACTTAGGGATTATAAATTATTTCAACCTCCATTTAAACTTTCCAGGGTCATTGTATGTTGTCTGAATGGAAAGCACTCTGAACAAAGCAATTTAAAAGGAAATAATAATTTATTTATTGCTGGTTTTGATAAATATATTGGAAAAGTAATTGATGGATTCATAAAAGAAGATTTTTAATATATTATTTAATATGTAAGTATACTTAATATTTTTGTTTTTAATTTTCTTAATAAATTATTAATAAAAGAGAATTAATTGGTAATTAATCTAAAATCTGTTAAATTTATTAATTTGTATTAATATTTAGTGTGTTCACTTATATGCAACTTATGTAATTTAAATTATACATCAATATATGTTTGATTTCTTAGTTTGTACATCATACGTTGTCTTTATAGATGGTTCCTTTTTTGGTGTATAATTGTGCGTGCTAAATCATTTTTACTTTGATCCAAAAGTGCCAAATATCCAAATTCCATACATAAAAAGCATGCATAAACAACACCGGTCAAATACTGATAATGTTAAAGTATTTCACATAAATATTAATTCAAAATTTTAACCTAAAATGTTTATATTTATAAAAAATGAAGTCTAGATATGTTATGTAATTAGAAGTAATTATAGCACAACAATAATCACACTTCATCTAAAGTGATTGTATGTTATTCGTTCTTTTGATATTGGTATAGTGTATCGTTTTCATTATCTACAATGCATGTCATGAGCTAACAGTCTTAAATTGAGTTATTTAACACTTTTTTTTATAATTTTAAATAATAAAATAATAGAATTTATCTAAAGTCAAAAAGCAATAAATTATTATTATTCGAAGACTATTTATTCAGTATACACCAATTGTGTGAAAAAAGAATTATTTGGGGTTACTCTGATTACAAAAGTAAAAATTGTTTGAGAAGATGTTACACACCACAGACGACTTATTTCTAATTTTTGACAGCAAATATTTTTTAATTAATTTGTTTGTGTTCTTTAAATGTTAATAATAATCATATTCTATTCATATTATAGGTTTATTTAACTTTTATAATAAAGGTTAAAATTTTGAATTAATATTTTGTCGCGGAACCACTACAGGGTTCTTTGATAAACACCTATTATTTTGAAAAAGTATTAACTTTATATATATTTTTTTTTTATTGTGCATTTTAAAAAATATTCAGCTCTAAAATATTACATTTGTTATTTTTGGGGGTTGAACTGCCCACTTTTGATTTTCAAATGGCTGCTTATACTTAAAGTTCTATAAATAGATAAAAGTTTAAATACACATTTTGGTGTTGATATTTTTTATTTCTAGCAACTTGTTTACAAGATATTCCACTTTTAAGTTTTGGTATTGTAGGAGAATTAGATCATCATTTATGTGTGTTTAAAATTTTAATAGTGCTTCACTACTCCCCAGTCATTTCTATGCAATGTCTGTTTAGCACTATGTTATGTCCATTATCTATTGTATATTTCACGAATAGTCCAAAGCAGCGGTTCCCAACCTATAAGCCACAGCTCACATATGGGCCATGGGCAATGTGGTATACTGGCCAAGGACATAAACAAGGGACAGAAAATTTAAAAAAATGTAAATTATTTTAATATAAATGTCTATATTTAAATCGAGATTTAGTAATATTATCAATTATCACCATTGTATAATTGTATTGATTGTTCTTTTTATTATATATAGTATACTAGAATATTTTTGTAATTTTTATCGTATTTTATCATGTTCGTTGTGAAGTGTGGGTACATTGCGATGTACTTAATCTCGAAATTAATTCTCTTATTAGAGAAAAACAATGTCAAAAATCGCATTGATTTTATTTTAACTTTTAAACTTTAACGATTTGTTTATAAGTCGAAAACAATAATAAACTTCTTTTTTTAAAAAAAATGTTTTTTAATTTTCTTGTACTTAATGTTTTCCTAATTAATGATGTATATGCAATATGCACATTATATAATAAATTGGTCATACATATTTTATAGGGATGTTTGTTTTTATTTTAACATATATTGGTATATTTTTAGTAGGCCTCAGTTTTTTTTTTCAAAATTGATGGTCCGTACAACTAAAAAAGTTAGGAACTGCTGATCTAAAGTGTACTTCTGTCCACTGTTTATTTCACAAATATTTTCAAAGATATAATTCCAAAACACACCAAAGCAGTGAAATTGTAGTGAGCTCATGAACTGAACAAATAAAATTAATTTTGTTTTTTGCCCTCATACATTTTTTAAACTATAAATGTCAAATTTGAATATGGATGATAACCACAATTATAAACTAATATTAGTATGGTTGTTCCCAGTAACCTATGTAGGAAATAGGGTTTACCCCACAACAAACTTATCTTCAAAAGGTAAATACATTTTAATTTATTTAAATATAATGTATTAATTTATGTATTTATGTATAGATAGTACAAATTAAAAAACGATTTAAGTTTTATTATAACGTATAAGATAAAAGCATATTGTACAAATAATGAAATCAGTGCAACGCATATTTAAAATGTTAAATAATTTTATATTAAAAATGAAAATATTATGTTGGTAATGTCAACATTTCAAAATTATTTTACTGGAGGCTCTTATTTTTCTAACAACTTGATATTTTCCCATCGTGTCACACTTGCGCTAGCAATGAAAAACCTACGATTCTCGATAATCATTTCGGTGGACGCTTTTTTGTCGATCTTAGCATAGTTAGAAATTCGTTTGGTTATGCCGGTATATTTTAATAATTATATCGATATATCAAAAAATTCGTTGACTTGTGGTTATTATCAACTTTATAATCCATACTTATTTGTTATCATACCATACACATACCTTCGAATTTTGATGCAGTAGTCGCTTCCATCTTTTTGTTCATAATTCAAAAATGTCAATGTAAAGAAAATCTAATGTAAAAAATAATTCAATTATAAATGTTATGCTAGGTTATTTTGTGATAATTTGATAAGAATATGAAACAGGGAAATGATCGCGATGGAACATTAAGAAAGGAAGGAATTATACCGGTATAAAATATTTAACCCACGTCAGGAGGCGAGTCAGAAAAACTATTCCGGTATAAACTTAAATCATATACTATGGATAGAGCAGCTGTTGACAATATTTGAAGAAAACATAACTAAGTGGAGTTGGGACAAATGCGAATGTGCATAATGTTATATAGCGCGCAATTGGTCAAATTCACGTAATCACGTGAAATATCACTGCGTAGTGATATTATGATTGTACGATAATATAACGTATAATAATATGTGACGAGTACTGATACGCATGCGCGAATAGACATCAGTTCCCTTGGCATATAATGCCTTCAACTCATAGTATGCATTTATCGTGCAGTAGTAGCCCTATCCATAGTATATGATCTAAGAGTTATCAGTACTTTTTTCGTTTTGGATCATTATCATTTTTGAATAAGTTTTATAGATTTTATATAACAAAAATCCCAAGGTTTATAGATAATATATCTAAACTTTGTCCCCCAGTTATCTTTTTATTCCTGTACTTGAAAATACAGTGTAGCCATATATGATGATGATAAAGTAGTTAATTATGAGGTATCTATTTTTTCTTTGCATAATATGTTTTAATTTTTTCTATATTTTATTATCAACAATTTATCAAAACAATCGCAATGCAATCGAGATATTAAAACCTGTACTATGCTATCTAAATCATTTATTGCTATAAACAAGTTAACAAGATTAACTAATTACTTATTAAATAGTAATATTTAAGTGAATAATTTATTGTTCATGTTGTATTATTGTTCCTAATATTGACTTTATCAGGAGTCTTAATTTATGATAGAACTTTGTCATTATACGTTAAATAAAATGTATTCTCTCTAAAAATACTAATTAAATATTAGATGTTATAACGATCTACACTTTATTATAACTATAAAAATGGTTTTTAATGTAATATCAAGCAGCATTGTGAATAAACAATTATATAATAAACCTTTGGATCCTAAAAGTATTCATTTTAAACCGTGAAGTGGGTTATTTCCTTACAGTCTAATCATAGCATGGGCTGTGGTCCTAGTCATTTTGGAATCTCATATTCCAGAAAAACGAAGAAGAAAAAAAACAAACATAAGGAATCTGGTAATGTATAATTATGTACTTTATTACATATTTTTCTTTGTATTAAACAATCAACAGTTAAACTTTATGTACCTATTTAAATATACATAATTTGTAAAATATACATATATTTATTGGTATAATCATACCTTAATTAGTATTAAAATTTAACTAGGTACTAATTATAATTGACAATTGTGTGTTTGTGTGTAATTAAATAAGCCATAGTAAAATTTAGTTTTTTTAAATGTTTATTATGTAGGCATTTAATATTTCATGGTTTTTTTAAAATAATTGTTTATTTTTAACTGTACAAATTAATGGTTATATTTAACTAATCATTTTTAAATATTTTACATACTTCAAAATAGATATGTAGTATTTATTTCAAATATGTTATGCTTGACAGCTGTATATTACATTTCTTTGAATCCTAAAATATAGTATATTTAAACAGTAAATCCCCTTGAATATCTGCCAAAGAACTGGTTCAACAAAACATTCATCTAAACACCAAATGGCACTGGGACCCACATACATAAAATATTGTAACTAACTCAACCTACAACCTGGTTTTGACTTGCCTAGCCTAGGAAAATTTAGGTAATGCTGAATTCAATAAGTCATAGAAGGTACAAACACCTACTGCACAAATAGACACTAATAACACCTGCAAGTGACTGTGGATATGAATGGCAATCTCATATATAGTTTCCAAATATCATGTCCACTACATGCATTCAAAGGCACACTTTGAGACATACGTGTAGTTAACATGGTCACAATCTGATAATCTTTACATAAGCTTATAAATTCCAAATATCCACTAGATAATTTAAACTATTTCAAACTATTTAAACATTTGGTATAATTCTAGTTTAGCTCCCACCCTATCTATCTTATTTTTTTTGCAAAATGTGTTTTTGTTTGTATTTAAAGAATAATGTAAAAAAAAGTCTAATGAACTTCGTTTGTAAGTTACAGGGGAAACTTTATGAAATTCAGGTTTTTTGTTTACCATATTTTTTAGTTAGAATTTAACACATTATAATTTTTTTTTTCTAAAATATATGTTTTTTATGATTAATCAATTGGTATAATCAAAACTTACCTATCATATTTTCTATATAGTATAGTTAATCATATAGTTTTTGTACGTAAACCTCGAAAAATAGCATTTTTAGAATTGATCCAAAATGTGGTCAAAAAAAGATATTATTATTATTATTATTATTATTTGTAGTTATTGATATTTTGATAACAAAGTTTTTTTATTGAAGTCAGAATAAGTGTATCTTTATTAGTTATAAGTTACAAATGTTCAAACGCTCCATATTTCGCTGTGCTCACTCAGACAATTGTAATCAAAAATAACACTCAATTTCTAGTGCAAAACCACACTTTCTATAAAAAAAAAATTTGAAAATGTTAAATTCTAACTAAGAAATACGCGAAACAAAAAATCCAAACTTCAAGAAGTTTTCCCTCATAACTTCCAAACACGGTTTGTCATACTTTTTTTTTACATTTTTAATGTACACACAAAAACACATTTTATAAACAAAATACCCCAAAAAATCACGTGGGATTCAAACTTAAATTGTGTAATGTAGTACGTTGTAATAATTACAAAAGTATTTAGACATTGTTTATCCTAAATTTTTAAATTTTGTTGCTATTAATGTACAATATAGAAAATATTAGGGAACAATATGGTAATATCAATTATATATTTATTGGTATTTTCTTACTATTTCTCTTTTTAGTATCTTATATATCTCTAATTTGTTTAAAATTATAATATTGATTATCCAAATTCATAATTATACAATGTTATGATTTTTTTAATAATAGATTCTTTATTTGTTTGCCAGACAATAAATTACCATTTATATAATATTATGTTATTCCTGATAAATATAATAACTATAAAATACATTTGTATAGGTATCATTTTTTGCTTATTATTATTTATTTGTAGTTATAAATAGGTACCTAATTACACCTACTATTATTATTATTATTTATTTTTTTATAAGTATAAGATAAAAATTATCTTTTTCTAAATTAAACAATTATTAACAAAACAAACTTGAAAATATACATATTATGAAGTTATTATGCTAACACTTTATAGGTAATTATTATTTGGGCTTGGAACTTAATGCTCTGAAAATCTGCTAAATGTGCATGAACTTAAGCGCTTCATAAAAGTAAAAATATGTACTTATTTTTTTTTTTTTACACAACATTTTTGATGTACCTAACTTTAAAGTTATATTCAAAAATAAAAAAACAATAACGATAATTACCATTGCATTATTTCCAAAGAAAATTATTAATTGAAGATAATCATATTTTGCAGTTATTTCTATTATATACACATAGTTACAAATGATGTAGGTAAATATTTTAATTAGAAGACCAGTATTTAAAAACACAATACAATAATATCAATAATAAGTTATCAATTTATCATTTAAAAATAGATATGCAATTTATTACACTGCCCTAATACTCCAGTCTAAACTTTATAATATACAAAAATACTTAATTTGAACTTTTTATATTTTTCTTGTAATGTTGTGAAATTAATTTTTAGCTTATTTAGCTATAAATCTAATAGCTCACAAAAAAAAAAAAAAAAAACATTAAAATGCAATAACTTTTCGAGCCCTACTTATACTAAAACTAATCGTTTTTTCTCAAAATAAAATTTTTAAATTTGTTTAGAACAATGTAATAAATTTAAATTTAATGATTTAACTATTTACACAATATCTATAATACACATATTGATCAATAAAAAATAGAAGAAATTGGCAATAGTTTATTTGCTTGTAAATTAAACACTTAAAAAAAAATCATGATTTTTTTACTGTATTTCATCAATTTATTTTCTATGTATAATTAGTATTTTGTCTAAATAGAATATAGATATTCAGAAGATAATTGAATGATATGATACAAATTAATTGTTGTGAATATATTATTATTTAAAAAATTTAGTTTTTTTATTTACTAAAAGAAAAAATTGACTATTTGTTCAGTTTAGGTATATGCAATATGAAGATTTGCACAATCTATACATTATTTTTATTTTTTTACCTGTATGCTTAGTGGTGAAACCACTTGATTTCTCAATGGCAAATGAGTATCATTTATGTGACAGTGTTTTAATGGTGTCTCTTTCATGCTTATCACTACAAAATTTAATTTATCTATCAAATTTTTTTTGAACATCACCATTTGAAAATCTAAAATAAGTAGTGGTTTCACTCCAACATAAAGGCAAAGTAAAATTATTGAATTGCATGTATCTTAAATTTTCCAAAATTAAAATGTCAATAAAAGATTATGAGTATTCTGAATAAAAAATATCACTATATATGAAAAATTAAGTGTTATGTTTATTAGGACAGTATAAAATAAAATATTAGCTAATTGTACCTTCATATATTTTATATGGAAATTCCCAGTGTAAGTATACTTTGTATACTCTAAATATATAATATTTATATTTACGTATTATTTTAATGAAAATAAGTAAACAATATCAATTTTATAATTTTTTTTTTTTATCGGATGGCACAATTTTGCAACGGTAGCAAGCAGTATAAGTACAATTGTATCATGCATCCAATCATCATTTCCATACTAAATATATGAATGTACAAATTGTGCCTTAACCGACTCTTATGAGTATAAATACAATTATACTCCACATCTTAGAAACGGATAAAGAACATTTCTCAATTTCAGCTTACGAAATTAAATAAAAGAAAAGGTAAATAGATGTCACAAAATTTCAAATTTCTTCGACTTGATTAAAAAAATTTATTAAACTTTGAAAATAAAGTTTAATTATTATTTTATAATTTTGTTTAAAACTATAGAATTTGATGTAACAAATATATTTTAAGTAAATGTAATGAATTTAAAAAATAACTTTAATAATAATTTATATTTTCAGATGATGATAAAAGTGATGGAAGTTTTTATGAAAATCATGTTGAAGAACAAATACAGTTGACAAGTACACCATCTGTTAACAATTTGTGCGACATCTCTGAAATAGACGAATCAAATCCATTACATCAACGTGTATCAGGTTCACAGTCTTCCACATCATTATTTATTAATCCGTAAGTATTAATTTATAATTACTTCAATAACTTCTAAAATACTTATAAATAATTATATGTATAGACAACTATCTTCTAGTCAACTCAATTTCTTTAGAATGTTAGATGAAAAAATAGAAATGGTAAGTAGTAATACGTACAACCATTTGTCTATTAAAAAAACAAATAATTATCTACTATTATTATAATTTTTTTTTTTTAGGGTGTTGATTATAAGCAAACAATTGAAGAACAACGTTTGGAAAAAATTCATCATACACATGCATTGTTAATGGAATGGGAGAGAGTACGAATACGCAATTCCCCAAAACCTTGCTCAAATCCTAGGTCCCAATTTCTGTGTAATTTAAGACAACCACACTTTCGTGTTTCCCATTCAGTTGTTCAATTTGACCAAGAACAAGGTGCTTTCCATACTGAACTCATATGAAGTACAAATCAATTATTGATTTTAACACTTGTAGGCATTTTTCTTATTTTTATTAGTTAAATATTGTAGATTTACATTTTATTGAATAGTATTCAATTTTTTCAGTATTAATACAAGTTAAAATAATTTGTACTGTGGTTATAAATACAGATATTAAATATTATACTTACAAATTATACTAATTAAGTATAATTTGATCATCCGTGTTAATTTATCAACAGTTTTTCAAAAGATCAAAATTCAATATTTAGTCATAAATAAAGTATACTTAGTTATTAAAGAAATTATCATAACTCAATGAATACTTTTTTATATATTCAGACTGATCATCTTTTATTGTCCTTTATTGTAAATATTGAATCTCATAATATTTTATTGTTTAAAATATGGTTTTACATTATTCAATTTATGTTAAATATCTATTATTTAAAAAAAAAAAAAAAAAAAACAGCTAACATTTTCCAATAAGACTTGAAGTATGCTATAATTAAAATAGTTTAATCCTATTCTAGATATTTTTCTTGTGTAGACTGTAGACCAGCACAGTAATTATATTTTTACATGAATGATCATTATTTAATTGGTACTAGTAAACTGTTGCGTCTAAAGTAAATTTACATTAAATTTGTTATTTGACAATAATTGTGAATATTGATTATTTTATTCACTATATCATCCTGTATGACACAAATGACTTCAGAATCTGCTAACAATTAATTTTCTTAATACTCATGTATTTCATTGAACTGTATTAAATAAGTTAACCATACTCTGTTTCACAAAAGAATATTACTAGGCGGCGATCAAATCTAATGAGTTTTCTCACATTTGTGGTGGTATTCACATACCATTGACAGTGGGAAGGGAGAAGAATTTGATCATGATACAACGAGGCTCATTCATTTGAATTAAATATGCAAACAATTTGTGTTCTCTCGTAGAACGGAGTGTAGTATAAATATCAGTGATTAAAATTTAAGCAACTTAAACACAAACTGTGTAGTACAATCCCAATATAAAATCTATTAATGTAGGCTTATTTTTTTTTTTCTAATCTTAATTATAAGTAAGTGAATTTTTTAAATTTATTTATATTTTGTACAACTATTATCAATGATCTTAGATAAGTATTAAATCTTAAACTAGGAATTTGTATTACATTTAAACAATTATTGGTAACATCAAATATGTGTTATTAAATATGCTGAAAAAATGTATAAAAACAAATTTTTTAAAATACTATTAATGATATATGTTTATATTTTGCTTTTTAATTGAAATTTAATTAATATCCCCAAGTAATATATATTTTTAAATTTAAATTAGAAAAACTTTATTTTTACTAATTTATTATTATTTTGTGGCTTTTTACATGATATTAATATTAATTTAATCATAATGATTTAGTAACAAATGCAATCAATATTTAAATGTTTTAAGCTTTAGATAATTATATATTTTTTAAATTAAACAATTATCTTAATTTTGTTCATAGTAAATTTATCACAAGAACTTAATGTTTGTTTTTATTATTGTAATTTTAATTTTTAAACATTTTTATAGTTATAAATCATTGAATTTTGATTACATTTGTAAGTTACCATCTTGTTTGTTTTCATTTAATTTGGATTTATAGCATTGGCATTTATTTATGCTATATTAACAATTGTTATTATATAATTTTGTCATATTGATAAATTATTTATGACAAGCTTTATATTAAGGAGTTATACTTATATTAATTTACTTTAAATAATATTTTAATTATTAAACATATTACACATTATATAATATAATTGTATATTAAGAAGAAAAAAACAAAGGCTGTGAGTCAGAGTAATTCAAAGTTTTCCTTATATTTAACATGTATTTAATAATATATGACTGATTTGTTTGTCCTCTAATTTGGTTTGTTTAATTTATTATTTTGTAATTAATCATTTACTGTCTCTTAAATAAAACTTTATGGTTTTCAGTTAAAATAAAGTTTGTTTGATTTTGATATTGTTACCCGACTACTTAGGGTTATATATTTACTGTGTTTAGTATGTATTACTGTTACCAAAAAAAATTTTACTTAAATTCTGTACAAAGTGTATAAATTATCTATTAGATCCAGCAACTTTCATTTAGTAGGTACCTAGGTACTAAAATAAAAATAAAAATACTATTAGCTCCAGTTCTCACTGTTACCAGGAATGTTTGATCACCTGCTTAAATTTCATATTGGAATATAGATTGAACAGTGTGCCAATATTTCTATGGAGAGCCAAAAGCTGATATGTGAAAATAATTCAATTTCGTTGTTATATTTTATATTATATTATTTATTTTACTGGTAGAAGCCCAAAGAAAATATAATATACTATTTGCTATTTATATATTGCCAATATACATATGAATACTGTCAAGAAATTTTGTACGGTAACCGGTGACACTGTTGGCCATAAACGTTCACAATTTTCGTAACAATATCGCTAGGATGGTGAGACCGTTCACTTCCCCACTACAACAACTTTTAATAATATTACCCCTACATTAATTACAATATTCAAATTTTAGGCGGAAATAATATTTATTTTACTTCTTGTGTATAACTACTTAATATATCCTAAGCTATGAGTATTTTTAATAACGTGTCCAAATTTCTTCTACCAGTCACCACTGTGGGCTGGTGACTGTTTGGTAAATTCACCGATTATCCACTCCAAATTTCTTGTATTTGTACTACTGTTTTAATATGTATACTACATAAAATAAAAAGAATAAAAATGTTTGTAATTTGGTTAAAGTAAACATAATTAACTAAAGTAGGAGAAAGAGGTTTCAAGATTGGCTTGCCTCATACAACAAGTGAGGTTTATTATTTTGGTAATATGTAGCACAAGACAGTACAGTAAACAGAGTGATGGTATGAGTACTACGTACAGGAACTCTAAAGTTAACATGTTGAAGGAGAGAAGAAAAAATAGATTTACCACATATGAGATTTTGAAGGAAAGTTAAGTCTTAAGTAAGAGTACTGATTCCATAGTCATGAGGCAGATGGATGATATTTAACTTGAACTTGAAACTGAGAAATGTACGCTGGAATCGTTTGGTTTGTTGATATTAAATCATTGAGTGAAGATTCCAAATCGCTTGCTGTCTAATTAATGATACAAAATTTAATTGTTTCAGAAAAATATCTTTCTGTAGCTATAGTTGCCAATGGACATTCTACTTCTTCGCTTTCGTCCCAACTATTAGGTGTATGCTATCTTTGTTCTAAACTTCTACTTGACACAATCCTTATATTCTCAATTGCATTCTAACCACTTTTTTTTGGACTTCCTCTTCCTCTCTTTTCTCTTACATTTATTTTTATTTCAATTCATACTGCTTCTAATGACGTACTCAAACCATATGAATTTATTCACCTAAGTATTCTTATCTTTGCTACTTACACTTATGATCTGTTCTTTTTGTCTGTATATTGCCTAACACTTCAAACCATTCAACATAATTGGTTTTATCACCATTCTAAAGCCTTTAAGTCTTATTGGAATTATTTTGTCAGTTGTTACATAAAACTTCTGACATTTCTCTCCACTTTATTCTATCATAGTTCTCTGTTTTATATTCTCGTCAAAAAACCAAGTATTTAAAACTCTCAACCACGCTTATTATCATTAGTTGTCTTTCCTTGTCCCTCCGAGTTATATACTTTGTTTTACTTTTACTATCCTTTGTCCTTTTCTTTCAAGTATTACTCAACATTTCCTATTGTTAACTTACAGATTTAATATTTTCTCCTATCAAAAATATATCATTGGCCAACATTCAACATGGTAAGACTTGTATTTCCTTCGTAACCAAGTTTATTACAATAGAAAACAGAATAGAGCTCAAGGCCGAACTCTGATGCACACTTGGGTCTAGAAATAGGATAATAAAATTGGTCCCCTTGAAAAAACCGAGTCTAGGAGAAAAAAAGACATCAATAAATGACAAAAAAAATATAGAAAACACATTTGTTTTCAATTAATACTTTTGAATAAAAGTGTCAATAGGTATCTATATAATAATAATTTTAAATCTATTTAATAACATAGAAAACTAAAATTATTAATATTATATACCTACCTCTTAGTATTTTCCGACTTATACTACCTACCTATATATGTTTATAATATAGTATTATATCTTTTATGAATTCGAGTATTAATATAATATGTACCTAAAGTATTTTCCAACTTATATTATTATAAAGGCACATACAATAATATAGTAGGTACCTAAACTAGTTTAAATTTAAATTATAGCTTTTATTATTTTTAATTAAATATTATACTTATCTAAATTTATGTTCAAAATATTGTATTTCGTACAGTGTATTGTTAGTTTTAGTTGTTTTGTTCATTTTAATTTGAAGTAAAATTTTTGTTTTTATATTATGGAAATTATTTTAACAAATAAAAATAAAGAAAAATGTTGTTGGAAAGACCATATGCATACTATTAAGTACGTTTGGAAGACACAAACAAATTTGAGATATAGTATTCGATTTTAATTTAATTTTTTTTTAATAATTTATAAGTAGGTACTATTTTTTTTTTACTAATTTATCATTTTATCAAAATATCAACTTTTAACTATTTTTTTAAAAAATTAATATAGTTATTGTCTTTTTCTTTTTTGTGCCTTTTTTTGTTATTGTCTTTTTACCTGTTTCCAAAAAAATCATATACCAGGTGATCCATTTAAGTGGATACACTCATTATCTCGGAAAGTATTAACTTTTACCAACATTTTTTACTATGACCTTTAAGAAATAAGCAGCTCTACAATTTTATATTTATGTCATTTTTGGGCGTAAAACCACTAACTACTTTTGATTTTCAAATGGCAACATATACTAAAAATCCCATGAATAAATAGAGTATTAGTTAAACTAAATTTTAGTGTTGAAATTTTAAATTTCCGTCAACCCGCTGACAAGATATTCCACTTTTTAGTTAGGGTTGGACAATTTGTCTGACGGTACGGCACACGGTGTGTTAATAATGCACTACTACTCTCCTCCTACCCATACTTAAAAGTGGAATATCTCGTCAACCGCTTGACAGAAATCACAAATTTCAACACTTAAATTAATTTTAACTAATACTACATCCATTTATGGACTTTTTAAATATAGGTTACCATTGGAAAATGTAAAATTGTAGAGCTGCTAGTTACCTAAATGTGCTTAAAAATAAATTACGAAAAAAGTTAAAATTTTCCGAGATAATGACAGTGTACTTACTTAAATGGATCACTTGGTACGCATAATCGGCCTTCGTCATAGTTTTTACACGGACATTTGGTCTCTGGCTAATTTTTTTTCTTATGACATTTTTTTAAAAATTTTATATTGTTGTGGCTGTTTAAAAACCTTATATTATTATTAATACCAATATACACAATACAGTAAGAACTAGAGAACTATAATAAGCTTATATAGGCTCTCTATTGAGAACTATTCGGTATCTTAGCATACAGTTAAAATGAACCAACAGAAGGTTTAACAGAATAAATAATTAGTCAATAATAATAAATATTATTTATCAATGAAAATATTTCATAATAACGTACATAGCCGCATTTAACAGGGGGATAGTACCTACTGCCTAGGGTGGCAAAAATTTAATTATCTATTAATTATTATACCATCACAATTTAATTTATTTTTTAAATAAGGTCCATAGATGATCATTATATATCTATGGTACATTGTGTAACCATGGTTTTGGTTAGACCTAATCTGTGAATCGAGCGTGGTGGCAACAGTGGCGATAATAACAAAATGTACAAAAATGTGTTTTTCTTTAAAAAATAAGAACTACGTTTTTAATTTTATATCTAGTTCTATAAAATTAACATTATAAATGCATTTAATTATGACTTCATTAAAACCGGACGACGTTAAGGATCTTTTTAATAAAGAATACGATTTTGTAAGCACTGTATTAAAGCAAGTGAAGCTGCCCGTGCGAGTAGAAGATTCAGGTAGGTAAATTAATTATTATTACAAACATGTGCATTTTCGGTTAATTTATGGAAAATAAGTTTTTTTGAGAAAGTATTTTTATACTATAATATTTTTGGGTTTTCTAGCAAACACACTTAAGTTAGTTTTAATAATTTTTACATAACTGTGACAAGAAAATACACTGAAAATCAAAAAATGACTTCCAACGTATTAACTAGAACAAAAATTGTACAAGAAAATTCTTATAATGTTTGATTGGATCATGATTTCTGATAGAAGTTAACAGATTTGTTTATGTAGGTACTTATTGTCAATTTAATTGATATTATTATTTAAGATTCAAAGATTATTGAGTCAGAAAAAAAGGTCTTCTGGGTGTTTTTATAAACCCAAATATATGAACTACTTACAATTGAAGTCTGGCTCTCGGGGTTAAAAAAAAAACTCAAAATCGAAAAACGCCAAACACAAATATTTAATGTGCTTCTTCGTTTTGCCAATGTTCCAAAATTTCATTTTCGATTTTCCAATTTCCTGCAGACATATGACCAATTTAAAAGTGTGTGTTCTTTGACAAATTTTGATCTCTGAAAGTCTCTCTTGGGGTCAAAAAACTAGCTATATATTTTCTTTCCTCCTTCTTTACCTAATCAATGTTCTACAGTTAGAATTTCCAATTTCCTGCAAAAATATATGACAGTTTAACACTTAAATTTGTTTTTACGTACCCAAAAGCCATGTTGTTGAGAAAGGTAAAATTGTTATATCATAGTTTTGACTGTCTGGCATTTTATAAGGTCATTGTGCTAATAGAAAACCACTATAGCATTTTTTTGGTCTTTTTAAATTTTGTCCACAAACAGGCACCTCTTAACCTGTTGTATCTTGACAGGAAAAGGTAAACTCAAAATTTCATTCACAGGACATTGGTCAGATAGAAAACATATGTAGGTATTTGACGTTTTTTGATATTTAAACATTTTAACCTTTAGAGCAAACCTTCAATCTTACATACTTTATACTCTTACCTATACATATTTGTTAAATATATGTCATATTATAATAACCATTAATAACTTAATTTTATTCATTTTTTTCAGAGTCTGAAGACAGTGATAATAATGAAAAAGTTAGAAGTATGTGTATATTAGGTTATTTTTATTCATACAGAATTTGTAATTTTTATGTCTTGTTATATTTTATTTAGAGCCAATTCTAGCAAGTGATGAAATAAGTAGAGCTCAAAGTTTAGATGAACTTCATACAAGACTTGCTGCGATAAGAGGTAAAGTTTTGAGTTTCACAATGCCATTGATTTTTTTTCTTATCTTTAAAAACTTAATAACTTCCTTTTTTAAAATTATAAAATATTTATTTTAGAATCTATACGTTTTCAAAAAAAAAAAAAAATAGTATATAAATATTTTTTATAGGAATAAATGATAACAGTGGACTATTCAGAATTTTAGTAGGTACTGTGGGCCAGCCAGCTGTGTAGTTAATGGGTATTAAGTACAAAAATCACTATCAAAGTGAGATTTGCTTAATTTATTTCATATTTTGATACAAATTAATTTAATTTATTTATAAAACATAAATAAAAGATAAAAACTTGTATAAAAATAGTTAATATTATTAATTTGTATTTGTTAAATTTAATTAACTGTTAGTCAATTGATTGGTTATCCACATATTAAAACAATCTCATAGATCAGTTTTAGTTAAATCTATAAAATACTACTTAATAATTATAATTAGAAAAAATTGACATAATTTTTTTTTTTTTAATCAATTTTTAATTGAAAGTAGTCGAATAAAATACAAAAAAAATAATATTATTGACTTTAAACTTCATATTTTTTTCATTACTTTTATCATTTATCGAAAAAGAAATTACAAGAAATACAGTAAACAAAAAAATAATGTATCATAATAATTATACTCGCTTTTTTTCACTGAACACTATTTATACAACAATATGATAAATATTAAATAATACCATGTACATAAAGAGAAAAAATAATTGAATTCCCTTCCCTAACTTCATTTCTATAAAATATTTTATCAAAAATTATTTGAGAGAGTATGTTTCCAAATAATTAACTAATAAATGTATAATATAATAGGTTGATAGTATTAAGTTATTCTGAACCTATATGCTCAAACATGACTTCAGAGCTAGGGTTTTCTAGGTTCAACCTCTCCCCCATCCTAAAATTTGATCTTAACATTTTTAAATATTTATTGGTTTGTTTAAAATAAGACTTCTCTTGAAGTACAAACTTTGCTTCGACTATTGAATATAGTTCGTTAATATCCATATTAATTATAATTTAATTTATTGCAAAAGAAAAAAAAATGATCATTAAGAATGAGTTTTTATGAACAGATCATCACTGATGACAGTATTGAAATGATGGCGATTTGGCGGGTATGTGTGAACGCATAATAAATTGTTTTTCTATTTATACTATTTAGGTACTGGCTACACTGACCCGGTGTTGTTTGGAAGTAGTCAGTGACAAGCTGAGTAATAAATTACTAACCTGTTGGGTTGGCCAACACCTATGAAGGTGTCTTCACAACTTACCATAAAACGTGATAATTTACAATTTGTTCACTGTATGATTGATACAATTTAAAATAGTTGACCCATTATCATTAAACTGTAGCAAACTACGGTCCGATTAGGATTGAAATCAACTATCCGGTTAAGCTGTATAGGGAAAGTATTAAAATCGAAAATGATGATTGAACTCTGGTTAACCACTACATAATAACCACATGGTTCAACCACAGTCCTAGAATATTTCACGTTTCATGGTAAGCTGTGAAGACATCTTTATGGTATATTTTTATTCTTGTGACTTTAGAGTTTTACGATAGTACCACAAAATCAACATTATGGCTACCAAAACATATATTAATAATCGCATCCAAAAAATATTTATTTTCTTCACAAGAACTTGTATACACATGCATAGTTTCCTGCACTCCCATATATTACAACCTAAACTCCTGTATTTGAGCACATAGTTTATGGGCCCACACCAAATAGCAAATAAAGGTCAATTGGGATTAAACATGTTCCTGTGTTCAATGTAGAGGACACACACTATAGGCTAGCCCGGAGGCCAATAAAATCTGAATACGACCCTGCGTGAGTTTATGATCAATCTATGATATTATATGTTGGAGAATGTTGTCTTGATATTCCAAAATATTCCTCTGTATTTTATTACTTATTAAATTTTAATAAATAAATACTAAATTGATTTTAAAAATAATGTTATAAAATAAAAAATATAGAAACTAAATTTTCTTAAAATATTAAACCGTATAATTATGAATTAAACTTATAAATTCCATAGTTGGTTATTCATAGATAACTCTTAAAGAAAACTTAAGAACCATGTACAAAAAAAAGTCTTCAAATATCAATTAATAGAAAAGTAGTTAAAATAAATTATGCCCGTTTTTATTTTTAAGAAATTTGATTTTAAGTGTATAAATAATTTTTTTTTTGTCTTTAGAAAAAAAATATACGTATCGAGGGAAAATAATAAAAAATAAACTTCAAAATAAGATTAAAAGAAAAAAAAAGATTCATGAAAAATCCAAAAGTGAAAAAAAACCAACAGATAATATTGAAAACCTGAAAGAAAAATTATCAAACGAAAATGGAATTACAAATAGCAAGGCTAAATTAGTATTCAACCGAATAAATTTCTTAGGAGAACAAACTACAGTTGTACCACCTCCAACAAGTGCCAATGCTAAATTAGCTTTAGATGAAATTAAAACTAAACAACAAATGTATGTTGAGTTGGAAAAGTCTGGTGAAGCAGCTAAAGCTAAAGAATTAAAAGAGCGTGATGCATGGAAAAATGTATTAGCAAAAGCTGAAGGGGTAAAAGTTAAAGATAATATGGAATTATTAAAGAAAACCATTGCTAGAAAAGAGAGACAAAAAAAAGTTAGTAAAACAAAATGGGAAGAAAGAAAAATGACTCTAGAAAAAACCAAAAATGAAAAGCAAGAAAAACGTACCAATAACTTAATGAAAAAGAAACAGGAGAAAAAGGAGAAAATTAAAAAGAAAGCTATAAAAAAAGGTCGTTATGTAACTGGTGTAAATTAAGTTTAAAATAAAAATTATTTTATATATATATAAAAGGTGATCTTATATAGAAATTATAAAATGTTTTTTTTTCATTAAGCAAATCAAATTAAAATAAATTATACAACAATTATATGTAAAAAATTATCCAGGTAACTCATGTGTTCACTCATCCATTGAACTGGGGTTTCTTTGGGAATACATATGCCATGTGTAAAAACTTTAGCTGAAAAAAATTAAGTATTTTATCAATCTAAAATTATTATATTGTATCAATCAAACTTACGGTTATCCATTGACGGATAATGTAGTTTAATAAGTTCCCCTAAAGTTATTTGATTTCCATCATCTGAAATTGGTTTAACTAATGTTTGAGTCATACTAGTCGAACCTGATTGATAAAAATGTATGGGTATATGTTTAAAATAATTGCCTTCAGTTGGTTCCATTAGTTTTTTATTTTCTGACCAAAATTGATCAAATTTATCTAAAATATAATATTACAATATATTAAATATATGTGGAATAACCATATACACTACTTACCATTTAATAATCCAGTCCATAGTTGACTATGTTGATGTCGTTGCATGGTCGCAAATACTTGACTTCTGTGTTTTAACATATCAGCTTCTTTCATTGATGACATAAAATTTGATTCAACAGCATCTCTGTTAAATATAAATGTTAAGTTATTATTTACTTTTAGCATATTACTATAGTATCTTATGTTTACCGGCATGAGCATCGGATAAGTTTATCTTCTGGAAAATTATCAAAATGAATAGTGATTTTCCATGGTAAATCAACTTGTTTGTTATCAATTGTAAAAAGATCGTAAATAACACCAATGGGATAATTCCTATACAAATTAAAAACTTAATAAGTAGGTATAATTTATTTTTAATGTAAATTATTACATATTTTTAAAATATATACAATCCATAAAAGTAGTCTTAAAATAGAACATTGTGGACAACTTGTAACTCTTTATTTTTAATAATTTAAAAAAATATCTCAGGACTAAAATAAACTATGATTACAGCTTTTAAAAATTGTGGTTCCCATTAAACCATTTTTATCTTTCAGCTTAATCATTTAATTGAAATAATCTGTATTTCCTTCAAACTGAATACTACAATTTATGAGTAGGCATAATAGTTAACTTAAAACAATACTTAAGTGTAATTATTAATTATCATCTATAAACTTGTTTTATTGCCTCATCAAAAATATGGTTTATGGTAATAAATTTTGTCTGATTAGTACATTGGAAAATCATTTTTTTATTTGATTTTAAATAAGAGGAAAGATTACACTATAAGTTAAGAGTTTTTATGTGGGTAAAATTATTTTTTTTAAAAAAAATACTTAAAAATTGAATACAAAAAAAAACCTTGTGGTTAAACTATTATAGTAGTAGTATTTTTATAAATTATTAATAGGTTAAATCAGTTTAGCCCTGATTAAGTTATACAAATTATAGTGAAAATCACAAAACTATTGAATTTCAAAAAATATTTAACAACTTCACTCGGGATAGTTTTTCATAAGCAATGATTTATTGTTGGGTTAAAATATGAATAACTTTAAATTGTCCATTTTAGATTTTGAACTCCAATTTTCAAATAAAAAAGTTATTTTGAAAGGAAATCTGACTGGGGGGACAGAGAGGTTATTTTTTGATTTTCCCAGCTGTTTTCATAATAATTGGAAAAATAAGTACAGTATTGAACAATTATATTTAAAAAAATAAATAATTATTTTATCAAAATATGATAAATATATTGTTGACAAAGTATAAATATTTACCGAACTCCGCTTAATTTTTTTTTTTTGTTACCAATGATTAATTATTGCATAGATATATAATACAGTTTCCCTTTACCTTCTCAACTTCTCACCCTTAACGGTGGCAAGTGGCCCACCCACCTTGTGATGAATGTCAGTACCTTTTTTATTATTACAAATCTAATCTAAATTAAGATTAGAAACTATAATTACTATAAACTCAATATGATCAATTTTTATTTCTCCTTGCCTTTACTTTTAAAGTTTAGTTATTAAAAGTTCAGTGAAATAGCTGATAGATATATCAAAATAAATATATACTAATTAATAATATACTTCATAATAATATTTATAATTAATATAATATTATTACAGTACAAATATTTTAAATATTAACATAAATTATATGACTTGGATTTTTATATTTTGTAAATTTTGAAATATATTGTTATTAACATTTTGAAAGTAAATCAAAATAAATATTAACATTTTATTTTAATTTTACTAAGTATAAACATACCATTTTAATGGAATATCTTTATATTCTAACCACATTTCCAGTTCTTGTTTTTCTGGATCGACATGTTTCAAAAAATGTTTTTTAACCTTAAAAAATTATAATTCAAACTTAATAAAGCAAAACTAAATAATATTCAATACTCACTTAACTTAAAAAAAAAATGAATTAATTTTTGCAACATATCTAAATTATATTTTTAAAACCCAAAATCTTACTTTATCACAGACCAATGGAAAATAACTCATTCTAGGTACCATTAAATAAAATGGCTCTGGATTTTGTATACCATGGATTTCTTGTTCATCTAATTGAAAGCATACAGCTAACTTTCCATTCCATAAATAATGAAGAATTTCTGTGTCGTTTGCCATTGAAATAACAGTAAACAAACCATCCAACTAAAGTTTAAATATGAAATTTATTACACAGAACTTTTATCATTTCCCAGATACAAATATTTTTTCATTTTCTTAAACGTATTGTTATCAATGCATTTTATTCATATTTTCTGATAATACTCGCATACATAGTTATAAAGATACCACTACAGGTGGAAGAATTATCTAATCAATCATAATTTTAAATTTTATTTAGTCTTGTACAAGATGAAAATCAAGAAAGTTTAAATAAAATATGAAAATAATTAAAAATACACTAAAATTGGTCTTATTTAAGATGATTAGTCCAAATTACTTATACCACAAATTCGGAATTATACAATAGTTGAAGTGTGACAAATAGAATTATTTTGTCTAAATAAGTACTTACCTAAAAGTGAATGTAACTCATATAATATAATTCATTAATTACAATCTTCATAATATTATCTTCTCCTTGAAAATATATTTTATTACTAATTGTAACAGTCAACTATCAGTATCAGTATCTAGTATCAGTATGACACTACAGTACTACCGTACAGACATCTATACTATAATATAGTATACTACTATAGTAGAACAGTATCACCCCAACGGCATTCCACTGACACCGAGTGCTGTGTGAGCCTTATAATATCTAACGATATTTTACCGATTTATCACTTTATCACAATATCTGATTACCTAACCAAATTGGACATTTAATAAAAAAAAACAAATATTGGTTGATGTTAGATTATTGATTGATTCGAAATACGAAGTCCGAAAATAATAAGTATATTATATTTTTAATGAATATTTACTAGTTACTACTACTCAGAAGCAATGTTCAAACTAAAATATAATATGGATATGGAAATGTATCATAAGCAATTAAAATTACAATATTAGCAGTTATTTTAGATACAAAAGTACGAACATGACAAATTAAATAATGGTAAAACTATTTTGTAACGCGTAGCAAAATGGCCAAAATGAGAAATTACATTGGATATTATGATACTATTAATCATTATCACACGGCGAATAGTTGAATATTTTCATGGTAACAAGTGGTAACGTTGATTATTGGGGTACCTATATTACGGTTATAATACGTAGACCTTAGTATAAGGTTTTTGGTTTTAAAATTATTTTTTGAAATTTTTAGAGGATTTTCCATTTTAAGGAAATTTTTTAAACATATTTTTTTGCTTGGAATTATAAAAAGTATTAAAATTAGTCATTTTTCTGAAATAGGGCTGGTTGTACCTATACGTAATTCTCAAAGTTTCAAAAATATCGATAACATCTCCTATAAAGATGTAATCTAATTGTAAATAACCTCGATAACGTTACGATACGCGATAACGGCAAATAACTAATAACACGGTTATTTAAATAGATAACCGTAGCTAACACAAAACTAATTGGTTTCCGAATAGTACTCGTAGTCATCAGTCGTACATCAGTGTTCGCTTAATTGAATAGTGTTGTGTAAAATGCCAAAAACTAAACAGTCTGACAGTTGTCGATTACATGGGTACAAGATGCAAAAGAAATTTAAACAATACGTTTTAAATTCCGAGCGTTTTGAAATCAAATATAAACGAAAATCGCAAAAAAAAATTATGGCATTTCAAATTATGTATTACCGAACTGCGCTCGAAATCGTCTTTTGTCAGCAATAGTTTATCGTTGCTTACTAATATAAATGAAATAACCTTATGTAATCTACATTCCCAACTTCTCACCTACAACAGTAGCCTATTCTATTCCCAGTATCAGATCTTTTTTATATTGATGTGTTTAATAAATTATAGTTAAGTTATAAATTAAGTTATATTATTATTAAGTTATAAAGTATAATAATTTTATACATAAGCAAAACTGCACAAAATTGTGCTTTATTGAATTTAAAAACATTTTAATTTTTTTTTAAAGTATTTTTTAGTGTATTTTCAATAATGCATCATTTTTTTAAGGCATTAAGTCGTATTTTTTTTATTTTTAGGACATTAAATTTCGTTCCCTAGAAGTCACCTTTTTTAAAAAAATTTTATCAAAGATAAATTAATTATCGAAAACAAATACTCAAAATTTAACTGTCTATAAGAATTTTAGATAAACATAAAATTATTTTATTAGTTATATCCTCGATGAACAGGTAATTAAAATACCAGAAAATGTTGAATCCCTGGTGAACATTTTAACTTTCACGTCACTGAGGTAATTGACCTAAAAGTAATCTAGATGCGTACTTAATATTTTATTTTAAAATGCCAAATAATTAATGAGTTCAACATGTTTGACTTATGGAAATAACCTAATAATAATAATGATAAAATAAAAAAAAAAAAGGATTAAATACAAAGTACACGGATAATTATTATTATCCTCTGTAAACAGGTATCTCCGAAAAATAAATTTAAAAAATAATTTTAAAAACAAATTTAAAGGTAAATAACAAATGAAAGATGTTTGTAAAAATATTTTCTTATATATATATATATTATTCACACAATGAAACTGAATTAGAGTAGATATAGTAAATACATACATTTTCATGTGTTGAATAGGTCTCTCCAATACATTAATTCAGTGTCATTTTTTTTCGAGAGGAGTGGCCGTGGCTGATCAGTGATCACAGTTACATACAACACATTATAGGTATAACAAAAAAATAATAACTATTCATTTAATATATGTACACATATAAAAAACAATAAATTATTAAATTAAATTGTTAATTTTAATCTTCTAGACTTTCACAGTTAGAAAACTTTTCTTGTTCCATATCATCAACAATATTTAATATTAAAATATAATTACATCTCTATGAAAAGTTACAATGCAAGTTTTACAAGTCATGACTCAAACTTAGTATTCCTTGAATAAGTTTTCAATTTCCTTAATGATTTCCTAAATTTCTATATTTACAGTGGCTGTTGAAATTAGAAATATTGATAGTAATTTAAGAAGTGCATACATAATTACGTAAACTTTAGATTCTGAGTGGAGAGAGGAATGTATTGGTTTATTACAATGATGTTTATTTTTTTTTGATTTTCCAGAGGTTTCTATAATAAATATAAAAACAGGAAAATTTATAATAATAGGCACCAGGTTTTAAAAATTAGAACGGGTATTCTAAATGTCATTAACTTCTACACCTTTTCTACCATTGAGAAAAAATGTGTATATGCTTCACATGTAAATTTCATTTTTTTTTTTTTTTTTTTTTGGCACAATTGAGGAAATAACAGAGAGTACAAAAGGTGTACTTTAAATATATGATTTATTATACAAAAATTGATTTTAATAATTCGTGTTACTTACGAGTGTTTATAATATCAAAATTATAAAATCCAGATGTGAGCAATAGTCATGTATGAATTATGTATCGTATGATTATAAATTATATAATTTGTGTGTATTGATTTTACTATGCCATGTACTTATTTTATTTATTTTTTTGTATTTGTTAACTACTTTTTTACTATATATTTTACCCAAGTTAAAAAATGATGAAACCTATATTATGTTGCATTTTGACTGTAGTTGGTACATATAGATCATTTTTTAATAGTTTTAAAATCAAAAATTAGACAAAAGTCGTAAATGTTACTATTCCTTTCAAAACATGTATAACCCGAACTCCACTCCGAATCGTTTTTTTATTGGCAATAATTCATTAATGAGTATATATATTTACCTAACCTTCAACAAAAACATTTGCTTAAAGAAGGTAGATACTCATTTTCGGTAAAATATTTTGTACTTGAAATATTTTTGTGACTTGAATTAAATAAAAAAAAATATGTATATAAAGATATAAATAAAATTCCCTTATATATCCTGCCTTCTCAACTTTTCATCTACAATAGTAGTGGGAAGTATGTCCATATTTTGTTTTTTTTTCTGTGAATAACTTTTCTACCAGCAATTTTTGCTCCGATTTTCAAGTATTGCACTTTTTATGAAAAGAAATCTGACTGGGGTGGTACTTTAAAGAGGTCAGTTTTTGATTTTTCCAGGAGTTTTCCTAATTAATGAATAGTGGGGTATCAATCATTATTGTGTGACGACACGGTGTGCGGCTTTTTTATTATGCTCCACTATTCTGCCCCTATCTAAACTTAAAAATGGAGTATCTCGTTAAAGGATCAACACTTTAATGTTGACACCAAAATTTATTTAAAATAATACTTGGTTTATTTATAAGAAATGTTTAATATAGTTTATCATTTGGATAACCGAAGTTGGTATCGTCAAAGAAATTCCAAAAATCAAAATATGAATGTATGTAAAATTAAACCAAAAAAATGGGTGAGCACGATTACTGAATAATCCTATGTACCGCAAGCATTTTTATTTGTTTACTTGAAGTATTAATTTAAAAATATTAAACATAAGTTATATGTTTACCTATTTAACTTTTATCTCTAGTTGGTGACATCCATTTGGTTTTAATTAAAAGTATGTTGGAAATTAAAAAAAAACTAAGATCTGGAATATGATGGAGTGTGTCCGTACGTTTTTTTTGGTTTTACTCCTGATAAGTATACTTATATTTGTATGATATTTAAAATTTTGTATTTAAATATTTTATAAATGTTTAGTTTTGAAAATTTGTTAAATATATGTTTCGGGTTATTTTGAAAATATTTAAGGAATATTTAAAATTGTATGCATCAAATGTTTAATAAGTATTGGATTTGGAATCTGAATATTTGTAAAATATTTACTTGCCGTGTGGGTGAAGTGTATAAACAATGAGTTACGTGGTATACGTAACCCTAAAATGTGTATTTTGCAGGCTGAGAATATAGTGGTAGGTATTCTATTTCAGGCAGAACACACTGTATATATTATAATTCTTAAGATAAATTCTTAAACTAATTAATCGCTCACGCCTTCCAAGTAAAATCCCAGACAGTGGCGCAATCAGTATTTTTTTAAGGAGAGCGTTTTAAAAAAAACACGTTTTTTAACATATTTGAATAAATGTATATACTACTTAAACACGAACGGATGAGGGTGTCCAGAAACCCACAACATTCCCTCCCTGATTGCGCCACTGGTTCCACTGGTCTCTGGTTATTTGAACGACCGTACACTTAGTAATTCATAACCATGTGTTATAAAGGGTGAATTCTTAGCATGTTTATTGTGGTTAATTATACATAAATTCAAATCCTGATTTTTGGAATTTTAAAGCTTAATCAAAGAAGATATTTTCGAATATTTTGATTCACATTTTTCAACATATTTTTCACAACATTTAACGAGTACAATTTTTGTGGCAATACCAACTTTGGTTATTCAATGAAAATATTGTGCTTATGGTTTTACAAAGATGTTAATTTTTCTGTGGACAACATTACTACCAGTGAACTTGCTCCAATTTTTATAAGTCGCATTTTTTCTGAAAGGAAATCGGTGTAGGTGTGTGATGTACTTTAAAGAGGTCATTTTTTGATTTTCTTAAGTTTTTTCATTAAATGCGAAAAACCAAAAAAAAAAAACGGAAAAATGTACGAAATATATTTGAATTATATGATTTTTTTTCAATGGACAACTTTTCTACCAGCAATTTTGCTCCAACTTGGAATGATAATAATTTCTCTAAAAAAAAATTTCACCAGAGAAGTACTTGAGAGAAGTTGTTTTTCGATTTTCTTCGGAGTTTCATCAAAAAATGTGAAAAACCGAAAAAAAAGGATTTTCTCAGCAAATTTGAAAAACTGGGAAAAAAATCTGTGGCTGCATCTGTCCCCATTATCCTAAGAGAGAGCTTCTTTTCTTTTATTATAGCTCCTTTTCTGAAAAGAAATTTTATTTAGTTGGTGGACTAAAGTGGTTATTGATTTTCATGAGGTTTTTAAAATGATTGGAAAAAATCAGAAACAAAATTATAGGTAAGACAGCAAATATTTATGGCACGCCACGACTGTACCAATATGATTGTTTTAAATTTTTGCGAAACATGTTTTCTACAAGAAATATTACTTTAAACAAAAAATACCTGAAGGTTTTTGTTTTATTTATAATCTAGTTACTCACGATGTACCTAAGTCATTTTTTGAACTTTTAAGTAGTTTTCATAATAGTTCCGAAACACCAAAAAATGACGTAAGTTTTTTTTTGTTGTATTTTTACCCTTTTATGCTGAGTGAGATTAGTGAGAAAGTTTTTTTTTTAATAATTGAGCAAAACCGAAAAATGTAGAAAGAACTTGGAAGTTTACAAAAATAAAATAGTTTTATTGTTTTCAATTTTTTTTTTTTTTTTTGTTGTAATGTATAATTTAATTACGTATTATTGATAGGTACGAAATTGTATTTTATTTATTTTTTCTTTTAATAACAATTATATTGCGTATATAATTAGTTTAATGTGGGACTGTTTTTAGACAAACCCGTTATATGTTGAAGTATAATTGTTTATTTCATCAACTATAATAAATTAATTTAATGCTATTTTGTGTTTGATTTGTTTGTATACATAATAGGTATATTAGCTATTATTATAAGAGCTATTTGAATTGTACATTCTGTACATGTATATGATTTCCGTATCAGTTATCACGTATCGCTATACCCAGCTTGTTTAGGTATTTAGGATCAATTGGCTTTTACCGGTAAATGAAATTGGCTCTTTGAAATCCGAAGAAGTTGTTTTAGTGTATTTTGAAATTTTTAATATCTAAGACGAGAAAATTAAAGAAAATTAATATTATATTAGTAGTTAAGAACTTAGTAAAAAATGATGACAATTCTTAATACGGTTAGGAAATTATATCATTGCCTAGTAAATGTTATTTTCTAACGATAGCGAAATTCTATTATATATATTTTGAAATGTCATATTTTCACGAGTTTCGTCAAAATTATCTTAAAAACTACTACATTAATGTCCACATTTGTTTATACCACTAAGTTAAACTTACAGTGAACGTGCTCATATTAAATTTGCAAGTACTTTTCTTTGGCCAAAAAATTATATTCGCATTAAATCAAATATAATATGTATTTATAAAATATAACTAAAACAACTCTTAAATAATTATTAATAAATTAAAAATTGCCAGAATAGTAGTAGAAAAAAAAACTAAATCATATTTAAACCAATACATTCTTCGTTTCACTCAGAATTTAAAAAAGGTTTTGAGTGTAATGTAAATGTTAGTCATTTATTTGTATCAACATTAAATCAAGTCAAGTAAAATTGTTTAAATTCGTGATTCAAAATACTGAAATACTTCGAACAATGGGTGAGCTACTGTTGTAGGTAAGAAGTTGGAAAAGGGATATAGAAAGGAATTTAATTTATATATGTACGCAACGATTGACCATTGCTATTTAGAAAGTTTGGAGTGAAGTTTATTTTATACGTTTACTCAAAATTTTTTTTCACAATTATTATGAAAACCGCTTTGAAAATTACCTGCTTAAAGTACCAAGTTTGTAAAATTTCGTTTTATAAAAGGTGCTACACTTGAAAATCGTAACGAGATATTTAGCAGAAAAGTTGTTCATAGATTAAAAAAAAAAATTAACATTGTAAAACCAATACATTCCTCACTACGCTCTAAATCTAAAATCAACAAATATTATTTTCGATTAAACAAATTAATAAAATGCTTTCGTTCTGAATATAGGTACCTATATATAATATGTAATAGGTATTATATTATATAGGTATGTACTCATCCTTACACCCTTTATATAATAGATAAGTTAAGTTAAGTAGATAATAGATAAGTTTTATAGTTAATTGCTGCGTTGTATATAAATTATATAAATTTATAATGTGCTATATTAAATCTCATATATTATTATCGTGTGCCTATTATGTTATTATAACTAATAGAAGCCGAGTAAATCGCTTAGAATATAATTCTGTACGGGCAGAGTATAGGTACCTACGTAAAATGCAAAACGCAATGAATGACATTGTGTGCGTGTCGGTTGGTGTGGTGCTCGGTGGGTGGGTTCCTAAAATCTTTTCTACTTCCCGTGCGCGTATTGGATGAGTCCCGTTTGCGACGCAGTTGTGTAGATAGAGGTGAACCGTTTCTCCCGCGCTATTGCGCACGTGTCGAGGCACTAAATATTCCCCACGATGTATATATACAGAGCGTGTCAAAAATTGAATATATAAAGGAGTCACGCATTTCGATACCTATTGTTATATAATAATTACTGCGATTTAATGTTTAAACTTCACCGAAGTGTTTCATTGATGCACAATGTATAAATAGTGTTACCTGTCAGTTATCATCACATTACACTATAGATATATGCTATTATCTATAACAGATTAAATGTATAATATTCATAATCTATGCTTACCTATAATATGCTCTATAGATATATATATATATATATGAAAATAAAATTGTAGGTTTATTGTACAATATAATGTTAACATATCATTAGACTTTCCGGCCCCAAAAGAGGTTTAAAATAAACGTTCGATTTATATAAAATAAGTATACCAACGTTTTAATCGTGTTATTCCTATATAGGTATTGCAGCGGCGGACGATTTGTTGCATTCCATATAAACGCATTTTGAAATTATCATTTTTTTTTTTTTGTGTAAGTATACTAACTGCATGCATTTATTAAACGTATTTTACTAATAAATACAATGCGTATAGGTGTACAAATCATGTAGGTAACTTGGAATATGTATACCAATATTGTATACTTGCAGAGAAAAGAAAAAACGAAACAGAAATGTCGAACTAGTATATTTTGTTACAAAAGAATTTTTAAGAGAGATGGTAATCTAAAGACAGAGAGCCAGCGTGAGTGAGCGAGCATCTGGTAGAAAAGAGAGATGAAATGCTATTCGTATAAATCTTTTGTCCTGTCGTCCCCTACGTATACACAGATGTATATATACATATATATATATATATATATATAAAATATAACTACCGCACATCCCCTCCGGTGTTTGGACTACGGCGGTGGCGGCAACGTTATTATAATAATTACTCCCAGGCCGGGAATCCTAAGTGCATACGCTGGCGCGTCAGCGGTCCATTATTGGTGCGCCGCCGTTTGGGCGGTGCCTCATTGGTCGTCACTGGCGGGTGAACGGTCGGAGGGAGAGGTGGCACGCATGCGTTACACACGACAAGCCCCGGCTGACGGCACGACGAGCTGCTGTTTGGCTCGTTGGCCGCCACCCGCCATTCGTTGTCCTGTAGATTTTCGCTTCTCTTGTGTGTTCTTTGCTGTTGACGCGGCCAAACGCCTCCACCAAGTACACCACGTTAGCAGTGGGGAGATTGTCTATTGTGCGTCGTGCACTCGTGCGTGTGAGTGTACGAAAGTATTATTATCATCGGTCACCTCAAACACGAGCGGATCTATTATAGATAGTCGATTTTTCGCGTTATTTGGATCGCCTACCACTGAAGCCAGTCTCGTTACTGTGGACGCGTATTCTCAGCGTTCGCAAAGGTGAGTAATCGAGCCGCGGACTGGCATTCCGCCACCAAGAATGTTATTCACCAACGGTGTGTGTTTAGCTACTTGGTTTTTTTTTCGTATGATTGCTCACCAGCAGCCGTCGGATTGGTACCACTATGTTACTCCTCGTACCAGCCAACCACTATGTCGGTTATATTATCGTCTATAATAATTGATTATATGGTTTTTACCAAATTTAAATAATATAACACGCATACCTAATGATTGGGTACAGACGGTATAGTAAAATAGGTACATAATATTATACGGTTATATTGTGTTTATCTAGGACGCTCTGCGTATATTATCGACTTTTCGGGCGATTATCACTAAATCGTGTTCTATATTATAGTATAATACTTGGTACGACAACAGGTCAACGGTGTGAACATTATCATAATATTTATGACGTGCATATTTATGTGTGTGTGTGTGTGCCTATTTTCTGTAATATATTATTACGACCACTTGGAAATAATAATAATACGAAAGTGGTCGCGGTTGACTGAATCTCAGACTCCCAGCAGGTAGTGAATATGCGATCTCCTCATTATATGAACATACAATATATCCAAGTATAATGACATATTGCCCTACTACGTTTGCCCCCACTATCGTTGTTTTCCGTCCTTATTTTTTAATATTCGGCCGTGAGTTGATAATTAAAATTTCTCATTCGTTTTTTTATTTTTTTAACGATAAGGTAGGAGTTTGTAATATAGTTATTTATATGTTTCAATAATTACTTAAAATATTGACCATCTTGAGTGTATTTATTTTATTTGTTGGTCAATTATGTAGTATTATATAGTATGTGCACATTTAATAATATTGTGCCAATGTAGACAAATTGTATTGTCTTAATAGAGAAGAAAATCATAATTGTTTTAGCATTTAACATAATGGTACCTAATCCGTTCAAGAACAATTATTATTATATACTATAGATACAATTGTTGGAAAATAAGAACTATAATTTACTATATAGACTTATTGCCATGAAATAGTTATGTTAGTTTTGTTCTAATGATTGTTTTGATTAGGTGTAGTATTTTACTCCATATATGTTTAGTGTATAATAAACCAATAGTTAATATTATGTAAGTATATTTTTCACAATAAAAGTGTTTACCACCACCTTTTTTCATTCATACCCTAGAAATTACTTAAAAATGATTAATACTTAATTAGCAATATTAAATTAATTAAATATTGGTCATAGTTTTAAAAAAATTAATTGAACACCTAGATAGCTGTTTTTTAATATTTATTTAGTTTACATGAACAAGCTCAAAAATGAGTGATGCGTCAGCACAACAACAGCCTGCCGCCACAGACGTACAGCAAATGCAACAAGCACAGCAGCAGCAAATGCAACAAGCGCAACAGCAGCAGCAGCAGCAGCAACAGCAAAATCAACAGCAACAGTCACAACAAAATCAACAAAACCAAAATCAACAAATGCAACAGCCACAACAAATACAAGTTATGATACAACAGCCTCAGAGTCAGGTAGACATACAACAGCAACAGCAACCACAGTCACAGCCACAACAACAACAACAACAACCACAGCAAGTAACAGTTGCTAGTGGACAGCAAACTATTACTATGCAGATGTCAACTGATGGATCTAATGGATCCACCGTTCAACTTCCTCACTCGTCGGCACCAATGACCACAATAGAGGTAAGTATTTATTTTTTCAAACAATGTCTAGAAAATAAAGAATTATATTATTTATTTTTTTTTTAGACTTCTGGTCAAATGCAAATTTCCACTATTCAACCGCAGCAACAGCAACAGGGCCAGGTACAAATTTCGAGTATTCAAACTCAACAGCAAGGTCAAGTCCAACAGCAACATGCTATGCAGGCGCAAACATCCACACAACAGCAACAGCAGCAGCAAGCTCAAATTCAACAGATTAACGATTGGAGTCATGGCCGCGTTCAGTTAATTCAGCAGGCTGGTCCACAATTTGTACAGTACAACGCACAAGGCCAACTGATCATGCCAGGAACAATGTTGCAACATCCAACCTCCGGTGCTATACAGGTGATTGCAGCTCCCAATAAACAATTCCAGTCACAACAGATGCTCACCACTGCTCATGCACACAAACAGGTAATATCACAAGGACAAGCAACATCGTTTCCAGCTGGATATGCTGCTATACCGACCACTACCAATCAGACACTTGTCATTGGCCAGTTAGGGGTTATTAGTAGTCAGCCAAATATGAAACAAAATGAAATGCAACAAACCGTACGTATCATGGATTAATTTTAATATGTTTTGTTTCATTTGGATTTTTTTTTTTAGTACACCAGTTGTGCTACAGGGAGGACAAACGCTCAGACTATGCAATTTTCGCCCTGGCAGTTTAATACGTCACTGCCTCAAGGAATTACTTGGGCACCACAGCCTCAAGCATTATTAACCACTCAAAATCATCCGATTTTTATCAGAGGTTAGTTATTAAAGATTTATTATATATAAATAAAAATGTATACATAAAAATAAATAAATGTCATGTTTTACATTTTTGTTGTGTTATACATACCTGATGATGGATTTTAAATTCGAAATAAGTATAATTTTATCATAATACTCTAGGCGACACATTTCTTTATTTATTTATTTTTTATATACATTTTTACAATTTTTTTTTTTTTTTAAAAAGCTTTTGCATGCTTAATTTTGACAGTATTTACAAAAGAAAAAGTCACTCAAAGTCCTTTGAAAATTATTTTCAAAATGATTGATTTTCCAAAACTCATGTTTTTAAGTTTAAAATACCATAAATTTAAAAATATAGAATTGTTTTTTCTTATAAATGTTAGTATGTTTTTGCTCAACATTTTGGTGGAATCAAAATTTACCATGCTTTTTATGTTATTTTTGACTACGTAAAACTTAATTAAAATATTATTTTATTATCTTCATGTAAAAGTAAAAATATCTTTAAAAAAAAAAGTTGGGAGGGCTAGTTACATATATATGTTATTAGACATCAAATGAAAAAAAGTAAATTTTCAGGTATTTTAATATGGTAATGTTTTAAATGACTATAATTAAGTTGTTTGTGGTTTTTTTTAGCAATATTAAATTCTGATTAGGACAAAATGTTGAGTATAAAAATACTAATATTTATAAAAAATTCCAAATTTTTCCTTTTTGGATTTTTTAAACTTAATACCAGAATTTTGAGATATTGAACATTTTGGAATTCTTTGACCATAAATTCCAATTCCAAAGAAGGTATGAAGGACTTTTTTAAAATGCCATCAAATGAAATATGTAGTAATATAAATTTTGAAAAAAATAATTTTTTGGGAAACCAAACTACATTTATGCCACATCTAATAATATACGTTTTAAATCTATGATTCTTTTTCACTAAATTAAAAAAAAAAAAAAAGAAATTAAAACAAGCATAAATGTTCCAGTTTTTCTTTTCTTCTTGTTTTATTTTATTATATTAGTAAAAGTAAAAAAAACACATAAACTTAATAAAATTATTACCAGAAACTATTTGTGAAGTTGATGATTGGAGCAAGATTTCTGGTTAAAAAATTATTACAGTTCAAAATCATAATAAATTTTATAGTATAAATTCATCAAATTTTAACGAAATAATAATTAAGATAAAAATTAATAAATTAAGTTAATATGTATGTTAGATTATTATCATATGTTTTATTTTATAGGTGGACCACAACAAGATGGTCAACAACAACAAGTACAAACTCCTATGTTTATACAGAGTCCTCCACCCCAACACCTTCAACAACACCATGGTCAAACTATGGTACAAACCAGTGGTGGTGTCATGCAAAACATCGGACAAATGGTTACTGGTACTACAACTACTACTATAAAATCACAGCGGGCTGATATTCAACCTAAGGTAGTTCCGGCGCCTAATAGTATGGTGAATAATAGACAACTGTCCATATTACCGTCGGTACATTCAATTCGCCCAAATGCTACTATTTCTACACAAACCACTACTGGAATACAGCACTTGAATCAGATGCAAAAAGCTCAAGTTAAAGTCAGACCCAAGACTGGTGTTCGTCAAAGTTTTAATATAGCACCCCATAAATCAGATGCTGCAAATCAGACTAATCAAACCAAAAGTATACAGTCTCCTCAGCAAACTATAAACGCCAATAAGTAATATTATAAAATGAATCTGTAAACAATATTTACTATTAATTATTTTTTTTTTAGAATGATTTTAACAAGTACTGGACAACTTGTACCACAAATTCAACAACAGCAAACTGTACAAGTACAGCACTTGCAACAACACCAACAGCTACAGCAACAACAACAACAGCAGCAGCAGCAGCAACAACAACAGCAACAGCAGCAAATAAAATTAGTTAGCATGCAATCACCAAATCATCAAATTGTAAGTATGCAGTCTCCTCAAGTTGCGTATCAACAACAGATAATCAAACCCAATACAAATGTAATGAGTATGTCCATGAATTCACCACAAAAGATACAAATACATCAGCTGCAGCAAGGCCAAGCTATTGTTAGTAATCAGCCTCAACAACAAATTACTATAATTGATCGTCCTGTTGTACCAGTTGTTTCATGTGCCCCCCAGGCACCAACACCAACACCAACTCCAACGCCAACTCAATCTCAGATTTCACCGCAACCCCAAGCAACAGTATCAATGCCACCACCGACCAAACCTGATGAATCTCCCAAAACATCTGCTATACAAACTCAGGAATTTGTAGCAGTTTCAACACCAGAAACGCCTAAAACAACTTCAGCTGTTTCATTACCTGTTACATCTAATGAAGATAATACTAGAGATAAGGGATTACCCAAAGCTTTAGTAAAACCACAAATTTTAACCCATGTTATTGAAGGTTTTGTTATTGAAGAAGCTGATCAACCATTCCCTTTTAATAGATCATGTACATTCGTTGATATTACAAATAATACACAAGATAAGGAAACTAATAAATTGGATGATGAACCAGCAAGTAAGAATGTTTTTTTTATTTATTTTAACTTGATTTCATTGATTTTGTAACTAAATATTTGTTTATAAAGATAAAAAAAGTAAACCAGATAATAACAATCTGGAGAAAAGCAAATGTGACTTTTGTGGGAAATGTCAAGATCTGCAAAAATTTAAAATTAAAAAAAAATCAAAACGCTTTTGTTCTCAAGAATGCTCAAAAATGTTTGAAAATAATTCAAAAGCTGGGCTAGTTGACAAAAAAAATGGGAAAAATTGGGTATGAGTGTTTGCAATAATAGTTTATATAACGTGTAAAATTAATTTAAGCACTTTTAACTAGGAATGCGAAAGTAACGGGTCAGCTGGTGATTCTAGTAATACTAGCACATCAATTGATTTGCCTAATCGTATGCAAATTGATTCTGATGTAAAAATGGATTTGATTCCAGAATCAGCTCCCATAAATCCATTAACATGGACCGTAAGTTTTAAATATTTTGTTTTAAGATGTATATTATAGTATCTGCTTTATTTAACATTTTAGGTGAAAGATGTACGAAAGTTTATTGGTCAACTAACTGATAGTGAAGAAATAGCAGCAGATTTTGAAAGTCATGAAATTGATGGTCAAGCTCTAATGTTGCTTAAAGAGGATCATTTGATACGAGATATGTCTATGAAACTAGGACCGGCATTAAAAATATTTGCCAAACTAGATGCTATGCGAATAGAAAATCCTGAACTTCAACCACCAGCTACTTCTCAATAATAAAAGACTGTCTCTCGTACAAACTTATACGTTATTTGACGTTAAAATATCAATATCATAATTTGATTTTAACATTTCTAAATGTTTGTTCCATCCATTTGGTATGCACATTATTCATGTACATATTGACATTTAAGACTTATTGTAACCATGTCATATTTACATACCTATTTTTATTTGTTGTTTTTTTTTTTTTAATATTCGTAATATTTTTACTAGTCTCATAAAATTTCTTATTCATAAACTTTTTTGAGAAATTATTTTATTTATATCTACAGTGTAGCTAATAAATTATATATATATATATATGTATGTATAATTTATTATGTGAACTGTTTCTTGTACCTCGTGTGTTATATTGTATCATTATTTTTTTACTTTTTACATATTTTAGTTGAAATTTCGATTAATTTGAAGAATAACTGTAATTTAAAGCTAATTTTAGTATTATTAAATTAATTCTATTTTCATGATGATTAATTTTAATTTATACTTGCTGAATTAGTAAATTCAAATTGGGTCTTATGTGTTATATATAAAGAAAGGTTTTTCATATCATTTCTCCAAGCTGTTCTATTCTATTAAATTAAAATGATTAATTTTTTGGTTTATTATTTAGTATACTTTTAAATATATATATATATATATACATATATACTATAACTGTAGAACTTATGTTATATTCATGTTTTCTTTATATTTATTTATGCTTATATCTTATTGGTTTGTTAAGATCTGTGTTTGTTTGAGAGAACCAATAGAGCTAGTTCATTTGTATGCTTTAGTTAATTGGTGTATTATACAATTTAAAACAAAACATTAATTATTTATTTAAGGAACAGGTAAGTTTAAAATTTGTATTATTTTAAAACATGTATAACTGACACTAGAATATAAAAATGAGACTGTAGATTTAAATTGTATATCTATTGTAGTATTAAAAATGAAAAATAATATTATATATGAATATTTGTTTGAAAAAACAAATCACTGTGAAACTTCCTTTTAAAACCATGTATGAATTAAGTATTTATGTATTTAATAAATTATTATGAACTGTATTTTCAGCGTTTAAGCAATGTAAATTAATTTGATGTATTATTTATTTTTTTAATGTATCTTCAATACATTAACAAATACAATTTTTATATTTATTATATTAAGAACAAATAAGTTTAATATTATGTAAAGCTACATTTTAGTCATTGTGTTCATTCTACTTTTAAAAATATAAATAATTGTAAGCTTGATATTTTAGTTGTTTTTATTTAACTAATATTTGTACACATACAATAACTACATTTGTATTATATATTACAGGAGCATGCTCACAACAATAGGAGGTGTCTTTTCCCCACATTGATATTTTTTTTTTTAAATTTTAATTAATTTTTGAATTTCTTGCAATTTTTTATTGATATTTTTTTTGCGATTATTCAATACATAAATAAATCTGTTTTACAAAGTTACATCATTATATTGTACTTTTTGTAATAACTTTTTAAAGTATTATAGATTTGAACTAATTTCTACCTGAAAATTAGTTTAGTGATTATAACTATTAACTAGAGTAATTACATTCAGATTAAATATAATATACAAACACGTTGAACATTCATTGTTTTCTATTTCAAACACATGCTTAAATTTATCTATAAGTCCTTAGTGTTGTTTGTATTTCATGCATTTATATAAGTCAAACATGCATTTCCTTTTTAGGGGAACTCACTTTTAATGTCATTGATTCCATTGTCAATATGTAAACTTGCTAGGTAGATTTACAATAAATAACACTCATAATATTAATACATTTTTAATGGTATTTTAAAATTAAAATTTGATATTTATTTGAAGATGGTACATATAAATATACAATTTATATATATATTTTAAATTTTGAGTAGAGCAAGGAAAGTATTAGTTTTACATGTTTATTTTTTTATGTGTACAACTACCAGAAATTTTGTTCAGATTTTCAAGTGAAAAAATGTTTCTGAAAATCTGACTTGAATGATACTTTTAAGAGATCATTTTTTGATTTTCCAGGAGTTTTCATAATAAATGAAAAAAAAAATGGGAAAATTTACGAAATTTATTTTCAAATCATAAATATTATGGTCTTTTCAAAACATGTATAACCAAACATGCTCAATATTAATGAACACTATTTTTTTTTTGTTTAAAAGTTTTTAATACACATATTTTAAACATTTTATATACTGTGTTTAACATGTATAAAATTGAATATTACATACAACATTACAGTTATAATATTTAATAAATATTGTGTACATAAATAAAAACAAAAATCATATGAACATTTTTTTTTTATAATTACAATATTTTTTGTAGTAATAGTTGAATTATTAATATATAATTTTCTGTACCTACCTTATTTACCCACATATAAGTGACACATTAACATTAGTATACATAGACATACAAATGGTAATTGTTAAATTTGTCTAATTTTTTTAAATATATATCCATTGACACATAATTAAGTTTTACATTTTTTTTTTTTTTTTTATTAAAAATAATTTCAAAATTCAAATTTTTTTAAAAATAAATTATTAATAATTAAATTTTGATATAAATAATATATGGCAATTAACTTAAAATAGGTTAAAGAAGAAATTACTATAAAACCGAAAAAATGTAATTTTATAGAGATATTATTTAAGCAGTCTTTTTACAGAAAGATTAGATCAGAGGTTCTCAAACTGTGATTCGAATACCACAGGTCGTACATAAAAAAGTGGTAGTAATTCAGAAAACTAATTAATACATATTTGTAGAAATATTATGAATAGATCTATTACTATTTATATTTTTAATTTTTATAATTTTAATTATATTGTATTGTTACTATAAATAGTTTAATTTTTAGTTATAATTGGTAAGTGACATATCCATAATATATATAAGTGGTACACGAAAAAAAAAAGTTTGAGAACTTTCTAAATTATTCCAAACAAAAAAAACTATAAACATTAGATATACAGTTGAACCTACAAAGCATCTCCAGTGATATTATAAATGCATATAAATAGTATAAAGCATACTATTTAAAAGCAAAATGTTTACAAATCTTTTAAAAAACCGAAGTTAATTGAAACAATTTTACTGATTATATTTAAATACATTTTGAAACCAAAAAAATAAATCATAATTTATGATTTATTTTATCAATGAGTACTGACTTAAATCGAAATCAAAGAAAATTGTTTTTAGTACTAATTTTAAATAGATCTTGCAATTACCTATATATTTATATCAGGTACTCAAAAAACAAGAATCTCAGTTTCAATGCTTAGTTATGAATTTATGAAAATATTATCCATGTAAAATATCATAATATTAAATTCACTCCTCACTCACAATTTATTATTTAGATCAAAACAAAATATAATAGTTACATAATATACCTACATAATTGTATGTATGTAAAAGATAAAATAAAAAAAAATGTATATTAGTTTAAGTATAATTCAAATAAAATTTTCTTTTATATTAATATCATTAAACCAATAAACTTAAATAGTTAAAACTATATATCATTCATTATGACAAATAGTTTAAAAGGTAACTATAATTATTTATATAATAAATATAATTTGATATAAATTTAGATAATATGTAATATTGTAATAGTCTTATACATTAATAGTATTTGGTGACTTTATTTGAGATGATATAGATGGCCTGAATGTGACATATGTGTAGAACAGGCTACCAATAACACTAATATTAATACCGATGAAGTTATTTAATGTGTATACATAGTCTCCACCAATAAACATGCCCATATAAGTAACAAATATATTTTTAAGACATCCAATTATTGTTGTTGTTAAAGCCGAATTGTATTGAGTACATAACATTATACTATAGTTTAAAATGAAGCCCATAACAGATGAAATGAAAATTTGGATTAAAAAGGCTGGGTGCAACCAGTAACTGAATCTGAAAATAAATATAATAATAACCAAACCATGTATTTATTAATATCAAATACAATTAAAGGTACCTGTATACTTTATCTAGATCCCCAGAAAAATACACCAGTATTAAAGCGGGTGGTATCATAAATAACGATGAATAATACATCAGTCCATATGTGCCCATTTCTTTTTTGGAATTTAATTTTTTCTTTGTGAATATTCCATTTGCAGCAGTTAGAAAATCGTTGAACAGTACAAATATATATCCATTGAAATTGAATCCTAAGTCATTACTAGCGGCTATAATAGCACCAGAAACCATCATGCCTACAGATATCTTAACAGAGAACTTGGGTCTAATATTAAGTAAATAATATTCACCTAACATGGTTATTAATATAGAGAAACGTCTTAACATAGTGAACATAGGTAAACTTAATTCTTTGGTGCCACCTAAACCGAATTCCATATTCCCTAAATAAATCAAAGGCATTGGAAATGTATCTTTAAATGTATGTTTATTAATATCTGGAAATTTTAGTTTTCCAAGACTTTTAGCTAAAAATAAGACAAATATTGTCATAAACATTTGACATATGGCTAAAAATTGAAAAGACGGAAATCCATAGCTAGTTAAGACAGATTTATTTACTACAGTAATTAACATAGACGCACCTGCATAAAACAATGCTGTACTGATTTTTGTAAATGATGTAATTATTGAAGATTCTTCAATTAAAGATTCTTCTTCCTTTGCGTTTGTGTCTAACATATTTAAAAGTGTACGAGGTCAAGCTATCATATTTGGACAACACACTAAAACAAAAATATTATGAGTTGTTAAAAATTTGTATTAAATAATAAAATAATATACATTTAAAATTTACCTGAATCGGTATTTTAGATATAATTAAACGATTTACATAGTGATACAAAAATTTGAATCATTCACAAAATTTATAAGAATCGATAAATCAATAACTAAGTAAACTCAAGTGAATCATTTTTTTGGTATTTATTTTCTAAGAAACAATTTAGCAATAATTTTTGACACTCGTGGGTCTTGAAGTACTTAAGTATTAATATAAACTTGTTATTTTACAACTCAATTACAAAAGATCAAGTAGGTACTAAACAAACGAAATAATCTAAAAGACGATCAGTATATAGGCTTTAACTATCTACATTACATTTTTAACTATAACGATGTAAACTAATCATGTCTAATATCTTTTTACCACGATTAAATAGATAATAATTTATTATCCAAATCTGTATGTACAATAGATAATTATTAACTGATAACTTATCTGTAATTGGACAGGCACACCAACATTTTACGTACAAATATATTTTTAAAACCATGATAACTGAACGACAACTTCAATGAAAAAAAAAGAGCTGATAGCGGAACGAGTATGCGACTGTTCTAAGTGGAAAGTCAGGAAGTTAGAATCATACATACTTGGGTATAGGATACTCAAAGTAATTTAATTTATATTTGTAAGAAACAATAACTTTTTCTAACAAAGAACTATTCGGAACGAAGTTCGATTTTGAAAGGCTGTAACATTAAAACTTTTAAAAACCAAATTAAACTCAATTTTAGATTCTGAGTGGAGCGAAGAAGCTTATGGTTTAACAAAGATATTTATTTTACTTTTCTACAAGAAATCTTGCTCTGAATTTTAAGTGTCTAAGAAGTTTTTCCCAATAAATGGGAAAAACGTAGGAAAAGCAGGAAAATAGGTAAAATGAACCTCCTGTCAAATGTTTAAGTATTTCTGTTTAGTCTAATAATTTAATCCACAAAATACCTACTGAATCAAAATTACTTAAAAAACTCTCAAAATTTAAAGTCTATCAGTAGCTCAAAAATCGCTAAAATTTTATCACGTCCAGAAAAAAAAAAATATAAAGTGTTGTGTCAAAATTTCAAATCTACAAATATTTTTAACTGATTTACAACAAAAACAATATTTAAAATAATGAATTTGAAACGCCGTAAATTTGTCAGTTATCATTTTATGTTTTTTCATCGGGTTTTTCTAATTATTAATAAAACTACAGAGAAAATTGAAAAGTGAATTATTGTATCACAAACCAGATAAAAAATTCAATAAAAAAGGTAATAATCGTTTTGGGTTCGGAACGGAACAATAAGGTATCGAATCTATACTGGTTTTACCTACTATGTGTTGTTTTTTTTTCTGTGAACTTTTCTATATAATCTGAAAGGAAATTTTGTGTAGATAGTCGCAGGCTCATTTTTATGTGAGCTTTTAAAAGTTTGTTTTTACGTCTGTGAACATATTTTTTATTTGAAATCTTGCTCTAATTATAAATTTAATTGTGGTTTCTGGTAACAAATTTTGTCTAGTTGATGTGTTGAGAAGTCATTTTAGATTCTGAGCTGTGCAACCAAGGGAAGTGTCCAGGATTTTGTTTTGGGAGTGATTTAAATATTTTAATGTTAATTTTAAATTTACAATTACATTATAAAAATGAGTACCTAAGTAAAAATCTATATTACTGTATAGTTACATAAAAAATCATAATATTTTTGTATGTGATAGGAGCCTAGCTTTTCTAAGATGGGTGGTGGAGTTCTTATCGGTATCTTAGAAATTTCCCTTCTGTATTGATCCCCTCCTTCTCAAATATTGGACAATTCTTTGTTTCTTTTTGCATAGAGAGTAAAAAAAATTTAGTAGTGTTTATAACCCTCTTCTTAGCCCTTTCAGTTTAGAATTCATAATGTACATTTTATTTTTATGGTCTCTACTCATTTATAAGTTTACAGTAAAAAAATTTGTTTTATTATAAAGTAGAATACTTTGCAAATTCAATGCCCAGTTTTATTTTATTCATTTACTATTCTATAGTGAAATCAATATCTTAGATAATTTTAAGAAAATAGGACACAATTTTGTTGTGACCAACAATAAAAAAAAAGTTAAAAAGATATTTATTTATTAAATTAATCAGGTTGTGAAACTTGTTTAAAATGCATTATTTTAATCACTTTGTAATCCTGGAATGAATAAATATGTAGCTAATATATCATCATATATAAGGAGGAATGCATTTTTTTTTTTTAACATTTTTGATATTTACTGTAAAAATTGTTGAACAATAAAAAACCTAGAAAAATGAATCACATTTATATAAAAATTACAAACAGCACTTTCTAATTGTATACTTTTATCATTTTCTATGCTGTACTTTTTTTTCACTGTCCATAAATTTTAAATTTTTGTATTGTTTAAAACGTTCGCAGTGGATGATGTCTTAGGGCGTCATTCAAATAATTATTTTCAATTGGTTTTAATTTGGCTGGCGTTAAATTTCTTTTATCATTGTTATTCGGGGTATAATTCTGTATGTGTGTTAAATTTCAAATTTTCCCCAACAGGCGTCATAAAAAAAAAAACACGTAATTTTGACCAGTGCCGGGGGTATACAAAATTGATCCTCAGCGAACGTGTTAATAAATCATTTCGTAAAGTGAATTGTGAAGATGTACTAGTGATCATATGTTTATTAATTTATACTCATAAAACATATTTTAATAATTCTTTAAATTCATAAATAAGCCAATCATTTTAACATGTGGGTAATATTAAAATAATACTATTATTATACATAGAATGAAAAAAAAATCACGGGAGGAGAAAATATATCACCTCATTTCTCCTCTAAAAAGTAGCTTTGAAATTAAATGTAAAGATGTTATTTTATTATATTTATATAAATTTGAAAATCACATTGCAATAAGGATTGAATATTGAAATAATTTTATGTTTAAAATTAAAATTAAATGTATACAACAAATCATGCCACTTTATGTACTAACCACAAACAATTAGGATACAATTTATAGAACTTATAACAAAACATAAAACCTGTTACTAAATAGTACACATTATTATTATCATTGATCACCATAACAAGAAACGACAGTTCAGGAAAAAAACTAATACCTACAATTAGTACAAATATACAATTAATTATTTAAAATTATTCACAGTTTCTATAATACATTTAATTATGTTTAAAATTACTTCCTGAATGTTATATTCATAGTTATTTTTATTATAATTTAAATTTAAAATAATTGCTCAATTTTTAGAACTTTAAAATTATAATTAAAAAATGAGAAATTGAATATATATCTACCAATTAATTTTTACATTGAATAATAAATTTGAAATAGAAAATGTGGATTATACAAAGTAATTACAGTAGTAAAAAAAATGTTAATGATTTGACATTCATATATTTATATCTAAATATAAAAAGGTAATTTTCTACCCTTAGAGGATGGTATTGCACCATTTTTTCGAAGTCGTCGAACAGCTTCTCTTAAATGCTTAGGATGTAGTGGTCCTGAATCACCTTGGGCTTCCATTATGTCAAGAGCTAAATAATAAATACTCACATATACTGTAATGTCTAATATAAAATAGATACAGTTGCATAATAATAGTAATTTGGGATAAGAGGTTGTCATTATTTAAGAACTATATAGATAATATTTTATGAATAACTTTGAATTACCTTCTTCAACTATTTCACCAATAAAAACTTTTGCAATACCAGACATGGCAATGACAACATTTTGTGAAACAGAATTTCCTGTAATAGTTTGTACAATCTAAAAAGCAAAATGGTTATTATAATTATAATATCACTAATTGCACAGCAATACACAAATATAACACAAACTCTTTTGATTGCTGCTTTTGGAAACACTGATCTTCGAAACATTTCATATCTATCTAATTGTTCTTCAGTGAAATTTGAAACAAGAACTCTAGAATAATAATTTAATATTAAAATATAAAATACCTAGGTAGTATTATGTAAAAAACCTCATTTTCTCTCTTTCTTCTGCTTCAATTTGTTTTTTACTTTTATCTTTTTTTTTCTTTCCAAATGGGTCTGAAGTAAGATTTTGGCTATTTGATCGTTTTGGTTCTGGAGCTAAAAACAAATCTTCTTGTGAGTAATCTCTAAAACTAGGGCTTTCACATTCTTGTTTCTTATTAAAAATTATATTTTCCATTTTTATTATAAAAATATCTAATATTATATTAGAACTAAAGTTTAGTATAAGTAATGAGATAAAAATATAAAATATTGCAATGTAAATTAATAAGTAAAAATAAATTTTACTAGAAAATAAAATGAAAAAATGTATAATAAATACCAATAATTATTTAGTTAATTTGATAAAGAATTGAAATGTAATAATGATAAGTTACATACAGTGTAGCCGGTGTCAAAATTAAAATTGTTTAAATTTTACTTTTATTCAGGAATATATCACAGATAATAAAGATTGCAGTAAACGGCCACCTAGATCTAGAGAACTTAGATATCTAGGCTCTCTACCTAGATTCATAGAGTAAAAGATTGTTTTACTACTTTTGCCTATATCACCTTCGTCTTGGCATTGAGTTAGTACCAACATGATTTTTTCTAAAAATATGAAAAGAGAATTTTTATTTCTTATAATATAAAATATTGGTATTTAGTTAGATTAGATTAGATCATCGCGATGGCAACGCGATTTTGTTTTTGGAGCCGGTTAACACGGTTTTAGCTTAAAAACTTATTTGTTTTGCTATTATTGAAGAATTGACCGTGGTGCATTGGATAACACATTATTGGTAGGATCTGCATTATCGACATCGATAATACTATCCAATGTGCAGTAAATCTGTACTCTTTTTGTAAAAGAAAACACGAGTCTAGTTTCAATGTGTAATTTAAAGATTTTTATTTTGCCCTGAGGTTCACTTTAATCGATTTTTTCCTTAAACTTTACTTACCCGACGTGGTTATGCACAACAAATCAAAGGTTATTTTCGATTAAAATAGTCCGAGTGATCTCACTAGGTTTCTAAGTGCCCCCAAAATGCATGTTTTCAAAAAAAAAAAAAAAATTAAAAAAGGTAATTTGTTAAAATAGACTTGTATCATTGTGGTGATAAGTGATAAAAAATTTATGAAGATAAGGAAACTTTATCGATGACTAGTCGTGTTAACCGACTCTAAAACAAACTCGCGTTGCTCTTGCGATCATCTCGTGATTTGAAGTGTTGATAGGTTTTTGGTGTTAGATATCAAACGTTATCACAGATAAATGTCACTTATCAGAAGTAGATAATGTACCTATACATATATTTGGTTCCAAAAATAATTTTGAAAAATAAAGGACTCCCCCAATGGGTGAAACTTGCACTTAATATTACAAATACAGATATTATTTATTCATATACCCTTACTGAGTAAGTATGAAATCGAGTATTGTAACTGTATGTTTGTAAAAAAATATATATATAATAATAATAATTTATTTATAAATTTATAATTATTATTGGATATCTAGTCAAAATGTACAAATACTCTACAGTCACTTACATTTCCCTCCCTTCACAAATTTTAAAATATGACATTTTTCTTGGTCCAATCGTTAGTAGATATCCCATAAGTATATTAGGTATAAAAGATAATTAGTTATCTTTAAAATTAAAATATACAAAACTACTTTTCTCTGTGAACTCAAAGTTGAATGAACCGTCTCAATTTATTTACTTTAATAAAACTGTGTATTATATACTGTTATGAATAGTTGTAGAGAACGAATTATTTTAATTCTATTTACAATTATTGTGTTATTAAAACTATTTATTTATAATATTAATAATTATTAAATTTTATTAGATTGGTCTACATATTTTGTTTTATAATTAATAATTATTTAGATAATTCTTATGGTTTTAAATTTAATGAAGGATGAGTATAGTAGATTTAATTCAGAAAATCTAAGTTACTGAAAAGTCACGTAATTTTATAGTTATACAACATTATATTTTTGTCAGATTTTTCAATATTTTTGAATTATAGTGGTTAGTCTTATTGGGGATAGTAACAATTTTATTCTACTATCCAATACTAACAGGATATTAACGATTAGGCCAAAAAAATGCTAATGGCTGACTGTACCTATGGACGGATCAAATATAATATAACGGAGGGAGAAGGAAGTGATTTTGAAAATGCATATAAAACACATATTTATTAATTAAATATGAATTTGTGTTGTAGTCTTGGTTGGTCCTCTTATATTTTATATGACATGCGACGTCTTGATAAAGTTCAGAACCGTTTTCTGAATTTTACTAGCTGACACCTAGGTACCCACGACCCACGACTATAGTAATGTCAATGATTTTCTCATACTGAAATCTTTAACCGAACGCCGTAATATTTCCAGTTATCGTTTTATTAATTGACTTATTAAAGAAGCTATTGATGCACTCGGTTTGTTAGAACGACTTGACATTCGCGTTCCTGGTTGTACCAGATCTAAGGAATTATTTTACCTACCACTAAGTCACATAAATTTTGCAAAAAATTCTCCTCAAGTTAGTATGATGTTGGTTATCAACAATAAGCTATAGTATTTTTGTACTTTAACCAACATCTACATCTCATTTTACTTGTTATTTAATTTTAGATATTGTTCTATTTGTTGTGAAATTAATTAAACGTTAAGTTTATATGTAATTTAAATATTATAATGTTATGTTATTTAGTAATTCTAATATTTTTCTAAAAAGCTGCTTGGCGTTCTAATAAAAGAAAATAAATAAAAATCAACAATTAATGGCAAGTATTATTTTCAATTTTTTTTTTTTATTGCGATTTAGCAAAAAATATTTGTAGACTTGAAATTTAGATAGAAAACTTATATTTGCTTTTTCTAGAAGTGATACATTTTTAAGCTATTTATAGATATTTAAATTTTGCGAGTTTCCATGAATTTTTGTTCCATAGGTACTTCATAGATAAAAGTTGTACTAGATCAAACAGAAATACTTGAAAAATTTAATTAGTTGATTTAGGTTGTACTTTGTAGTAAAAAAAAAAATGAGGAGTGGTTTTTTTTTATAAGAATTTTAATATCAAATTTTGATGTAAATCATACATATTACGATCTTTCAAAACTTGTATAACCAAATTCCGCTCAGAATCGTTATTCATTAGCAATGATTAATTGTTGCATACAGATATACCTACATAAGTTCTTTCTATATCCTACCCTCCTAACTTCTCACCTACAATAGTGGCCCACCTGTTGTGCGACGTTTATCCGTTCTTTTTTACTAACACAATTTTAATATCAAGTAGATAAAAAAAAAAACAAACCTATAGTCACAATATACCTTGAATTATTAATTTTTTTACGTTGGTTTGAAATTAATAGGGTTTAGAGTAGTACTGGATGACAGGGACTAAGGATAAGTAAGCAGTAAAACACAGTACCTACGAGTTTAAAGGAATAGTACAAGACAGCTACAAATAGTAAACGGATATAGGTGAGATTTAGAGTTTTAAGTACCTTTGATTTTTGTACAAAAGAACAATGGCTTTTTCAGAGAATATAAAACATAGGATTAAGTGGAGAAGTGTCTGTTGTTGTGTGTGACAAAATAATTCCCATAAGACTTAGAGTTAAGTTGATATGGCCGATTATATTGTATGATTTGGAGTGTTAGGTGGTAGACAGACAAATAGAACAGAGGATGAATTTAGCAGAGATGAGAATGCTTTGATGGATGTGTGGAGTCACTGGAGTGACAAGAGAAGTTAGGATAAGGAATAAGTGTCTACATAAGGTGTGGCTTAGGCGTGCCTTCAAAAGTAGACAAGATGAGAAAATATAGACAGATAGTTTGGGTATGTCACAAGGAGAGAGGAATCCAAAGTAGTATTAAGAATTGTAATAAAAATAAATATAGTTGGAAAGTGGTAGAAGGGAAAACTGAAAAAGAGGTGGTTGGATGCAATTAGAATGAGTATAGCATAATGAGTATGTGAGGTTGGATCAAATCAAGTGTTAGTTTAGAACAAGGGTGGCTGACCCTAGATATTTGAGATGAAAGCGAATGAGACTTAATTCTATGTTTCACATCTATATCTACCGTTCTGTTGCACAAAAGATCTTATGTGGTACTTAAAACTTTCAACTCTATAAGGTGATCGAAGCACCAGGTCCGCTAAATCTTTATATGTCTTCATATGAAGACATTTAAACATTCTAAACTCAAATGAATTAATTTAACTATTAAGTGTTAAACTGTGTAATTTGGAAATTCTATATAATCCATAATACATCTTAAAATCAATAATTTTATGTAATAAAAAGTTAACCAATTTAATTCATTTAAATAATATTAAAAGAATGGCCATACTTTGTATGTGGGTGGACCACTATTATAGATGAGAAGTTGGGAAAGTAGTACAAGGAAAATTTAATGTATATATGTACGCAAATATTAACCATTGCTAATGAAAAAATGATTCTGAGTGGAGTTCAGTTGATAGTGTTGCTTTGTCAAAAATATCATACTGTGGTAAAATAATTACATATGCATTATGTATTTTCATTAATATTTGTTTATTTTTTTTTATACAAATATATATATTTACGGGCTAATGCCCAATTAGGGTACATAACGTAAAATTTTTTTATTAATTTAAACGGGGTGAACTCAATAACAATTTTTATTGTTATTACAATTGTGGACTTAAATCTATTTAAATGATTGACAGTAAAAGTATATAAGAGTATGAAAAATAATAATAATACTTGAAAACAAACAAGATTACAAAATAGTAAAAAAATAATTTAGGTGACAAAAAAAAAAAAAAAAAAATGTAAGAAGAAAAAATTTAAAAAAAAAAAACATAATTTATAAATAATAAATAATATAATTACAAAAACATACAAAAGAAAATATTACAAAATATTGTCTATTTTCCCAGCTATTAGGAAAACTCTTGGGGAAATTGAAAAAATTACCTCCTGAAGGGAACTATTTCAGTTAGATTTCTCTTTAAAAAGAGTGCTATCATTGTAAATAATTGTAATAAAATAACTGGTAGAGAAGTTGTCCACAAAAAAAAGAAATAATAATAATAAATAAATAAACTTCATTGTTAAACTAATACATTCCTTGCTCCACTCAGAATCTAATAATATAAAGTTATAAAGTTTGTAAGCAATAATAAATAGTTAACTTTATTATAACAAAAACATCAAAATAAATAATAGTGTTAAAACTAATTTAAACTGCATATACATCTTCATAAAGTATTTCTTCATTACAGATAGGTTTTCTTGAATAAGATAATCCAACTTTATTTACAATTTTTTCAGTAGCTTCAAGAACCTGTAGATAAATATATGATTATTATTATTTATATACATATAATTTGGGAATTTTAAAAGGAACCCAAAGGTTTAACAATAGAAAATACGAGAATTCAGATGCTTGATTTTACTGAAAATTTAAACTTTTTTGAATTATTTGTTAATCGACACCAAAAGAGTAACATAAACTTTGGAATAACCAACCAAATAAAATAATACTAAAAATTAACACAAAAGGATTAGTACCAATCATCAGTTTTATAAGGGAACAATAAATGTAATAGCATGGTCATACCATGCACAAAAAATTAGAAAAAGATGCTTGGAGCCATGTTGGAATAGAAAACTACGGTAAAGAAGTGTCATGGGAAGCCTAGAAAGAGATAGCTGGATAAAATAGATTAATAAATTAGGAATTCACAAGAATGGAAGACATTAGTTCAGAACAGAGTAAAGTGGACGGAGATCGTGATGGTGGTAAAAATTCTTGAAGTACTTAAGGCCAGAAGAAGGTGAAATATAATAGATATATTATGTTACAATCATTGATATATTTATTTTTATTGAAATGTAATTTTTATGGACAAATTTATATAACTTGTTTCATAATATGAATACATATTGTTTAATTTAGATAAATACATTTATATTTTATTTTTGTTTTACCATACAATCAAAATAATACCATACATATATCTGTGCTTTTTGATTAAATGTATAACATTGATAACATTTGTAAGAATATATGGTAAATTAAAAATCAAATAATATAAAAGTAGGTAGAACAGGTGAATAAAAAATAATAGTATATGGTTTTTTAAAGTCTGAAATTCAGAAACATATTATGCAAGATAAATTTTAATTGTTAATTTTGCAAAATGGATAAAGTTTATGAATAACCTTTGCTATATTTTTGTAATTATATATTTTAAACATCATAATTACTTCATCGAGCTCTTCCTTGGATAAAGCAGCTGACATACAAAAACGAATTCTACCCTGATTTAATGGCGTAGCTGGAAAACCAACACCAACAGTAGCTATATTATGTTTATTGAATTCTCGGACTGTAGCACTAAAATAATAAACCATACAATTGTTATGAATAAATCTTACACATTGATATTTTATCACAAACTATAAAGTTATACATACCCAACTTTGGATATAAAGTAAACTAACATGGGAATAACAGGGGAATCATCATTCCCATATACTACACATCCTAAAGCTTTAAGTTTCCTTCTGAAATATCTGACATTATTAGCAAGCTGATTAATTTTTTTCCTTCCTTCTTCACTATGGTCTTTTCCCATCATTGTTGACATTGATGTTATGATAGTTTGAGCTACAGGAGGTGCCATAGACATGGCATAACATGAAGCATGGCTGTTTGCTCTTAAATAATCAATTAGATCCTTAAATAGGAAATATTTGAATATAAAAATATAAATATATATTAATGTGGAAATATTAACATAAAAATCTTAATTATCATTCAATGCTAAATTAGTAGTATTCGAAAACCCCAGAAGATGGTTATTATAATTAATTTTGTAATCCTTTTGATTATAAAATAAATATTTAAATAGTATTTTATAAATTTAGATTAGGTATTAAGAAATAAAATGTAACATAAATTAGTTTAAATAATTTGTGATGGTCACCAATTAGATTTATTTTTTTAATTATTATTTAAAGTTAGTAATGAACATTTTTAAATCTGTATACAAAAATTACATTTTGTAATAAAATAATTTTAGTATTAGTCCACCTTGAAAAATATTTTAATGAACAGTGTTGATTATAAAAATATAATATAGCCAAAATAGGTAATTTAAATAAAAAAAAAAAAAAATACATAATATTTTATCTATTTTAATATATAATAACATTATTCATTCATATATTTTATACTTAGAGGTTCTACTAATGGGTGCCTGCCTTTATCCTGTCTTTCTGCCCGTACCTTTTGTTAACATTTTCTTATTTTAATTGTTTATACAAATATTTTAAGTGTTTTAATATTAGTAAAAAAAAAATTGTATACTAAAATAATATTATGCACATACTTTTTTGCCAGCTATATATCCTCCAGCTGAACCAAATGATTTAGTATATGTTCCCATAAATATATCAATATCTTTTGGACTGCAGTTATAATAGTCTAATACACCTCTTCCATTTGGTCCCAAGGCACCTATACTATGAGCCTCATCAACATATAAATACACCTGTAAATTTATTTTTATTTATAACAAATAGAATAATTATAATAATAATAATATTAACAAAATATGAAATACTTTGTATTTTTTTTTTATGGCAATTATATCAGGAAGTTTTACAATTGATCCTTCCATACTAAAAATGCCTTCAGTAACTATAAATATTTTTTTCCAAGGTTTTTTTGTTACTGGCTGACCCAAAATAATATTTTGACGTATGAGTTCTTCTAAATGTATTACATCTGTAAATTAACATAAGTAAGACATTATCATAATTTATGAAATATTGTTTAGTAGATTTATAAGAAAGATTATTTTAGTAAAATAAAATTAGTTTTTCAAATTTTACTAATAATTATCTAATAATTTAAATTTTTCATCAGTAATTCACTAACTTTGAGTAAAAACCAAAACATAAATTTAGTATATAAACTATTTTTTATATTTAAACTTATTGACAATACCATTATGATTGAATACTATAGATGTAGCTTTTGATAGCCGTATTCCTGCAATTACAGATGCGTGATTATATTCGTCGCTAAGTACTAAGCACTCTGAATTCATAATGGCAGGCAAATTAAGAACATTAGTGGCAAATCCCATTCCAAATACTATAGCATCATCAACACCTAAGAATTCAGCTGTTAGTTGTTCAAGTTTCACATGTAGATGATTGGTCCCTAGTTCTTGACGTGAACTAGAAATTGACCAACCGTAGTTCTTTATTATTTTTATAGTATCTTCAGCACATGGGCCATTGTTTTGAGCAAATCCTAAATAATTGTATGAACCTAAATTTAAAAAAGTAGATTTTGTGTCCAGAAGCCTGAAATATTTTTAATTTGCATTATTTTAAAGTTAAAATTTGTTTGTTTGAATAACAGTGATAAATAGTATTCTTACTCAAATGACCAACAACCATCACGAGTTACTCTATCACGAATTTCAATTTTTGAACCTGGTACACCACAAACTACTCTATTTAAACAATCCTTTACTCGGCGAAATACATACCTCAAAAAAATGTTATCAAATGTATTGTACAAAGGTGGATATCCCTAGAACATATTATTTTAAATGATTTACACTTGATATTTAATATTATAAATGTATAAAACTACATTTTACCTTTCGATTTTTTTCAGTAGCTACTTTGGGAGTAAAAATTAAATGGTTTACCAATCCAATCAAAATTAAAAAATAAAATCCCAAAGATGCCATTAGTGTTGTATAAAATGACATTTTTTCATATGATTCTCCTGTGTTATAGTGTTTATGATTGGATTTCTAAATTGCATAATATTTAAAATAAGTAATATAAATATAAATTATAATAATAAAATGTTCATTTTTCTAATGATAATTACTAGCAGGGGCTAAGTGACAGAAATTCTTACCGGGCAAATCTATAATATGTCCAGGCCATTTCAACGTTTACCATTTTTTGATATTATATTAAAAGTTGTATGCTTATTTATAATCTTTTTTTTATGTATAAACACATTTTTGGACCATACATTTGTAGAAACTTTTATTACCCAATTAACATCATTAATATCCCTTCCATAGTATCAAATATACACCATACATATTTTTGTTTTCAAGGGAAAACACACAATACATGTAATAACTTTATTGTCAGCCATTCTTTAAGGGTTGAATTTCTAGATAAAAAGTAGACTGTGATTGTTCTATTGTTTTAAATATGAAGTGTCAAAAGTTTCGTTCAGATTGGAATAAAATTGTACATTTATATTAAAAGAAAACATAAATCAAACTTGATTTTATGTATGCATAATTTGTTAATGCTGAATAGTTTATGCTATTTTTTTTTTGTATTAAACATAGTCAATGGACTGTGGAATGGGTCATTCTTTTGTAGCCTCTGCCCCTTAGGTGCGCCATTATCAATGATGTAACTATTTTCCATTGTTTTAAGTTTTAATCTACATTAGACAATTTTAAACATAAAATTAAAAATAAATACTATTTCATTAAGTTTTAACAATAGATAATTTAAAACTTCTTAAACACAAATGTGTAAAAAATTATAAACAAATTTAACATTTCCCCAATACACCAACTAGATAAAATTGGTTATCAAAACTACTCTTAGAATTGATGAATGGAGTATGATTTCTGACAGAAATGTGATTTTTAGATAGAAAAACAAAATAAATATAAATCTAAAAAAATACACACATCATAGAAAAACAATAAAAGCTTTATGCTTCATATCTAAAAATGCCTACTGTACCGCAGCTCATGTGTTGCTTGGGTTTTCCTTTGTTTTTCGCCAATTTTGATACTATAAAGTTAATAAAAACCCAAAACAAACATAATTATATTTTGAAACTAAAACCACAAACCTAACTAAAATAATAATATTACAAAATAGTAAATATCTAGTCTTTTAATTGATTGATGAATGCCTTTAAAAATTAAAAAAATGTATAACAATAGAATAAGATATTACAAATATTTACCAGTAACTATAGGAATTCTTTCTGTGCAATTCTATAAAAATTTAGATAGGTATATTGGGCAATATAGTATACATTTATTATGATTCCACAATAAATAATTACAAATCGATATCTGAGTATCTTTTAAAAATAATTTAAGTATCAAACATTTATTTTTAAATAACAAAAAATAACTTTTAATTTTGAACACTTCTAGCCACTTATAAGCCAGACCACTAAGCATTTGCCCGGTTGTTCGGCAGGCTACTCTGCTCCTGACTACTAGTCAAATTAGTATAATTTAAAATGCAATTATTTAATTATTATACATTTTATTGAAGTTTGGTTGATAATAGTGCTTTGTCAACAATATACATCATATTATGGTAAAATAATTACATATGCATTAAACATTTTCTTTAATAATATTTATTTAATATAGTACCTATTTTCCCATTTTCTGAGAAAACTTTTGGGAAAATCAAAAAAAGATCCCCTTAAAGTACCACTCCAGATTTCCTTTTAGAAAATGTACAATCATTATAAATCGGAGCAAAATTGCTACATACTTACATACAATTTTAAAATATAAAGCAAGGACATTCTCTTAAATTTATTATTTGTGACAGATACCTTCCTTATAATTATTTTAAAAATGTTTACTTTTAAAATATAAAAATAAATTTTACCTTTTTCATGGATCCATTTAGCTTAAGGTGATCTGGATATGACTTAGTTACTATAGATGCCATATTTTAAAAGTTCCTTTTATATTTGAACTATTTTAGTAGAGCATTAAATGAATAACTGGTGACTGTAAGTACATAAACAAAATCAAAAATAAATAAATATTATTATATTGAGTGTTGGGTTAACAATAGAGATTGTAAATTGTACTTCACTAACTATAGTAAATTAAGTATGCACATTTTCTTATTAATATTATATTAAAAAGTGTAAAATATAAAATTAACTTAAGAACCTATTAAATAGGTATTAATATATGATTACCCATAATAAATACAATTATTATGCAATTATTTATACCTCTTGTATTTATTTTATAATTAAGAATGATAATTATAGTAGATTTCATAAAAAAGATACTTAGTTGACAAAAAATTAAATAACAGGAAGTTTAGGTATATGCTAAATCCTGGTTACAAAAATACAAATTTAGAATTTCAATTATATGTGTTTTCAACACACACAAAATTTGTAACAGGTTCCTCAAACTATAATGTCCAGATTATATCTCATTTTTATTACCTGTAACTGCCGGTCCCAGGTTATATTGGCTTAAAAACAGTACATTATAATCGTAGGTAATGTTTATTATTTTGTAGTATTTTAAATTTATATACTACATATTATTTCATAAACATTAATATTCATTATACCTACTGTTAATTATTATGTTAAATTATGGTTTAGTCCAACACTCTTTAGTACTTATAATACATAAGTTTAATACATGTTCTAAGTAGTATTATTATAACTGTACCGTGGCTATCCACTACCGTTTTCATTTAAGTTAATCAATAATCAATGATCATGATCGGATCCAACTATCCAAGGTTTATTAATAATAATCTTTATCTATAACCCTTGGATCGGATCTTAGATCATAATAAACTATGGATAAAGCTACTGCATGATAAACACGTACTACGAGTTGAAGGCATCATTATTAACGAGTGTTATGGGGACTGATGTCTATTGCGCATGCGTATCATTACTCGTCGCATATTTATCGTATAATCATTGTAATACCACCAGATAGTAATGATAGGTACATCATACGATTTTTCACATGCGTATTTGTCTCAACTGTCTTTAGTTATGTTTGCTTCAAATATTTAGTCAATAGCTCTATTCATAGTATATAATCTAAGGATCAGATCATCAAACATTTTCTGATTATCAACTTATGTACTTATATACTTCAAAAAAAATATTTAAATATTTTAGGCAGGTTAGCAGGTTAGCAACAACAAAAAAGTAAAAATGCTTTTTATTAATTCACATTGTGAAGATAAATAAAATAAACCCACCTTATAAACTATATTATTAAATTGCTTGTATTATTGTAAAACATTTCAAATTTTTTATTCATTTCATTTATAGTTTCATTTTAAAATACATTTAATTTTATTTTAGACACAGACATTTTAATTTTCAGTGGTATCGTAAATTTGTAAGCACAACAAATATTATCCAACAGTTGTATTCTTGTATTGCTGTATACTCCATACTCGAACTGATTATCGATTACATAGTTATCATATCAGCTGTTATATAAAAGTTACACCAAGTCACCAACGTAAGGAATACCGTAAAAGGGATGGTTTTTCATATTTTATAATTTCAACTAAATTTGTATCTAACTTTTACTAGTCATACTCTTAATTGAAAAAACTGTGATTAGCATTTCGCATATTATACCAAAAATCGTTTTCTTAGTTTCTCAGTATTAAAATATAGTTCCTTTCTTAGTTTATACAATTATTTTCTAAAGACTGCACTTTTTCCTATTATTTGAAACCCGACTTTTATTATATTCATCAATTTAGTTATAATGGAAAATCAGAATTTAATGAATATGGACATTGAATTATCAGAACATGATTCAAAAACTTTATTCGTGGACAAAAATGATGTCATATTATCTGACGAAATAAAAGATAAAAACAAAAATGATATTGATGAACATATTCTAATGCCAGACAAAATTATCACTGCAGAAAAATTGTTGCCACTTGAAAACACTTTTGAAGTAATTGAACAGGAATTTACAACTTTACATGATAATGAAGCTGTAGAAGTTACAATGATATCTAAAGATGAAGAAAAAGAAAAAATATTAGAAAATGATCCAATGTCAACTTCTAAAATTGAAGATCTTGCTATTCCCCTTAAAACTGAATCTCCCAAAGAATCTCCAAAAGAAGAACTTATGGTTTCTGAAAAATTAGAGTCCAAGATTGATATTATAAAAACGGCTATAAGTCAAGAAAATGAATCCATTGTACAATCTGAAATTAAAATAGACACCCCTGAAGTTATTCCTAGAGTGACTTCTAAGAAAGTTACCGATGAAGATGTTTGTGATATAAAGATTGGACCCGATGAACTATTTTGCAGAATTGGATTAGGTAAGATTTTAAAACTATAATTAAAATATAATATTACAATATAAATATCACTGTATATAAGTATAATGTATAATTATATTACATTCTATTGAGAAAATGACCAACTTAGTTAAGGGAATTTGTGACAGTTTTCTAATTTTATAAAATTTAAAAATCATTTTTTTTCTTTTGATGCTTACCATATTGACTTATATTAATCTACTAACCAATATATCCATTTATGTGCAAGGTTTGTGGCTGTTTTTACGGATAAATAAGATATATTAGACCAAAAAACCAAATAAAACTGTAGATATTGTGTTTAATGGATCTAAGTTTTAAAATACAATCAAATTTTTCTACAATTTCAAATAAAAACCTTAAATTTTTATTTTAAAATTATTCTTATAAAAATCTAAAGATTAAATAATCATAAACTGTTTTTACAATTGAAATCTGTCAATCATAATTCCTACAGTTTTGCCTGGCTTTTAAAAGGATGCAACTTCAATATATAGTATCTTCATCTTACAAACGCGAGACATATCAAATTTTGTGCTGTTAGTTTTAATATTAAAGCAAATCAACCTATTGCCAAAATTACAGATAAAAATTTGTATATGCCTTATCATTGACGATTTTTTAATATTTTTATTTTTAAGCGAGATGGATATATGAAATATCACAGAAATAATTGTATTTTACTCTAAGATACTGAAAAAAAAACATCAACGTTTAGGTAGACAATCTTCTCACCTTTAAGTTTTGTAATAAACAAATTTACTCAGATATGGATTGAGAAAATAGAAAATGATTCAGAAATGGTCAACAAAAATATACAAATTGAGGAGACATATAATAGGAACTGATGGAATTATGTTTTGGTCACAGCAATGAGACTTCATGGTCTGCTAAGCTGTTAAAAAAAAATAATAGGTCAAATTTACTTTAATATTATAACTAACACCATAAAATTTGTTATACTACATGCAAATTTTCTACGTTTGTATATTACATTTGTAAGACGGAGATAGTAAATGCGGGTGTGGTATCCTTTTAAGTTTTAGGTTTAATTAAATATACACTGTCACTAATTCCCCTTAAATATAATATAATTTCTATTTTAGATGAAGGAAAGAAACCTCAAGTTATTTATGAGGATACACAGTGAATTGTTGGGCATATTTCTAATAATATTAGTGGGTACTTTTAGCTTTTACTTATTATAGGTGAAATATTCATGGAAATTCATATTTTAAGTAATACTTTTTTATTTATTTTTTAACATTAAAAACTGAATAAAAAAAACTATAGTGGGCGTTATTAATTAGGATATGGGTTGATTATGATCATAATTTTTAAATGTTCTAATAATAATATTTATTGCATTTAAGAAAAAACATATGTAACAAATTAAAAGAAACATAATGTAAATGATTATATCTAAAAACCTAGCCTTCTTGAGAAAAACTGTTTTTATCCAGAAAACATTCTTAAGTTATAAGCTATACTTTAACAAATAACAACTTTATTTAAAATAATATTAAGTAGTCATGATGATGATACATAGCGTCTTATATCTCCATTTGATTAATATTTTCTACCAACAAAATAAGAAATATTGGGATGACAATAAATTGAAAGTAGAAAATATTATTTTATGACCAAATTCAATAATTGTAACTTCTGTTGAATAATAATTTCATTTGAGTCAAATGGACATTTATTTTACTGGCCTAATGAAATAAAAATATATTTTAGTTTTCCTAAAATTATAGACACTCACTGGTCATCTATCAAAATTAAAAATGTTAACTTAGTAAGGTTACTACTGCCTCAACTTACTATATTCTGCTCTGAATATATTTTTTAACAATACAATATTACCTATAAGTAATTCAATTATATTAAGAAGTATCCAATATATTGTTTTTAAGTGTATATTCTAATGAGTTTATTAATAAGTAGACACTTATCTACTGTATTATATTTACATACATACATTTGCCTGAGGCATATTGAAGTATGGAAAACTTGAACTAGTATGTATAATTATGAGTTAAAATATGTCTTGTTATTTATTCGGTTTATGACAAAGTATAACTGTGTCAAACTAATTAATTATAAGTATTTTTATTTCACATTTTATCTATGAAATGTTGGTAAACATAATAAGTATAAATAGATTAATTACTTACGGAATTTTCTTTCTAAAAAAAAGTCTATCATTCATATAAAAAAATTGTGTGTAAACTGTTACTTATTACACTCATCATGAAAGTACGGATAAATAGTTTAAAATACAAAATTCAATTAATGTATGAAACATATTGTATGGTGTCCACATATTAAAGGCAATAATTCCATTAATTATTACGTTGAATATTGAAATGGCTATGTAATATAATGCATTCATATTTACTGACGTTTGACACCTATTGTTTTATGAATTAGTATTTTAATTTCTTTATAAATATTAATAATTGTTATAAATAATAATTTTAATAATTACCAGTATGTGTATCGTGTGTTACCTATAAAGCAAATATTTGAATTTATAATTATTTAAAGTTTCTAGAATTAACTTAATTTAAACACACACCTAAGATTATAAAGAATTTCATTTTCTGTTAGAAACCTTATAATATTATAAAATATAATATCAATATCAATTTTTTCATTATAATATTATTGTAGGCATAAGAAATCTATGAATTATCCATAATAAAGCCCGTAAAATGTTTAAATAATGTGTATATTTAATTGTGTAGTATTAGTCTTTGTCTAACATTTAAATTTAAATACATTTTTAATGATTTTCTGCTTTCCTATCCTATCAAAATGATAGTGAAAAATATAAACAACGTAAGTAAGTTGTCCTCATCAAGATAGTATTTGTGATAGTTACTATCATTATTACAATAGAACTAAAACTATCATACAAATATACAGATATGTACAATAAACATTGTTATTAAATTATAAATTATTGTACATATCTGTGTGCAAGTAAAATGATATTTTGATAGTGTGATTTGTGTGATAGTTTTGTTTACATCATAGACTAAGGTATTATATAGAAAATAGCAAGACAGGTATGAGGGGACTGTCCACAAAAATCAACTGATTATGCAGAATTATTTTTTCCTTATTGAGCCACATCACACTTCATCTTATTGTTATTTTTTTTTTTTTCGTGTCAGGCATCATATAATTAAATTTAAAACAAACATGTAATTTATAAAACAANACTAAATAGATAATATCAAATAAGTAAAATATGTAAAATATAAATAATAATAACACACTAATTGTTATTGAAGTGTCTAGTTCTAAAGAATCCATTAAGACATAATTTGTTGTCAGTTTTTAATCTTTTAGAAACATTTTACTGACCAAAAAAATTTGTCCCGTATCTAGGACATTTTCCCTCCACATACTTGGCATATTTTACCCTCGATAACTAATTTGTGGTTGCGTTAAGTTCTGTCAAACAATATGAGGAGTTCTAAATAAAAATTTGTTGAGTTATTCTATCTTGGTAATGCGCTGGAACAATATGTAGTGGAGCAGTGGCATGACGTGCATATAAGCATTGTAAGCGTTGTTTACACCTTCAGTTATTGAATGTTATAGGTATATTTTTAAGTGAACAATTTTTGCCATGAACAAGTTTTAGTAATTTAATATTATACATTACATTATGCAATCGTATGAGATGACATTTAAGCAACTTTCAAATATATTACAAGACCAATCATTGTGATGTGAATAGCATGATATAACTACATAAGACACTGCAATATTTAAATTCCCATCGGTTATTATCACTCATTGACTTCAAACAGTTCAAAATATTATTATTACTCGATAATGTCTAGTTTTGAATTATGGTTGATTATTTAAATCATTTTTGATAATATTTGTATTAAATAAATTGTGAGCGGCTTTCTAGAGGTGATGAAGGTACTGGTAGGTATACACTTTTTGGTGATTTTGCACTTACTGACTACATCGGATAATTTGAATATCGGCTCATGGTTTTGAAAAAATATCGGATCGATTATCGGTTTTATATCGGTAGCGAATATTTGAAATTTGAATATCGGATATCGGGAAAAAGGCTCACCACTAATATTTTCATTATCAGCCGGGTATACACCAAACGCTCAGAAAATCATAACGTTACTGTAAGATTTGGCGGGTTTGGTATAGACGGGTTTCGCGCACGATATATTACATGACTGTACGTACTACGTGTTGCACGTTTGTTCCGTGTTCGGAATGCTATAGGTACATCAAAGGTTTTCGGGCGCGTTTTGTTTCATTTGGTTTGGACGGCCGTCGTCAGTCCAGTACGTCTGGTTCAACGCTTAGACGAACATTCGAAAACGTTTAACCATGTTTGCGTCGCGGTATAGACGCTCGGGTTTGCGAGGACGTACGTCGTATAGGCGAAACATTGTTGCAGTATGTTGAACGCGGACGCGCGTTTGTTGCGGACCCGGCATCCCGGTTTTAGTTATAATATAATAATGAGCTGCAGTTATTTAAGTTTTAGTCATAGATATAGAACTATTGTATTCTATATCCATGGTTTTAGTATTAGTATTAGTTTGAGGAGCAAAGGTCTTCTTCGGTACACTAAAAATCCGAGAAGTTGATCTCATTTCAACAGTTCAACTTCTCGAGTGGACTTGCCAACAAATTCTAATTTGTTTCCAGAGCTCCTGTCGCGGTGTATGTTAAAAGTGTAAACAAAAAAATTATGGTTATTAATTAAGTTTCCATATTTGTTTTAATTTTTATTATATTTGGTAAAACCCAACTGAATATAATTTAAAACTTCAAAATTATTCTGATACCTATAGCTTTATCATACAAATTATTTGTTATTTGTTATTTATATCAATACCTATGCACTTTGTTGTTAAATCTAAACATCTTATCGATTAATGTTATTATATTTTGTGATTATAATACGACTAGGTATACTATTTATCATCATAAAATAAATATATAACCTATAACGTCGGCGATCGGTGTGAAATTACCCATAATCGAAAGCAGGTTTGCTGTAAATTGAAAAGTAATAACTGTTGATTCCTTCCCATTACTTCACCACTACAACAGTATTAAATGTTCGACTATTTAGTTTGTGTCTTGGACAATTATATTAAACACGTGACTTGAACTATTTGTGCTTAACTACAGTTATAAGGTTTATTTATTTTCTTAATATCGTTTTACTCATATTTGTATTTCATGAATTAAATAATCATTACAATATTCAAAAACATCATACCTAACGAAATTTGAATTAAATTTATCTTGAATAATTATTAAACATGAATACAGAAGGAAATCAAGATATCAATGTTTTAAATGTTCCTGTTAAAGACATTTTGAGTATTATGATTCAACCTAGTGAGTGATGATAATTATTGTTCATTAATTAATTTTTTTTATTAAATCTGAACTAATACAGTTTTATTAAATAAACATATCTATTTAAAATTAGTTACAGGTATATAACAATCTGTATATTAGGTACCTACATATTATAATACCTACTAATTAGATCAAATATATTTTTTACATGTTGTGAAATGGTTTAGTTAAAGGCTTATAACAGTAATTGAAAAGGTTTTACAAAACTCATAGATTACTAATTTCAGACAAACCAGATGTATTTCAAAAATTAGAAAATTAATGATGTTTTATATTTATACCATATAGGTATTATGCTTATTAGTATATTAAATTATAATTTATTCATAATACAAATTATACCTATAAGTTTTATTTTAAATAGTATTATAATACAATAATAAACTTTTTTGTTTTTAGATAAATGGTTTAATCCTGAGAAGTTGCCTCCAAAAGGTATGTAATCTATCTTAATATTGCTCTGGATTAATTTACGTTTTTAAGTACATAATATTTAATTGTTACAAGTGAACCAGTAAACTGTTCATTAATATTTATATAATTATTTTTATTACACCATCAGTGATATGCCTAACTAAAAGAGGACAGGGAAAAAGTATTTTGTGGTTTTAGTATTATTTGAAAAATAAATTTGTATAGGTTACAAAATTATAATAATTAATTACATATTTACTTTTCATTTTTAAACTATATAACATACCAGGTGATTCATTTAAGTGGGTACACTATCTCGGAAAGTATTAACTTCTTCTGGAATTCGTTTTTTAGAACATTTAAGAAACTAGCTGCTCCGCAATTTTATATTTGTGTTATTTTTTTCGTCGCTCTTATTGTTTAGGGTAAAACAACAACTATTTACTTTTGATTTTCAAATAGCACCTATATTAAAAATACATTTTTGATTTCTGTCAAGCTGTTAATGAGGTATATCACTTTTAATTTTAGGTTAGAGGAGAGTAGTTGTGCATTATTAACCGTCACACTAATGATACTATGATACTCTACTATTACTATTCTTTTCCAACCTAAACTTAAAAATGGAATATCTTTTCAGTGGATCAACAGAAATAAAAAATTTCAACACCACAATTTATTTTAACTAATACTCAATTTATTTATGAACTTTTTAATAGAGATTATTATTTGAAAATCAAATGTAGGTAGTTGTGTGGTGACAAAAAATATCAAAAATACAGAAAAAGTTAATACTTTCCAAGATAATGAGTGATAACAGATTTTATTTATAGTCATGTCATTGTATACTATTACTATTACAATTCATAATTTAGCCAATTTATGTACACATCAACAGATACCTATCCTACATAAATGGTGTACAGTGTACTAGTTACTAGATAATGTTTTACGGATGAACTTTTGTATTTACTTACTGATGGATAACATAATGCTGATATAAAGTTTCTACTTTACCTTCTCCAAGGTGAATTTAAAATATCAAGGCCAAGTATTTAATATATTCTAGCATTTCTTTGTAATATTAGATCTCGCAAATTTCCACATACTTATCCAGATCAAATTTCATAAATAATGTTAACTTAAATTATTTTGTACATCATTCATATTCATAATATTTGTTGGTTTTTTAGTTATATTATTATTTTATATTATAAGGATCTACTGTATACTTTTTGTATTGTTTTCGTGAGATTATTGATTTTCAAATGTAATAATATTATTGTTAATTTAAGATTATTGCGAATCTTCATTATAATAACACTACATATTTTTATAATAATTTTTTAAGAATATAAACTATATTACTATAATAATATATCTAACCTAAATTAGGTATACCTATTCATTGAAATCTCTAATTTTTAATGTCCATTATTGAGTGACATAAGGTATTTAGGTGTATTTTGACTTTGTAACCGTGAGGTTTTCATGAGCTGATCTCTATTATTCTTTCTAGCAAATAGTTTAATGAATTTCATATCTGTCTTTTTTTCATTGATAAGGCGATATACTATTTAGTGATGTTCGGTTACTAGTTAGACTAAACTCATGTGATGAGTAGATGAATAATAATATTTTTTTAATTTGATCAAATATGCAATATGTTTTAATGTATATTTTTCTAGTTGACATTTGTAGTTATAATAAAAAATACAGTTCATTTTGTTTTATTTATATTGATCAAATTTAGTTATCAATGTTCTAGTGAAACTTGTAGAAAATCAAGTAAATTCTATAACATTTCTTGGGTCATACAGTATTGGATATGAAAATTAAAATTAGCTTTCCGAATTACTGAACATAATATACATGTGCCCCATAAAGATATACCCATTGTAATATTGCAATTAATTTTCTATGTTTTGGTTAAAAATAACTATTTTATTATTTTTGAACAATTTGAAAATTCTTCTGAAAATGTTTATGTATCAAATTTTATTTTAATTAAATTCGTGTTTTTTAAAGTTTAGAGAAAAAATGTATACAGTCAAATGTAGTAATAATAATAAATTAGAGAATGTGGTTACAGTCTGCTACATAACTATAGGTACTTTTCTCTGAACTTCAAAAAATTAATTAAATCACGATGTAATGAAAATTAAAATATTTTTTTAAGTTTTTTTATTAAAGCGTAACAAAATATTTTTAATATAAATATTGGTAGTCATTATCCCTGTGTTATACAAACAGAATTTGATTATCCTTATTATCTCTAGATATAATACAATTTGTATATCTTTGTGTGACATCTTATAGTTAAATTTTTCAGATGACATATAATGCAAAATTAATGATGAAACCTTTACTATCGATTTTATCACCATATTATAATTATATTGTCCATTTTAAGAAAATTTGATTGACTTAATAAATCAATGTTTGCAATATTAATCATTTATAAATTGTCTAAAATAATAGAAAAAATAATATGTGTTTAAGTTAGTAGATTAACATTTAGTCTCTGGGTATGTTTTTAATGTCGTATCAATTATCATAAAATTATCAAATCATAATGTTTAATTTGTAAGAAACACAAATTAATTAAAAAATGATCGTAATACAATCTTGTACTTATTAATTTTAAATTTTAAAATGTTTATATATTTTAAATTTCCTACTGAATTAAGCTGAAATTATATTAAATTGAGCATACCTAGCTATAATTATTATGCTTGGGAAAAGAATTATAAAGCTTAATTTCCCTGTAGAGCGGAGTCCATTTATTTGATTTACAATATTGATGGAAACGTAAAACATTAAGCCATACCATTGATGAAATACAAATTATTTTAAATACAGTAAACAGATATTTTTAATTTGGGTTTCAATGTTATCAATTTATTTACCATTGAGACAATAAAGTATCATCAGTAAAAATGTTGAAATGGGTACATAGACTTACTCGGTAGTAAACTACTAACGGCCCACTTCACAACAACAACAAAAAAAAAAAAATAATTTTTCACTATTCATGCTATCAAACATATTTTGTTAAAGTTTTGGGTTCTGAGATCTAGTATAGGTTGTAGCACGCCTATAAATTTATTATGTGCAGTCTGGCCTAAAATTTTAAATTCTGCTGGGTGGAGAGCCACACCTATGAAGTTAAAAAAAATTTTTTATTATTAATTCGTGGTCATCTATTATGTGATTTTACTATTAGTTTTAGTAAATTTCTTTTTTGGCCAATTTATTTTCAATATCAATGAATTATTACAGAGGGGTATAATCTAGTTAATAGTGCAAGTAACATATTTTATTGGCATTGTATCATCAATGGAATGAAGTTTGTTTTTTTTACAAAATAGTGCCAATTATTTATTATTTTTAAACAAATTTTAGATTCTAATGTAGTGCTTTAAAATTATTTTTAGTGTAAAATGAGGCATTCAAATTTCAAATTTCATTATTTTTGATTTCAAGGATTTATTTTATTTTGGCCATTTATCAACTAATTATTATTATTATATTAGTCACTATTTATTTGTCTTTAAATCAAGTAGGGTGGAGTCACTTTACGTGAGTCGAAATCGACCTAAACGCGTAAAAACGTGTGGTGCGCTTGATACTTTTTAAAACAATAATTACTATTATTTTATAACATAATGTCTTAAGATTTAAGCCCTGTATACACGCAGTTCAGTTCTATGATCGTCAATAGTATCAACATAATAATATAATGTCAATTTATATTTTTATTATTTTCCGCCAAATCGACCACTTATGTATTATAGTATAAACCATATATTTTTATTACGTAAAAATTATAATTATAAAAATGCGTAAATTTTAACATCAAAATAATATTAATAGAAGTGCTCATAAAATTATTGATCATATTTCAATATAATCGCTTAAAGATCGCCTATTCACAAAACGCACGTACTGTCACGTTAAGTCGCGAACACGCGTTTGTGCAGCGTTAAATTTATATAATACAAAATTCACGTTTATCGTAATATGTGTCACGTAACTACAGCAATAGCGGCTCTGGTTAGGAACAGCAGCAGCTGCTGCTACTCGGTTCGGGTTGCTGACGTTACGACTACCGCCGCTTCCTCTGTGCAGCGGTTGTCCCACAAATTCGTTGGCGTTGGCCGATATTTCGCCGACGGGTCGTCAGCTGGTCCTGGGTTTTTTCTGCCCCGTACCGCCACGCGACCCCTCGGCGCCGTATCTTTTACGGTCGAGACTCCCTAGTCCCTTGTCCTATTGATCGCGTTTGCCGCCAATAACGCGATACGTATACGCACGTACACACACACACACACACACACACACAAACACACATACACACACATATATATAGAGTGCACGATTTGCTCGTTACACAACACGTTCGTCGTAGTACCGCGTCTCGTTCGTTTTTTATTGCGCCGCAATAATATTATAATATTCTACATTATAATCATTATAATATTATTATTATTATCGTCCCTCGTGATCGTTCGTTTTCCGTCGTCGTCGTTACTCGTTACCGCCGTTGCCTTCGTCATTCATTGTTTCGCGAACAGTCGATTCGTTGTTCGTCATACCGAACCGTCGTTTTACCGGTCGCACCCGTCCGTTAAAAGCTCGGTTTTTTAGCTGAACAGTATTATTAGAAATAATCGCGCGCGAGCTGTCGTGCCCGTCCGTAAAAATAGATTCGCCGTATGAAAAGACTATTTGCCCGGTCCGACTAATATGTGTCGCCAACATTAGAGTACACATTATTGTAGTGTGACTATAATAAAGAAAAAAAACTCTGCGAATATAGTTGCCGTTTTTGTTTCTCGTGTCGATTGCTGTATCCTACCCGAAACAATAATATTATACTCGTTCGCGGCGTGTAGTATTTAATAATTACCTGCCTAATCTTTTCGAAAAATAAAATCGCCATGGGACCCAAGAGGGAAAAACGTAAGTACACCGAATTAAACACTATTTACCTAATAATAACATCGACTAAGGTTCATCTACTCAGGACTATATTTGATAGACGGGTACTGGGCGAGAGGAAGTAGTGTTCAAATCGTTCGAAAACGCGAGAAATATTTTAGCTGGGTAATGGACAAGAAAATTTAATTCATTACCTAACAGTCGAATGTCCAAACGTATTTAATTAACCAAACGTAGTATTGTTATTGTTAAATTGACATGGTTGTAAATAAATAACAATTGTAAATTGGTATCTCGTGTCAAACTCTAAATAACTGATAATAATGATTGGATGGTACCTATTCCTCGGTTTTTTTTTCTCGCATAACCTTCGAACGGTTTTGTAGTCATTCGCCTGTCCCAGCGTAATTAACTCTGTGAAATTAGCCAGTATTAATCATTGTAATTTTGTTTAGTATCGCATTAATGTTGTGTATCGATTTAAATTGCACATATACGAGGTAGGTACTTGGTATATTCAAGCCGTATACGGTACGCCTATTACATAGTAATAGTTCTTCTATATCTACTCAGACGATTTATTTTTGATTATTACCGTGAATATTTTCGTGGAATTTGTCTATAGACATTCGCTTATAACTCGGAATTTTATTTATTTATTCATTCTTATGTAATTAACGCGTTATAATACAAATATGACTAATACGCGGGTTAATGTACATTATTACTCGCGTTATACGCAAATAAACAACAAATCGTAGTTCAGTGTATTGTTCTATAATGTTAAGAAAATAATATTATAATAATACCATTAGCATTTACCGTAATGCGTCAGTAGTGCACACTGTTCGCTATCAACTATGATACAGATGTGTCGTAACAGTACGTTAGCCGAGCTATATAATATTTTTACATTTTTTTCTGGATGATTTTTTTTTTTTTAAATTGTCATCAAACACGGTTTCTAAATAAAGAAACGCAAGTTCAAATATTTACTCAGTTTTTTATTACGGGCCTTTTTAGATAAAAAGATAATTCCGTACGCCTACCCATCGTAACAATAGCGGTTTTGAAATCACGTGTTTGATTTTAAAAGTTGAACCACAGCTATCCTGGTCCGGCTTTACCCGTGCTAATTTAATTGACTGTGTAATTAATCAAATCCGGCAAAATAAATAAACAAAGATACGATTATTATTCGTCGTATTATAAGACAAAAAATCACGTGTGAACCATCTTTTTAGGGTTGAATTCGGAGATAACGGCAACCTTACCCTTATTTTGAAGGTCATGTGTACGAAATCTCATCAAGGTCTGATAAAATTATAGATTTGTTTAAAAACACGCATAAATCTTATATTATACGATATATATTATACGTATATTAATCGTAATATTATAATGTACATCAATAGATTTTTATTTTTCAGATTTAAACTAACAAATATAATATAATTTAAAGTATCTATGTAAAAATATAGTAATTACTGGACAATTTCAAAGGAATTTTAATTTATTTTAGATATCGTTTACATACATATATACATAATTTTAACCGTTTGTTAAAATCATGTATGTTTTAACAGCTAAACATTTTCATCACGTTACACTCACAAGGTGTTCCTTGTACTTTATGAATGAAATTATTTACCATACTAAAATGATAAAAAGTCGTTTATTACGTAATAATAAAAATGTTTGAAGGGAAACCCTCGTGATAGTTATTCTCGTTTTAATCTTTATAGTTGGTAATAAGACATGAATATGTAGGTAGAAATCTAGTTTTTTTCTGTGTAGACTGCTAGGTCCTAGAATTGTAATGTACTAATATAAATATATTATTATATCTTTTTTAGACAGATGATGAAAAAAATTAAGGTGCATGTATTTTTTTAATACTAAAAATATGAATATAGCAATTTTGATGTCTAAATTGTGGTATTTTACAATTTATCCCTACCGCATTAATATGCTACGCAACAGAATATTAACGGTTATTTTACTATAAAATCATGACTTATCAAATTCGATTGTTTGATAGCGATAACATAATATGTGACATGTAGCATGTTGTTTATACCTCCTCGGCCAAAGTTTTAGTAACCGTTGTTTTTACTCAAGAGTACATAGTTTAAATATTGTATCATAGAGTGCGCACAGTATATTGTATTCTAACACATTTTGTAGTTTTAATATCCCACCCAGGGGCGGTTCTTTCTCCAATATACTCTTAGCTTTATTATATGCCTAGCTTGGTCCATCATTGAACTCGTTATAAATGTGTGCCTTACATGCGTTTTAAAAATTCCCCCTCCCCTCGTTATTTTGTCCTGGATCCGCCTCTGATCTCGCTATTGAATTATTGGTTTTCAATTGAATTTTAACATTAAACTGAATTGGTGAAATGTAATTTTAGTAAAATATTATACATCGGAATACGGGAAGCTCAGTAGACATTTTTTAGCTACTTGAGAATGTAGATAGTCCCTTATGGGTAAAGTGCAGTTGTTCGAAAATGATTAGGATAAATAATAACTGACCGAAACTCGAAAGCGTAATTTCTACAACTATATATTTTAAATTTGTAATATTTGAACATTAATTACTAAAGGGCAGATGTTCATGCTCCAAAAAACTTTAAAACTTTAATATATGTTGTATACAATTTTAAAATACGCTCGATAAAACGTCATTGTATGCCTAAAAAAATGTAAAAAATATGCCCCAAAACATTAAATCTTTCCATCGGTTGAAAAAACTTGTTCGCCGAATTCAGAAACAAATGATCACATTCGCTCCACTAATGAACTTTTTCTTTTAACATTTAAAAAAAAAAAAAATGATAATTATTTATAAAATACGAACACGTTAGTTCTCTCACAACTATTAAACGAAAGCACTCGCAAAGGCGGTGAATTGGTCTATGAACAACGATAAACTGTCATGATAATTCAGAGTACTCATTAGCTGTAGAAATACCTATTAGCCATTGCCCATTAGATATTTCCAATCGATTACATTTATCGATAAAGATTAAATGTCTAAAATAGTAATTGAAATAGACAATAATTCAATGTTAAATGGCAAGTAAAACCCTAAAGAAACCTAATATGCATTATTATGTGCTGATAAAATATAAATACGCTTTGAAGGAAAAATGGATCAAAACATGATGTAAATTTATGCAACATAACAATTTTGCTTCCGTCTTTCATAGGCCGCAAAAAAAATTTCCATCCTACTCTGCAACTTTTATTATAAAGGAAAAAAATATGAAAATGCATGAACATCCGCCTTTTATTAATTAATATAGCTCTATGCCTTTGGCTCCAGACGAAGCAAATGAAAGAAAATAATCTTATATAAACTACAATTTGTTATGTAAAACCATGTCGGTTGGTATTTTATTTTGTGTGCGGTGTGTACAGTATGTTAATATACGACCGGACCGGATTTTTCGAACAAGTGCCATTCACCGGTTGCCCTTTCGCCCCTTTTTCCTTATCACTTTTGTGTGCTGTTAAATACAATTTATTTTTTATTAATATTACCACGAGTAAAAAAAGTACCGTTGACACAGACAGAGGCAATTGTGTAATTTTATTTCATTAATTTCCAAATGAACAATTAATTTTTAATAATATTTTAGATTCAAATGAATGAATTGATTTCATAATAATGGTTATTTTGAAATATCTTTTTTTAAAAGAAATTTTTATCTAATTGGTACTTTAGGGAAGTCAATTTTTGATATTTCATGCGGTTTTAATAATAATTGGGAAAACGTAGGGATTAACGGACAAATATTTACGGCGTACAAATTTCATGATTTTACATTTTTGTAACTTATATGTTTTCTACTAGAAATATTGCTTAAAAAAAAAAAGAAACTAGAAACCTATCTTTTTTTAAATTTTAATGTAGTTGATGAGTAGAAAATTGAAACCGAAATAAACGTAGGAAGAACGGGAAAATTTACGAACATAATGTTTTTGGTTTTTTTTTTAATGTGATTCAGTAAAAATATCCGCAGACTTGAAATTTGGACGTGGTCAAATTTTCTAAACCTTATAGTAATTTTTAAGCCATTTATAGACATTTAAATTTTGCCCATTTTTGTGGGAGTGGGAGTATTAGATTGGAGCAAGATTTTTGGTTGAAAATTTCGTAGATAAACCAATACATTCCTCACTACGCTCAGAATCTAAAATTGCCATAACCCGAGGAACGAGAAAAATAATGTGTGTACGAAAAATCACAAAACGTTTTATCAGTCGTATGTGATGACCAATTTTAAGTATTGTGTTATATTGTTTTCATTGCAATTAGACGCCTGCTCAGTCTGGAAGGTATTCTTCCACAGGAATCCGCGTTTAATAATAATTAATAAAAATGTTACTTAGTCTTGTGTGCGTTTTGATGAATCGTAACGTAGCTCCCGTTGTTTTGAATCGGTAAATTTAACAATAATTATGTAAAGACTCTTAATAAAAAATTCACGTGAACACAAATCGATAAAATTAAGATTTTATATTAGTCTCGTATTTTTATTTTGTTGTATACAGTAATGAGCCACAAGTTATCTGTACTGTTGTAGCACACAATGTTATACTTATACTAATAGATACTTAAGCAAAAATCACTCGAATACATACCTGCCATTAAACATAATTGGATAACAAAGATACGTCATTACGGCGTGTTTGCCAAGGCTACCCGATAATTGCATTGACTAGCCAAAAGTTTAATTTAAAACCATTATTCTAAACGTAGGTAATTGAACTAGTGTGACCGGACATCAAGTGGTATAGTTGTCCCGTTCTTGAAAAACCGTTCTTCAAAGAAAATCTTTATTTTCTGAGATTTAAAGTAATTGTTCTATATTCACTGTAAATTGTATTGTCTAGATATACTTAACTTTGAATGTTTATATTGCATAAAAGTAAAATTATTCCAAACCAGGAATGGTAAAACGTTATTAAATAATTTTATCATTGAGCGAGGGACGTAAACGGGGGTTTTATCGATTCCGTTGGATTTCCAATAGAAATGTTATATATTATGTTGATTCAGACAAACTATTTTACATGTTAATTCTGCTGAATATGCGTTCGTCTCCTATACAGTTATTATAAATTAACCTTAGATTAATAATATTAATTATGAACAAACTTATAAAACAGAAATTATAGATACCTAATCTGTAAGTATTATAATCATTTAATTACATAAAATTTACATTTATTACTTTTGTATTATAATGATAGGTTTTTTTTTCGTGTATGTCATACACTATAACTGCAATTTTCAGTTAATCCATAGTTAAAATAACAATCTATATTATTTAAGAGTACTTGGTGCGTACAATAAAAAATAATGTTTGTACCGGTTTCGTCGATCCTCATATCCAGCGTTACCATAAAAATTTCTAAAATAACGAAACGTCAAAAAATTTAAACTTTTTATATTTTATTCTACTTTACCACTTCAAATTTAAAATTGCATTATCTCAAATGATAAAATATTTGTAGATGGTACAAATGTGCTTCTGTAACCGTATTATGGTTCTTATATGTTTACTAATAGTTATTTTATAAACAGTCGGCGGAATGTAAATTGTAAATTAATCGCGGTGTAGAAATATAAATACGACAAAAAAAACTTATACGGCTTTACCTAATGAAAAAAGAAATCCTTAAATCGTAATAACTAATCTACTCTTATATAATATGAATTTGTGGTGTTTTTTTTTTTTTTTTTACAACAGGGGGCAATTAGATGAATCGGGTGTACACAGTTCAAATTTTTTTTTTTCATATTTATATAATTTTATACACGAGTATTTTATATCCAACTACGTACTAGTAACATAACGTTTAAAGTTAAAATTATTATAATTTATTTATATTAATAATTTATTACATTTTGGTTTGGATATTTGTTACACATTTGCTTTTTTGGATAGGAAAATATCACGGTCGCACCAGTTTTATCGCTTGTTTTATTGTTTTCAAACGAGGCGGTGGTTCAAGGTGTTGTGTATTTATTGTTGGATAACGTTGTTTTCGGACAGATATCACATTTTTAAGGTTCGATGATATTAAATCTAAATCGGATAAAGACGTTTATTTTCTACGCAATTTTTTGTTTTGTTGTTTTTCTAATAATTTATTTTCACTCTTGCATGCATACCTATGTATATCATTATTTTTATTTTTTGTTTGAATGAATATATTATTGTAGTTTATGACGTGAATTTGTCAGGTTTGTGTAAATCCTCAATAATACTGTGTATCGTAACGTGCGGTGCGATTTGATGTGTACCGTGTACGTGTACATGTGTATCTAGTAAATAATATTGTCGTATACACCTGACGGGCCACCGATCAATCTGTTGTTGGGCTGAGAACGACGTTGATAGTGACGATTATCAACGACGTAACGTATTCCAACGTGGCCCACGTACGCGATAGTGACCGGCCCTCGGCGGTATTCATCGTCGCGGTGGAACACATGGGAGTCCACGACGCTGTGCATGTGGAACCCGTCATAGTGACCGTGGTAGTTTGGTTGTTGTTGTACTCGTGTGCCGTTGATGGTTCGTGGCGGCAGCGTGTGGTGCACACAGCTGTGAGAAGGTGTATTATTGTGTGGCGGAAGCGGTAGTGGAGGGGCTCTCCGGCTACGTGGAATCCGTCGCCGACGTCGTCTTGTGTTTAGCGCTAGCCACCAAAAAAGATCGTGTATCGTGTAGACGAGCGTCGTGGTTACCCTAGTAATAGTAGTGGTGTGTGAGTAGTACTATTATTATAATCGAGCGTCATCACATTCGTCCCGGCTATAACTGTTCGCGTTCATTTCTAATTTTTTTTCGTTTACCGTTGTTTTCGTCGCGTTTCTGTCGTTCTCGCAACAACAATGGCACCTAAGAAATACAACGGAAGATCGAACAGTAGCTATATCGCACCGGCCGCCGTGTTGCCCGAAAGGGGACCAGGTAATTTTATTATAAATTCGAGTGATTAAACTCTGCAGAGAAAACGTTTTTGATAGTTTGTTTTGGAGCATGCGTTGTGTAGGACGATGTTAGCGTACTCTGTGGAACAGGTGTGCCGTCCATGGGATCTCTTGGATCGGGCTCAGTGTGGTAGTGAACGCCAAAAATATTATTTTTTTGACTGCGTTACTGTAGACCGCGTCCTCTATTATAGCCCCTGCATTCCGTTCGGTATTATCATACCACTATTATGGTTACCAGATGCGAGCATCAATACTAATCTGCTTTAAAGTTATTATGTTCGTTTTCACTGTTGATTTCCATACGTGTCACGGACGGCAAAAAAAATAATTATTGTTATATAGTATGTGTTTTTATGTTCCGTAAAGTTTTTTTTTTTTTTGGAAACGTGGCTGTTTCTATTACAAAACGAGTTTATTTCCCTACCTCTCTCTTCCCTGGGTAAACTCGTACACTTAAGGATTTTATGTTTAGGTTAGCAATTTTTACAGTTACCTATAAATACAGGTAACTGCTCTACCGAAACGATGATGTGGAACAGTATTTTATTTTGTTAGAAATTAAGATGTATTCAGAAATGGTTTAAATTCAAAATACTCGTCTTTAAAATAAAAACTACTTTATTCTCTCGTCTTACAATATTATTTGAATCTAAATATTATCGTTATCTAAATGTCACTACAAAACATTAAAGGCATATTTTTCATAAAGATGTATTCTATACACTTATATTTATTGTAATAGTTTTTTTTTATATATATATCTAAAAGTTATAAAGACTGCATTTAAGGCACTATAGAACCTTAAGATATGTATGTAAAATCCCGAAATAATCTAGGTATCTAATTGTTTACAGATGCTGGAAATTGTGACAAATTAAACTCTGTATTTACTTATATTTACTTATATATAATTTATAAAATATTTTAAAATATAAATATAAATAATAGCGTGTAACAGCATTACAACATTTGTAAATTAAAAGCCATGTACTAGAGTAGTTAGCATTGATTGATTTTCATGAAAATGACTAAGCACCCATAATAGCTACATCAATGGTGTAACCAGAGGGGTATTGGGGGTTTAGGTGTTAGGGCACTCTTCCCCATCTGTGTATTATAAATGTATTGAAATTTGTTAAATATTTTTTTTTTATTGTAGACAATGTGACCCCTCTCTCCCCAAAAAAAAAAAAATATTTTTGTTGCGTTACTGATCTGCATCCTATGTGCAGTACCCATGTTTCCTTATACTATAAGCTATTTCAGGACTCAGGATTTCTGTTTCATTATATATATTTAAAAAAATATATACTAATTTTCTGACTTGTTGGATACATTTAAGAGTTAAAGAGTGAGTCTCTTGCCTTTAATATTCAACTGTCTACCATTTGATTTCCTAAATTTATGTATTATTTCAAAGATCAATTAATTATTCTTCATTTATTATCAATAGTTTATTTATGCTATTTTATATTTTCAATTTATTTTATTATTTAATATTTATACATTTCTCTACAAAATTTGTATATATAATATAAGATTTAAAATAAGCATATTTTATATTATTACATCATTTGATAATAATTTTTGTTTTACATATTTGTAGTCGAGGCATTGGTGTATTGGAGAGATCCTGTATCATCGGGCATTGTTTTTGGTGCTACGCTTGTTGTATTGCTGTCATTTATGTACATGTCATTGATTAGTGTTGTTGCCTATCTTGCGATTGTTGTGCAAACTGGATGCATTGCATTGCGTTTATATAAAACTGCATTACAGACAGTTCAAAAAACTACTGAATCGCATCCGTTCCAGTAAGTTCATACATTTTCTGAAATTAAAATTGCATTATTATAACTTATATGTATTAATATGTTCTATAGAGAATATCTAGATATGGATATCAGATTGCCACAAGAAAAAGCTGAAGAATTAGGTAAATTGGCTGTTGTACACATTAATGCAGTGTTGGTAGAATTACGTCGTTTGTTACTTGCTGAAGACTTGGTAGACTCTGCCAAATTTTTCGGTATTCTTTGGGTATTGACATATGTAGGTGCTTTGTTCAATGGTCTTACACTCATCATTATTGGTATGTAATAAGACTTTTTTCTTTTCATGCATTTCATTAAAATTTTCGTTTTTAGGATTTGTTGCTCTATTCACATTACCTAAAGTGTATGAAAACAACAAAACACAAATTGATCAAAACATTGAACTAGTTAGGAGCAAAATTGCTGAACTAACTAACAAGTAAGATTTAAAATAATGTCTCAATAAAATTTCAGATTACAATTAATATTGCTTGCAGGGTGCGAGCTGCTATTCCAATTGGGAAAAAGACTCCTGAAGCAAAGAAGAAGGAGTAAATACCTGGACTATCAAAGCCCATTTTCTCTTGGCCGATGATTAAAAAAAATTTAGGCCACTTTTTTTTTATATATATATATAAACATTATTAGACCATTGTTCTCCCAGTAAAATTAAACATTTATACTACATTTTGGATTAATTTTTAATAAATTATTATATAGTGGAAAATTGTATGTAGATAGTCCTATCAATATTACAATTTCATTATACTTTAGAATGTAATCATGTGAAGACTTGTGAGTTATTCTTTCATATTTTGATCTGGTCCAGCTTTTGCTCATTTTACTCTGCCCTCAAATATTACATAATTATTATTCCTTCAGCTATATAGCAAAGCAAGCTTAACTTTTAAACAATGCTATTTGTTTGTGTATACTTATATTTACTCTGTAAAATGCGTTAAAGTTATTTTTTTTTTATAGATTTTGTTTTAGATTCCTATTTCTATATAAATTAATAAGTAGGTTTAATAATTATTTTATAATTCAAACAGTTAATATTATCGAGTGTAGCTATATATTATTATCATTACATAAAAGTTTACAATGTCTTATTAAAAGCACACTGTTATTTTTGTTTTCAGTCTGGCAAAATTATTATTTAAATTGTACAATTTTATAACATTACAAACAAAAAGTACTCTTCAGTGGAATATTATACATACTAATGATTATTATTATTATTATTATTACTATTATTATTATTATTATTATACTTCTTTTTAAATGACTATTTAAATTTGTATTTAAAATCCTATTGAATAATATAGATTTCTTTTGCAGTGATTATCACTTTATTTTTTATTTATTTAACATTAATTTTTAAATTGTTTTGAACCTTTAATATATTAATTTATATGCTATAAGTTAATTTGCTCTAGATTTAATTCATTATTTAAAAAACTTCTTTAACACAGCAGAGTAATTTATATTTCATTCACTTATTAATTTATTAGCCCTTTCACTGCTCCAGCCGTACAGTTACATTCAAAATAATTGCTCTATTTATTACTCCAGATTTACTGTTACATTATTTTGTATAGGAATCAAAATAAGCAGGATTAAAACAGTGGTTGTACTAAAAAAACAAAGAGTAAAATAATGAATTGAACATGTCTGGTATCCTCATATTCGTGGCTATGAGACATCTATAATTATTATCATAATATGTTGGTTACCAAAATTGTGCAAACATTTTTTGGTTTTTTTTTTCTGGAGCTTATACAGTTAGCAAAGCATAAGTGGTATAGCAGTGAAAAGGTTAAGTACAGTTATATAATATGTGAAGTCCTAATGTTCATTTGGACAATTTTGAAAACACTTTTTTAAACTGTAAACAGTAAAAAATTCCTAGTTAATAAAATAATTTAAACACATACATATTTACATTTTGGCTATATATTTATTATTCTTAAAATTATTTAAAATAACGCTATTGATTTTAATGTTTACCTATTAATGTGCATAGGTTATTCTAAGTAATTTTTTACTTCAAAATTATTTTTGTATAACTTTATTCTGCTATTATTGAGAAACTGATTTGTTGTAGCAAATACTAGATAGTAACTATGTATTAAATTAAATACACATCAATATATTACAATGTAATAAAATTATAATAGCTCATAAATGTACAAATTATATTAATTTAATTACTATAATAGTAAACACATGGACATGATATATCTTATATCATCCTATAATTATGAAAAATGTCCCTAGTGATTTAAATAGTTCAGGAACCACTTACAAACGCGAGACATAACATAATGCTTTTAGTATAACCTATTTTGTGCCGTTAGTTTTAATATTTAATCAAATTAACTTATTACCAAATTTAAAGGTAAGAAGATAATACATACCATAGTGTTCATGTTTTTTCGATATTTTAAATTTTAAGCAAGATATAATCATTTTTAAATTATGATATTTAACATACTCATATCTCATTTAAAAATTAAAAATATTGAAAAATCATCAGCACTAGATTACATGTAATTTTAGTAATAGGTTCAATTTGCTTTAATATTAAAACTAACGGCACAAAATGTGTCCTACGGTATACAAATTTCTTTTATCTCGTGTTCGTAAGACAGACAGAAGATGTCAGTGTAGCATCCTCTTAATACATAATTCTTGATCAAATATCAAATACAATTTAAATCTTTTTCGTCTTTATTAAGAATTAGGTTTAAATTAAATTTTAAATATTACCTACACCTTTGCACATTGAAAAAATTGTTGTGAATGGATTATGAATTTTATTTTTATATAAACATTAAAAAAAAAAAAACTGATGCCTTTACATGACCATGGCAATATACATGATATCCTATAGTATTATCCAAATGCTATTAACTTTGTCAATGTTCATTTTAGATTCTGAGTGGACTGAAGAAGCTTATGGTTTTACAGAAATGTTTATTTTTTTTTTCTATGGATAACTTTTCTACCAGAGAACTTGCTCTGATTTGTACGTGTAGTAGTTTATCTCAAAAGAAATTAATGCAGAGGGATACCTTAGAGAAGTAGTTTTTTGATTTTCTCAAGAGTTTTCTCATACAATGTGAAAAACAGGAAAATGTAGAAAATATATTTGTATAATACTATGTTTTTTTTTCTGTGGACAACTTTTCTACCAGCAATTTTGATCCAACTAATAATCACAATTTTTCTGTAAGGAAATTTTACTGAGAAATTACTTTAGAGAGTTCGTTATTCGATTTTCTCCGGAGTTTTCTCAGCAAATGTGAAAAATGTAGGGAAATTGGTACATCATTAAATAAATATTAAAGAAAATATATAAAGCACTTTTAATTATTTTACTACAATATGGCATATATATTATTGACAAAGCATCACTATTAACTGAACTTTGCTCAGAATCGTTATTTTCATAAGCAGTGCTATTGTTGCTTACAAGTATACATTAAACTGCCTATACCAGTGGCTTCAACCGTTCCCATTATCCTAGCACGTCTTTTTTGTATTCTATTTTATTTTATTCTACTATATTATATTATTAATTTTTTTTCATTTTTATTCTGTTAAATATTCATTGTTTTCAGTTTTTTCACACCTATTTAAGACCATTACCTATTTTTGATTTTCAAATGGCAACCTGTATTAGAAGTTAAATAAATAGATGAAGTATTAGTCATAATAAATTTCGACATTGAAATTTTTGATTTCCGTCAACCCGTTGACGTAGTGAAGAATGCATTCGTTTTACTAAGAAGTTTATTTTATATTTTATCTTGTGTACAAAAATTCGACCATAATTCTTGCTAAGACATACTCGCGGCACCATTTCTGAAAGGGAATGTTGTCCCGTTTGGTACTTTTTGAAGTTCATTTTTTGATTTTCCAAGCGGTTTTTTAAAGCCCTTGAGTGGGAAAATACGTAGGAAAACGTACAATTTCAAGATTTTATTATTTTATAAAAACGGATGACGTTTTTCTACCAGAAAAAATGATTTAATCGAAAAATCACAAGATACCTTTTTTTGTTGCCTTTTTGATTTACTTTTCTTACGGTTTTATTGCCAAAACTTTTGAGCTTTTAAGGAATTTTAATTTTTGGGAATTTGTTTGCTGTAATCCGGTTATAAATACACGTAGAGACTTAAAACTTGGTAATAATACTTATATTGGACTTACCTAGACGTAGTAAAATCCTAAATCATCGGACGACTTTTCTTTTTTTTAATAAACGTTTTGAAATCAAATTTAAATGAAAATCGCAAAAAAAAATACGGCACTTCAAATTATGTATTACCGAACTGCGCTCGGAATCGTCTTTCGTTAAGCAATGGTTTATCGATGCTTACAGATATAAATGAAATCCTACCTTCCCAACTTCTCACCTACAACAATAGCCACTCCCATCACCAGTAACAGCTCTTTTTTTTTTAAATTAATTATTTAAATTACCTATACGTATTAAATTATAATTATTAATTTATAATTAAATAATCATAATTTTAATATGAAGCGGATTTTGGCACCAACTTTTAGTGTTTCCACTAATTCTTTATTCACAAAAAAAAAAATAAAACATCAGCTTCTATGTAATACAAACAAATAACATTTTTTTTAAATATCTATTTTTTTATCTAAATAAAAATATAATTATATTTTATCTAAATCTAGATATTTTCAATTTTTTTATTAATTATCTTTATCTAGATAAATTTTGCATTATCTATTCTCAATAAAACTGATAGACTATAGACATATTTTACAAATATAGCTTTCTATTATATTATTTATTTACGTAGCACAGTTATCTATCTGCACATTTAGATAACTGTATTACGTACTTATACCTATCTTAGCCCATGATTATCACAGACTTTTTTTTAAATATACTAAAATTAACTGCAAAAATTATCATTACTAAAACTTAAAAAACAAATTTTGAAAGAAGAAAAAAATGTCGGGGAGGGGGGGGGTGGTTATACCCTAGAACCTTACCCCTGCTTGCGCCACTGGAAAGGTAGTACTTTTATCATAGCTGTTACAAAACTTGGAAAAATACAGTTCATTATGTCATAGATATATTCAATTTAATTTAAAACAACATTTATAGCAAAATACATAATATATTATAGGCAATATTATTTATATACATATATTATGTATTATATATACACAAAATATAGTTTCTACATATATTATAAGTAATTATATAAACAATAGAAAATGTACCCACAACAAGCATACACACATGCAGGTACCTATATAAATATTATTAAGTCCAGGTAGCTATCTATAATAAATATTCGGTTTTTTTTAAAAGTTAAATTGGTATATACATATAATATTATTATATGTAAGTACTTTTTGTGGGTCGATATTATATTGTATCACTATATGCAAGTGTATGGAACAAGTTTTTGAACTTTATGCACATTTTCATGTGCAATATGATGCTAAGCGTTGCCTTTGTATAATAAATACCTACCTACCTAAAAGCCCCAAGAAGATCATGGTCGGCGCCGATTTATAGTGTTTTTGTCTGAACCACTCCGCTAAGGCTACGAAAACGTCTTTTGGCTAACGACGGGACAGAAGCTGTACACATACGAATTGGCGTTGTACGTGGCCCGCACGAGATCAACATCCAAGTAATAACAGTGGCTGCCGATAACGCTGTTGTTGTACACTACCTCGTTGGCCACTGTCCGAACTTCCTTGTCGTGATGGTCAACGATGCGTTCTGAAATACATTCAACCGTACTTTCCACCATTTTCCGTGCGGTAATCAGACCGTACGTGTCATTGTAAAGAGCATATTTCCTGGCACACAAAATCATGTCGTAGATGAACGCATGGCAGGCGACAGGTGAGCTCACCGTCCGTTCACTGTACGTGACCGCCGTGTCGGACATCCTGTACACCTCCCCATGGACGGCCATCACACTTGGGTTCAGTACAGTACCGCCGAATTGCCAAAGCAATACCAACTGCACGACGTATATGGCCATTGACGGACGTTTGCTCAAATCCATTCCTTGGTACGGCGTACATTCCAAACATTCCTCCAGGTTGATGTCCACTACGTTCAGTCGGTCACTGCCATACTTAATCGTCAATTCGGCCAAACTTGACGTCAACGACACCTTTGAAATCAATAATTATATTAATTTCGTTTTTAATACATAAATTAGGCTTGGGATGTCTATGCACTAAACAATAAATAAAAAAGCTGAATATAGCTAGGTCAGTAGCGAATTTACGAGGGAGGAAGATTGCAGGGGGTCTGAATCCTCCAGAAACCGATACAATTTCAATAAAATGAATCAAAAAAGAGGAATCTATTGAATGATATACCATTTAAATACGTATGACTTTTTAAGATCACTCCCGGAAAATGTTTAAAATCCACCACTGAGGTAAGTAAATTAAAATATTATAATGTACTCTTTTCTTATTTATAGCAGTTACCAAAATTTCAAAATTAGTGACCGTTTTTCAAATTGTCTCCAATATTGTAAAATTAATTATTGCAAATTATTTATATTTGAACAAGACTTGTTCACTAATCTACCGTCTAGTACTCATTTAAGGTACGTCTATCTGTCACCGATAAATCGCCTTTTTGACTTTGAATTATCATCATTTTAGATTCTAAATGGAGCGAAGAATGTATTGAATTTACGATCTTTTTTCCTTTTTTTCTGTGGACAACTTACCTACATAATGTATACCTACATAATTATAACGAACTTACCGGATGTATTTTTTGTTGGCCATTGTATAGCGGTCGTTCAAATTCAATACCGGAAATAACGAAAACGTTAACGCGACCGTTTTTGCCTATGTTTCTTAAGACAGATTCCAGTGAACACGAGGATAGCCAGGGGATGTGCGTGGTATTCATAAACACGAAATGCACGTCACTAACTCTAATATCCAGACTCAATAGTTTGGACACTCGGCGGTCAGTGTCCACGTAGCCGGTATGTTCCAGCGAGTCTAGGTTTTTGAATAAGGTTGAACAGAATTCTCGGGTAGTCACGTTCTCGACCACTGGTGATTTCTGGGCATATAGGGTAGACGGTACCGAAACGATGCCTTTATCAGACGAGAGCATTGACTTCGGGGACAATTCAAACCCAAGCACCATGTACGTAGCCATCACAAAAAAAAATACGAACACAAACATCAAACCAATCCACGTGAATAACCTCATAAGTTGATCAGGTACTGCGGTCATTATTTTCTGAGCGCCCTTGTTCACGCCTTTCATATAAATTAAGGAGTCGCCGACTTTCAATTTAGCGTGACATTTCCGGCACCCTTTCATCTATAAAATATCGAATACATATATTTATATAATTTTAACCAACTCTCTATACTTTAAATGTTTTTCGTATAGTTATATTTTGGCCTTTTAAGATAATTTGTATATTTGTCATTTGTACATCTATATATTATATATATACAAAAGTAGTTATACACTTACTTTGAAGCTTCAATAATTATGATTAAGTTTTTCCATATGAATAAATAATTCGTGACGTGTACAATTTGTCATCTAAAATTAAATACATTATATTGTTTAAAATATTTTTATATTATAAAGTCATTTATTCGCATGTTATTTTTAAAGCAACTTTATAGTGTATACTATACACAAATATTCTGCCATATTGACGGGTTTTTCTAGAGTTATTTCGTTCAATTTTTTAAAAAAAAAATTTACTTCTCCTTTTTCTGAGGGGATATTTATTTAGAGAAAAATTAAATTTGTATATCCATCAACTAATTTTTTTAAAAAATAATAACTTTATTTATTCATCACTTAAACAATTTTCCAAATAGCTATTTTGTAAAATATATTATTCTAAAAAACTTAATGTATCATATATTCATATCTGATCATTAGTTTCTTAGTAATAGCCGCTTCGATTTCTAGAGAAAGGGTGTGGAATAATAAAACTATCACGTAAGGTAATGTGATAAAAATATTAAGACAAGTAGATTTAAAAACAAAAATAATTAAAACGTGTAATAGCATTATAAAATACTTAGGCATACTCTTAGATTGAAAATGTTCATATTATATACATTTTTTAATAGAATAACTTGTCTCTCTTATATCCATGTCATTAAAGACACTTTCTGATCTACTACTTAAAATGAGTTTCCGCGTACCACGTTGACACATAAGAAACTTAGATTTATTTACAATTCCTAATTATAATACCAACAGGGGTAAAAATACATTTTTTTCAAGAATATTTGTTTTATCTTTAGCTAATAATATTTCCGCCAGATTAAATTTTTTTGTAATACTTCACAACATATTTAAATTTAAGGCTTAATTTTAAGCAATGTCATTTGCGATAAAATAATACAAATTTGAATAATTTTATGTCATTATATAATTTGGTACAAAAATTCGAGTTTTTTAAAAATTGTAGGAAACTGTAGAAACGATTTTTAATACAAATTTATTTTGTACAGTTTTTTTTTTCAGTGATAATGAAAATACAGAAAAAAAAATGAAATCTTAGAGGAGACAGTAAATATGTCGATACAAGTCTTACCAATAATTATAAATCTAGGACTACGGGTACCAGCTGGTACCTGTATACATACATACATACACACATACATAGGTATAGTATAATAGATATATTATGGTACTGGCCAATGATAAATAAATAATAGTAGAAATAAACAACAACATTAATGTTGTTTCCAAAAATTAAATAAAAATTATTGATAAATTATAAAATCACAAAAAAATTAACTTACACGTTCAAGTTAAGTTTTCGATCTTGTGTGGGGGGCATTGATATGATTATTCACATTGTCACATTGATAATTATATATAATCACGGTACAGTACCTAATCTTAAACCTCATAGAATATGAATAGTATTATATAGTTTTAGAATATTTTTAATGAACGCAAAAATATCGTTCCACTATAAATGAAATTAGTATATTGCAAAAAAAAAAAAACCGAATTGATTATAACACCACGTACAATCGACTAACAGTGAAAATATTATGAACAACACCTATACTAATAACATCAAGTGAAATTAAGAATTAACAACATTTTCCTGTTGTCACGTATAACCATACACATGTTTACTATTTATGCGTTTGTTTAAAAATATAAAAGACAGATGAGCAAATGCATAATAAAATGATTAATATGAGAATGAATTTAAATCAAAACGGATTCGATTTAGTAGGTTAAGTAGGTATCAAAATATAATGAACTTATCTAACCGTCTATAGTAGTTACATTACCCATATACTATACACTAAACTATTAGTTATTACACACATTTTTAATAAAATAATCGTTTGTGAATTGTCTGAGTTCAATACAATATTATTTACTAAATATATATTTTACCTTAGTTAAACACTTACATAGAGGCTAAAATATATTATACATTTACGTACTCCATGCTTTATGTCAAACACTACTATATCATAGATATCATCACCCACCACCCCCGCAATGAATTATTTCAGTTTTTTATAGGGGGTGGGGGAGGGGTAATTTTTGATCAGAAAATTAACGAAAAAATAACCCTTAACAAATTAATCTCAATTTAAATTTTCTTGTATGTATTATCATAATATAAAGACAGATAGCCCATTTTCTTTTTTTAATAGACTGGATTCTAAATTCATATAGTACCTACCTTAAAGCCGTTATTTTAGATTTTCTCAGAGAGCCTAAATTAATATATTACAAATATTGGTAATTTGTTAGCTGACCACTTGGTGTAATTAAACAAAATGATCGATAATAAAAAACCAGTGAAACTAAATCCCATAAAAAAATCCTACAAAAAGAAACCAATGAAATAAAATTTCAGCGAAAAAAAGACTGACAACCAAAAATTTAAATATTGAAAGTTTGAAAAAATACAAAAATTATATAAGTAGCTAATTTATAGAAGTGTTGGATTGAATATTTATATTATGTTTTGGCCTATATTATATTACCTATATATTTTTACCTACTAAAAAGATAAAACTGATAAAATTAGGTTAAATAACTAAAAATTAGATAAAATGTTTTATTTAATCTACACTCGTGTAAAGTTTATGGGTCAACAAAAAATTAATAGTAGATTTCTAAGAATTATTTAATAGGTACCTACTATAAAAGTTTAATAATAATAATACTAATTTAATACCTGTACATTGAAAATCAAACAAAATAAAGCAGAGTTAGTACATTTAACCGATATAATTTCAATTTATACAATATTTTTATTAGGTACGTAACCCAATTTGAACTTATATCATCAGATTCACATCTACACATTCGCCTATACACGTCCATTATTAACATAGTTGAGTATATACATTAGAAGTTAGAAATTAAACAAACACTCAAATGTATTTAGGTAATAAATTAGGTAATTACAACACATATATAAAAAATACAATTTCGTTTTTAATATCTATACTTATCTATACATATATACCTATTACCTATATATACAACATATAAAATTTCTACTATGCATATTTTTTTAAATTTATAATAATATTATTCACAGGAAATAAAGGCTGTAATAAATTTTAACTAATAGCTAAATTTCTTATATTTTCCCGTTTTTCTTTATTTTTTATTCGGTTTTTAGCATTTGATAAGAAAACTCAAAAGAAAATCGAAAAATGACCTCCCCACATCGATTTCCTTTCAGAAAACGTGTTAAACTTTAAAAATCTGAGCAAGTCTTCTGGTAGAAAAATTTCAAACAGATAAAAAAAACATCTTTGTAAAACCATAAGCTTCTTCACTCCACTCAAAATCTAATATTGAATAGAACAAAAGTTATTTCAAGTGGCAAATCATCGTGGGACACTCTTTATATAAATACATGTGACTGGTAAAAACTTACGAACACAATTATATTAACTGTAATTTCTAGTAACTATTAATTTGTATTGTATAAGTAGGTAACATAAGTAATTATAATGCATACCTAATATATTATAACTTAATATTTTAAACTACCTACACAAATATTATATACATCTTTTAGATTCTGCGTGAAGCGAGGAATGTCGAATACATTCATTTACAATAATTTTTTTTATTATTATTTCTACATTCTATGTAAAAAGACCAATTTGTAAATTTTTTTTCTATGTATTCCTTCATTTAAATTTTATATTCAATTGTGTTTTACATTTTGACTGTGATATACCTGATGATGAATTTTCACTTATCATAATACTCCAGGCGACGCATTCATTCATTTATTTATTTCATTTTTAAATTGTCATTTATATATTTATTTACTTTATTTATTTATAAGTATTAATCATTTTAATAATTTTGTTTTTACTTTATTATTTTATTTATGTCTTTTTTTTTTTTGTACTCTGTACGAAATTTTTTTTATAAATCTTGCTTCAATCAAAACATGACAAGAGACCTATTTGTTGAATTTTGTCTCGAGTATGTTGGACATTTTTTTAAATTCTTATTTATATTCGAGATGATGAGAAAAAACTGGTTCTTTAGGTTAAAAAGATTAAAAGATTAAAAATAAGGTCATTGATAACCGTTTTTATTAATTTTTTTTTATTATTAAGTTTTTAATATTTTAATATTTTTTAAACAATTGTTGGTTTTATGTAAACGCACATTTGTTAAAAAGTAATACTATTGACAAAACTTCACTCAGAATCGTTTTTCGCTAGCAATCATTAATCGTTGCTTACAGATATAAATTAAATTTCTCTCTATATTCTACCTTCCAAACTTCTCACATACAACAGTGACACACCCGTTATGCGAAGTATGTCTGTTTTTTTTTTTATTAAATATATACCTACGTATTACGATTTTATTTACCTATCGTTATTTTTCTTTGTTGCTTCATTAACGATTGTCAAAAGGACAAAAGGTTATCAAATTTAAATATTAAACTTATCAACGTATTTCACATAAGTTCTAATTTTAGTATTGTTATTATAATATTACCATTTTTGAATATCTGTAACAGCATACAAACTACATAAATGTTATCGATTATCTAATATGATATTTTCAGCAAAATGTATTTATATTATAAATGTACATTGGTGTTTAGATTATATTATTAAAATTGTAATAATCTCGTTAATATACAAAATTATTTTTTTCTTATTAAAGAAAAATGTATTATTCAAATATTAAAATCCTGATGGGTATAATATTTTGTAGGCTGCATCCGAATTATGTACCAAAAAAAAAACGATGTTGGTGGACAAGTGATAAGCAAGTTGCGTGCGCGGTTTTTTAATGACAAAGTCGAATTGCGTGCGATTAGCTGTGTTATTATAATTTTTGTACAAGTAAACTGTATATAGTTCAACGATTTATAACTTTTGATGATCAGGCAATAATTAAGTTCGATTTCGAACACCAACGACAAAAAAAAAATGTATATCATGTACAATGAAAAAAATTTAAAAATTATACATTATTAATAGATGTAAAATTTTAAATAATAATATTGAGAGGTGAGCAATGAGCATGCACAAAAATAATATGTAAATCTTATTTACTTAAAAATTCAATCATTTGGCCTAAGTAAATTTTTTTAAAATTTAAATCAAAAAATCAGAGTATTTATAGGAGAAAAGTTTTTCGCAGAATCTAAAATTTAAAAAAAAAACCGCATTCGAAACTCGACCTATATTACCCATAAAATCCACACGCAATTCGAAAACACCGATTCCGTAAACGTAATTATATAATAATAAATAAAGTAAATAAATATATAAATAAAAAATGTATGTATAAAAATAAAATAAATGAATCAATCAATGCGTCGCCTGAAGTATTATGATAAGTATATTATACGACCAGTTTCGAATTAAAATTTCATCATCAGGTATATCACAATCAAAATGTAAAACGCGACTGAATCTAAAAAAATAAATGGAGGAATACATAGAAAAAAATTATACAAATTGGTCGTTTTACATAGAAATAATTTATTTTAATAGGAGAGATTATTTAAAATTAGTTATTATTAGACATACATACATTAAGAAATATAAACTATTTGGTTATTATTTATTATCTAAAATGTATTGAAATAAGATATTATTTTTAAAATCGGTTTGAACATTTAAAATATTATTAAAATTATTTTTCTTTATTTCATTGTGTATGTGTAATTCTACTAAAACTGAATGCAATATTAATTAATAATACAATTAATGCAATATTTTTCTTAATTAAATAAAATGTATTACAGCAAATTGTAACACATTGATTCATTTATTTATTTTATTTTCATATATACGTTTTTTATTTATATATTTATTTACTTTATTTATTTACGAGTATTATCCATTTTAATATTTTTGTTTTTACTTTATTATTTTATTATATAATAATACTTAATAGGTATTCTAATATAATACAAGATGACTCACTATAATAAATAGGCAACTATATTTTAGTACCTATTTGATAACTGATGTACCTACGTAACTACAGGTACCTATTTATTTAATTTTTGTAATTAGGTATACTAATTATAATATTTATCAATATTTTTTTTGTTAGGTATGTATATATAATTTTGAAATTCCATTTTTATATCATCTTTGGATTTTGAAATAAAAATATTATAATTTAAAAAGGTTAATTTTTATTAAAATATTGAAACACGATATGATAATTTAAAAATTAGGTATTAAAATGAAAACAAATTATCGGTATTATCTATTGAATCGGAGTTTTTAAAACAAACCAAAACGCTTATAGTTTAAAAATTTAGACAGTAGGATAGACAGATTTTACAATACCTAATGTAAAAAAAATCAAATATCCTCATGAAAGTTCAGAATAATAATTGAATAAAATAAAATATATGGCATATATATTATTCGTAATTTATAATGTTGATAAAAATATTTTTTAGTGTAAAGGTGAGTTTCTATCACGTTTATTAATACGTGCACATTTACAGCAACACGTAAACAAAAACGTGAGGTAGAAAATAGATACATGTATGTATTCGATAGAATACATTAATTAAACAATTGTAATTAAACTTCATTTCAAATTTCAATTTTTCAATCATAAAAATATTATCTTTATGCAATTTTATAAAAAAAATATTAATTTTTTTGTAAATTTTAATATTATAGGTAAGTACAGTGATGGTTTTACTCCAATTTTAAACTATTAATTAGGTTGTCATTGAAAATTTAAATAATAGATATATTTTGCACGATGGATGGACGACTATTGTTAATGAGAAGTAGGGAAAGTAGGATATACAGAGAAATTTAATGTTTATCTGTAAGCAAAGATTAATGATCTCTAATGAAAAACAATTATAAACAGAGCTCAGTTAATAGTATTACTTTTTTAACAATATTTATATCATAATATAAGCAAATAAATTTAATATATTTAATGTAATGAATTACACATTTGTTTCATAGGTAGTCAAAATATATTCCTCTGATACAATTTCATATTTTTAATTGATCTATAATATTCACTACGAATATTTTTAATTAAATTATAAAAGCATATTTTCGTAAATTTTCTGTTTTTCCAAATTTTTATCCAAGTTTTCCCAATTATTATGAAAGTCGCTTGGAAAAATAAATAATGATTAGCCTAGAGTACCACGTAAAAAAAATTTCCTTTTAGTAAAGGTCCTACACTTGATATATCAGAGCAAGATTTCTGGTAAAAAATATCACAAACATCACACAACAAATCGAAGGGTATTTTTCGATTAAAATTGTCCGAGCGAGCGACGATTTGAGTCTCTAAGTGCACTTAAAATGCATTTATTTTTTCCCTATTACCTACTGACGTGTTTTGAAAAAAAAATTTTTGGAACTCTGGTTTGAACTTGTGATATCTATGATAACAACAGATGTAGGTTACACTACAACAGATATACTATACATAGACAATATTGAGTTATTTAACATGCCTAACACATAATATCAGAATTTTAAAAATCTATAATTTCGATACTAAGTCAGTCCGCTCAATTCTGACTCCAGCATCGCTCTTAAATCGACAAAACAAAACAAATTAAAAAATTTGCATGGACTAGTAACTAGATTTGTTCCACAAAACTTTTTATTCAAACAATTTTCGTTAAAATTTGATATTAATATTTCTTTAAAACAAAATAATATTACATTAATTAAACTCATTTTTTTTTTGACATTTCTTATTTAAATTTATTTAACGAGATTTTTGTTAAACATTGATCAAAATTTTCTATTTCAATATTTAAAAACTAATTTTGGAGTGATCACCCTAGTTTCTCACTCGTTTTACATTATACTCATAAATGATACTAAGTAATTTTTGAAAAAAATTGTTTTCTTTAGCAAGGTCTTCCTATTTTCACAATAAATTCGATTTTTCCACTGAATACTCCCCTAAATACGCCCTTGTAATCATTAAATGTACTCATCTATGTACAATTTAAACCGTTAAATATATTTAGGCATTAATTTGATAATAATATGATTTAATTGATTCAATTATTTAAATAATATTAATAATGTTTAATCAGTTTGTTTGGGTTTTATCGCAGTCCAAGTTTAGTTTTTAAATTCAATGAATTCATTAAATTATAATTATTAATAGCATTCATTACTAGGTTTTTTCATTAATAATACTGTTATAACATTGCTAGATGTTCGGCAATTTACTTTTCTGAGTTAATGATCAAAATAATAATTAATGATGAATAATAATAGTATATCCATAATACCCAATTAAATATTTTATCATGGGAACAATACCTATTGTATCATTTTCCCGACGACCAGATATAATATAACTACCTAATAGGTAGGTATTTTAAACGATTTCGCGTTTTGTTTATTTGTTTATACATTTCAATACAATAATGATTTTTTTAAAACTATGATGAACTCAATAAATAGCAGTTATTATAAGTTATATGTACACCGAAATACTATTTACGCAGTACCTAGGTACTGTTGGTAGGTATTTAAAAAGTAAATATGAATAATTAATAAAAACATATTACGAGTACCTATAAGAAAAAGTTAGTTTAACTTGTATCAAAATAAAAAGAACTATGCTTTTAATATGTCAAATACAACATTTGTAAATTAACTACCTAATATTATATTACCATATAAATATATTATAATATAAATACCTATGATAAGCATTAACGCATGGTTGCTACGAAATTCCATTTTTAATTTTCCTTGACTTTCATGTTTTTTCAAGGTAAGGTTTACCGAAGTATATACATCTTCTTTTTCTTCTTCATCTTCTTTGCCTTCATTCAAACTATTTGGGCTCGGTCATTTTCGTTCTAAACTTCCACTTGACCCGATCTCCCATCTCGCATTCACCAGCTGTCTTCATATCATTCTCAATCGCATCCAACAACCTAGTTTTTTTTTTTTTAATAGATGATTTACTGAATCCCTATCAGAATTTTTTGCTATGATTTATCGTTACAGTAATAAATAAGGCACGGATTTTTACGTAAATATATAATTTGATTTAAAGCAAATTTCTTATTTCTCATTAAAAATAAGCAAATTTCATCACACTCTAAATAAAATAAGACCTTTTTGTTTTAAATATTTTGATGTAAATGCATATTTTAAATACTTGTCAATTAGTACATATTTCGTAAATATTTCATGTAGGTACTCATAATATGTAAAATGTAGATACATATTAAATTTAATAGAAATATCAACAATAATTACAACTGTTATTATACTTGAAATTTTATCCAGAGTGATAATTAAAAATAAATTTGATTACGTACTGTTTACAAAACATAAAATCTATAATAAATATTCTTCTGAATAAAAATGAAAACATATCAACGGGAATTTATTGAATATACACCATCTGATATATTATTAACTATGAAATATGTTCCATTATCCTCAATCGACGTTGCACGATCTTTCAGCCACTACAAATTAATTTTGAGAGCTAACCGCCATTCATTTAAATAAAAAAACTCAATTATACGTTGTTTCCAAGATAAACATAAATATTTACATTTTTAAATGACATAACTCAAATAATAATCTTATATTATAAAACGGTTTTGCTATTAATGCTAACATTTTTCTATTTTTGTTTTACATTTATGGGGTTAGTGAGTCCAGTCCCCTCGTTACCTAGGTATTTATGTGTGTGCGCGTGTTAATGAAATCGTCCCTGCCAAGAGATCACTCAAGTGCATTACTGTAGCTATTAGTTATACGACAATAATCTGAAGACTGTAATATTTGTGTAAATCTTATTTTCCGTATATCCTTGATATTTAATAATTATTTAACTTCAATTTTAAAATATCTATAATATTATAACCATAGAAGATTTCTTTATGTAGGCTATAGGTACAATCAGTGGCGTATCCAGAATTTTTTTTTTTATTTTTGGTGGGGGAGGGGTTGAAAAAAATGTAACAAATGAAATTTTTTCGAATTTTTTGTGTATTTTGATCAAACATTAAACATTTTATTACTATTTTACATCGCTAATTATATAAAAGTTGAAATATTTATCTTTTTTAAAAATTATAAATGTATATTCATTTTTTGTTTTGATGTTTTAGCAAGTTCATCGATAACATCATTGATATCCACATTGATATCGCGATGAATATATTTTAGTAAGGTTAAGCCATTTAAACGTATTTGTCCCGAAGAATTTCTGAAATGTGATTTTAAACGACGGTGTGTTGAAAACGATCGTTCTCCCATAGCAGTAAATACAGGAAGTGTTATGAATATTTGAAGAAGTTTAGATATTACTGAATTAACACTTGGACTAGTTTGGAAGTATACTTCAATAGTATTTTTGTTCTTGAGTTCGGAAGATGTTACATTTGAATATTTAGTGTACCATAAATCTAATTCTCCATTTAATATATCATCATTTAAATTTGAATCGTTACATTCATCAATCATATCTTGATGTGTTTCTACTAATTGTTTGAATTTACCTTTAATATCTTCAAATATTTTCATTTCTATCTTAGGTAAATACAATCAAAACTATTAAAAACAATCCTGTGCGATTTAAATCTCTCGTTTAATTGGTTTAAACAATTATCTATAAAAGTTATGAATACTTAAAAAAATATTCTGGATCATCTGATTTAGATTGACGTGACAAACTAATAGTAATATCCAATTTTTCACAGACAGTTATTACGGATAAAAATAATTGTTGAAACTCTATATCAAAATTTTCTCTAATATCCTGAATATTATTTTGAACATTAGCAGCTTCTAATGCAGTTTTTAAATCAAGATTAATTATTTGAAGATATCGGCTAAGTGGAAAACATATGAAAGTATTTTCACTAAAATAGAAAAATCTGTTTGAAATTTTAACTGTTATATCGCAGTATGAAAATGACTAGTAGAACTAGAAGTTTCAGAATCTGTCCAAAGTGCAATTGTATCTAGTGTATGTAAAATGGCTGGTTGGAGTTCTTCAAATAATAAAACTGCATCATGGCAATCGACCCATTGAGTTTTTTTAGTTTAAAATGATTAGTCTGTGGACATACTTCTTTTATTCACACCTGCAAATTACTTTGTTTTTTTGGATCACCGAAAGCGATAACCAATAACCATAGAGCTACTATTATAATATACACACTACACTAGACTGGACTTGTTTATTATTAATTTGTATTATTTATGTAAACTGTTAAGTGTAATAACACTTTATTCTTATTTCTATTTTATTTTTTTTTTATTTCGAAGACATTTCGGGTGGGGTTACAACCTCCTGACCTCCCCCCCTTCTGAATACGCCACTGGGTATAACAGTTATAAGTTATTATATTATAATATTACACAGTAACACAGATTAATCAAAAGACATTATTCATATTGTTGATTTTAAATAGGAACTAATTAATGTAAAATCAATATTATACTATATGGGTAGGTATTATCGGTTAGTGTTTAATTATTTTAATGAACACCGTATCAAACCATCATATCATCTTATCTACAAAACTTTTACAATCCCCCTCCGCCAAGACGCCTACTACATTGCAGGCCGCGAACGACAACCGGTCGCAGTTATCACAGTTTTTAGTTTGCAGCAGTCATCAGTCAGCCCAGAGCCGTTCTGGTCTTTGGTTTAGCTCTTTGTCGAGGTTGACGTTTACTTATTACTACGATCGTTTTTGATCATCTACCTGTGATTTATCGAAACTATAAAAAAAAACGACTATATATTTCTTACGAATCGTGTATAATAAATCGTAAGTATTTAATACTATTATTGTATTCGTATTACTATACGCCCATACAATATATTTGTTATAATTATTTTGTTTAATTCATTACCTAGTACCTATTCATTTTGTATTTATTACTGATATTAAACAGATCTGCACCATGGTTTTATACAACAAACCCAAGGTGGAGAAGCGCAAGCAAATCAGTGTTAAGTCCATCTCGGATGTCGAGGATGTCGTGGCCATGAAAAAAACATTTAACCGACATCTCCACTTCACCCTTGTCAAAGACAGAAATGTGGCCACTATCCGGGACTATTATTACGCGTTGGCGCACTCGGTCAGGGACAGCTTGATTTCACGATGGATCAGGACGCAACAGCATCAGTATCTGCTCAACCCAAAGGTGAGTGTCATCCGTTCGGTACATAATAATAGTGCCTTTAAGAACACGCATTCAATGGTGATTGCGTAATACCTATTATGAGGGACCACAGACCCGCGAGTACCTCCGAAATAGGTGAATCGAATATTGCGGGGGAAAAAAAATATATCGAAGAGATTAATTTTTCTAATCAAAATCGTACATTCTGTAGTATCACCCCATATTATCTAAGACAAATTTAATAAAAAAAAAATGTTCGACTGACGAGTTCGATTGTATTAGTTGATTAAGGTACCTAGGTAGATATTGTATTTTATAAGTGACTGTATCAAAAACTAAAATCATAGACTTTTAACTACCTATAGGTATACGTTTAGGTATTTCCAATTTCCTATAAAGCCATTGGCTAATATAAATATATACACGTTACAAAAATTACCTATACACTTTTTTTACAATAAGTAGGTATTCACCTGCTTACCAAATGATGCGTTTGCGATTTTAAATAAAACAAATTAATTTTTATTTTTGTTCACCTCTAAACGATTTAATCGGACATTTTAATGAAATTAAACACGCTAGTGGGCATCTACTTATTATTATTACATAGTTCCCTTTGAAAATTTTCCGATTGTTGTTCTCTAGATTATTATTCTTTTTTATATACCTAAGAATAACATAAATACAAAAATGCTAAACAATTATATTACCTTAATTTCAATAATGTATTATATTATGCCAATTATTGTGACTTTATTGTATTTTCTCCATTTCATTTTAAAAACTAAAGAATAAAAATAGTGAATTACATTAGGTGTTATAATAATAATATTATGCTTATTTTATTAGTTTTCTCCATAGAATAACTGGATTTCTTAGTTTGAATTGGACCGACCTTTTACGTTAAATATTATAATAGTTAAATTTACTAAAATTACGAATAAAATGGAAAAATTGGTAAACTTTAAATCCCTAATTAAAAATTAAAATTATTTAGAATTTTAACCAATTAATTAAAAAATGATTATTTAATTCATTATCATCTTATTTGATAAAATTCAATCTAAATAAATATAACTAAGATTATAAATGTTTATTTTTATTAATTCATTTATAACATTTAATTGGGAAAATCGTTTTATTCATATGAACAATTTTTGGAACATTTCAATGTTTTTAGTAATAATATCTAACTATATTTAGTATTAAATAGGTACCTACTAAAGTCAAACTCTGAAAAAAGAAGATCTTAGGGGTAGGTATCGGTCAAGAACTTTTAACAGCTAAAATAAAATGATACTCAAAATAAAATACATACGAGTTTTTTCAGTTTATCGTAATCTGTTTTTGTTATTAAAATTTAAACAAACATATTTTGTTAATGAAAAATAAATAATTAAAATAAGTAAATAGTGGATAATCGAATAATAACTTCTAAAACGATATCACATCATTTGCACGATATTTTAATCGAAATTAATTTTTAAAATATTTTTTAAATAATATGTTTATTTTATTTTTGAATTAATGGTAGGTAACTACTTCATACAAAACACATAATATTTAAAATTTGGTACCTACAATATGAAGAATAATAAATTATATTGAATATTTAGCCTACCTATATTATATTATTAGTAGTTCAGGTGTATTTTAATAAAACGTCGAGAATCTATATAATAATTTTTTAAATTAAATATAATGAGTTTCTCACCTTATGAACGTGCTTAAAATCTCACAAAAAGAAAAAAAAAATTGAATTAATACATTTCTAAAAAAATAATAATAATAAAACACTTATAAATCATTACAATAAATATTAATAATGAGTATTAGGCATCGGAAGTATAATAATTCATGTTGGTACCTAATATATTTGTGTATAATATTAAGTATTTATATTTGTTTTTTTTAAAAATTGCATTTATTAAATGTTGGTATTCTACGTTGATTTTATTAACTGCGATATATTGTACACTAGCTGCTGTAGATTATAAAAAAAAAAGAATAGTGTAGACGATGACTGGTTCAATATTATTAAATATTATATAATATTTAAATAGTGATATAATTAATAATAATTATAAACTTGTGTATTTGCTATTGATAAATATTTAATTTATTAATTTATCGTAATATTATAAACGTGCAGCTATAAATATATATATAGTTAATTTTTATTGTACAAAAGTTTTTTAGCACGAGCATCGGTAACGAGATTATAATTTTTTTTCCTTAAAGCGGGACGCCTGTATACCTACATAGCGATTAGCGATGAGTAAAGCACGGCAATTATTATTATTTTTCGCGTAGAACGAAACTCCGAACAGTAAACACAATATTGTAAAACGAGACAAATTATTCAAAAATAAATTAAATATTGGATTTAATACATATCTAATAAACATAATGCGTTGTATTATGTTTATTTATTTTAAATTAGAAAATAAAATAGAGAATAGAGCTGATATTGCTTGTGCAGTAAGTGGGTGGGCAGTTGGTTTTCTATCATTATTTTTTTTTCTTGATGAGCGGTGATGTATTCGGCCGTCAAATCAAACACAGTAACTAACATTCTTATCATTTTTCATGTGTTGATATACATTTTTGTTAAAATTTAATTGCCCAGATGATTTGATATTACACACTTTTGGTTGAAATATTTGTGCTAGATTTGAATTATACTTTGAAATTGCAATAACTCGTAAGCCACCCGTGTTAGACAAATCACTATATCTGTACAATTTGTAAAATGTTTGTTATTATTGTGTTTCATGTTTCGACAGCTATAGTTTTTTTGTGCTGCGGTCAATAAACACGTGCTCTCTTTTTCAATAGAATGCATTTCTATATTAATTTTTTTTCCAAAGCTGGTATTTTTGCTTTCTTTGAGATAATGGGACGTATGGTCACGTTAGCTATGGGTATCTACAAAAACATCTAATATAATGCTGATTTTTATCATATAAAAGGTATAGGATCTCACTATATATACATTTTTTAAAATGTTCAATTTTGAAAATTTATTTTGCACAAAAATGTACAATAGTACTTATATAAGTTATAAATGTATAATGGTTATAATCAAGTAGGTACCTTTTAAATAACATTTCTATTTGTGTTTTAATGATAAAACATCTTAGATGATTTAAACAATAATATATCTACTTATCTAATTCAAATCACAACAATTCCAATTACGAAAATAAATTTGAATGGTCATTATATAGGGTTTGTTTTTACTGCAATAACTCTGTATAGCTTGATACTTACTAGGTACTTAATCTATAGGTTCAAATTTTATTATTTCAATATATTTATATTAAATTAAATGTATTATTACATGAATACTTACAAATTTTCCAGAAATCAACTTTTTCTTGAAAATCTACTGAATGTAAACATACATGATTATGTATATAATATGTAGAAGTACAGTGTAGCAGCAAATTCTCGAGTTAACGACCATCCAACGCTGTTTTGTTACTACAGTACCTACTATTGAAATCATACCTCCATAAAAAACTAAACCGACTATATAATGATAATGTTTGAATTTATAGAAATATTTGCAAAAAACTTCCACACATACGCAATATACGTGCTTTATCTTAATATTTCACTTGATATCGTACAGAAAACTGTACTTATTTATTTTTATACAGTTGATAAAGTAAATGTATACTGATTAAGTATTTAAAATATTTAAACTACGTACTTAGTTTATTGTTAAGTCATAATATATAACAAACAATTTTGACTACCTATCATGATAATTCATAATAATATTAAATAATTGTAATTGTAATCTTGATTATTGTCGAAAAATTATTATATACCTACCAGACACCTGTATAATTTACTAAATAATACTTGAACATTACTTATATCAATTTTTTTACATATTAATTAATACAATAATACCTAAATGGAAATTCATATACCTAAGTAAATTTAGTAAATTAAATTTTATTCGGGTTCCTATTGTACATACTCTGCACTTATGATTATAATTGTATGACTAAAACTTTAGAATACAAAGAAGTATATGATTATAATCATTTGAAAATTATTATTAATTATTTAAGTACCTACTTATTATTTTTAAATTTAAACTATATTGTATACATATACTCAAATTGGCATGTAGAATAAAATTCTGTTATTTGAAAATTTAAAATTAAATTATTTTAACATAAGTAGGGAGGGGAGAAATAAAGATGATGATTAAAAATGAAATAATAATAACCCACCTGAAAATTAAATTAAGAAAGTTAAATTCACATAAGTTAACATGGTTGTTGACTTTTAACCTTGATGAAGGTGGTTTTAAATATATACACAAGAATCTGGCAACACTGAAAGATTTTTTACATTTGCATAATATTATTAAAGTTGTATTATAAAGTCATACTAAAATTTATTAATTCATCATTTTAGTGGATATTCTACCAAATATTTTTTCTTATTATAATATTATCATCAAAAAATAAACGTTTTATAGGTACCTATATAATTAACTACAAATACATTTATAGGTACTTAAATTATATTTCAATACTATGTATTACTTACTCATTATTACTTACTGATGTGAAAGTTATTCTGTTATGCTGAATAGTTAAAATGTTTGAACATTTGAGCATTTTACAGCTATTAAATTCCATTTTTGGTGATATATAGTACCTATTCCACACAATTAGCAATTGTTCCAATTGAGGAGTTAATTTTTTTATTTTCTTTGTTGTAAAATTATTCAGGAAATTTGTGTAACATGTATAGACATTTGAATGTTTCGAGGTTTTTAGTTTTTATTTAGTTTTATGTGAATATAATTTTTTATTGTTCTTAAAATTGTTCAACAATTTAATACAAAGTTCATTTTAACCATTAGTGCCTTATGAGACTATAAAAATATCTAAAATCCATAATAATTTATCCAATGTAATTTTTTTACATATATATATATATATATATATATATTATCATTCAAGTTCAAATTTTGATGAAAAGAATAAAAATCACCGTATTTCAAATACTATTTTCGCAATTTGTGTGAATTCTATTTTTTTACCTTGTGAAAATAAATATTTCATTTTTTGACCTAAGTTCATCATAAGTTGAACTTGTGGTAAAAAAAAGTGAATATATGATAAATGAAAACCCAAATTATAATAATATCATATTTGATTCGATTAATCTAAATAAAACCTAATTTAAAATATTATAAATCTATCTACAATTTTTATGAAATCCCTAATAATTACTAGAAAAGTACTAGCATTAGTATCTACCTACTATTGTAGTGTACTATAGACAATAGAAGTTAAAAAAAAAATGAACTGTAGCCAAACGTTTTTGCATTAATGTCTTAAATGCCCTTCATTGTTGCTTAACAGTTTGTTTATCTACATACTTGTTTGTATGCTGAAAATTATATATTTTCATTTAGAACCTAAGTTAGTAACATATTTCTACTAACCTAATTATTTAATATTTTAATAGAACATTATAGTCAAGCATAAAAAATTATATTTATTTTATATTTTATTAAAATGTATAAATATTAGTACCTATCTCCACTGTAGTATATAGGTAATATATGCTATGTATTATAGATATGACATTTTAATTGGAAAATTGAAATTAATATGTTTAAAGTTTAGGTACAAACATGATCTTGAATATCAGTTATCTATGTCTATATTATTAAATGACTTTTGAACGCAATTGACCTAATTATTTAGGTACCATAGCCTATAGGTATAAAAAGCTAATCAAGTTATAATTTGTTAACATAATTCTTATGTGTATTGGATAAATGCCAACGTCACATTGTTAATGTGGTAATTATAAATATTAAACTGATATTTATTTATTAACCTTGAATTTATTATACAATTTTAATGAGGATGAGTTATGACTATTTATATTTTATACAAATTTAATGTGAATTAAATAAATTGTTTCTAAAAATATGCTGTACCTATACTGTAGCATGAACTATATAATTATATATATACACTACAGAACGTGTAGATACCTTTTTTTGTTTTCGTTTATAGTCAAAATTGATTTTTATACCGATAAACGTAAGATTTATAAATATATCCAATGGTGAAATTAAAATCAAAATATTATTAATGTATTTAAATATTTTAACATGACATGACATTTATTTAGCTTAATTTTTTGAATAATCTATGTACTACCTATTAATTCGGATATAATCAGATATCTAGTATATTTTATTGAAGGATATTATATTTTAAATTCGTTGAGCAAATATTTTTAGAATAGCGTACCTAATGTTATAAAAAATGATATTTCGGTTTAATAAAAATATTGATGTTCGATAATATAGTATTCAATAATTATATACCATTTTTGAAACGTATAAGTTTATTTGAGTGAAATATATCATAATAATATAATATGTATTACCTATTAATAAATTATAATTACGAGGTACAGATAGGTACTTTTTGTAAATATCATATTGGTTGGTAAGGTGTACAAATATAAAACTTTCGTAATGTAAACATAAATCTAATCGATTACCTACCTCTAGTATACAGGCTACAATATTTACAAATATGCAAGTATTGTGAAATCGACAATGATTAATTTCATTCGCACTTTTAGTATTAATAACATTCATATTAAACTGTACGATAAGAATAAATTGGTAATCGGCGTGATGCATGATATTGGCCTACGAAATTAAAATAGCACGCAAGATGCAACGCGTACGCGTTATAGTACCGATAGTTTCTATTATATCGATGCTATTTTGTGCTGTATTCGTCTACACTGTTAACGATATTGGCCTAGCGAATATGTATTTCCGTCGGTTTTCTATAATAATAGTCTGCCCGCGACGAGGCGTTTGTCGTCGCCTGTTGGACTCAGTTCTTGTCGTACTTTCGGTACAACACTACACCATAATCGTCATATTGTCACGTGACACAAACGCGCGCGCTCCGCTCGCATTATTATTTTAAATTGATCGCAAATTTATTTACCGGCATCGACCCAATCGACATCAACATCATCATCATCATCATGCCGTTGGCGCAAATCGAACAGCTGCGCAAGCAAATCAGCGTGGCGTCCATCGCCGGTCTGGAAGACGTTATCTCGATGAAAAAGTCTTTTAACCGACACCTGCACTTTACGCTGGTCAAGGACAGGAACGTGGCGACGGCCAGGGACTACTTTTTCGCGTTGTCCTACATGGTCAGAGATAATCTGACTTCCAGATGGATACGTACTCAACAGCACTATTACGAGAACGATCCAAAGGTGAAGCGGCGAGCATTGCATAGTAACGATTAAAGAACATAATATTTTCGTCTTGGCCTAATTATTTGCGTTTAAACGCATGTTTTCTAAAAATATACCCACAGCTCATCGCCGCCGTCGACACGATAAACGAGTAGATTTTTTTCATTACAATATTATAAAGCTATTTTCTATTTAGCGTGCGTATAAAACTTCCAACAGAAATCATTCTTCAATCAAAAAACGATAACAAGACATTTTTTTGTTGCATTGTGAATTTAGTACAATTAGAAGTTCATTTTTATATTTGTACGACCATCGAGAAAAAAACATAGGAAAAACATAAAAAGTTTACGGCATTAACGGTTTCATTAAATTCGATTTTGTTTTTGTTATTTATAGTTGTAAATAATCTTAAAGATTTTCGAGATATTTTAAGGTTTTTGATATTTTCTAGTTTTATTTGAGGTTCTTTAGGTATAAGTTGTGTTTGGTGGCTTAAAAAAAAAAAAATAATTATAAAATGTAGTTTTTTTTTTTTTTATAATCGTTTTAAGATCAAATTTTGACGAAAATCTTAAAAATTACGGAATTTCAAAACACCTAGATACTTATAATATATATGGCAAACCTCTATCAGGATTATATTTCAATAGTAATTGTTTATCATTGCCTACAGACATAAATCAAAGGACTTGATGTATTCTATCCTAAGAGGTAGGACAAGTCTTACCATTGAGACATCCCATCCACAACAGTGATCAGGGTCGTGGAGAGAGAAATCTTGGTGGGTTTTTGATTCACGATTTTGATATTATCGGGCTTAAAACCGATAATATTTTTTTTCTTGCATATTATAACATTATAATAGGTATAGGTATATTCTTTTTGAAAAAATTCGGAACAAACCTGATATTAAGTAAAATAGCATGTGTTTTCCATTATGTTCATCATCTTTTTTTTTATATTTATATAGAAATATTAATATATCTTCTTATTTATGACTGGTTGACTGTAAGTAAAATTAAATGCCGGATCCTCTCAAACTTACCCTGCTGAAATTTATTATGAAACATTTATTTTTCGATTACAAATTACTTCCTGTAATTTCCAATTCGAGTCATATAAACATATTATAAGATTATTTTTTATTTAAGTATATCATATGAGTAGAATACAAATCATGATAGGTATAAATGATAATATATGATTACAAATTAGTTAATAAAATATACATAAATACAGATCAAACAAAAATATGAGTTGAAATTAAAATTAGATTATTATAAATTATAACTACATTTAATACATTTTTGTTAAGTAAGATAGTACCTACAAAATATTATTAAAAAGTATTTTCATTATAAAATGATAATTAATTATTATAGTAAACTTTCGTACTTTTATAATAATGTTGCAAAAAATATATTCATGTTATTATCTTATTGGTCCATTGAACATATTATGGTTAGGTACTTTTTTTATTATACCCACCTATTTCATTGCATCTATTTTAATTTTTTTCACTTTCAATAGGTAGTTAGTTTAATTATGCTTTATCTATATTTTTTATAACTAAATCAGTACATTATTTTTACATGATTATGTAATTGAAAAATATATCTACTTGAAATATGTTATTCAATTACTGATCTAGGTATTAATTTTGAATTTATATATCATTCAAATTAAATTATAAAAATTATTGTCAATAAATTGTATGAGACAGGCTTTAAAAAAGAAAAACACTATAGAGTTTTAAAAATTTTTCTGTTTAAAAAATGTGTATAGTTCTTTAGTTAGATCAATATTTAGTTGGATAATTGATTTGGTCTAATAATTATTCAACTTTTATTAATAATCTTATTAATGTCCAGTATATATTTTTGAAAATAATTACTTGTATAACTTATTGTTCTACCTCTAAAGACTTTCCATTTGGTCAGGATTCTATAGATTGATTCCCTTTCTATTAGGATTTTTTTAATGGATATAATGTTTGTACCTATATTATAATTTAAATGACTATAATAGCAATTGCTCAGACATTTTAAAATTAATTGGATTCAGAATCCATAGTAGGATTACACGCCATTCTGATTTATTTTATATAGGTACTTAAATTGAAAACAAATTGTGGTAAACATTTTTTTTTTTCACAAGTTCTTTTAAATCTATAAATTCTTTGTTTTAACACATTGTGTTTTTAAAGTTACAATGTTGTTGTTTTTTAAAAAAAAATGAAGATTTAATGATTTAAAATCTATGATATTTTTATTGTATACATTTTTTTTCATTATTTGTATAGGTAGGTACTTATATTTCTATATATTTTTTTTTCTTCCTGTATTATTATTATTTTGTAAATTTACATGTGTCAATTATCTGTATAAATTCTGAATTTTTTATAGAAGGGTTGATTATAATAAATAATATTATTCATATAGTTATTTTGAAATCAATTTACACCATTAGTTTTAAAATGATCAAGCGATACAGTTAATAAGTAGGTATCAAATTTATTTTCCGGTGGAATTGCACTTGGTCATACTATTATCTTTAATTTTTGAATAATTAAACCGCAGTGGGCTAAAATAATATTCAGGGTTTTAAAATAATGTGAAATTTATTTTTTTTTTTAGTTTTCATAAAAATAAATAAATACAAATATAATAACATAAACAACAGCAAAAACATAATATTATATACAAATTATTTTTTCTAATACATTTATAAATAATACAATTAACAACATCAGTATTATGTACCTAAAGATATACTTATTATTAATGTATATAATAAAAATTGTACCTAGCATATAGGTAATATTATACATTATATGGTAATAATATTTTTCATAATTCTATTAAAAATTTTAAATGAACTATTCCCGATTTAAAACACTAATAATAATACTTTTCTATCAAATGATGTTATTATATTAATGCTTTATTGGCTGTAATTATTTTACACTCACACATTTAAAATAAACTATATTTTCAAAACATTTATGTATGCATCACTGGGGGCTTAATATCATTGTCTGTTCACAATAAAATTCTCTGAAAGTCACAGCATTTCATGATCCGTATAACAGGTATAGATCGCCAAAATATAAGCCAATAACATAATTTTGGACCTTTACATTTTAATTAAGTGATAATAATATAAAATAATTTGTTTTTATTTTAAATCATTGAAAAGTTATTAGTTATTACCTATATAATGTATAATTCATTTCAAATTTACCTATTTTATTAGTTGTTGTGATTTACTTAGAAACTTAAAAAAAATACTGTCAATATAAGTGTAGTGTGTGGTATGTTTATATCATTTTTGAACAGTGTTTTTAAATTTGAAAATAAAATTATAGAGCTAAGAACTTATTGTTAAATCTAGTATATAATTTTCATAATATTATTATGATTTATTTTGTAGAACTGTTTTATTATATTTATAATCAAATAATATAATTGAGTAAAATTACACTATAATTGATAAAATTTTTATATGGCTACCTATATAAACAAAACTAAACTAAATATAAAAATTACTTGCAGAATATTTTGTCTAAGTTACAATAATAATAGACATTTTATTTATCTCTTAGTTGTGCTAATTTTGCTACTTTCCCGATTATTGAATGCATACTAGGCCTTAGTTTGGTTAGGATTTACTAAACCAGATTAAATTAATAACTTATTATTTTTTATAGCGTATTTATTATTTATCATTGGAGTTCTTGGTTGGTCGTTCTCTTCAGAATACCATGATTAATTTGGGTATTCAAAGCAGTGTAGATGAAGCATTATACCAAATGGGATTAGATATTGAAGAATTGGAAGACCTTGAGGAAGATGCTGGTTTGGGTAATGGTGGATTAGGTCGTTTAGCCGCTTGTTTCCTCGATTCCATGGCTACATTAGGTCTTGCAGCTTATGGCTATGGTTTGAGGTATGAGTATGGTATATTTGCCCAGAAAATTGTAAATGGAGAACAGGTAAATTTGAAAAAAATTATTAGTATTTTTTAAATCCAACATTGGTTTATGTTAGACATAATATTACAGACTGAAGAACCAGATGATTGGCTTAGATTTGGAAATCCATGGGAAAAGGCCAGACCTGAATATATGTTACCTATTCATTTCTTTGGTAGAGTACTGGATACACCAACTGGCAAAAAATGGATTGATACTCAAGTATGTATAATTTTTACATTGTGTTATTTAAAATATTGTAAATATTTGTATTATAGGTTGTGTATGCAATGCCGTATGATAGTCCAGTACCTGGTTATCAGAACAATATTGTTAACACTATGCGATTGTGGTCTGCCAAATCTCCAGTTGAATTTAACTTGAAATTCTGTAAGTCAAATTGTATAAAAGTACGATTTAATTTTTAAAAAATTTAATTTTGTTCAACTAAAATTATGTTTTTATGTACTTATTATAGGTGTTTAAATAATTTATTTTTACAATTATTTATTGAATATCATTTTGTTTTCATTTTTTAGTCAACGACGGTGATTATATTCAAGCTGTTCTCGATAGAAATCTAGCTGAAAACATTACCCGTGTATTGTATCCAAATGATAATTTATTTGAAGGCAAAGAGTTGCGTTTGAAACAAGAATATTTCTTGTGTTCAGCAACACTTCAAGTAAATATATTATTTGAATGATAATGGCAAATTGAGTGCCTAATAATATTAATGATCATATGTTTATTTAGGATATTATTCGAAGATTTAAAGCTTCCAAAAAGGGGCCTCAACCACGTACAGATTTTGTCGATTTTCCAAATAAAGTAGCCATGCAGTTAAATGACACTCATCCAGCATTGGCTATTCCTGAATTGATGAGAATTCTTATTGACATTGAAGGTTTGTCATGGGAGCATGCATGGGATATCACTTTGAAAACATGCGCATACACCAATCATACTGTATTGCCTGAAGCTTTGGAGCGGTGGTCTGTATCATTGATGGAATCAATATTGCCTAGACATATGCAAATCATATATCAAATCAATTTCTTACACTTACAAGTATATAAAATAAAAATAATTTTAATATGTAAGTATTTTGTTTATATATTTTTATTTTGCGCAGGATGTTCAAAAAAAATGGCCAAGTGATAATGCTCGATTGAAGAGAATGTCGTTAATTGAAGAAGACGGGGACAAAAGAGTGAATATGGCCCACTTATCTATTGTTGGATCTCACGCTGTTAATGGTGTAGCACGTATTCATTCAGACATCATTAAGAATGACTTGTAAATATTATTAATTGTCATTATTGTTTTGTCTACATAATCAATACTCATAATTCTTACAATTTTAATTTTAACAGTAAGTAATTTCAATGTAAAATTTAAAAAAAAAATTCCTACATTGCAGATTTAGAGATTTCCATGAGTTATCACCAGAAAAGTTCCAAAACAAAACTAATGGCATTACTCCGCGTAGATGGTTACTTCTCTGTAATCCAAATTTGTCAGATATCATAGGAGAGGTATCTATATTATAAATATTTAATACCATGTGTAATAATATATAATTAATATAATACCTACCTATTATTAGATTGTTGTTACAATTTACAGAGTTATTCTTTTGGAGTTCATATTTTAACTATTATTAATATTTTTAGAGAATTGGTGATAGTTGGATCACACATTTGGATGAGTTAACAAAGCTTAATGAACTTGTTAATGATCAGAGTTTCATATTAGATATTCAGAAAGTGAAACAAGAAAACAAAATGAAACTTGCTCATTGGTTAGAAAGTGAATATAATGTTAAAATAAATGTCAATTCTATGTTTGATATTCAAGTAATTTACTATACCTATTATTTTATTTTATTTCAAACAATATTTTTTTTTAGTCATAATTCATTAACAATATTTGTTGTAGGTAAAAAGAATTCACGAATACAAAAGGCAGCTGTTAAACTGCTTGAACATAATTACCCAATATAATAGGATAAAGAAAAATCCAGATGGAGAATTTGTACCACGAACAATTATGATTGGAGGAAAAGTAAGTTATCAAAATCAAACATTAGATATATGTTTCCATAATTATATGTGTGGACATAGACCACAGGACATTGTATTACATAAAAAAAATTCCAATAATTTTCATAGCATTAATATCTTTATACATGTTAACAGATTGAAATTTAGTTGAATAATATTATGTTTTTAGAAAATACCTTAGTTAAAAAATTCAAATTTACTATTCATAAATATGTCAATTATGTTTTAGGCTGCACCAGGATATTACATGGCCAAAAAAATTATCAAGCTTATAAATTATGTTGGCAATGTGGTTAATAATGATCCCGTGATTGGAGACCGTTTAAAAGTTTTGTACTTGGAAAACTATCGAGTAACTTTTGCTGAAAAAATTATACCAGCCGCAGATCTTAGTCAACAAATATCTACTGCTGGTACTGAAGCATCTGGTACCGGAAATATGAAATTTATGGTAAATATAATATATAGATTATGTATAAAAAATGTATTAATATTATAATGATATGTATGTTAAGTTAAACGGTGCACTTACTATTGGCACATTGGATGGTGCAAATGTAGAAATGGCTGAAGAAATGGGTCCTGAAAACATGTTTATTTTTGGAATGACTGTTGATGATGTAGAATTATTAAAACGAAAAGGTTATAATGCTTTCACATACTATGAATCTATACCAGAACTTAAACAGTGTGTTGATCAAATTCAAAATGGATTCTTCAGTCCCAACAACCCCGACGAGTTCAAAGACATAGTAGATGTTCTTCTCAAGTGGGACAGGTATCACTTTTCAATTATAATAATATATTGAACTATTTAGTATTACTTTTATTTTAGATATATTGTTTTTAGTTTTGAATTAATTGGTTTTACTTAAGTTAATGTATTTCTGTTTTACAGATTTTTCTTATTGGCTGATTATCAAGATTACATCAAAACTCAAGATAAAGTTAATGAAATATATATGGTAAGAAAAGAAAATAACTTACAATTTTATACAATGCATACATTTGTTTTATTTTTTATTAATAGAATCAAGAGTTATGGACAAAGATGTGCATACGTAACATTGCCGCCTCTGGGAAATTCTCATCAGATCGTACAATCGAAGAGTACTCTAGAGAAATTTGGGATGTCGAACCATCATGGGATAAACTACCCGCTCCACATGAACGTATTGCCGATCTTCCCAAACAGTAAACAATACAATAATTATAATAAGTCATTTTTTTTTTATGTAATGAAAAAGAAAATATATTTGAAGTATAAAATTTATTGTCTTCTATGAAAAATTGTGTTCCTCACTTTAGTTTTGAATTAATTTTTTTTTCTTTTATGTAATTTTAACAATTAAATTATTGAATTATACATCAGTTTTATTTTATTCAGTTCAATTATTATTTATTGTATTCATGCTTTTTTAATTATTAAGTTATTTTAATGATTTGTGCATACACTATCTTTTGTCATATGTCATTTAAAATTGTTTAAAATATAAAACCAAAAGCCAAAATTAATGATGCTTGCGGTAGAAAAAAAAAATTGATAATTTTTCACTAAATTTTATCCTTTATTTCTTATATTATAAATTATAATCCTGTAAAAATTGCTAAACAATTAATGCATGATTATCTGTTACTTGAATTTCAGAAAATTAAATAATGGTTGTGCCACCGTTAAAGATAGGAAGGTTGATTACACAAAATTATTTAATATACACCTTTAAGAACGATAAACTATGGTTACCAAAAAAACGATTCGGGGCAAAGTTTGGTTACAGATATTTTGAAAGGCTGTAATATTTATAATTTTTATTAAAATTTGATTTTAACTCATAAAAAAAATTCTACATTAAGCTAAATTTTTTTTTTTACAATTTATAATGTCTATTTCATGAATTGAACATCAAAAATGCTATCCTTTTCCTGAATTTACAACTTGTAATATTAGAAATACGATCCAATAGGTACTAAACATTTATCAAAACAGATTTTATCAATAAAGAGCAAATAATAACAGGCTTTATAACACTATCGTGATTATTACCCAATAATCTATATTAACGATTATAAAAATAATGCAGATGTGCCAATTACTACTTATAGTTTAGAGCCCAACAGAGCTGCATCAGTACGTTATCATGGTGTGATACCGTTAAATCCATGAAAATTTAAGCTGTCAAACTTTTTTTTGTGGAGCATAGAACTTGTGGATATTAATAATTAATAATCGTAAGATATAACTCATTCACGTTAGAACTATAGTGGCGTAAACAATGCTGTATGAAGATTTGTGGTTAAACAGTTTTTGAATAATTTAAAAATAAATTTCATGATTGAGATAACATTGCAACTCTAAAGAATCGAGCTATATAGACTCAATGTTTTTTTTTTATTTGATTCATATAAAATGATAAAACAACAGTATTTTAAAACTATTCATTCATCATTTATTGTTATATTCAAATTAAACAACCACATATAAATGTGATAAAGAAATAAAAACAATAAGTAGATGATAAATTAGATTCATGAATAACTTAATAAATTGTATGTCAGTTGACTATTTTAGGACCATAAATAGAGTTATATGAATATTATATCAAAAACGCAAAAGGAAACGGATAAAACTTGAGTACTTATCTTGTGGTAGTACCTTTAATGACTACTACAACTGAAAGCACGAAAAACAAGTGCACGATGGAGCAAAGATTTAGGTGAAACATCATGGAGCTACAGATAAACCGTTCGTATAATATGCTCGGTTGAATTTCGAACGAAAAGTAGGTATATCAAGTATATGATAACTGATGACTAGGGCAGAGGACTTGTACATTTGCATATTTGTTTTGCACAACCACAAAAATAGCAGAATAAAACAGTTCAATTATAGTACATAAATTAAAGTTTTCTTTGGTTTTAGAGAAAATATCTTCCATTCTATACTTTTAGATGCATATTTTAAATAATTTATGATTTTATCAATAATTGTTTTAATATTTTTCTGTTGACGTTTTTATCTCATTTAAACATTTAATATAGTTTAAAAAAGTATTTCAATAAAAATTTGTATTAACTTATTATAAAATCTTGTTTTAATATTAGCTATTAACATAACAACATTTTTACAAAAATTTCTCATTGAATTCATGTTGGTAAAATAAAAATTTAAATCGTCATTCCATTATTTTGATACCCTCCAAAAAATATTATTCGCGCCGATCATGCACCTATAATTTATATTTACAAAATTAATCATTTGTTTAGTACCTATTTTGTATTTTTGTAAAAATGTAATTTCCGTTATGATGGGCCACCTGGCAGCTACCATGTGTGACGGTGTGGCACATACAAAGGATTAAGTACGTCAAACTAAATTACGTAAATTAGATACACTGATATCCTTTGTCCAATATTACGCCTAGATTAATGTTAAATATTTCACTAGACCACGTAAAAATTATGACTAGCAAATACTATAAATTATGTAGAGTATTTGAGACTGGTTTAGTCACTAATTTTAATATTAATTAGTTAAGTTCGTGGTTTTAACTAATATTACTATCAAACAAATTATTTAAATTTTAATGAATTTAGAATAATTATACATTATAATTATTATAATTTTTAATAATAATTTTAAAAGTTAGACATTTTTTTTTTTATTTTATCCGGGAAAATTATATTGGTATACTGGTAATTTAGATTTCTGAGTTGGTGTAACTGATTCGGAGATTTTTTTATTTATCTTCGGTAAAAGTGACCGATGGGAGTTTCATAATCCTGGTTTCAACCATAGTTGTTGTAAGGTTATCACTAGTAGTTTTTGATAACAGTTTTAGTGACTAATTTTTTTTATAATTGAAAAAAAATCAATCATAAATACAAATTTTATTTAAGTAAAGTTAATCTATTATTTACTGTTATCTTTAATTTTCGTTTGAATTTTATATTCATTCCAATAGTTTTTGTGCTTAAACAGTATGAGCATTATTGAAAGCGTCGCTAAAGAAAAAGGACCGAGGGTGCAACTTAACAAATCGTTAAGTAATACAGCACAGTGGGTTAAATTGAATGTGGGAGGCACTTGTTTTTTGACCACAAAAACAACATTGTGTCGAGATCCGAATTCATTTTTATGCAGACTGTGTTCAGAGGAATCTGATCTTATTTCTGATATGGTTAGTTTAAAAAATTATACATTTATGAATTTATATTTCATAAATTCCAAACTACTTATATATTTATTTTATGTTTTATTCCTTAAAGTGGAATACATTTTAAGAATATGTTTGTAGATTTGTAAAAGAGTTTATATGATTTTTAGGACGAAACTGGGGCATACATGATTGATCGTGATCCTTCATACTTCAGTCCTATTTTAAATTACCTTCGTCATGGAAAATTGGTTTTGAATAAAAATCTTGCGGAAGAAGGTATGCTAGAGTACATAATAATATAATTCCTATAATTACTAAAATATTTTTTAAAAAAAATGATTATATTTCATTAGGTGTATTAGAAGAAGCCGAATTTTATAATATAACCGAATTAATAAACCTAGTTAAAGAAAGGATATTACAGAGAGATAAAAAACTTTGTTCTGAACAAGTAAAAAAACATACATATAGAGTGTTACAATGTCATGAAGATGAACTTACGTGGATGATATCAACAATGTCAGACGAATGGAAGTTTGAACAAGTAATATTTCTTGAACATTATTTTGATTTTTAAGATTTGAATTAATTTATAAACTGCCTGTTTTCAGTTAGTAAACATTGGATCCAAATACAATTATGGGAATTATGATCAAGCAGAATTCTTATGTGTGGTTTCCAGAGAAGAAGGAATTGCTGACTCTCCAAAAACAGAGTCGACAGACAAAGCTAAGGTATTTTTAATAATGAATATATATTCGGTAGCATTTTTTTAATTTCTCATTTTTATTTTTCTATTTCCCCATACATTTTTTATGGCAAGTCAAATTAAATTTTCAATGTGAAGTGTTGAAAAATTAACCAATGTTTTCTACTAATCTCAATCATATTGTAAAATATTTGATTTCTTTATCATAGTTCTCACATAGTATAAATTCTTCACTTTTTTCAGTGTGCCACAAATATATATTTTGAATTTTATTTCAATGAACTAGAATATTTTAGATTCCGAGTCTAGCGAAGAATGTATTAGTTTTACAATGATGTTTATTTTTTTTTCTATAAAGAACTTTTCTATTAGCAGTTTTGCTCCAATTAGCAGCACTTTTTGTAAAAGGAACCCTGACTAGGATGATCAATTTTTGATATTCTCAGGAGTTTTCCCAATAAATAAGAAAACCATGATAAAAAATGGGAAAATAGATACCGTATTAAATATTATTAAAGAAAATATTCTGCACAGAATCGTTTTTTGTTAGTAATGGTTTATCATTGCATACAGATATACATTAAATTTCCCTCTTACCTTCCCAACTTCTGACATACAACAGTGGCCCATCCACTTGAAAAGTATGTCAGTATTTTTTAGATTAATTTTTTAATAACAAATTGTTTTCATATTATTTAGTTTAGTAAATATCAACCTAACCATAATTTCTATGTTCTAATTTATCAACTTATTTGTGTTTTATCTCTTTGATTTTTTTTGGCTTAAGTTTTATAATATGGAAACAAAATTATTTTTTTCGCCCCAATAATACATATTACAACCTAAAACTTATACCACTCTAATAATTTATTTCATTGTATTTTTATAAACTAATAGTATCTTAAATAAAGATACTCAATGGCAATTTAAAAAACTAAAAAACTAATAATTCAAAAAGTAATCTTAAAATTATGTTAAATAATAAAGCAGCCAAAAATAACATATTTTTGTTGTCATAGAATTTTGGAGTACTATTTAACTTGAAATACTTATGTAGCTAATTTATATTTATTTTATTTGTAGGAGTTACAACAAAGAGCATCGCGTATGTGATATATACAGTCAACTAAATCTATGATCATGCGAGTATGTACATTCTTTAAAACAATATATTCTGTAACCAAAGATCTATATATCAAATCTGTTTTCCGGTTTAGATCTAAACATCAAAATGCTAGATCTTAGCGTGATGGCTGTTTTGTTATTGTATATTTTCAATATGCACGCATGTCAATTTATTTCTAATTAATGAAATTAATTTTACAACAACATATAAAACGGCCAGGAAACTTTAAACCATGCACATAAATTCACATTCATAATTCATATATTTACATAATAACCTAATTACCCAATTTTAATGTACACACATTTTTCAATTCACATTATCTTCCAAAATTTACATACATTTTACATGGAACAAATAAAATATATTATTTATACTTTTATGGTATGACCAACTTTAAAAATTGAACAGCATCCTCAAATAAATTCAGAAGCCATTGAAATACATACATTATATAATTCAATTTTTCAGACTTTGAAGTTAGAGTAAATTTTTCAATTTTTTTTTTTTTATCAATATATATGAATAATTATAATAGTCTTACAATTATTATATTACATAAATTTAAGGGTCTTATACAGTATGACAACATCAAGTAACTGAAATATTTAATATAATGATAAGTTAGAATATAGAAAAAAAAATGTTCACAACATATTTATTATTTAATTCCCTTAACTACAATTTTTGTATGATCTTGATAGAACTGAGTCTGTGAACAACATAATATTTAGGATTAATGTTAAAAGTCACAATACAACTATATTTTTCACATGAACACATTGTTCTAAAGAAATTTATTTTTACAATCATTTTTTACTTTTTAGAGGGTACTTAAATTTTATCATGTATTTTATGTAAAATGGACCATTTGATTAGTGTTATTAAATTCATATTAGATTTAAATATTTCAAATTTACAAATTGTATTGAACATATTGAATAAGTTAAAATGAAGTTTAATGAAATTATCTTTAGGAGTATTTTATTTTATTTACTCAATGGTTATGTAATTTAGAAACTAAATCCTAAAATATTCATGAAAGTTGTTTTTATAATTTATTTTTATCTGTTTTTTATAATCTTTTATAGTATAAAATTTCTTTCTACTCATGATATATGAATTTGTTAAAATATAATTAAATTAGAATAAGTATATTGTTAATACATTTTTGTCACCAATTTGTACTATTGTCCTTTAATGCGCGATCATGTGTTCATATTTATAAATCTATAACAAAGTATATTTAAATTATTTATTTCAATAAAAATAATCTATTTGTTAAAAGAATATTTTGTCCAGCATTATTTTATTATTCATGGTTCTAAATTACAAAAAAAAAAAAATTGTTCTTCCTATGGATATTTTATAAATTATTATTGAATGTATACCTTCTGTTCCTATTTTAAGTTATTAGCATTATATAGTAATTTTTACTTTTTAACATTGATAAAAAATTCTTGATTTCATAAAATAAAATAAACTAACAATGCACTAATTGAATTTTATTTAACAACATTTTGATTCTTATGAACGATTAACTAGTTATCACTTAATTTGTACCAGTTTATTAGTATACATAGTTAATAATTATCATTTATATATTTATAATCAACGACAATACTTACTATAATTGGCTTATGAATAATTAAGTTATTATTGTAATGTGATAATGCATATATGTTAAGCATTTAGGCTTAAGATATGTTTTCAATTAAAAAATGTTATTTCAAATTTTTGTTTAATGGATTGTTAATTTGTTCTTGGATTTTCACTATTTTTAAAAATTATTTAATTTTAGATTTTGATAAATAAATGTTATGTTGAAAAAAAAAAAATTATAAATGTATGGATATTTCTGGCACCTAAAGTAAGGTAACCATTTAAAAAAAAAAAAAAACTGCACAAACAATTTAAGGTTTATTCTGAAAAACAAAAGATCTCCACACTTTTTGCAATTTCTATATTTTACAGTAAAATTTAATAATTTTTAAGTAGTTTAATTATTTTATTAAAATATTTGTTGGTATTCCATTTTATTATAACTTTGAAAAAATTATCAAAATATTTTATTTATATTGGTGTCGAATGCTCATCATTTTCTCTATCATAATTTTTTGTCATTTTTTTTTTTTTTCATATGCATTTAATAGCTTTTTTGTTGTGTAAAAATATCATACAAATCATTACAGGAATATTTTTAGAATCATAATTTCTTTGATAATTTAAGTAAAAAAACAATTTTTTCATCAGTCTATAACGCATTCGTGATAGAAAATATTATCTCTATTGCATTAGTTCCAGACATTACTAGAAAATATTCCTCCAAAAGTTGTTAATAAATATATGTACATATTTGTTTTAAATTGCATCACATCATTTTTCTTTAAAGTATGAACACAATTATTCTGCCATTCTTTTAAATTGTTAATAATTTGTCTTTTATTACGTCATTGACTATATCATACATGATTAAATTATATTATATTTATCAAAAAGATTATATACATCCACATTCCAATTGATTTATTTTTTATTATTTTTCAAAAGAATGTTTTGTTCAATTTTATACTGTATTGTATTTTTTTTATATACCGGTTTTTTGTTTACGCACTTATAATAATATGGAAATAACTGGATTAAAAAGGCACTATCTTCTAAAATTGGGACAAAAGGTGTCTCGTTTGAAATTTGGTAAAGCAACAGGGCATGATGATCAAAAAAGGGACAATCCCGTTTTAAACAGGACTTATGGTCACCCTAACCTAAAGAATAAATGTTGTCTATTATATTACTTGTAACATTTGTACTTTCATGTGTATATATACATAATATATATGTATTATAAATATTTTGTATTATACAATGCATGTTTTATATTTTTGAGATTTTTACAGTGTATATAACCATATTTGTTATGGCTATGAAGATTAATACTTTAATTTACATTGACTTAAAAATGTTTTAAAAAAATTATTTCAACTAGAGATATGATGAACTGTATGATTTTTGTCCTGAAAATTACAAATAATTGAACCAAATCAAATACCTAATAGTTCAATTCGAAGATTATTTGATGCCGATTCTGCGTGGTCACCAATATGATGTTCTATGGTGGGCCTTGTTACAAAAAAGAAAATTTTTATATTTTCTACATAATATTATAATTTTACAGTTTTACAGTTTTACAATTTTAAAATATTTTGTGCTAACCTAACTTAACCTTTTTACTTTTTTAATGTTCGATAAAATATTTTAAAATTCAGTTCGGGTTTAGGTTTGAATAAAAATGTGTAAGTTTGGTTCGGTCCGACTTTAAAAATCAGGGTTTATAATATTTCTAAATTAAACCTGTATACTTTTTAAGTTAATTAAATCTAGATAGGTTACAATTTATTCTAAAAAGTTCTTGTGCTCAAACATAATCACTTATAGAAAACTAATTTTATATAATGCCCAACATTCTTAGACTCTCACATGTCAAATAAGTTTATATTTATTTTTAAAAATAGATGGTAAATCTTTATTGAATAATTTTTTTTATTATATCATAAAATACAAATATTAAGTAACCAAATTTATTAAATCACAATTCTCTAATATCTGGTTTTTTTTTTAAAAAATTACACCGAAATTAAAAAATTAATTCGTTAAAGATTCATATGTGTCCAGTTTATCTTTAAGTAAGTACTATTTACCAAACACTTCTTTGTTCTCGAACGGTCAGTAGGTATTATTAATAACAGGCATAATATAGAAATAATCGTACAAATAATAATGGACAATTAAGTTACTTGGGTAGCAGTGATTGTGAAATTAGGCACAGTGCTGATTAGAAAATCCATTGATTAGACACATTAAATAGTCAATTGCATGATTGCGGCAATAATTTGTAGTACCATATTATATGAGTAGAGGAAGAGAGTAGAACGCTGGGAACTTGGAAGTTAACATAGCAGGGTAGGATAATTAATACGAACGTACCTAAAAATGTATTATGTTGTCCTAATTTTAATTTATCTTTTATTTAACAGTTTTGTAGACAATTTTTTTCTATTCTATTAATTTATGTACTTACCCACTTCATTTAGTTACAATATTTATTTTAGTATTTTAATTACTAAAAACTAAAATTTTAAACCAATGAAATGTAAAATAATAAAAAATTACCTGTGTTTTCTATTATCGTTTTTCTATTAATAATTCACGCACTGTTTATGTTTTGCGTGTCACCTAAAATTATGGGGTGTGCACTTTAATTATTGTAACTCTTCATAATCAAACTGTGACATTTTAACATGAGTCAATTCGTCGAATTCGCATAAAATATAACGCCATTAAAATGTTTTGAAAAAAATAAAAAAAGATACAATCTAGTAATTATTTTTTTTTTATGTCTGGGTAAAAATACCACTTATATTGCCTCAATGTTTTTAATAACTTTTGGTATAGTTATATACAATTTTATTGAAATATGTTATACTTAACATTTTACTGTTGATCGACACTCTTCGTCTCTTGCTTGTGTAAAATGAAATTTCGACCGAAACTCACTATTATGTCGGCAGTACACGATGTCAGAAAAACGAGACACAACTCGGTCAGCCCTAGGTATAGTGATTCTACCACGAGAGGGTACAACGCAAAAGAATTCAACGATTATTTGAACAAGTTAGTGAAGGTCGAAAATTGGAAACCGACTAAAAAATAAGTATAATATTTATGTGTAATGTTAAGTTTAGTTTATTATTATTTAATCCATATAAATACATTTAGATTCTTGGCAAACGGGGAATTTATTAGTTTTACTGATGCATTTTATTTAATTTTTTTTGTTGTGACTGTAAATAACTTTTCTACCAAAAATCTTGCAACAATTAAAAATTGTATTAGTAATTTCTTTTAGCATATTTTAGATTTTGAGCAGAGCAAAGAATGTATGTAAAACGGAGAAAAAACGGGAAAATGTACAAAATACATTAGTAAAATATTACGATTTTTTTTTTCTGTAGAAAACTTTTCTACCAGCAATTTTTCTCAGATTTACAATGATAGCACTTTTTCTGAAAGAAAATCTGATTGTAGTGGTACTTTAGAGAGGTCATTTTTGGGTTTCCCTAAGAGTTTTCCCAGCAAATGTGAAAAAACGGGAAAATCAGTACAATATTGTTATTAAAGGAAATGTATAATGCCTAGGTATTTAATTATTTTGTCATAATATGACATGTATATAGTTGACCAAGCATCACTATTAACTGAATTCCGCCCAGAATCGTTTTTAGTAAGCAATGGTTTATCGTTGCTTAAAGATACAAATTAATTTCCCCTCTATATCTTACGTTTTCAACTTCTCACCAACAACAGTGGCTGCACTCGCTCCATTATCCTAGGCAGTGGCAGTTTTACGGGGGGGGGGGGTCGGTCCAGGGGGTCTGGACCCCCAGATTCTGAGATTAGATTTTGATTTAGTTTGTAATTAAAAATTTAAAAAAAAAATCGAAAATAATTGGCAAATTAATACGAGTTATAATTCTTTTTTTATACACGCAATGGTGGCGTGATAAGGTATTTTATGACCAATTTGGTGGTGGTACTGCCAGGCTAAAAATATGAATTATTGCCAATTGATATAAAATATTTATAAATATTTATTATTTATATTAAGTTAATATATTATATGTGTATTTCACTTAAATTCAATATTGAGGTAACCAGTAAACATTTCAATGAACAAAATTTTTTTATGAAGAAGATATAATAAAATTGATTATTTATTAACTATATACATTTTTTTTTTAAAAAATCTCACAAAGTAAATGTTGCATGTTTTATTGCATGGTTTGGTATTTTGTTCACTAGCCCAGTGTTCTCTTGTATTGGTGGATAGTGAAATAAAAAAAAAGGTATAATGTTTTATTCAAATATATGAAGTGCCCAATTTTAATAAATTTTGATATTCATAAAATATAAAATCACTATGACTTAAATTATATAGTTATTGGAATTGTAAATTGGTGAAGAGAGGAGATGGTGTATGGGGACTTCATCGTCACGACTCAGTCTAATAATACTGAGGTGGTGGTGGTGAACTTCTAACACCTATGTATATTTTCCTCATGAAATAAAATAGTTCACGCCACCACTAATACACGTCATGTATACATTTCACGGAAAATATATTATGCATGGTATATAATATTATATATTTATCAAGGAAAAGCTGGAAAATTTAAGTGATATTAGTAAAATATTAAGATTTTTTTTTTGTGGACTACTTTTCTACTAGCAATTTCGCTTCGATTTACAATAATTGAATGATAGCACTTTTTCTGAAAGTAAATCTGACTAGGAAGGTAATTTGGGGAGGTTTTTTTTTTTAAATTTCCCAGGAGTTTTCCCAGTAAATGAGAATACGGGAAAATAGCTACAATATTAAACAAATAATATTAAAGAAACTATATAATGCATTTGTAATTATTTTACCATAATATGACATATATATTATTGACAAAGCAACACTATCAACCAAATTCCGTTCAGAATCGTTTTTTCATTAGCAATGGTTAATGCTTACAGATATATATTAAATTACCTAAAGCACTGACTGCATCCATCTCCATTATTCTAGGACAGCTTTTTAATTTTTTAAAACATAGGTTAGATTAGATTATATAAATAAAAATAAAAATAATTTTGTCTGATCTTGAAAGTTTTATCTCGCTTTATTTTTTGCGACGATTTATAGGACCGGGGTTCATTATTACGTCCGTTATGTGTTAACGTTCGCGTCGGTCTTTGGCGTTTTCCCAGTCTGCGGTATTTACAAACGAGACGTTTACAAATTGACATTCAGCCTGTATTCTCCAGTGGCTATTTACTCGATACTCCTGCTCTGTGGTTTCGCGTCCATTGAGATATTCTCCTTGGACTACACCATACGAAACTTGAATCAAGACAATTTGACGGCAAAAGGTATAATATTTATGACTCGTAAAATTATACCTTGTTTTTAATTAATTATTTACCTACTTTACAAGTAGGTACCTATGTCGTAGTTTGAACTTGACGAAGAGCTAGTGTACTGAAATTTCTGGAGGCATTAATTTTCTGAAAAAACTCATTAGAAATAAAAATAATATTGTAATTTTTCTCTTTACAGGAGGCATAAAAAAAGCCACGTCCGGAAGCATATTCTACGGTAACGCATGTTGCGCCTTGTGGATGTTCATAAGACTGGCCAAAAAATGGCCCAAACTCATGCAAGATTGGCGGTCGGTAGAGGTTTCGATGAGACGGTTCGGGGCGCCCAGACTAGGATGGAAATCTACTACACTGGCTATAGTCTTGCTAGTGCTCGCGTTCAGTTAGTAAATCTATCATAATTTATGGTAAATTATTATACTAACCCGGCGACTAGATATATTGTTATGTATACTATGTTTTGATTTTAGATTCGTCCGTGTCACTGTATTGGGTACACATTATGTATTATAATTAGGACTATGAGTTTTAAATGCACCAAAAAAAAATCATCAAACATGCATACTTACATATACCTATCTACCTACTTAGTATAGGTACCTACATTAAACCCCAATAAATTCATTCACAGCCCTAATTATAATTGTATTAAATTAAATGTGCGCGTATATAGTGTACATAGCTTTAACATTACAGGTACGTCATAATACTATTATAATGTGCACTTATTTATATTATTAGCTGAACACGGCTTGCACAATTGGTTAAATACTAGGCCGGGCGGTAAAGACGATATTGCAGCCATGTCGTTGATCGACGATTCCAATACCAGTGTCATATTGATCGATCAGTCTGTATGTATTAGTATTAGTCACAAACTAAGTTATCTACTAAGATAGTGTCTCAGTTTATTGTATAAGTGAATTATAACTATATACACCAAGTATATCCACATTATAAGTGATTTTTACACATTTATTAAAAATAAATTGTTTTAGTAGTTTATTTTTGAGTAAGTATATCTACGTAGGTACTAAAAATTAAAAAAATACAACATACCTACCTACTCATAAAAATAGTCATAATAATATTAAATTGAAAATAAATAAACATGTAAGAAAAAATAACAAATTTCGGAACATATTTTACATTGTATATCTTTGATTTCGTTAAATTGGAAAATTATATTTTACTTTTTAATAATCACCTCAAATGATGTGAATTGCTAATCTAGTTATACTTTGGACTTCCTGATACCCTTTACTTTAGGAAAAGACACTAGACTTGATGATCGGAACATGATTTCTAATATAAAAGTGGTTAATAATACACACCCAAAAAAATTAATTAATTTTAAAAAGAACTGATACTGGGGACGGATGCAGCTACTGCCGTAGGTGGGTAGTGAGGAAGGTGGGATACATAAAGTTTTTAAATTTATACCTGTAACCAACGATAAACCAAACTTAACCTAACATAACAGAAAACGATTTGGAGCGAAGTTCGGTTATACGTGTTTTGAAAGATTGTAATATTTACGATTTTCATTAAAATTATATAAATAAAGCATTCAAGTATGGAAGAAAAGACACCACCAAGAACTAATGGATATATTAAACAGACCAAGTATTGTGAACGAGATTAAACGGAGTAAGTTAGAATGAGGTAGACACGCGTGTAGAAAACAAAATTCTATGATATAAAGTGCTCCAAGTAACTACAGGCCACTGAGCGGGCCAACATTACGTTGGGAGTATGGTATCAGAAAAGATTTCCTAAAAGCCAAAGGAGAAATTATGGAGACAAAAATAGTATGAAAACGTTTGATAATATTAATATATAATCAAATTATCTGCATTTACTACACAAAAAAAAAATTGTGTGCATTTATCTGTTATCGGTTATCAGTAATAATCATTTTAATATTTTTCAATTCCAAACAATTTATATTCAATTTTATTAATAATATTAATAACTGTTTAACATTTTATAAACAGTTATAAGGTTCTCCTTAAACTTGTATAGGTATTTATTTTAATATCTCAAATTGGTTTTTGTATACCTAGTTATTATTTTGGTTTTAATTTATTTGAAATGTTTTGGTTTCTTTATAACCCCACAATCTCATCAATCTCATCTTCACAAGCTCAGCTGAGCTTTGCGATTTGTGAATTTTGCTCCAAATTTTAACGATAGTAATGTTTTTAAAAGAAAATTTCACTAACAAGGTACTTTGGAGAGGTCATCTTTCGATTCTCCTAAAATTTTTCCCAGTAAATGTGAAAACCCGGGATAAAACATGGGAAAACCGGGAAAAACTGGGAATATCGGTAAAACATTAAACAAATAATATTAAAGAAAATATACAAACCTTATGTAATAATTTTACTATAAACTAACAAATATATTGTTGACAAAACATCACTATCAATTGAACTCCGCTCGGTATCGTTTTTCGTAAGCAATGGTTTATTGTTGCTTATAGGTATACATTAAATTATCTATAACAGTAGCTGCATCCGTCCCCATTGATTTAGGATATCTTTTAATTTTTAATTTTTTTTTTTTTGTAACTGTCTTGTATTTAAAATGTAATTGGAATTTATTCCGTAATAAACTATAAATAATAGAAACAATATTAATAACAACATACTTAGAAAAATTAGGTGCACTATCTGGATAGAATATATATTGTAGCCTTTATTTTGAAATTAGAATTTAAACATTAAAACAGCCAAATTTAAAAAAGTATTTTTTTATTTGCGTTTAAACTCCAATTTTAACCTAAACGTCCCAAAACACACTGATTGTAATATTTATTTTATTTATGAAAACTTAAAAGTTATAATTAATATCTTTTTAATGTTAGATTTATACATATTGATAGACAAAATGTTATGAATTTTCAAACAATTTTGACTATTTAAAGAAAATGTATACATGATAACCCACAAAGATTTGGCAAATGCAATAATTTTTTAATTTTTTTTTTTTAATAATTACTGTAGCCTTGAGCCAAAATTAATTTATTTTGTATGTATTTTAAAACTTAAAGTAAAAAATTGTTTTTTCAAAATCCAAGATAGCCATTTTATAAATATATATATTTTAAAACATAATTTTGATTTCACAAATATTTACTAATGATGAATTGTTAAGTTTCTATAAGTTTTTAGTTTGAAAAAAAGCATTAACAAATTTATTTTTTATGGAATAATTGTTAGATATTTGGTACGTCTCGTTAGCCTTCTCTTCAGATCCGGAGGATCCTGCGGGTCCAGACAGCCTTGTCCATGTAACCCCACGTGTTAATTCAAGCGCAAATCACAATTCTGCGGTACTTTCTTTGGATTTTTCTCACTCAGTCCTGATCAGATCTTTAAATTTTGCGTACATTTTCCTCTCCAAAGCTAAGAGTTCTCCTATGAATCACTAGTCTTATTCATAGTCTTCCCACTATGAATAAGGCTGCCTAAGCCTGAGTGACTCTGAGAGCTGCTGTTCACTGAACCCAAGTTAAAACATTGCGGCATTTTGCAATGTTTTGTTCTGCCCATGCCGGAGCAGCGTACAGCAACCTACTACACGCCATCCACATCAATAGTGTCCTCTTGGATTGTGAAAGTCCTTCAAGATTGGGCACAATTCGTCCTATAGCTATCAGCAAGGGGTACAGAGAGTCATGTTTTAATTTTTTACTTTTGTTTTTCATTAAACAGTTGATATAGGTTCTGTGCAGGACAGCTAGTATTCCGCCCATTTTAACTAAATGAGTATATTAAGTACCTCCTTATTATTCTAAATTTTTAATGTGCTAACTTAATTATATTTGCAGTCTAAGTATGTGTAAATGTATACAAACCTAAAATAAAAGGTTGACATTTGTTTATCTAATAATATATTTTGCATTTTAATTATATTGTACAATTTCTATTTAGGCAACATTTAAAGGGTATCTAGAACGATTCTCCCTGAAAACGCATTGGTATTTGTATGACGACTATAAGAGTTATAATCCAGTTAAAGGATTTTTGGTCATGTGGTTAAGCTTGACGGCGACATTTCTTTGGAATTTTACTGATCTTTTCATTATGCTGGTCAGTTCAGCACTTGCGGCTCAGTTTAGAAAATTAACAAAAGCCATGCATGACGTCAGAGGTCAAGTAAGTGTCTGTGAAAAACTGATTACAAACTTTTAGTATTAGTATAATTGCTTTAGGCGATAACTGTTAATACTTACTTACATCTGGGAACTAATTGTTGCAGTTATATTTTTTTTATTCTAATTAACCATCTTTTTTAAAAAAAAAAATTTATTTTATTGATGTTTTGAAAGATGTTGACAATGTCACAGTGGCGAGAATATCGAGAAACATACACATCCCTGACTCACTTGGTAAAGAAAATTGATGATCACATTAATGTTATAGTGGCGCTGTCAGTAGGGAGTAACATTTATTTCATTTGCGCTCAGCTTATTACAGAAATTGAGTAAGATTTTACAAAAATCCAATTTAAAACTTGTTAGTTAATTTTTTAATTTGTATTGTTATCAGTTCAATAAAACATAGCTACTTCAGGACACTATTCTACATGTATTCATTTTTATTTTTGGTGTTCCGGACTACTGCAGTTGTGATGCAAGCATCGGCAATAAACGACGAAAGTAAAAAAATTGTGCCAGAAATTTTTATGTGCCCAACACATAGTTACAGCATAGAAGTATGCTATATAATTAATATAAATCAATTTCTGTATAAAAAGTTAAATAAAATTGTGTTAGTATAACGGATAATAATTACGAATTTATATATCACTTAATAATTTATTGACTCAATATTTGAAATAAAAGTTAATTCTAACTTTTATTTTATTAAAGAAAATTATAGAAATTCTTAATATGTTCAGGCTAGATTTCTAACTGAAAAAATAAATTAAATTAAACTTTTAATTACAATTATAAATTCCTTTTATTTTCGAATAGCTTTTAGTTATTTATAAAACATGGTACTAAATTATAATTATCAATTAACATGCAACTCATTCTTTAAAAATATATAAAACATTCATTTAACAGTAAATTATTTGATAATATTCATATAAATGAGCAAAACACTAAAAACACAACTAAATCTAATATTAAAAATATTTTATAAATACACAATTTAATGTTTTGAATAATAAAAATATTTGTTAATAAATATATCTATATAACTAATTAAATATATATGATTATAAAAACATTCAATAAAACTATTTTTTTTTTTTTAAGACCCAGAGATTTTTACAAGAAGTTACATCGGACTACGTAGCTCTAACAGGATTAAAAATGTTTTCAATCACAAGGAATTTCCTATTAGGAGTAAGTAATGATTTGGGTTACTTAAATGTTAATTATTTACATGCATTTTTTTTTTATAGGTTGCGGGAGCAATTTTAACTTATGAAATTGTGTTAATACAACTACAAAATACAAATTGATAAGGTGCCATTTAAAATGTTAAAACATATTTTCCTGGCTTTTCAGTATTTATATTATATATTATTTTCTTATATATGTATTAAACATTGTCCGAATCTTTGTTTTTGTTTTCTAATGACATATAATGTCGCATGGAACTCAAATCTCGTAATAACATAGTAATGGTAGCTGATAAAACCTCATCATCTACGATGCCATTAACTTGATCCTCGAGTCCTACAAAAATATTTAATAATAAATCATTAAATTTTATTTTGATAAAGTAACAAAAAATAACAAGTACCATTAGTTTTAGCTTCAAATAAGTTAGTTCTTGCTTCTAAATTATTCATACCATCTTCAATTTCATCAAGCAAGTGTTTTCGACATTCAGCTGTATTAATTGGTTTTTCAGGTATTGGACCAGAAAGTACTAAAATATTATAAGTTCAATAAAGTTAAAACATGTTATAAATAAATGTATGTTCACAAATCATAAGGACGTAACTATCCAATAATTTTAATAAGATATCAATATACCCTGTGCAAGAAGTTGCAAATATTTTATGTTTAAATAGGATCCATAATAGATCCACGATGTACATCAATAACAAAATCAATAAAAAACTTTATATGATTAATATTTAATGAAAAAACTGAATTATTAAGGCTAATATTTATACTTCAGGAAGATTAATAATAATTTTAAAAAAAACATTTAATCCATATTATCATCAAAATAAATATAGGCCAGAAATATATCAATCTGACAGGTGCCTTAGGTTTTTAAATTTATCGAAGTCTTTACCATAACAAAAGTCTGTCTAAAATCAATGACAATTCAAATTTTTTCTATGCACTACATAATATTGGCTGTATACATGTACGTATTTAAAATAAAAATTTAAGGCGCTGTTTCCCTAGTAATTCAGTAAAAAATGAATAAAAAAATATGTAAAAAATAAATTGTTATATGTTTGTTATCAATGTCAAAATTTAAATTGATATAGGAATAAAAATACCATAAAGTAAACCTACATTCTTCTAATTTATCTTGAGGCGGTTCTTCATTTCTCTTTGTACCTTGTTCAGACCATAAATAGAGTTTAGGATGATCAGGGGTTTGACTATTAACAAAAAAGATAAACACATAATACATAATATACAATTATTATATAATGTGTTCAATTGAAATAAAATCAAATAATAATAAGGAAATAGCATACCCATAAATTGCAGTTTTAACTAAAAGACTGTGTAAATAATTGCTGTGTTCAACCACCTCAGCAACTAATTGGTGAGATTGTTTCAAAATATTTTCATCTTTTCTTCGTCGCTCATCTTTATGTTGTAAAACGCTGGATCAAAGTCAAATACAGATATAAATACAAGGTATTTCATATTTTATTGTAATGACAATAGTATATATTTAAAAGTTACATGTATATATAAAACAGTATTAAAAATTAAGTTTTTTGATCAGGTAATACTAGTAAAATTAATTAAATATGTCTATAAAGAATTAATTTCTTTTTTCATCCAATTATTGCAATAAAGGAGGTATACATTTGGAATATTTTTAAATGAAAATGATGCCGTTTAAATGCATAATTTTTTTTATTACGAATTACAATAATTTAGAACTGAAAATATTATTTTAAATAAATTTTAACTAGACTTAGGACTAAGTCAATTGAATAATAAATACATAATTTGAACATAGAATGCTATCTTGAAGACAATCACGAGACTGAAGAACCGAGCAAAGAAAAAAAATGTCTTCTTTAAATACGAATGATGATTAAAGTGAACAAATTGACAATGAAGTCGAAAAAATTACATAAGTAAACTGAAATATCAATGACAATAATAAATGTTTCAAATTTTGTTAGAAAAATTTTTTTTTTTTAATTTTTATCTCAGTGATTTATTTTTTGCTATCACATAAAAAAAGCCTAACTGGGAATTGCAAACATTTATTTTCGAATGGCAAAGCCTGTAGGAATCATTGGAATCAAGCTTCCTCATAGCTGGGGATACCTTTAATGAAAACAGCTCAATAATATTGCTATGCATTCATTTTATTTTATTTAAAAACTTTTCAACTATATAAAAATGTTAAAAATTATCATTCCATGACAAAATATATTCCAACATATAATCAGTCTTGGGTTTCAATCCTAAATAAATATATATTTTTCATTCAAAACCTAAAGATATTCTTTTTAAAAAAAATTATAACAATTTGTGTAAAACTAAATTTAATAAAAGCAATATGCCCAATTAAGACCCTTCTTTAAGGTCAACATTACACAAATTTAAACTGATTTACTTTATGTAGCCTGCAATTTAGAAAAATAATATTTGGCGGTTTCCAAAATCCTAATGGGGACCACTGGTATGAACATTGAATACTATTATCTAAAGAGTCTACACATAATAAAATAGACAACTGTTTCATGGACCATACTATTTAGGATTACTCAGTATATTATACATATTATACCATAGCAACTTCTATCATGGTTAAGTCACAAAACAATGTCAATGATGATAACTCACCTCGCAACTTTTCCTTCTTTGATCCAATCTTGTAAATAATCGTATTGTTTTGATCGTCTCTTTTTCGAAGGATTTAAACAACTATTACAAACATAATTATCTGGTACTTGAACTTCAGAGTCAATTTTGTTACAATAACCATGTTGCCAGCATAAACAAACATCACACTATAATAAAAGTAAAATGTAGGTATATGTAAATGTAAAACAAGATATAAAAAATAAATTTGAAATCAATCAAATTAAGTGTTTAAATTAAAATATATTTAGTTTATTAAAAAAATGCCTTAAATAATACCTGTATCATTAAACCATCTTCTTGATTTGAACCACATGAACAATTAATTACCTCCTCTTTAAGTAAAGACTCAACATTAGACTTATTTTTCTTTATTTTAAAATGTCGATCTACACCTATTGCACTGGTAGTATAGTTGTCTGAATAACACAGAAATATATTTAATTAAATTTACATAAATTTAATGATAAGAATTATTTTAAATAATTAATAATTTTACTGTGTGTTTCAATTTCAAAATTATTATTTGCAGTTATTCTTTTAATAGGTTCTTTTAGTTGAACATATTCTTTAACTGGACTTTCAATTATTGGACTAATAGATACCACACAACCAGAGAAACCAGAATCCCTAAAAAAAATAAATCGAACCTAATTTATAAAAAAAAATGACTTCATAAATAATAACTAATACTTTGAATCATATGCTTGGGTTATACTGTTATCGGTGGACGTTAAAGATGTGACATAGTTTTCAGATTGAATGGAAATATTATTATCAGGTACTTGTCTGCAAGAAATAATATTTGTTTCAAGGTATTCAATTATCATATTAAATGATAAATTTAATTGTACATAAAATTATATCATAGTGTGCAATCGAGTAAAAAAATACAAACTCTGTAAATTTCATAGATGATGTTGTAATTGGAGATGGTGAATTAAATGAAGTGCTAGCCAAACTTCGTTTAGCTTCTAGTTGAGATATTCTGTTTAAGAAATAGGATGGAGAGAGTTCATCAACGTTTTCACCCTCGATTCTTGCTGTTGCAAGATCTGTTACATTTGGAGTAGAGACCAATAATTCAGTGTACTCGGCATGATAGTGTTTAATGTGCATCTAAATAAATAATATACATTAGTAATCTACATTAAACATTTATAAAAGACTAACCATTAGTAGGTTTTCTTTACGAAACAACTTTCGACATTCTTGTTTTGGACACCTAAAACCTTGTTCATTTGAAGCCTCTGCCCTAACTAAAAAATTAAATTAAAAAAAAAAAAACCAATTTATATATCATAATCAAACTCCTGAGACTTATTATTCGCATGAAAAATAAAAATAAAAGTAGAAAGTTTTTGATTATAGATTTTTCTTAAACAAACTTATAGATGTTAAAATATGAATTATTTTATTAATTTGTATTTTTTTTTTGAAGAAGAATTTTTAAGTAATCAAATTGTTGAAATACAATAAACATAAAAACCAATTTACTTTTTTGTAAAATACTATTATGAGCTATTTGATGGAAAGATGGTGGAGTCTGGCATAATGAATTATCAGATGAACTCATTGGAATAGAAGGCTTCATTTTTGGTGGAGTTATCGATGTATCTGCAGAATCTGTATTGTTAGATTTACTTAAAAGTGTATTATCATTTTTCCTGGAAATGTAAAAATTTTTACAAAAATTTAACAAAGTAAAATTATAAAATTATTAACATACTTTGTTTTAAGTGGATTTAATTTAACCACTAATAGTTTTTTTTTACTGTCATTAAGTTTTGTTAAACTTTTTCTTTTATCAGTACGTCTTCGCAGGCCAAACATTAATTTTTTCCCTTTGAAAAAAAAAAAAAAATAATAAAATAAAATAAAATATTTGTTAAACAATAAATAATATGCTTACTTTTTTTCTTTTGTTTTATATTGCTATGCAAAATATTTTTTGATGGTGAACAAATTTTGGCTTCTGCTTCAATATCTTCCAATAGCTCTTCAAAGTTTTCTGGCTTCAATAAATTAGTTACATTAAGCTGTTTTGAATTGTTTGGAGAATTCACAATTTCTTTACCTGCATTTTTGTTAAACAAAGTAATAATAATAATAATTTTCTCGACAACCAAGAATAAAAAAAGTTTTAAATACTTGTTCCACGTTCAATTTCTGAATTCTCTACAATTGGTGAATGTTTTGAAGATGAGTTGGTAAAATGTTTTTCATTGTTCTGAAAATATAAATAGTAAAATAATAAAAATTAATTAATAAAGTTCAATTGTCCGGGATGCATAAAATATATATTCATAATTTTTTTTTTCAAATTTAAAAAAGGGTAAACAAATTTATCATAATTATGTTTATGTACATTAAGGTGTTTCAGAAATTTGTCATCAGATATTCTTATTCTTATAATATTGTGTTCGTTGCTTACTAATGTACCCAGAAGCATCGTTTTTTTTTTTTTTTTTTTTGTTTATTTATGTAAATAATAATTTTTAAGGCGAGATCATTTGATTACAAATTATCAGAAGAAAAAACAAATATACTAATATTTTTTTCAAATAAAAAAAAAATCTAAATTTTATTTCTCATTTAGACCTTAAAAAGTAATTTTGATAAATTAACCCTTAAATACATTTTATAGGGGTTGACAATTTTTCTAACTTTTTCTCCATTTAGTTAAAAGAAAGGTTATACTAGTATAGTGAGCTACACTTGATATGTATTCGAATAAAATTATTTTTACAATTATTTATTTTATAATTCAACATAATGGTGTGTAGCTACATAGCTGAGTAAATAAAATAAAAAATAAAATTATTATTATTCATATGAAAAAATTAAGGTGCGATATTTAAAAATTCAGAATTTGTTTTCCTTTTAATAAAGAAAAATTGTGTTGCATATTAAAAATCTAATAATTTTTTTTAAGTACATTTTTACAACTTGTACCAATTATCGTTTAGTGAGAACTGGATTGAAATCTTGCACCAATGTAACCCTTTTTTCGCTAGATCATTGATTATATTCCAACTTTGAACTGTCCTAGCTTTAATGTTTACTGGATTGTTCTCTTATGTACTCGAACCTTTTTTCATGAATTTCAAAACAATTTTATTTGTTTTAAAAATCGAAAAACTATTCTTGCTAACAAAATGAGATCACTGCTTGTTTAAAATAGTATTTTTGTCTACTATTAGTCGATGAGCAGGATCAACTTTACCTTTTAGGTTTATAGCTGTGAAAATTTCTCTTCTTTTTTTTACTGGTACAAAAAAATCAAACAATGCTAATCCCAAAAGTAACCCACTCAGATACCATAAATGATCAGAAAATATCTTAAATGCCAGTTCAGCTATTTTTTTGTTGACATTTTTGTATTACACGAGATCTTTCAACAACTAACTTTAAGTCATTTAATGGTGCCAAAATTGGACTCCAAGTATACCAATTTTTTTTAATAAACTAGCTATGAAAAGATTAAATTGACAGAGATAATCAATTTCTTTTGTTTGTAATTGGAGCTAATTTCTGAATATGTATATTATAAACAAATAATTATGGTGATGAACTTTTAGTGCATATATTACAATCAGGTTTTCAGCACTTGTTTCTCCAAGAAATAACAGCAGTCATTTATTGTAATGACTATGTGGGTGAAAAATAGTTAATTGATAAAATTAACTAATTTTTTTCTATTGTTAGATGACATAAAATAATCGGGTCTTGCATCACATTCTGATATTAACTGTTTTACTTATCATGAATATTAATCTTTGAATTTAAGGGAAAAACAATAAACAAACATAAGATTTATTCGACGCAGACATCGTAATTTATACTGAAACTATCTAATAACTAAAATCAGATTATTTGCATAATAATAACACATATAGTATTTTTATCGACCATTGTAGTAATAAAGCCAATAATCATTAAATACAGACAACAAAGTAGATTTCAAACAATTTTTCAATGCTATCAATGATATCAAATTGATATAAAATTTCTATTTTTCATATTTATTCAATACTCTTTCATAATAATTGTAAAATTATTTTATTTCTTAGTCATATCAAGTGTAACTATAATTGTATAACCATTTTCTTGGTAACTAAATGGAGAAAATTGTTAAAAATGTGTTTAATTCCTAAAAAATATATTTAAGAGTGGTTAAAACGGCTGATTTAACAAAATTATCCAAAAATTTACTTTTAAAGATTAAACAAGAGGTCAAATTAAAATTTTTTAATTTGAAAAAATATATATTTTTTTTGTTTTTTCTTTTGATAATTTTCATTCAACAATCTTGCATTAAAAATTAAAACAAAAAAACTCAATTTTCGAACCTTAAAAAATATGAACAAAATGGGGGTACATTATTATCTCTAAGAAACAAAATATCACAAGAATAACATTAGATTAAAAAAAAAAAAAATTCTGAAATACCATAAATAATATACATTTAATGTGTGAACAGTGAACTAATAGCTATTTATATATTTATTGGGTGTATATAATCTTTAAAAATAAAAAATTATACGTACAGAATTATTTAAGAAGAGTTGTTTTGACTCCGTTTTTTTGATGGCTTTTTGTTCCTTAAGTTTAGAATCTATAAAACAATACAATATATAATCTTTGTTGAGCAGCTTTTCTTTTATTTCAAACATAATTGTTAAAATTTTTAAAGGAACACGTAAAATGTTAACAATTCAAAAATTTATTTTTAAACCAAGAAATTTCAAAAAAATGAAGAATTAAGAAATTTAATGATGCCATGTTTAAGTGACTTCTCTTTTAAACACTCCATTATAAATAAAGTAAATTACTAAAAGACCATAAAAATTAAATCTTTATTTCAATATACATAATAAAAAATTTAATTTAAGTATACCAAAATATTAAAGACTAGATAAATAAACGGGGCCAGCTTATAGGATAACAACCAGATTTGGCATAAAAATAAAACAAAAGCACATTGTATAATAAAAACTGGAATAAATTCATACGTATTGTATGTAAAAATATAATTTTGCTTTTAACGCAGAATGAGAAGGCAGCAAAACGTGGACATTTTTAAATTTATCAATATTATCATATTACAATATACACTAATGTCACGTGTCACAGAATATATTACAAATTTCAAATTTTGACTTTCTAAGTTTTGAACTCTGATAATGTGCAAATGAATATAAAAGTGTATTTCTCTTATATATAGGGTCTCTAGGTATACATATCACCCAAATTTTAATACTAAAAAATTGTATATATAAATACAAAATAATTTTTGAAATATACCTTGTGTTTTTTTTGTTAAAAAATCATCTTTTTTAAATTTGACTTTAAATATACCAGAGGATCGAGTATTTGCCGTAGGTTTTTTTGTTATTTCTTTTTCAAATGTTACTGGAAGCGGAGATGAACCTTTGAAAATCACTGATTGTATGTCTATATTTTCAGGAAAGCTATAATATCAATATATATATATATATATAAAAACATTATTTAAATAGACCATGATTTAAAAGTAAGTATAATAATAGAATTTATTCTTACCTTTCTTTGACTTTCTTTACCAATCCATTATTCCCAAGTTTCATAAGATGGCTGGTTTTATTAATCCATTCACTTGCAGTTTTGCCATCTTTATAAACTACATATATATCATTATAATCATCTTCTTCTACAATAGCTGGAATCCTAAAATAGAGAAAAAATTTTATATAAGGTATTTATTATTAATAATTTCTTAATTTTGAATATGAATTGTCTTTGTTTAAACAATTAAGATTAAACAATCTTAAACAATTAAAATTATTGCATATTGTTGCTTTCATGCAACAAGTAATGAAATTATTTGAAAATAATAGTTAATAACTTTTTTTAATAAAGATCTACTCAGAATATATTTTTCCTTTAAAGATAGACTTCAGCATAATCATTTATTTTAATTGAAAATATTATTAACATAAAAATATATTAATTCAACCTAATGAGAAATAAAACTGATGGTATTCACTTTAATAACTTTACTGTATTATGGATTTACTTATTTATGGATCTAATTTAAAGAGATAAAATATGAAAGACACCCAAACAACAGTTGAATTATGTTGACTGGTTGTCATTCAAAATAAAAAATACTTTCTAGTTGCGGTCACCCAACAAAAATGTTATCTACCACTTGCGGTCACTCAGTTACTATTCTTCATATTAAATGTGAAATAATGTTACTTTTTGAATAAATATTATATTAAAAATGAAATTTTGTTTACAACAATTAATTAACCCAGGAGAGGTGTCGTTGGTCTTTTTGATCGAAGCTATTTTTAGTTTAGTAATTATCTAATGATATAATACTCGACACGTTAGGTATTTTCTATACTTTTCGTACACATATGCACTATCATTTTTATGCGATTTTCAATAAAACTTTTTATCACTATCGCTTCAATTGAACAATTTCAGTAATAATCGGTCATTCTTTCCGCCAATACCGATCATGGTTTTTCGTTTTATAAATTATTTGTTTTATAATTTTTAACCTTTGTAATATTTCTAGTTTTGTTAATTATTGAGTTCATAAGTACCTATTATAATTTAAATAAAGTAAATAAAAATAAAATAAATAAATGAATCAATGTTTCGCATGGAGTATTAGGATAAGTGTATTATATGACCGGTTTTGAATTAAAATTTCATGAAAATTTCAAAAAATTAAATTAAGGAATATATAGAAAAAACAAATTTAAAAATTGGTTGTTTTACATAGAATATAGAAATAATTTATTTTAATAGGACAAATTATTTAAACCATTTTTAATAATTTTGTTTTTACTTTATTATTTATTATAATTTATTGAATTATGGAGAAACAAACTGAAGATTTACATTAGGAAAAGGTTAGGCTTTAGGGTGGTCTCCCATTTATATAGCGTACATTATAATGTGTGTATTATATATAACATACCCAAATATGTTAATAGTTTTCAGCAATTGAAAACAATTTATAATATATAGGTCAAAAAGACCAACGACACCTCTCCCGGGTTAATCAATATTTTCCTTTCCATTGATATCGCAAAGGTAGGACTGCCTAAAAGTAGATTTATTAGAGGTATGGATGTATGGTTAAAATTGTAGATTTTTTTTTGAAAAAATAATTATCATTATAAATTTATCGCAATTTAGATATACACTATACATGAAGTGACCGCAATTGCATACAACTTATACGCATATGATACTATTTTGATTATAGAAAAAATATGTATTAATAGGTCTGGTAATCTGGTAATGTTATCATTTAAATTTTCATATATGTACTTTTAATAATTTATTGAAAAAATATTTAAAAACGGGTTTGACTTATTAAGATTATATACCTATCTTATTAAGAAAGAAAAAACAATATGTTAAATCATGGTTACAATTATTGGTAACCAAACATAAAAGAAAACCATATTAACGTTTAAAATGTAATGGATAATCATACCATAGACCGTCAGACGTCCAAATAAGAATTTCTGTTCCTTTTGTGAAATTTATTTCCTCTCCCATTTTGAAGAAATTCTGAATAATCACCACACAAAGTTGAAGGTTGAACAAATTTGTTTTCAAATTGATCTTGGTCTATTTAGTGAAATTAACCAACGTTGAATACTTGAAAAAAAAATACAAGCATTAGTAAACAAATAACCATTGCATTACAAAAATTATTACAGTAAATTATAAATAATTTATAATTGAACATGGTTTGGAGGACTTGACTTAACGTAATATCACAACAAATACTATGATAAAAATGACTAATAAAAACGTTCGAAGTTTGAATAACAAACACTACAGTTGTGCCAAAATGATTTTCCCTCTCAAACATATTATCGTCTTCTGATATCATATCTCAATGCCGTCCATGGTTAAAATGGTAAGTTTTTCAAGGAGGTTGAATACTGTAATGCTTTGGAGAAATTATACAATTAATTGAAAAGATAAAAATAATAATACATTAGAATAGTTTATTTTATTTTATTTTTTTGATTAAATTCAGTCACGGTACCCTACCATGAATACAACGAGGAATACAAAAACAAAAACATGCAAAATCAATACTATCATTGATAATCAGTTTTTATAATTTGATTGAATACAATATAATACAGTATAAGCATACGGTCGACTTAATACAATTTTTGTAAAAGATTCAATTTGAAATTGACAATATTTGAAAAAAATTATAATAAATTATAAATCAATTTTTATAAGTCAAGGTGTCCCTGTAAAGTACGCGCTTAATCGCGACACTGCGATGCAGTGTACACAGTTTGGATATTTCCAGTTTATATACTATCGATAGTTTGGATTTTGCATGAAAAAAAAAAAAAAAAATATTAAAGTTTATGGAAATCTCATATTTTTTTTTTTCATAACCGAACTAAAGACATTTTCATATTATGATTATATCTATGCATATTTTAATACTTCAATATGTCTATGGACCAAATAGATGAAATGCGATCAATAATCGAATAGCTCGATAGTGACCATCAATTATCATTTATTTAGCATATTCTATACACAAAAAATTGTATTTATATTAAACTAGTTTTGCTATGACGTGTCTATATTTTTTTTTATTTTTTGTCTGTGAAAAACTTTTCTACAACAAAAGATTGATAATTTACCAGGAGGCTCATTGTGAGAAGTATTTAGTAGTTATTTTTTTCTTACAAGAATTTTAAAATCAAATTCTGACGAAAATCGTAAATATTATGGCCTTTCAAAACATGTATAACTGAACTTCGCCCCGAATCGTTTTTCGTTGGTTACAAGTATGATTTAAATAACTTTATGTATCCCACATGTCTTTCGCATTTGTATAAAATGGGTACATTTTATTTCAAAATCATGATATACGATGACAAAATTATAACAATGTCTGTCTAAACATATTTTGACAAAAATTGTCAGATATTTCAGATATGTTTCTTAAATATTTGAAGTTAGGTGTACTTACGTTTGATCGGGCAAACAGGGCTTAACACTACTGTAAGTTTTAAACTTATAACTGTCTCGATAGTCCGGTCTCGATCCCAACTATAATTTTTTTTTTTTTCTGCATATAAAACAATACTAATTCGCTGCGATCCTCTCACTACTCGCACAAACCTAATCGGCCATAACGTACAGTCGCGCCATGAGTGAAACGGTTGGGCGTCAGTCGCTTTCATTGTTACGCCGTAATGGCAATATAACCCGAGGGAAATACCAAACTATTTATACAATATGAACCAAAAATATATGATTTTTAATTTAGATAGAAATATTCCTATGAATTTTTATTTTTAATACATTATCATTTATAAGCGTTCCTGGTAGTTTATTTTTGGAGAAATTTGGTTCGCGAAGTCTCCAATGACGAGCCACCTGGGACAATTACAAACATGATATCAAATTATACGGCTTAATTTGCTTTACATGTCACTATTTAAATATTACAACAATTCTCTTCTTAGGGAAAGTGAGGTACAAATGTGTATTATGCAAAATGCATAGATAATAAACGAGAACAAAACAAATGAGAAGAAAAAATTAAATATTATAAAACTTCTTTTTTCAATTAAAGACAAATAGGTAACAATATTACAAACTCGATATTAGATTATACCTAACCTGAAAATTATCGAGTACATTGAATTTGAGTTATATTGTTAATTTAAATAGCCAATGAGGTATTTGTCAACAGTTATTCGAAAATAATACCGCGGCTCGGTTGATTATTAACGTACATAATACATTATTATTATTAGAGTAGTTATCCTTTTTATCGTCTATTCTAGCCATTTCCTATGTTCCGATTTTAAACCGCAGATAAATGGTGGTCCCGTTTAAGACGTGATTATCAATATAGAACATTCTAATTTTCGTTTTTTTCGGGATGATTTTCGACAACGGTACCGTACTATTAAATCAACTGACCGATGGGCCAACGTGTCATTCTGTTCCATCGAACGAGACGTTTATTGTCAAATAGAAATAATATTATACCGTATAATCTGTACTTACTCGTTAAGACTGCAGTGCCCGATGAATGGCGTTAGGCGCGTTACGTCCAAGTCGTCAAATTAAAGTATTTTGCTTTTTACGTCCAACCTGATTTCCTGCACAAAACTGTAACCATTAGTAGCATCCGTAGAGTGTTCTCCATCACAGATAAAAGGTACACGGATCGTTAATACTTGATACTGTGTGAAAACCACCGATAGAACTATTACTCTATGGATGGCACTAAGACGGTAGTCGGTGTGAGTCGACGACCGATAAAGCCAATAACCGAAGGGTTGACGTTGGGAATTATTATTGCGATAACGAAAATTATATTACTTATACATTATATCAGGTACCTATATAGGCTGAATCCAAAATTTCCGAATAATATTCATATTTATCAAAGCAATTATTTGAAATATGTTATCAAAACAGTATTATAAATTTGTATTACCTATATTCTAATGTTGTATTCAATCGAGATTTTTGTGCCATCGTCGTAAGTTTTATTGCATTTTATTTTATAATAATAAAATATTTTAAGCACAATGCCATGAGATGGAAATCTTAGGTAAAGACAATGTTACGGATGACATTGTGGTGATGATAGGTACTCGTGCGGCTGTAATCGAAAAAACGGACGATTTAATTAAAGCAGCCAAACCAATGGGTCCAAGACAAGACAAAATATATGGTCGTCAGCAGAGAAAATGGAAATATAGTGGATCTAACTGTAGGGTAGCACACCTTTCTTTTTTTTTATAGCAGTAAATGATTTTAAATACTTAGGGACAAATGTAAATAAATCTAATAACATGCTTAGTGAAATAATATTAAGAATTTCAGCAGTCAACAAAGGATATTTTGCACTAGTAAAGTTATTGATCTAATCCAGACAGCTATTTAAGATTAACTTATATTCGAGTTATCTACACCCGATTCTGGCATATGGTTGTGAAATGTGGTGTGTGACAAAAGGAGACGAGCAGAAATCATTAATCGAATAGTACACCGTCGAAGCTGTGACCCGATTAGTGAAAATGGAGAATACCGGAAAAGAATGAATGAGGAAATCAATCAGCTATTTCAAAAACCAAATATAAAAGCATTTATCAAAAGCAAACGAATAGAATGGGCAGGAAGATACCTATGGAGAGATAATTGTATCTGTAAACAAGTTTTGATAAGTAAAATCAACGATAAAAGATCTAGAGGCCACCCTAGGCAAATACTCATGGTTGGACACATTAAAAACAAATCTGGTTAAAGTGGCATCAGGAACGGAACTAGAAGAGAGTGAAATTATGTAGAGGTGGTGGGAAAATGAGGAAGCATCTAAGGCCCTAAATGGGCTGTAAAAGCTAAAAAAAAAAGCACTTTTTATCAAACAACAAACTTTTTATAAATGGGCTATGTTATGGTAAAAATAAAGACCGTGAAAGTCGGTACGTACAACTGGAATTGTGAAAAGAAATCAAAGAAAAACTTTAAAGACAACTGAAATTTTTGTATTAGTTATTATTAAATTAATAGAAAAAAAAAATAATAAATTGTAATTTAGTAGGTAATATCTATATTTTAGATTCGGAGCATAATGTGAATCTATTAATTTTACTATGTGTTTTTTTATGTTTGTGAGTAATATTTCTATTAAAAAAAACTTGCTTCGAGGTAGACTAAGCACCTTTCCTGAAAATTAATTTTCTTTGGTTGGTGTCATTTTTTATATTTTCCAAGAGGTTTTCGAAATAATTGGAAAAATTCAAAAGAAAATTATAGGTAAAACAGCAAATATTTACGATGCGCCGCGACTTACCGTTTTCATATTTACATGATGTTTCCTATCAACCATATTACTGTAATCCAAAAATGCCAAGAAATCGATTGTGTTCCTATTATTATTAAGCCATTGACAGAGAAAGTCGGTTTTTGATATCTTAAGTATTTTTAATAATTAACACCAAAAAAGACGAAATATAGGATTTCACGATTTCATTATTTTAAATTTGTACTATGTTTCTACCATAAATATTGCTCCAATAGATAAACGATAGAGCCCTTTTTTACAATTTTTAATCTAGTTAGCGACCAAGTAAAACTTTTTTTGATTTTCGTTGTACTTTTTTAAATAATTGAGCAAAACCTAAAAGATGTAGAAAGAACGGGAAAATTTACAAAAATAATGCGTTTATTTTATCATTTTCAATTTTGTTTTAATTCAGTTAAAAAAACATTCGTAAACTTGAAATATTGACAGAAAATTTATAATTTTTTTTGTAAACGTAGACAAATTTGTTTACTATTGTGTGCGTTATTTGTTGGTATTTTGATTTTGTGAGTTTTTTTTACGTAATTTTATTTGGTAATAAGTGGATAAAATTATATAGAATACCCCAATTATTCTGATGAGTATGAGTCATCTCGCTTTTATATTTTCTTATATTTATAACAAAATTGAAATGTTACACAATGATTATAATATGTAATGAAATATTAATAATAATATTAAATATAAATTCATTAATTTTTCCGAAAACTTTTTACGCCGTGAAAATGTAGTGCTCCCTAACATATAACCAGGGAGCCTTTGGTAAATGTTCGCTTACAATCGTAAGATAAAAAGTAAAATAAAAAAGTACTGTAAAGTAATTGTACAAAAAATATTTTTTTGTTTAGCAAAAATCAAACCACTGATAACGACAATTTTTACATCATTAGATTGAATTTAAGATTGTTGATAGTAGCACTTATGGTAGTCATGGCAACTGGGTATACCAATACCCAGGCGCGTAATCATAATTTTATATCGGGGGGGGGGGGGGGAGGAGGAGCTGATCAAGATTTATAAACATAGCCATATAGTAAAATTAAAAAATGTATTTAATTATTTATTTAATGTATAGAATAATAATAAAAATAAATTATGTAAAAATACTTTCTTGCAAGTGAACTCAGTTCAGTATAAAAAGTAAACAAACACAAAGGTTATAACTGGGGTAGACTGTATACCTAGTCATTGATTAAGTTATTGATAAAATTATATTCAGAAAAACGTGTGCCTTCTAGTATTCGTTTTTTGTGGTAGTTTTGTCCATGAGTGATAAGTTAAGCTAGCACAATAAAGATACCAATTTAAAATTAATAAAACATTAAAATTAAATTTAAGTGTTAAGACTGTTACGACTCATAGACCATGGAAATAATTTTTAGATTTTCTTAACATTTCTCGGAGGGGGGGGGATGCAGCCAAAACCGATATTATTGACCAAATATGTTTGGAAAAATTAAGTCTGGAATATTCAAAGTATATTAGAAAAATTCTGGTTTTCAATCAATATATCGTTAGTTTCAATATTAATTCATAGTTTTTGATTTCAAGTATCTGGTATCGCGTTTGTATCGGTAGCATATATAGGAATATCGGCTCATCCTTAAATATACGTAAATAATAATATATATTTTAAGTCTATGTGTATACTCTAAATTTGTAAAGAATGCATGAACAGTGGAAACATCTTTTAATTTTGTTAAATGTATATCAATTCCTTATTTATATTTATAAAATTTACTAAATAAATAAAATAAATAAATGTATTATATATAATACATTTATTTTTTTAATCCTCTGAGATTTCATTTTGCCCACATACTTATTTAATATTAAAACTAAAGCAATTAAATAGTTTGTACTTCAATATAGAACTCGCACTTAGTAAGGTATAAATATTCGGCCTTGTGAGTTGCAAGAAAATGGTAAAATTCTGATACTCATGCCAAGTGCTACTTTTAACAAAACATTCGCTATCTATGTCTAGTATTCAATTAATTTTCTTATCACATATAAATATTATATTATTTCAAATTGTTCTAATATATTTGATTAACTATTTCAGTGAAATTTATTCTATTCAATAATTATTAGGTATTATTATATATTATATTTAACAAAATTAAAATTTATCCTTGGTGTTACTCTTTGTCACCACTAATCTATGTAAAAATATACTTACTTATTTTGTTTATATTATAGGTAATGTATAGTTAAGTAATATTTAGTTTGAAAATTATTACATTTATATTATTCAAATGTATTTATAATTACATTTTTTTAATATGAAATATTTATATATTCTATCACAATCTGATTTAAATAAACGGATGTTAATTAGGCAATAATTAAGAAGGACAAATTTAAAAAAGAACCAATCATTGTATTTTATTTATTATATCAACAAAGTACTTAAAAAAGTACTACAATACTGTGAAACAATTTTTAAACTTTCTTTTCATAGTATATTTAACAGCTATTACATAGAAAATGTACCCAAAATAAATGCGCTATGATAAAATAAACATTTTATTCATGAAAAAACGCAAATGAAATAATAACTAAGTCAAAAAAAAAAAAAAATAAAAAAAAATAATAACAAAAGAAAAAAAAAAAAATCATATTTACAATAATTTAACAATTTAGCTAAAACAATAAGGAAATTAGGAAGTTCTTTGATTAATAAACAAAATATGAACATAAACATAATGAATAAGTGACCAAAAAAGTTGTTTGTGTTTTAGTTTTAATTTTTTTTTTTTGTATAATAATAATTACTGAAAATGTAATGTACTATTATTTTGGTAACAAATATCATATATTTATGAAAAGATTTGCTAAAAAATATTACATTGATGAAGGCACAAGACATTGTATTTAAGGTTTAACCAGTTATGAAATGTACACATATATATACATGAAAAAACGCAAATGAAATAATAACTAAGTCAAAAAAAAAAAAAAAAAAAAAAAAAAAAAAAAAAAAAAAAAAAAAAAACAACAAAAAGGAAAAGACAAATAATAACATTATAAATTAAACTTGGTCTTTTGACTAGCTTAACTTCCAATTTAATGAATTAGAATTATTTTTTTTCGATTGACAAATAAAACAATAATTATTAGTTTGATCTAGGAATTTGCAGATTAATTTTTTTCAATAAATTTTATGTGGGTAAACAATTGTAATTCTTTACAGTATTAAGAGTCAAATAATTATTTTAAGAACATTAATGATAAGACACATTATGTAATCGGATACATGTCTACGTAAATATTATATATTTATTTTTAAATTTAAATTTTTACACTTTTATTAAAAAGTTAATTTTAATATTTACAATATTAAGACTTGAAATGTCTTTATCACAAAGTCTAGTAGAAAAAATCCCTGTCAGTCAATTATCACGTATGGTAGTATGACAAGCGGTTCACCAGTATCGTTTGTCCTAGTTAAGACCTCGTGCCACTCTCGAAACGTTTCTTCGTTTTCCCAATTACCAGTAACGCCTTCTATTTGAGCTCCATTTACTAAATCAGTAGGTGAGAGAGGTGGCCGTGGTGGCGATGGTGGAGGTGAACTCCAGTCTATGGCTTCTAAGTCAAGAGGAGGTAATCTATTATATATATCCTGTATTTCTCTGTCGACATTTGCAACTTTAGGTCGACTAGGTTTATCAACTTTTGTTACAGAAGGTTCGTCCTGGAACTCAGGTACAGAAATTTGTGGTTTCTCCTCAAACTGATAATTTTCATCATCCTTTCTCAATGATGCAATTATTTCTTGGGTAGTTTTTATTTTGCTGGCACCAACACTTACCATTCTTTCCAGATCTACAGAGTTAACAGGTGTTATCCCTACTTTTATGGAATTTTTGCCTCCTTTTTTTCGCCCACGTTTTTTTGGACCCTGTGGTTCTAATATCGGATCAGGTTCTTGTTCAAGCTCATTTACTGGACTAGGTATTGGTTCTGGTGATTTTTGAACCGTCGGAGATATGGTATTTGAGCTCAGTGTAGGTACTCCATTTAATTTTGGTTTCTAAATAAAATTAATAATTATATTAATGATTACATACATATAGGCACACATTTTTTAAAATCAGTTTCATACTTTAAGAGGTGCTGTATATTGATCAGGTGAAGAAATAGGTCTTTTATTATTATAATTGCTAAGCATGCCATTGGGTTGCGAGGAAGGCAGCTTAGTTTGTTGTATGACATGAGCACTATTCATCATTAGGTTACGCCATCGTTGTACCAGCTCCTTTGCACGTTTGGCCAACTGTTTGTCCACAGTTTTTCGGCGTAATTCATTGACCATTTTACCAATACGGGTTGCCTGTTACATATAAAACAAAAATTATTTGATTACCAAGGAGAACAATTTTACATTCTATGTACAATTTGTTTAGAAAACATTTTAACAAATTCCGCTCAGGTGCATTATTACTTTTTTTTTTTTTAATATAATGTAAATGTATACGTAATTGTTTCTTTTATTCTAATTAAAACTTGTATGATTGATCATCATCTTTCAATATAATTACTATTTTTCATTATATAATTCAATTGTTTAGATAAATTTGGGTAGGTAATAAGTAAGGTAGACTATACTAACCTAGTTTGACACTTTTAAAAAATATATTGTAAAATTATAATATATATGTTGATTTTTAGAGCTTTTTAAAACCTATAAGTGAATATTGATCTTCTTTATAGTATGATGAATAATATTTTTAAACACCTATATTGATTATAAAGATAATCATTATTATTTAATATTGGGACAATTTATAATTTGAAATTTTAACTTCCATTCAACAGACATTCAAATACTAAATCACATTATGCCATTAGCTACAATATTATCTATATATACTGCATAACATGTGTATATCATTGCAGTCATGCCAAAAGTGACCATCAGATTTAAACAATTTTTTTTTATTAAATTTTGATTTTAACCAGTGAAGCAATTTTCAACCTAAAAGAAATTTATTGATAAGTGAAAAAAAAAAGTTATTAGTCCATGTGATCGTAAATAATAATGGTATTTTTGTATATTAAATGCTTATAATTATTTAGATTCAATAATAAAAAGTTCTATGATAATGACCAACACAATTTTTCGTGGCAAGTGATGCGTGAAAAATTTCAAAATGTGTAAATGGAACACGGATATGAAGAGGTTGAGAAAAGATGTGTTAAGTGGTTCCTAAATTATACATGATCACTTTTGAGACTTGTAAAAATATAAGGATGAAATAAGGCAATTAAATAAGTTTTTTTAAAACATACTCTACAAATATACAATTTAGACATCATGATGATGTGATATTCAAATTTTTAAGAAGTTAAAAATAAATTGTAAAACCAACAAAATAATGTTATTAACGAGTTCTATGTGTATACTCAGGAAAAAAAAATACTAATTTATCAATTCTTAAAATATTAATATTTACCTCAAGCACCTCCGTGGTAACTGGTAGCTGTTCGAGGGTTGAAATAACCTCAAACACTGTAGACATGTCGGTAACCTAAAGCAATATATATTTATAACATGTAATTATTAACATTTTTTACAGTGTAATTTTATTCAGTACACTTTTTAACAAATTTTAATTGCATTTCTTTTTTTTAAAATTTTTAATAATGACAATATATTTATTACTATATTATAGATTTTTAAAACTTTATTTTATTTATAGAAATCATATTTAATAAGTATTTATAATGTGTGTTCAACAAATTAAAATTAAATGTACATATGTATTACCTATGTATATTATAAAAAAAAAAAAAATAATAATTCATGATATGCAAAGCTCCATCACTAGGCAATTACTCCCTATTTTTTTTTTTTGTGAAACAATTAACAGTTAAATATAATAGTAAAAAATTATGAATTTGTGTATATAAATGGTAGGGTAGGGGTTAAAAGTTCTTCAATATTAATGCTGTTAAAAAACACAATTCCATCATACTGGCTTTAATTATAGGGATGTATAGGTGTTTAAAGCTAAAATAACACCCAATCCCTCCGCAACATGGTGAAATTAAATATAAGCTTTATCACTTCAATCAGTCTATAAAACCACTTTTAATTCCAGAGTTCATTTTGTTAAGCGAGATCAGTAAAAGAGTAAACATGTAGCGGGAAAAGATTGATGGCATATAAATATAATATGTATACAAGGCGTTATTAAAAAATTCCGGGGCTGTTTAAATGCGTGCCAACAGACATCTAAAAGTAGTAGGATTAATATTATTGGCTTATGACTTTTCCTTAACATATCTGGCTTTGTAACAAGATCCCTTCATTAAAACAGAAGAAAAACTTACAAATCCTTCAAAAAGCTTTGCTTTTAGATTCATAACAAAATAATAAACACATAAATAATTTATTTTACAAAAATATAAAAACTAAAGGTTTTCAAAACTAGAGTCCATAAAAAAATATGTACTTAGGAGAAGTCACAGAAGCCTATGATACCTAACACTATAGCCACTAGCTAACCTAACCTGTACCGTGGTACACAGCTCAATCAGTCCCTGAACTGTTTGATTACACCTCTCATATATATATATATATATATACAAATACATAATAGATATTGTAAGTTGAATAATCTGAGAGATTTTTTTACTAAAAATTAGCATATAAAATAAACTAAAATAGTATAGAATTTGAAATAATAAACATAAAGCTTAAAGTAATGATAGGTATTAATTATAAAATATCAAATTATTATGCTGGTTTCGATGAAGAACCATCAGAAAATAATTTTAATTAAATGTTTTAATATTGGATTTTTGATTATACAGGTATAATAAATCTATATGTAATATTTATTTATTTGTTTTTGCAGGCATTAATTCAATAAATAAATAAATAATCATACATAAACATTAAATAGTACAAGATATATAACTTATTTTAAAGTTGTATAATATTATCTAGTACAAAATTACATCCAACCTATTATATATTTCCATGTACCCATTTAGAAATCTAATAGTTTTAGGTAATTTTAATTTTACAAAGTATGTAAAATATTGTATCTTATTTGAAATTAAATCATCTTTATGATTGTTTATTTACCCTTCATTTTTAAAATCATACTCAAATGTTAAAAAATCAAAAATAATGTTTTAGTACATTTGTATAAAATAATATAATTTGTACATATTCAAAATATAAACATTTTACATGAGGTAAAGGGAAAATAAAATAATTTTTTTATTCACAATATTATGTTTTTGTATAAATTATTTAAAAATATTAATTACAATTTAAAAAAAAAATATTTTCTGCATAAAAATAAATGTCATTAAAAATATAATATTAATTAAAATAAAGAATCAATTTTTACAATTAATTCAAGTTTAGTCAAACTTTAATTGGGAAATTGTTTTATGCAACTGAAAATTGTGAAAAAAAAAAATCAAATAGATACCTACACAACATATTAAAATACCAATAATAAACTACATCAAATATTATTTTAGTCTTAATCAAACTATTAATCTAACCTAGTTGAGTCATTTAATAAACAATTAATAGGTTTAATATTATCATTAAAAAGCATAATTTTAAAGTATGATAAATTTCCAGGTTTCTATACAAATCTTAATTGAAGTATCTACGAATTATTTTGTATCACACCAGATAGCTTAATATGCAGACTTCACATATTAAAATAAATCAATAAGTAATAACTAAACAGAATCGAAATGTTTATTAATAACAATCAAAATTAAATCAGTATTGATATAATTAGTAAGATTTTCAGGAAAACGAATATCTTATACAATTTTTTTAAATTATTTAGTTCCCTTCACCCAGTGTCCTAAACCTAAACAAATTATTATGTAATACAAAAAAAGTCTCTATTAATATAATAAAATCAAAATAAAGTAGGTAGGTATTAATTGTTTAGATTATCAGTGCTAAAATTATTAAATTATAATATAAATATTTTATTAGAGATCTGAACAAAAAAAATACTGAATTGTCACAAGACCGATAAAATAAAAATTTAGTAATATTTAGACAGAAATTTTTACCGTGACAAAATATGATAAAAACTTAAAAATTGTCATAGGTACAAACTAGAGAAATAATAATACCAATGAAATTGAAAAAAATAAAAATAAATTATTTATTGTTGTTTTAATGGTTATAACTAATACCATTATAAGAAGAATGTAAAATATCAATAATTTAACAGGGCAATAACCGAAAGTAAAAAACACATTAACACGATTTAGTCAAAAGTTAACGAAAATGACAATTTAAAGGAGAGCTATAGCAACACACAAAACAACCCACAAAGAAATTCGGCATGCACACGTTTGGTACATATGCAATTTAAGTTATTTTTTTTAAAAAAAAAAATCGCAAGTTAATAGAAAAAAAAGTCATTGTAGTCTTATTAATCCAGTGTTTCTCGAGTATATTCCCCATAGCCCTTGACGACGACCGCGGGGCGTGCGGTCGGACATCAACAACTACGACACGAAGAACGGACACACGCATTGATCAAACACCCAGCCCGCAACAGACGGACACATTCGTGTTGTGCGTACGGAAAAATAGCATATTGTACATTGAGGGGGGGGGACGAAAACAACAGCTCAAATATTATTGTATGTATAGGACGGTGAATATTCTGTAAAGGGTTTTGCATGACATAAAATTCGGCAGCGTCGTCGGTGCCCGGTGGTGGTGGTGGCGGCGACTGAAAAAATTAGCTAGCTAGCTGGACGGTGCGAAACGAAGAAAACATTGTCAGGCGAAACGGGACAACGCGAACATAATGGAATACAGGATACGCCGCCAGATATACCTACCTAGTGTAATAGACTAAAAGGGAAAGAGGAGTACGAACACACAGAGAAAAATAAATAAAGACCGGGACGAAGCGGAAAAGAGAACGCGCAAACGAGAAAGGAACGTTACGCATGCGCAGTGCTGCGTGTATAGCGATGCCCGTCCGTATTTAATGTCATCAGTGTACGCCGTACGGTACGCCCGCCGCCGACGACGTTGCGTGAACCTATTTTCGGCCATTGTGTGAATACCGCGCGCGGGCGCCCGCGCACCATCAGAGTAACGCACACACGCACGTAATCTGGCGCGGACGTTCCGCGCGCCACACGGGCGTCCGTCGGCGACCACGGCGGCGGCGGCAGGCAGCAGCAGCGGCAGCAGTAGAAAACCATTCCGTAGCACACGTACACACGTACACATGGACAACAGCAGTCTGGGGCCGAGCAACGACGGCCGATAGTCGTCAAGTATTTCATTATTGCATATTATAGTAAAATAAAAACGGAAACGAACGAAAACCAGGCCGCGCCGCCAACACGTCGTTTTCTCTTCGGAATAATAATAATAAATAATACAACGAAAATAAAATACGAGAAACACCACCACGTAAACCACTAAAATAATATTAATAATCGCCATACTTATAACAATATATGATAATAATATGCATTATATATAAATCGTTTTTTTTTATGAAAAAAAAAATAATATAAAATAATAATAAGGGAGTTTGTAAAAATAATATTGTCTTACATTGTATTCATCGTCCAATGCGCTCAATAACCTATGTTTTATGTCGAAAAAAGTCTTCTGCATGAGGCCCTATTCGGTCTCAGTTCGGAGAGCACGTCGGCCCACATCAGCACGCACAGCACAACTTACAGTGATGGCGGACGTGCACTGAGGGCCGCCGCTGGCTCCCGAGCCGCAGTAACGGCGATTGGCGGCGATCGGCACACGAAAGCGACCAGACTACGCGGACGGTACCGCCCGATCGCACGCGACTGGAGCCGACCGTAACCGAACCGGCGATCAGATGTTGCCGCTCTGGACACGCGGACCGATGCGTAACGTTCGATCCAGCGCTCGTGCCGTTGTTTACCAGTGTTGCGACGAAACGTTTGCCCCGCGGTACACGAAACGTGTACACCATAGTGGAATAATCAGACGGCCGGACGATATTAATTTTTCAACAATTATTATTGCCGTTTACGCGCGCTGTTGGTAATACGCACTCGATGTGTGATAAAATATCAGCGATAGCGCAGACTGTTATCCACGGTAGTACGGTTATCTTGCCATTTACAATGTTTACATCCTAATCGCTATTTAATTATTATTGTTAGTTAGATTTGTCATTCCGGAAATGTAATTGATCCGTTTATTACGCATTTTCGGCTTTCGCATTAGTCTGGTTGTTTTGTACGGCGGTGAACTAATGACCGGGCGCGAGACGACTACGGGGCCGACCGCGCGTTTAGACGTTAATAATATTTCTGGCGTCTGAATGTCTCGTGGTGTCGAGTGTATTCTTCGGGCAACACGCGCATACGGACACACGTGTTTAATATTTCCGATACGTGGATTTTTTCAATTCGACGTTCTCGTCCACCATACTATTATACTACCATTTTGATTGTTATTGAATGTAAAATCGAGAAAAAACAATCCACAATATCTAGCGCGTATGGTCCATTTCCAAACGCTCCTCACACGTGTTTCAAACAGTTTCTGTAAAAACGCGTACAATAACGTTAATAAACTAATGAGTACTCGAGTATAATAGTGAGTAGAAAAACGTGTTATTATAATATCCGTGCTCGTTTTACACATTTTGGAAACTGACCTATAATTCTGCAAATTGCGCATCTATTCTATATTACATTGATATAGATACCTACATATTGGAAATATTGTGTATTGACTTGGGTACTTTTGTGCTATTCATTTTTATTTGTATAATTTCGTCCATTAAATTAGTTAATATCATTTTTCCTAGTGCGAAGAATTTTTAATCTCGAGACACGAATGGGCGATTTTAAAAACGAAATTAATGCTACGTCTGTCGTTATTGCGCACGTGGAATAAAACCATTATTTTCGAAAAATCAAGTCTATCGTTGACAATCGGTCGTGTGTGTACTTTGTAGTGTGACGTGGTCAGAGCATAATACATGTCCTCCAGGGGCGTGTTTTCATTACGATTTTTAACATGAGTAAACTGTTACATGCTATTTTAGTTGGTCCTATTCAGAAATCGATATCGTGCCCGAAAGCGAGTTATATAATAATGATAATCTAGTGTACAGTATAATAGGTACAAAGAATTAAAATAATTTACAAACATTTAATGTTAAAAAGGTACCTTAGTTAAATAAGATTACCTACCTAGGTAATACCTGTCTATGGCCATCAATGGGCCCAGGCAGGATTTTATTTGGTGGCCCAACCCATTCGCGCATTATTGATTTTATTATTCATATTTGTGTTAAGTTGACATATTAAGTCATCAGGTATAGTTCACTAAATATTTTTAAATTCGTATAAGTTCTATATTATTAAATTTGTATGTCATTAATTTTTACACAAAGGCATTACAAATACAAAAGTTTCAATCCGTATTATAGATGAGAAATAATTACCTACCAAGAAAGTTAATAGACAAAATAAACCTATGATTATTGTGTTTTGATTTTGATATTATCCACGATATATTTTGCGCACTACAAAAAATAAATATTTGCACCTGCCATCTGCGTTTTTAATCCAGGCAAACTGTAAGGTTCCATAAATGTAAGATTGAAAAGCATTTTGATTCTGGTTTAATTAGGTATTGCTTTTTTTTTTTGTGTGTGTGTCTAATCAACTTTTCTAACAGAATTATTACTTCAATTAAAAATTGTGTAAGACATTTCTTGTTGAATTTTTGATCATTGTGGTGATTTTTTGATTTTCCTTCTAGTTTTTTTAATAAATCTGGACAAATTGGCAATTGTTGATTTATGAGTTACCTTGTTAAATATAAGTATTATTTTGTTTTAGCTATTCATTATAGATATAATATAATGTATAATATATTAAATTAATACTTACCTAAGGAGCTTAGGATGTTTATTGAACTATTTTTTGTTTGTGTACATATATATCCAAAAATAAAAAAGGAAATGTAACATACATTTTTGAAATGAACATCTTATTACTAACCGGAAAATGTACATTTACTTATATAAAAATAAAATGATTTGCATTGTCTTATAAAACTAATCATAATGAGCTTATTATTCAAATTTTCTTTTATAGAATTTACAATATGATATAAATAATATTATACTCATTTGACAGATAAGGAGCCGAGATGAAAAATTGAAAATAATGATTAAACAATTTCATATAATAATATTGAAAAAAAAAAAAAATTAAATAAGTAAAAATCCTTTAAGAAAATCGCTAGATTATGATAAATGTATCTCCCTAGCTATAAATAGGTAAAACATTTATATTGATTATCTACCATTTTGCGAACACAAGGATATTATACTTATCTTGTCAAAAAATGAATTATAATTTACTTATATATTTTCATTTATATATCTTTCGAGTACCTATTATATAGACTATAGTATTAGGTTAGTTAGATAGAAATGTATGTAGTAAACCAATTTTTTTTTTTATTTAATACATACAGATACACCAACACTTCAAAAATGATTTGTTTGCTTTTTTAAAGATACTAAATAGGTGTATAGTAGTTTTTTGATTACCTTTACTGCTGCAGTGTTGTATACTATGAAACCCTGCCAATGCTGCATTGCATTTATAGGGGACGACCGAGAGGGGTGATTGTGTTTGATCGGTTAACAACATATTTGGAGTAGTTAAAATAATTTATACAAATATTTTTCTTTTTTCACTAGCTTTAATTTTTAATGTGAATTTTATTTATTATGTTTATTTGCAGAAAAACAAAAAAAACGTAAGAATAAGTATAATTAAGTAGGTATTTTTAATTTTGATTTTAGCGACTAATACCCTTCCGTTCAGAACCGTTTTTTGTTTGCAATGACTTATCGTTGAATACAGTAGGTATGCGTATATAATGATCCTACCTTCCCAACTATTCACCAACTATAATTTTATATAAATCATGGTGCGAAGTATGTATGGCTTTTTTTTTTGTATAATATATAGTGGTAGATAATAATGCTTCAAGGTACCTATATTTTGGGTTCAAATACCCCCCCCCCCCTCCAGTTGGGTTTATTACTAACTATACTAATAATTGTACCAATTTTATGATTTTTTGGTGAGAAGCTTAAATTTCGGGTGGGGGAAGGGATCAGACCACATGGACCATGGCTACATGCCTGAAGATGGTCAATCAATTATAAGTATGATGCGTCTAGCTATGGTATTTGAACAGGTCGTACAGGAAAAACAACGATTTCGAGAACATACTAAACACTATTTTAGTTGGTTTTAACTGGTCTAATTGATGTCCACCACTTGTATTCATATTTTTATGTTTAAATAATTAATTTGTTGTACAATTTATGTACTGAATTTATAGATTGTACATTTAAAATTAAACTGCGAGAGAATACTTTCTTGGGGGGCGTCAACTAGACCAGTACCTTGTTTTTTTTTTTACATGCTGTAATATTGATATATTTTATTGTGATCCAACGTCATCTTTTTTTTACCGAAGTTGAAGTTAACAATATAATATTTCTGTGATTGTCTACGGTTTCAAATGATTACCCTTTAGTGAGGTGGGCGTGTGCCCGACTGACTCGAATGCACTTAAAAGGACCCTGCAACAATGCCGGGCAGCCAGGTGTAAACGGCCGGGTTAATGATTTTACCCTTTACGTGTGTATTAAGAATAAAATATTACGATGTTAGATACCGGTTTATATAAATTTTATACAAACATTAACTCTAATAGGTATGAGTATATTAAACTGCAGCTGGTATGGCCTGACTAGATACAACCAATAAATATTAATAATATTATAATATTACCTGTCTGCTGTTCACGACTTAGAACTAAACAAATACCATTACCTATTTTAGTTTTCGGTAACAATAATTAAATTGTGTTAACAAATATATGTAGGTGCACTTCAATACAATTAAGAGGTATTGAAAACTGTTTTAGTGTTTATTTAGTTTATTACTTATACCGTTTTGGGACACAATGAGCAAGCTAGTTGTTTAAGACTATGGTCGCAACTGAAGAAATATATAATGATATTGTAAACGATCGCAAATTATTTAGTACAAAAATTAATATTGAAAAAATAGCTGATACTACTGACTGTTGGTGCGTGTTCCACTTTTGTAGTTAGGATGGTAAGATGCATACAGTTATTTAATTTATCTGTATTTGTGTACTTGTACTTAAGGATAAATCATTGCTACTTAACGAAAATCGATTCCTCACAAAGTTCAGTTAAATATATTTTGAAATGTTACCGATTTCATCAAAAAAAGTGATCCTAAAACGCTAATAAAAAAAGCTACTACATTATGTTCAACATTATTTTTTTTACTATACAGTTTAACCTAAAATAAACATCGTATTCAATTTTCAAGCATTTCTGCCAAACAATTTTATCCACATAAATAAACTAAACATTACTAAATAGGTACAACTAAATAAAAACTAAAATATCGAAAGTAATGAAATCAGTAATGCCGTAAACTTCCTACGTTTTCCGTCATAAAAGAAATCAAAAAACAACTTTCCTACGCATTAACGAGACAACATTTTCTTTCAAAAAAGACACAACACTTGAATTCCGATATCAGATTTCTGGTAGAAAACATAAATTGAACAAATTTAAATTATAAAATTCGTAAATTTGTCAGTTTTTATTTACATTTTTCTCTGGGTTTTCCCAGTTATTATGAAAACTGCCTAGGAAATTATAAAATGACTGGCTAAAAATTGAGTACATCATTGCAAAATAAATATATTCCCTTGCTCCATCAGAGACTACATCAGAGTTAAACCAATACATTTTTCGCTCAGCTAAGAATCTAGAAATACAATTTGTAATTTACTATAATATCATAAATTTATGTAGAAGTACTATCCAAATGAAATGGCAATTAGTACGTTTAGCTATTTATGATTAATAAAAACTGAACCATTGAACTATATTATAACTACTTAATTATACTATATTACTTATAATATAATCATAGATAATAAAGAATAGATAGGCCACAAGCCCGGGCAACGCGTTTCAAAACGCTACTCGCGATTGCCATCTATTCTTTGCTACTTAGGCGATTTGTTTACATTTTGCGGCGGCATAATGTTAATGTATCTAAGTCACGAATTAAGACATATTTTAAACCGAAGTCATGGTTATCTCGTAGATATTTATTATCTATGTGCAGTGGTGTTACTGTGAAAAAATCTAGGGGAGGAAAATAATTTATTTACCATGATTAAACCCTAAGCCCCTCCCAGTTTAAATATATTTTTATTGCATGTATTATATACAGTATACCTAATTGTTTAGTTTTATACACGTCTTAAAACTCATTTGATGGTTTAAATTGTAGATAGCAGGTTAGTACTAGGTACCATAATTGTTAAATATTGTTAAGTACACTTACTGTTTGAGTACTCAAAGTTCAACGTGTAATTTGTTATTGATTTAAAAATAACCTCCAGTTCTTGTAATCATAATCACGATTTCAAGATAATAATATCGTATTCATACTTCATACAATGATAATATTATCATTGGATTATTTTTGTTCCTAACCCAACTAATGTGATTATTGCGATAACATATACAACAAGGAAATCTGAAGTAAATGTTAACTTCTATGAAATAATTTGAGGAAAAATATTTTAATCTGATAAGTTATGTTAAATACACGAATTAGGATATACTTTTACTAGAGTTTAGATATATTAAGTGTATCTTAATTCGTGGTTTGATAATATACCTATTATAAACTTTTTCAACCTATGATGATTCAAATATTTGTACTGTCGGATTATTAGGGTAGGGGGGCAAAATGATACTTGTGTTCCACACGAAATTGTCAAGGAGTGCATGTGCCCCCCACAATACGCCACTATCTATGTGGTTATTACGTTATCGAATTATATAAAATAATGTAAGCCCATAGAGTAATTATAGTATTACTGTCTAGTGGTGTGTTCAGTTTTTTCTTATGGGAGGGGATGAATTATATTTTGTTTTGTTGATAGTCATATACATAAATTTACAAAATGTAATTATTGGTACATACATTGATATTTTAGGAGTAGGTATAGTTAGGTATAAATTACAATGTTAATATATGTATATGTATATAATATATAATAATAATTAAATTCCAATTACAGTTTTGTACATGTTTTATACAATGAAAACGTATAGCTATATAAGCTATAACATAAGCATATATACAAATATATAGGTACCTATCTATTATTCTTTTATTCTAATATTTTAAACTTTCTTTTTCTTTTAAAATTTTTCATTTAAAAGTAACTTAAATTTTGGCAATGGTATCTATACATTTTTAATGGCCTAAACAGTAAAAGATAATATAATAATAAGAATTGATTTTTTTTTTATCTGAAATGAAGTCTAAACTTATTGTAAATTTATCAGCATCTGATAATCTACAGTCTTAAAAATGTTTAAGCAATTTAATATAAATGTTTCATTATAGCATAGTTAAAAACTGCAAAACTATAAATACTATTGATTAATATATTAATATGCCGATGGTCGCGATACACATCAGAATATAATAAATTGAAATATTATAATAGTCCATTGGTACATTTTTTTTTATAAAATTTAATATTATTTATGCATTATCTATAAATAATTATTATTACTATAGTATCTAATAAACATTTTGTATGATAATAATTAACACGACTAAAAATTAAAACCAACTATGCACTACTCAAGGAACTTCAAACGAATACATAAAAAAAAAAGTTATGGGGAGGATATGGCACCCTCATCCACCCCTCCCCACGAGCACGATTCCAGTAGGTATTTTATGTGTAATCTACGGTTATAGATGGATATCCATTTGTATCTATTTGTTAAGTTCACCATATTGGAGAACGAAAAAAATGTACCTGTGTAGAACATGGAGTAATTACTTTTAGGTCTAGTTTCACCATAGAGATATATAATAGTTTATTATCTATATCTGTGACTTTTGAGGATTAGGATATCTTAATTCATGTCTACTGTTAATAGGGATGGCCCATAGATACATAAAACAACTAGATAGCCGATTTTATTAGTGTTGTATTTGAGATTGAAGTCAATCGCCATTTACCAAGCAGGCAATCAGGTAATGTTTACATTTATTCTTATCATTCGAACACTAATATTTATTTTTATCATATGCATTATTATTAACAAACATACACTATTGCATTTATGCTGCATTTGGCATCACTGTTAATTGTGATAATAGTTAACAGTAGATTTTAACCTATAACATAGGGAGGTTAATGATTTATACGTGATAGTAATTATTGTGAACGTGAAGATAGTGATAGTGGGATTGTGATTTCGTCATATTGTAAATATATCTTGATAGTAATTTGATTGTGATAAATGTCAATGTTATTTTTGTACATTTATTGTAAAACTGTGCCATAATTCTGAGTACTTACATGCAAATAATTGTTTTTTAAAATGAATTTAACAATCGTATTATAATACACCATGGCCGGACGTATAACATCTGCCTCTATAAGAGCAGTTGTTGGTAATAAAAAGCCCTTAAAGGCTGCTCTCACACTGGTTTGTATTTAATTTTTAAAATTCAAATTCTAAACATTGTGTAGTTAACTATTACCAATAAAACTATATTTTTCAGACACCATCAGCTGTTGAGCAACTGAAAAAAATATTGTCTGGTAAATCAGAATGTGTTAGTTCAATCGTGTAAATATTGTTCATTGTTGATTTTTACATTTTTATTTGATTTAAATTTTATAGATTGGTCTTAAAATTGGTGTTAAACAACGAGGATGTAATGGTTTAAGCTATACGCTTGACTATGCTAAAGAAAAACATAAATTAGATGAAGAAGTTATACAAGACGGTAATTAATTTTTACTACTTAAGGGTATTGTTAATGGAATTATGAGGTAAGAAGAGTCTAATTGTTTTGATCTTTTTATTTTAATAATTTTCTTTTAAAATCTAGTGGTGTATATATAGGTTTTTTGTGTGGGGAATCAGTGATAGAAAATTTCCTTGTGAGGAAGTACACACAATATTATTTATAAAATTATATATAATGTACATACCATAATTAAATATATAAAAAAAAGTCAATGAGGAAGATATGTCCCTATACCTTTGATAACATTAATTTCATATAATAACACTATAATATGAAAGAACATTTTTCTACTAACAATTTAAAATTTATTAGATTTTGTATAGGGATAGGTCATATACCTATAAGTCAATTTATATTTTAAAACATTTAAATGAAATTCTTCTCGCCATATTATGTTAATGATTAATACTGTTTTATTATTATAAACATTTTTATGTTAATTACTTTTTTACCAGAAATCTTTTTTTAATATCCTCATTGATTTTCATAATTGTTATAAATGAGAAAATGTATTTACACGTATTCAAGAAACTTCACTCTAAATCATTTTTCATTAGCAATGTTGATTTTCGAATATAGAAATAAATTAAATTTCCCTCTATATCTTCCCTTCCCAACTTCTCACCTACAGCAATGGTCCAACCATTGTGCAAAGTATGTTAATCTTTTTACTATGATGTCATAATTTTCAATAATTGTCAGCCATATTATATACTAAAATGTGTATTCAATTTAACTAGTTATCAAATTATATGAGTTTTTGAAACTAATTTTTTTACACTAAATTAGGTATTATTGAACTTTGTTTTAGGAATCCGTGTGTTTATTGATAGAAAAGCTCAGTTAACATTACTCGGAACTGAAATGGACTTTGTTCAATCAAAATTGTCTTCAGAATTTGTATTCTATAATCCAAATATTAAAGGAACTTGTGGATGTGGTGAAAGTTTTAATGTTTAAACTTAAGAAGTAAGTTGTAGGCAGAAAAAAACATTTTTTTTCCTTAAGTAATATATATATTATTATTATCCAAAATAAATTGTGATATATTTGTATGTGCTAAAAAAATATTAACTATGATTATTATAAAAATATATGCATAAAAAATAGTAGGATTTAATGTTGTTCATAATTATAATTGAGCGTTGAATTAAAAAAACGTAACAAAATGGATAAAAATATTTTTTTCATTGAAATATAATTAATTAATTATTTATTTATTTATAATTTTTTACCATCATTGCAGTTTTGGCTGTTGTCTAAGTTCAGTGATATTTAGTATTTTTGAAGGAGCTTTATTTTTACTTGATGATTTTTTCTTTTTGTTTGATAATGCTTCTGGGTGTCGATGGTTTTCTAAAGAAACATATATAAATTAGTTATGTTTATTGTTTATGTTCATAAATAATATTAAATGTGTTGGTTCAAATGAAAAAAGAAAGTTAATTGTTTATTAAACGTTAGTGTTTGATACTATGAAGTTTTATTTTAAGATAGATCTTTTCATAATTTATTTTGAAAAAAAAAAATTAATATTTAACAATAATAAAAATAATTTCATATTTAAACATATACCAGATACCAATTATTATTAAAGTTTTTCTTCAACCTAAATAACCTCATCATGTTAAAATAATTTATAAACTATTTTAGCTAAACTAATACTAGTACTGCTATACTGTGCAGTACGTTTTAAAAATTAACTCTTGTTTAATATTTTAAAACCTAAATTGTATTTTGTTTTGTATAGATATCCCATATTATATTATAAAATATCTGTTTATTTTCAAAACTGTTCTAAATATAATTACCACTATCAGTTGTACATAGTATACCTTGAGTAAGGTTTTGTTCTGATCCGATCAGATGATATCTCTCCATATAATGCATTGTTGAAATTGAATAATTATTTGGAGATTTCATGGCAGGTTTATCCATATTAACTGAAATAAAAATAAATATGATAATTTTTCGATGTAATAAACAAAAAGAAAAGTTATTGAAAGTAGGGTATTTCAATATTATACTTCAATAAAATTATACATTATATTTCTAATTTTATAGTAATAAATATATATTTTTGAATAGGAAAAAATTAATTTAATATATTTATTATTTTAATTTTTAGATTATGAATGAATAGAAAAGGAAAATAATTTGAATAATTTATTATTACAGTAAGTGAACGTAGTCAATAATATGTATATAATTTTACTTTTCATTTAGATACAGTGCACTTATGTCATCAATAATAATTTATGTGTTGTATTATTTGTATTTAATTACTTTAAATGTTATCAGCATGTATTTAGGCAATATAAACATTGTTATTTATTTTACTTATTAAATTACTGTGATTTTTAAAGTGTGTAACTATAGTTCCTTAATTGTATAGGGCATTGGAAATAACTTACATTTAACAGATTGTTCAGGTGCTAAGTACTGCATAGCTAGTGCTTGCATCTGTAAGCTGGAATCTATTTTACCATTATCCGTTAGCATAATGTGTGGGTATGGTTCAAAATTCCTAATGGGTGAAGTAAAATTATTAAAAACCATTTAAAGCCTTTAAAATGTTAGCTATAAAATCAAATGGAGTCTCTAAAGCTTGATAATATATCATTTACTTTGATTTAGTTGTTGGTGTAGGTTTAATACATTTTACTGGTTTTGCTACTTCAGATTTTTGTTCACTATCTTCAAGCAGGTTGTTTACTTGTCCCTTAAATTTAAAACAAAAAAAAAATATTGGTATAATTATATATATATATGTGTGTGTTTAGTAATAATAAATAAAAAAACCATAGATTTTAATTTATTTTAGAAAAATAACGTAGTCAATAACTTACAATAATATTATTATAAATTGTCCATCCAACTTCAATTTTTTTACTATTTTCTTCTTCACATTCACTGTAAGAACAAAATACAATTTATTAATTAAAAAAGGTTAACCTATCAATTTTAAATATACAGTATATTACCTATCATTACTATCCTCAGAAGATGATTTCATTTCAATATGTATTGACTGGTCAGGAGATATTGGGGCTTCAATTACTTGAACGTCATTAGCGTTTAAATCAAATGATTCATCACTAAGATTAGAAATATAATAATTAAATAATAATACATGAATAGTTTTAAAAGTTTATTTGTATTAATAATTGTATAGGTACTAAATTAAGTTACCTAATAATACCTAATGTCTAATACTTTTGTACTATTAGTCTGATATTAATACAAAAAAAAAAAAAAAAAAAAAATGAAATTTTTAAAATTTTTTTTTATATCCAATAAACAATTATTTTAGATTCCGGTATTTACTAATTAATTTTACAATGTTAACTTATTTTTTTCTGTAAATAACTTTTCTACCAGAAATCTTGTTTAGATTTTCAACTGTAGTGCATTTTTAAAAGGAAATTTTATCTGGGTGGTACTTTAAGGAAGTAATTTATTTTTATTTTCCAAGCGGTTTTTATAATGGGAAAAAACTGAAAAATATATGTACATGTATAAAAGAAACCACTGAACCATTTTTCATTAAAAATAGTTTATTGTCACATACAAAAAGAAATTAAATTCCTTTCTATATTCTATCTTCCAAGTTTATAATATTTAAAAATGGACACAAAAATCAATAGAGGGGGAGGATACCAGATTTAAAATTTGATGATAAACTTCGTAAATTACTTTTATCTATTTTTGCATCCTTTTTTCAATATTTTTCCAATTTGAGCACTATCTAATCTAATAATTTTGTACCCAAGTATACAGATTTTAAGTTATAAAAAATAATTGAAGCTTTTCAAACAGTAATTTTGGTTAGGTTTTTCACTAGCTTAACATTCTAATATATATATTTTTTTTAAACTATAATTATCAAGTAGGTATTAATAATTATGTTATATTATACCTTGCAACTGAATTTGTTCTTTCTATGTCTTTTTTATTATCTTTTTCATTATCTGCGACTTCTCTTATAATTTGTTGTTTTGATCTATCTTTAGATATACTATCTTGTTTACTAAGTGGTTTTGATCTATCTTTAGATATATTATCTGGTTTCATAAGTGGTTTTGATCCCTTATTTGATTCATTTTTTTCTGGGACACTTTTACCCTTTTTTAAACTGTTCAGTGGTTTTTCTGTTGAATTATCATTTAATTTATCTAATTGACAATTCACTGGATTTTCACTTGTTTTTAACAATTCGGTTGGTTTATTATCATTAACATTTTTACAATGGCTATTCAAAAAGCAACAACATTTATGTTGGTTTTGTTGATTGGATAATGTCATTGACAGTTTTTGCACGGTTTCTAAAAGAAATTTAATTTGATCATTTTGCATTTGCATCATGTTGTAGATATCTTTGACAGTTGGTGCATTTTGGCAAGCACACTTATGGTAATTATTACTTGAATCATAAGATACTTTATCTGTAAAATAATTGTATGGGTTTTGATTACAATCAGTGAATGATGAAGATCCACAGCTATGTTTTTCTCGTGGTTCATAAAAACGAGTTTCTTTATTTACTGGTGAGGTTTTACGATTTTTCCATTCGTTATATGATCCATATGTTTCTTGAGCAGATTGTCTGGTAGCATAGTATGATGGGCTATTAGACACCTTTGCTTTTGCAATACTCTCTGATGAATCAAATACAATTGACAATTCTGGAACTTCGGTCCTGGCTGATATTACCTGTAAATATTGTAAATATTGGATTTCTGTAAGATTTCAAGTAATCAAGTAGTACAATTAACGGTGATACCTATCTACTATAACTATATAGAAAAATAAAATTTACTTGATACTGGGTGGGTTTAGGCACAGGACGAGGTTCCAGTTCATCGTTTTTACTGTTGGAGTACATTGATTGGCTTAAGAATTTTGTAACTGGTAATTGAATTCAAGATTGAGTTTTAACTGTAGATTCTTTACAAATATTTCATTACTACTACTTACACAATACACTGAATACTGATAATGTGATGATAATATTCCCGCCTAAACGTGTTACGTAATCTGTATCCCTTCCAATTTTCCATATTTGGTGAGGTTTTACTTTTTTGATAATATAAATGATATGCCTTATCATACACCAAACTGAGCAATTGTCAATAGCGCCTATCGGCCGATATTTCAACATGAATCAACAAAAAAGTTCATTGATGAAAGTTTTATATTTCTAGTAGTTTTATTTTATTAGTTTTTATTGATCAAAAGTTATCACCAGTCATAGGCCTATGACAGTGTATATTATGTATTATATATATTTTTGTTGGTGACAAATGAAAACTTACATGATTATAATAATAAAGTAAGTTAAAAAATAATCCTGACATTGGTAATATTTAAGTACAGTTCGTTTTTTAAATGAATAATCCAGTCAATTATCGATTAGTGATTACACATTCACTAGTTTCAATGCCGTATGTGCCATATTTAAGGTCAAATAAGCTAGTAAGGTTTACTTCCTAATTATGTAAATAACAGTTATGTCTACAATGAATCACTTAATTGTGATAAGTGGAAGAGGAATGATTACTTTTTAAAGTTATGTATAAGTATGTTTAGGTACATAATGTTGAAAAATGCATACTGAATAATTTAATTGTTATTGTTCATTTTTAATTTACAGGACAAATTTACTTTAGTTTTTTCCTATTTTAATTGTTTTTTAACAATATGGATGATGATGATAGAAAAGGGTAAGTTGATTGTTATGTAAGTTTTCTAAATGTATTAAATGCTTGCTTATCTGTTAGTTGTTTTTGTCATATTATTTTGATTATTTGAAAAGGATTTTAATTATTTTCTAATTTGTAATAGAAACACAAAATTAGTGGATCCACTTAATTTTGTCTATTTAAATCAAATATTTATTATTGAAGTAAAGCCTGGGCTCAAAGAAAATTTAGTTTAGTTAACCATAATTGTGTCTTGTGGTGAATTGAAGACATTTTTGTTAGTTTTAAAATATTATAAAATCATCAAATAAAATATCTTATTTGAGTTCAAATTAATTTTTGTAATGAAGTTATTTATTAAGTATATTTATTGCATTCAGGCCCATGATGATGTTTAAAAAAAATAATAATAATAGTAATTCAATTTTATTGGTTATCAGCAAAATCTCATTTCTTGAATATTTGTTATTGTCAACAGCTCTTCTAGATATCTTACTTAAATTAAACAATTAATATTTACTTTCTTATAGTCCTTTTTTGACAAAGTTAGTACATTCATTAGGAAGGTCATTTTTTGATTTTCCTTGTAATTTTTTTAGTAACATTTTTGTAATGTTTATAAAATCAGTTTGCTGATTAGTCGATAATAAAGTATGTTAAGTTTTTTATTTTATCAAGATCTTTGATAATAAGAATACTTAATTAAGTATATGAAAAGTTTTTGTACATCATAATGTTTACAGGTAAAAATCATCTAGATTAATTACAAATGTATTTAATTAAATATTTAAACTTATTTTGCCCAGTCTTAGACTTTAAATATTTATTATTCGCTTACAATTTGATTGTATTCACATTATTGATAATTGCACTTTTTGATTGTTTAATATTTTCATCAGTTTTAATTTAATTTCTCTATAGTAAAGATTGTTAGGTATATTATATTGAAATTCAGCAATACAATTAGGTGTTCACAGTCCTTATCTATTATAAAAATGTGGGATATTTATGGTCATATCTGCCTTAGTTGTGTGGTTTTATTTAAAATTGAGTTGTCTATATTATATTAGTTGTCTAATATATATATTAGACAACAATATATATAGTTATATTTTGGAAGAATTCAAAAATTTTAATAATATAGTTAATTATTATTGTATCACATATGTATGACATAAATCATAATAGTCGTACATTTTTAATAATTTAATTTATTTTTTTTTGTTGCTTGAAATATTTTGATTTTTATTCATTATATTATAATTTGTTCTATTTACTATGTTGAATGAAATAGTTTTTGACAGGTTACCATTAAATATAACTCAATTTACATTTTGTCTTATTATTATTTTTAGTAGATCATTTGTTGTTAAAATTATACATTTTCAGTACACATTGTTTTATGCACAAGTGGAAATTTAGTGTGGGGTTTCAATTTTCTTGTAAATCAAAATTGAAAACTAGTATGATTGTAATGATTAATGACTATCTAATAAAATTATTATTTTTAATAACCAATTGATAAGTGAATACCAAATATATCCTAAATATATTTTTATATTTAGACATTGAAACAGTTAAGCTCATTTTAAACAAAAACATTTTTTTAATACAGTTACACATTTAGCTTTAAACATGTATAAAATCATGTTATATTGAAAGTGTTACAGGGGGAAGTTATGAAATCATTACCTATATAAATTACTTACTGAAATTTTTTATAAATAATAAAATACCTCCTGGAGGTATTCTTATATATTTTTATTTTGGAAGGGTGGAAATGAAATTAAGATTTAGTGGACTTTGAATTTCACTCATAATTTCATAATATGCAATAAATATTAGTCATATTTGTTAGAAAAATAAAATTATTATTTAGATAATATATTGTATATTATAGTATGATTATGTATGTATGATTATGGTTATTGAATACTTATTTTGTTTTGTTCACCTCGGTTTAAAATCGGTGTCATATTTTTAATTTAAATTTGAAAGCAATTGCAAGTCATTGTAATAGTTTGTATTTGTACTACTTAAGCAGAGCTTGGTACTATATAGGGTTTTTAAATATTAATTTTAATTGGTATTAAAATATCTTATGTTTTCGAGTGTTATGACTTTATGAGTAAAGTTTTTAATATTTATTTATTTATGAGTGTTTAACCTTGCATTAAAATGTTTAGTCATAATATCTAAAGTAATATATTTTCTTAAAAAAATATGAATTCATAAAAAAAAGGTAATTTCTTATTGTAATATGTATTACAATACAATTCGTTTTAAAAACTAAATAAAAAAAAAAAAAAATCATAATATTTAAGATATTTTATTAGTAGGTACTACTAATATAACATATTTTAATATAAATCTTATATTCAGAATGTAGCAAGGGATCAAAATTGTCTGTTAACAACTTTTCAAACAGAAAATTTGCTACGATTGGAAAATGATTGACCTTTTTTGTTGTATTTTGAAACTAGTTGGTGCATTAAAGATGTAATTTTTTGATTTTCTAAAGGGTTTTCAAAATAATTGAAAAAAAAAACACTGGAAACAAAGTTAAAGGAAAAATGGATTAATATTTACGACATACCGCTGCTTTATCGTTTTCATTATTTTTAATTGTTACGTATTATGTTTTTTACCAGACATTTTTTTTTAATTAAAAATGTCGAGACCTTTTTTGTTGAATTTTAGAAATATTTAGTGATTCAGAGAGTTGTTTTGATTGGGAGTGCGTAAAATACCTAAAATAAATCAGCCGACAGAATATACATTCAATATCCCCTCTACCTTCCCAATTGATTACCTTCTGCAACAGTGGCGAGGTGGCGAAGTACTCGGCTACGCGAGATGTATGTCAGTCTTTTTTAATCAATGAAGTTTATTGGAAAATATATTGGTTTTGTTTGACAATAAATTCAAAATGTGTAAGTGCATGTTTACACTTGAATAATTGAAATGCTTACAAATGTTTGAAATTAAAAATAATAAAAATTGAAAAGTTAATTAAATAATATTTAACTGCCGGCGAAAATATTTTTCTGCTTAAATATTTTATGATCATTTCTTGTTCGGCTTAAATGCGGTCGGTGGAATTATTTTTGGCTAAAATACAATTCTGCTGTATTATAGCCCTCTGTTTTGATTTTTCATGTAGTTTTCCTGTAATAATTTCCTAATAATTAATCAAAACCGGAAAAAAACGAAGAACTAATGGTTTTATTATTTTGTTTTTTGTTGTAATTCAGTGAAAAGTATTTGAAAAACATTTGAAATTTTCACAAAATATTTATATTTTGCTTTTTCTAGACGGGGTAAAATTTTCAAAATATTTAAGTCATTTTTGAGTTATCTGTAGACATATTAATTTTGCGAGTTTTTATGTAACTTTTCTTTTTGAGGTACTTTATGGATAAAACTGTTAGACTGCAGCAGAAATGCTTGAAAATTCAACATGAGGTTTATTATAAGTTATACCTAATAGTACAAAAAAAAAAGTTGACTGTAATGTAGTATTTTTTTTTTATAAGAGTTAACATCAAATTTTGTTGTAAATCGTAAATATTACAGCCTTTTAAAACCGAATTTTGCTTCGAATCGTTTTTTGTTAGCAGTATTTCATCGTTTCTTATTAATATAAATCAAATAACCTTATGTATCTTATCTTCCCAACTTCCACCTACTTCCCATCTACTAGGGAGGTATTAGGAAGGTTATTCTCAAGAGTTTTCTCAATATATTGGAAAATAACGGGAATACAATTTCTTAATATGCTATACAGATCTACTTAATATACAGAAAGAGTAAGTTAACTCTATAGATTTATTTTGTACATTGACTAAATAGTTATGGTAGGGACTGCACGAATTTGATTACAGTTTATGATTAAAAGGAGAAACTTCATCTGCAGTCATTAAATGGGATGTAAAGTTTTCATTCGCCCTCTAAGAAAATTGAATGTATTAACATTTATTGTTATTTCTTAAAAATATAGAGCATTGAATGCATTCAAGAATAAAATTCAACTAATGCATCTTTATATTCACTGCTTGTTTGGTGTAGGTACCTCAGTAACCGATACTTAGGTAGTAACAGTTTACTACTTTTACTTTTGCATTATAACATCTTCACTTGATGTTGGTATCAAGTAATTATTATTTTTTTTTTTACACAACTATTATTATTTTTAACAAATTGGGGCACCATTTCAAAATAAAACTGGTCGGCCTTGGAGGCGATTGTTTCCAAAGACGACGACATTGGTCTTAAAGTAATTTTAGATGTAATTTTTAATATGATAAGTTTATACAACATAAAATGTTTTTTAAACACTTGGTTTGGTTTGTATATTTTACTAGTTTCCAACAAGGCCTTGAAGTTACCGGGAACTTGAAAAGTACTAATTCTCGCCGTACCACCAAATTTTAGTGTTTAATATTTTATATATGTATAAATTATCAAGTTTCGTAGATTTTCGGGGTATCGTAATCACTTCCCAGTATTTACAAATGCTATTTCCTTCATATGAGTATTTGTTTAAAGTTATCTATACTTGTACCCTGCACCACCAACTTTTTATAATTACCCCTTGGGTTTAGAAATAAATATTGTTGCTTTGGTTGCATACATGGTTTTTATTAATTTGCTATAAATACGTAGTCACAGCTATTATTATGAATTATGATTGTAGTTTTCGATATGTATAATATTATATTTATTTAATTTAATTTTATATTATATTATTTATATTATTATAAAATACTTTAAGCTTTAGACTTAAGACTAGTGTTTTCCATACTCTCACCAAGTTGAAAATTAGCGGTAGTGATAATTCGGGTTTGGAGTTAACACACATTTTTATTTTTGTATGTTCTGCAAGCAATAATTGAGCACTAACATTTGGTAGTATAGCAGAAATTAGTGCTTTTAAAGTTCCCGCTAACTTCATGGTCCTGTTTCCAACTCAAGGTTAATTATTGTCTAATGACATATTAACCCGTTAACTCTTTTTCACGTTATTTGCAAATTGAATGTTTTCAATATTATAATATATAATAGCTCTCTTGCTCGGCTTCGCCCGTGCTATAAACAAGTTTTTTCCTGTGTCCATCGAATAGGTAATAAATGCACGTGATGGTATTTTAAATAGTGGTACAGACTTACATCGCTAATATCGCTACACGGTTCCAGCTGGAGCTATTGTTTCCTATATGGGGTATCTAGATTTCAGCTTGTTTAACGGGTGTTCCGTAATTTATTTGAACAACGTGAGATGTTGGTTGTTTTTGATAAAGTTTATTATTCGCTTGGTGTACTCACTTCTTCGCAGTTCTGGGGAGCTATAGCTCGTATTAACGAGAACTGGTAGTCATTTAATTTGTGTTGGTCTTTAATGATCCACATAGATTGGTGGAGTTGAGTGTCAACTTTTGAAAAATGGAAACTTCTTGTCCATACGAATAAGCAGTATTCTACTATACTATACAGTAATGCGATGGCGGAGCTACAAAGAACCGCTGAATTAGCATTCCAGCTAATAGATATATAATATAGAACGATAAATTATTAGCTTTTTAATTTACTTTATTAATTTATTAGTTTAATAATACGGTCGACTTTATTCTTATAATTTGTCCTATTTTCACACTTATATTATTGGCGTATACATGTGAGTTGGGAAAATTAATGTCAAAATATACACACAAATTTGTAAAAAAGGTTAAGGGAGCTCAAGCAATATTAAGACATTAAAATGCCTTTTGAAATGTATGTCGTTGTTTAGTTGAAATGTTTCGCTTGTTCGTGAGTAGTTAAATTATAATGTGTAGGTACTCTATTTTATTAAACATTTTCTATAATCGGTTGTCACGAAACTTATTAAATTTTGTAAATATGTAGCTTTAAATTAACATAATATAGTAATATATCGATTTAATTCCCCTAACTATGCTTTTTAAGTATATTTAGTTACTAGCTTTTCATACAAATTAATCAAATAACATTTTTATTCACCTACTTGTATAAGTGCAATTAAAATAAATTTGATTTACAAGTTTCCAGAAATTTCCTGATGGTTATACAATTAAATCTTTCTTCGCTTTTACGGACGTATAGAAACGTTAATAATAATATTTACGTCGTTCATCACCGTTTACCGTCTGCATCCTTTTTAGTAATAGCTACGAAAATATAAATTTTGTATTTTTATTACCTTATTTAATGGTAATTCATATTTTATATAAAAAAATGTGCTCGGTACACGTGCACAGTTAACAAATAAGTATTATGATTTTATATTATTATGGTGGTGAATTGTTTGAGTAGGAAAAGTACCACTCGTACCTACATCTGAAACACCTATATGTCAGTGGTGTAACTGAGGGCTCACAGACTTCCTCACGGAGAGGAAGCACAATAATTCGGGGCCCTTATTGTGTACTATTCCCTAAAGTTAATTGATATTTGATATTGAGTATATACGTCAGTTTAATGTTTTTAAATTAACAAAATAAGTTGAGTATCTTACATCTAGTTAATGTTTCACATAAAATATATTTTTGGGACTCATTTTTTCTTTTTGCGGGGGGCCTAAATAGTTGTGTTACGTCACTGCTATATGTAACATGTTATATGTAAATATATGTTACATTATAGTTTGGTTTTTACAGTTATATTTGAGGCGCCTAGAATGCAAGGGATATAAGTGACATTTTATTAAATTTGAGAAAATTAAGTTTGGAGTTATTTGTATTTATTATAATTATTATAGTATCACTGTTCTTGTATTCGAACGATAAAAAATAGTTTTAGACACTTGGCAGTAAAGAGACATAAGTGAGTTAACAACTGTTGTGGGCTCTTGTATCTATTTACTTCTAATCTATTATAGCATTTTTATTTAAAGACTATTTTAGTATTTTAGTATTTGATACTAGATTATAGCATGTCATGATGAATAATTTACTTACACCTTCTTATTTACTTGTGTTCCTGGTGCCTTATTTATAATCAATTCATCTAGTATACTTAATAATAGTATATTTTATTCAAGTGTTTAGTTAAGGTTATGTTTAACTATTTGAGTATTTAGGGATATACAAATTGAATTAAACAAGTATGTTCTTGAATACTTATAATGAAGCCATTATGCATTTGGAATTAAAACATTGCACATTTAAAGAGGATCCTTGAGGATATTTGTGAGAAACGGGGATATGTCCGAAAGTATATCTGTGTATTATTATTGTATAAAAATTAAATTTATTTTAAATCCCCTAATACATAGTTTAATTATAGTGCTATTGTAGGTACTCGTATTAAAAGTTAAAACAACAGTGTGATAATTTTATAGCTCGTTTTACGCTAGATTATTAACTTAACATTTTTAAATTAAAAAAATGCGAAATTAGAATGTTAGTTACTTTTTCTATTACGCTATAGATATTCATTTGTTTAGGTATAATGTTTCTATTTAGTACCCTTATAATGCAAAATTACTTGATGTTATTTATATCAAATAGTTTTGTTTTCAAAGTTTGATAATTAATAATGATTGATTTGAAGCTGTATTTGCCGATGATGATACGTCGTATAATTATTTTGCTTTTGATCATAAAGGATGGATTTAATTGAATTTTATTAGTTTCTGAACTAATATAAATGAATTTGTATAAAACTGTAAACAAATTAATTAATTAATTATAAATAAATAAAGAACATAGCTTATTTATACTTAATATATGTTGAGTTATAATAGTGGATCAAAGTTGTACCTTTGGTAGCAAGACAAACAAAATAATTAAATTTATAGTAAAAAAAGAACTGATATTGAAAATGGGTGCGGTCACTGTAGTATGGAAGGTAGGATATATAAAGTTATTTATTATACCTGTAACTAACGATAAATAATATGAAAAATAATCTTAGAGGCCGGAAATTTCAATGAATATATATAGTCTCCTACATACAGTGTTTTCTAGATATGGTACAATTTTCATAACATTCTGGCAATTTTTCAGTTTTTTTTATCTTTTTTAAAATGTTTGAATTTTTTTAAAAACTATATGGTTTCATGTGATTAAAAGTGTTTTGGTATGTTACAATTAGTAGGAGAAAAAAGTTTAATGCAATGTAATAATTTTTTTTTAAGCACTTAAAGTTCATATTTGAAAATGCTATTGATCAGCGTCGGATCCAGGCGTTATTCTAGAAGTGGATTTTATTAATATATATACGAGGGCTAATCAAAAAGTATCGAGACTGATAATATTACTCGGTAACCGAGCGTTGAGGAGCAAAACGATTTGTAAACCTAGCTTCTATGACTTATACTGAGCACATCTATTCGTATAAAATCTCTATAAACTTCTTCGTTTTGATTTGACGATATTTTTTTAAAAAATTTTTTTCACGTTTGGCGATTTCGTAATGAATCCAAAAGAAGCGGAACTCGCTGCCACTCGAGGGCACATTTTCAGTATTTCAATTGACATTTAATGGCAAAAACCATGAAATGTTGCATCCCTCTGAAACTGGAAAAAAATGCAGACAAATTTTCTAAAATNTATCAGTGAAATCAAACCGAAGAATTTTATAGAGAAGTAATAAAAACAAATGTACTCAGAAAAAGTCATAGAAGCAAGTGATACCAAATATAATGCTCTTCGATGCTGCTTTTCTGAATGATACTACCAGTCTTGATACTTTTTGATTAGCCCTCGTATATATATTATATATTATACAAATTATTGTAGAATTTAAGAATTACGTAAAAAACTAAGCTTAAGAAAGGGCGATTATTCTATCGTCCTCCCTTGTATTTGCTACTGCGTCCTATTGAAAGAAATAGTATAGAGGCATGCTTAAATTTCTGAAAAATAAGTTGAGATAGTAGTTCTTCCTTCTGCGCCCCCCCCCAATTCAAGCAATTATAATTAGTCATTTAAGAATATACCCAAAATATATGGTATTAAACGTGTACAAATAATTTGTGTTTAAATAAATTATTGAATAATGCGTTTTACTGATGTGCACAGACTTTCGATAAATATTAGTTTTTATACTTACCATATAATGTCCTATTCAACTGAATTAAGACAAAACAAAATCTTTATTGATTTCTATAACCAAAATTGTATAATTTTGTCGAAATTTAAATACCTAATCGAATAAAAATAGAAAACTTGATCAGTATTTGTTCAAGTCTGCAGAATTGTTTATCCATTCTCCGTTGTCTGTATAATTTGGATAAATATTACATTTTCTGTTACTCGTGCATTTGCAGGAAATCCGAAGAAATTGTATTATTCAGAAACATAATAATGATTATATTATGGACTTAGAACTGACAATTGAATATAATTATGTTTGCATTTATTTTAACTGATTGAACGATGTTAGTTATGTGTTTCATACATAGAATTAAATTTTTTTTTTCATGTAATTGTACCTATAGTTTATTTATTTATTGAACGAAATTAGTGTTATATAAGTTTTGGCTTGTTAACGAGCAAACATTTTTCATTTTAATAAACGCAACATTATACGAACGTTACGGTATAGGGTATACTCGTTTTGTTATATGCAACCTAATCAAACATTTTAGATTTGTATTTTTCTGAAAGACTTACTTTCAAAGTATACAATATAATATTGTACGTATGTATATTTAAAAATTAAAAAAATGTCCTAGGATAATGGAGACGGGTGCAGCCATTGTTATAGGTAATTTAATGTATACCTGTAAGCAACGATAAACCATTGCTAACAATAAAAACGATTTTGAGCGTAGTTCAGTTGATAGTGATGCATTGTAAACAATATATATGTTATTTGCATATGAATACCATATAGGTACCTAAACCTTCTTTTTGGTCTACGTATTTTAAAGGACAACGCTCGATGTTGGTGGTAAGTTTATTATTTAACATTGGGGGGGGGGGGAGGATCGGTTTGTCCTGGAGGCCCTCAATTTCTCTCCGCGGCCCAGATAGTAAGTAGGTGTATTTAGTTAGTTGCCTATTAAAAAGTTAAATATTACATTAGTAATCTTCACAAATTATTTTATGGATAAAAATTAATACTCTGAAATTTTATGAATTATAAAAAAATGTTTAATAATTAAAATGAAAAAAAAAATTTAATTAATAATAATGATTATAATTTATTATAATAGTATTATTTTAAATTACTTATACTGAAAAAAGTATATCTAATCGATAATTATTTAAAATAAAACCAAGAATTTGAAATGTATTTAGTGGTAATGAAAAAAATAACAATTATGTGGAATAATGCAAACTTATCACGATTTATTACATCGATAAATTGATGGAATAAAATTAAATAGTGATGGTGAACAATTATTTGGACAGTCTATTTTATATTGGGTAACGGTCATTAATAAAATACGAGTACCTATATCAAAAAATTGGAATTGTACAAAATAGAGAGGTTCAATTGTTTTAAGCTAGCAGACAATCTTTGAAAATAAATAATATACCAATTTTAGCATTTGTAAATCGAGATAGTATTAGGTAAAGAAATAACTCGTTTTACATGACATACGAGTGTTTACTTTGCACATCAATGAATCTATTGACCTTTTAATGCATTTTAATCGTAGGTGTATGAATAATATAGTTTATATTAACGCACACCAAGCAATTTTAACTGGGGACATAAGAAATATATTGGATAAATTATTTCTTTTAGCGCATTTTTCCAGATACGTAAGAATAACTAAGGATAATATATCACGGGATATGTATAAATAAAATAGGATATATTTACCTTCACCAAGACATTTTTACCGGAGACGTCAGAATATCATAGTAAATATTTCCTCCACTCTTTTGGATGTTAATCGTATTCGTATGAATATATAGGATATATTTACCCCATTCAGGGCCTATTTTGCCGGGGTGGTAAACTTAATTATGTATATATATTTACCGAAAAATATACCAATAACCTCGGATATATTTTCCTTCCATCTTATCATATTTACCGGTAGTTAAATATATACTAAATTTTTTTTGCCCCCCTAGAATTTTGCTGCGGGTTAACTTATCATAGGATATTTTTTATGGCAGGTATATTTATTTGGTAGGTAAGATTAGCCTGTTAGACCGGCCATAACATTTCGTTATGAGTCGGCCGGGACAGTTTCTCTGACTAGTATCCATCGTAATGGCAATGTAACCCACGGAAAACGCCAATTTTTTTTATAGATTATGTGTCAAAAACAATATATATATATTATTTTACATTTAGATAAAAGTATTTTTATGAATTCTATTTTTTAGTAGATTTATTGGGCATCGTAGGTTTTTTTGGAGTACCAAAGTTTTCTTCGACGGCTCGCCTTTGCTAAAATTGTTAAGAGGTATATTTACTACATTTATATTGTGTTAGATATAATGTCAGATGATTATTTTTGAATCATTCCATTAGGATGTGAATTCCATTAAGATCGCTGCATTTAACTTTATTATAAAAACAGTTTTTCTATTTTTAATGTGTATAATATACACAATAATGTATAACCAAGTATAATGTCAATAACCTATTATAATAATAATTGTATAAATGCGATTATAGTCTGCTGCATAATTATATCAATAAGAATAATAATTAATATAACATAATAATTATTATTATGGCTAATATTGACTGTTTTTTTTTCTTTGCACAACTTTTCTACGAGTAAATTTTGCACCGATTTTCAAGTACAGTACTTTTTCTGAAAGGAAATCTGATTGGGGTGATACTTTAAGTAGGCCATTTTTAATTTCCCTAGTTGTTTTCATAATAAATAGGAAACAACATTGGAAAAATTGGGATGAACCGTAGGAAAATGGGAAAATTTACGAAATGTATTGTTTTCAATTTTTTTTTGATTGAGCTACAAATATTTTTAGAGACTTGAAGTTAGGATAGAAAACTTATATTTGCTTTTTCTAGATATGATAAAATTTTCAAAATGTAGTCATTTTTGAACTATTTATAAACATTTTAATTTTACGGGTTTTGTTTACGTAATTTTGTTCGATAGGTACTCTGTGGATTAAATTGTTAGACCAAACAGAAATACTAGACAATTAATAGGAGATTTATTATAAATCACACAAAGTTCATTATTAATAAAATAAAATTAAGTCGGACTTTGTGGTAAAAAAAAAAATGGTGCGAAGTAGGACCTAATTCGCATTATCTTTTTTTTCTCTAAACTTTAAAAAAATATTAAAATTCATCTTTAAATTTTAAGAAAATAATAAAATAAAAGTTAATTTTAAATTTTTTTTACTAAAACATAAATTATTTACAGGAAATATTGAAATGGGTGTGAGACACTCTGTAAATATACTTAATTGGAACGCATACTAATAATTGTGGCTAAAACACAATTTCACCACATTGCTTTTTAAATTTTAAAGTAATATTTAAAGTCAATGAATGATAGTTTACCATAATTTAATTTTAATAATGTAACAAATAGTTATTAAACATTGATATTTCAATTGTATTTATGTAAAAACCTATATTTAAAATTTGTATAGTGTTCGTACTTGGTGATTCCTTCGGATATAATTGACGGGTACAGGGAAAACATCAGAAAAGTGTTAAACTGAGAAAAACGTGTTTTTAATTTATAAACGTAACAATTTTTTTTTTTTACAAAGTAAAAAGTTTTTTTCTTGTAGGCTTAAACTTTTGGCTTTCATTATTTTCGACTAATTTGGTTTTTTCGCCATTTCGATCGCATAAAAGATACGGCACGTCAATACAAATTATTTGATACCGATATCGCCATTTTGGAAAAAAAGTGACTTTTCTGGTTTTTTCCTCTGTACCCTTCAATTGTGATTAACTATTCAAATTTTAGTAGGTTAGGTCAAATTCATGTAAAATTATTTTAAACAATACATTTAAGTATAGAAATGCTTTAGTGTAATTTGTGTACAAATATTTACCTACTTACGTATGCATATTTTGTTCGTTTCTTTTATTTATTTGTATTTCATGAATTATTCTGAGTAATAATAAATATTTTTTTAAATTTGTTATTGTCAAATTAATACTGCACCAAGGGTGAACAATTTAAATACCTCCTATACTAAATTGGTATTTACGTCGCGATTTCGTTTATGTGTTGATTTCATGTGAATTGTATACAGTAAAATATAGGTACTATACTACCTATGCATTATATGGTTTTGGAAAAAATTAGGCTTTGACAAATCATTGATTAGTTTACCGAGATTTTAAATTTGATTGACTGATAAACCGTTTTTTTGTGTTTAGTTGAGTAGTTAATATTAACCGTAATATTTATGTTTTTTTTGTATATTAAATTTCAATAAATATATATATTGTCTCCTACATACAGTTTTTTCTAGATATGTTACAATTTTCATAACATTCTGGCAATTTTTTAGTTTTTTTATCCTTTTAAAATGTTTGATTTTTTTTAAAAATTATATGGTTTCATGTGATTAAAAGTGTTTTGGTATGTTAAAATTAGTAGGGGAAAAAAGTTTAATGCAATGTAATAATTTTTTTTCAAGCACTTAAAGTTCTTATTTGAAAATGCTTATTGATCAGCGTCGGATCCAGGCGTTATTCTAGAAGTGGATTTTATTAATATATATATATATATATTTTATATTATACAAATTATTGTAGAATTTAAGAATTACGTAAAAACTAAGCTTAAGAAAGGGCGATTATTCTATCGTTCTCCCTTGTATCAATTGTGTATTAAAATCCTTATAAAATAAAAATTTTATATTACACTCAATTTTCAAACATTTCTGTTTGGTTTAACAATTTTATCTACTGAGTTACTTAAAGTACCATCTAGATAAAATTTTCTTTCAACAAAGTACTATATTTGAAAATCGAAGTAAAATTTTTGGTAGATAAATTGTTTACAAAAAAAAAATTAACATTATTGTAAAATCAATACTTTTCTCGCTTCGCTCAGAATCTAAAATATAATCCAGAGAAGAAATGAGTTAACTTTTATGTTTGAAAAATTTAATTGACCTATTTTCAAACCTTGTGATTTTAAGATTTAATAGGTATTTAAGAATGTTTTAAAATTTAACCATCTGTGTCAGATTTTGTTTTACAAATAATTCAGCTTATTTTAATTTAGACAGAAATTTTGAATCAAAAATATTTTGTTCAAAAATAACTAGAAAATTATATCATAATTTCTGTAAGGAAACGAACTTACAACAATAAAAATAACCACTTATAGTAATTTTAATTTTACGATTTCCCGTACTAAACGTTGTAAAAGCCTAATTGTGTAATTAGCTGTGTACCCACAGTTGTTCTTTATAGGCCTTAATTTATGGTGGTATTTTTAGTATTTTAAAAAAATATTTACATTATTTTTATCATTTATATTTACATAAACTGTACAGGTTTTCCATCTTTATATATTAATTTGTATTATTAGAACGTAAATTATTTTTAATTATTATCTGAAATAAATTAAATTTGTGCAAAATGTAGCTATATTTAAAAAAATGAATGGTTCAAGTTTTCATACATATAATGATAAATTAGTTTAATTTAAATAACTGGTTTACTGTAATACGAAGGATCTATTTTATTATATTTCTCGGTTAAATGATCTGTTTTACACAAAATATGTACAGAGAAAAAAACGTTAATATAATCCACGTATAAAAAAAATTAAAATTTGATATCAAATCACAGGCACCTCGAAAAATATTCTGTTTCAATGATTTATGAATTTTGTCGGTGCTTTATTTATAATGCACATTAAAATATATACAGTACCTATGTTAAAAAATATTGACTTTAGCAATGTCCTAGGCGATTTTTCAATAATATGCCAATATTATGATGATTTATTAACGTAAAAATACTAATCAAATTATCCATTTAAATCAATTCTTTTACGAATAAATATATATATATATACATATTATATAAGTACACCGTAAAATAATATGTTATTGATCGGTATTTGTTGCAATAATTTTCCATATAGAAACCTACACGAGTTGTACTGCAGTAGTATAATATGTTTGATAAAAGAATGAAAAAAACTATAATACCCAACATTGTTGTGATTGTGTATTAAGACGTATTGTTTTAATACTTTAAATATATTAAGAACTATCCGTGTCGCATATTATTTTGTTTAAGCAACCAAATTATATTAGTATTTACGTATTCATTTATATTCAATTTATAATTTTTCAGTTTTATGCATAATGGACACGAAGGGTACCGACCTGATATATGGTAAGTTATTGTTTTTATTTTTTTTTATTTTTAGTTTAGTTACTTATACCTATGTCACAGATATCCTTATTAGTTCTACATATTAACGCGTATAATGGATTTGAATAGGTAACTAGCTTATTTATTCTGGTACTTGCTTATACAATACACTTTACTGCTCGTGTTTATATTAGATATAAATATATAATACATATTATATAACGGATGCGCCTATATGCATACAGGTATATATTTATTCACATTTTACTGGTATGACATGTCGAGTACTTTGAGTTAGTAAGTTTACACAAATATATATTTCAATGCTATTATAATATTATATAGGTAAAGTCAGATGCGTATACTAACAATTATTTCGTTGGTGGGTAAAATATAATAGTAATCATTCAGGGATTCAAACTGGTCTAAACGGGTTATATCAGACGATTTACATGGACTTAATTGAAACCAAAGTCACAATGTATGATTTTAAGACCAAATATAATTTATTGAAACGAAAAAATGTTGTGTAACAAACTGTTTAAATTTTGAAAAATATGTTTTTTTTTTACGGTTTTTAAGTGAATTTTCATATATTATGTTGATTAAATTATTACTGGTTTGAAAAATGAAGGAAGCTCATTAGGAAGAAAACAGGGAACCGAAATTGAGTGATAGAGATAGTGCTAGTTGGGAGCAGTCACGGAAGAAACTATTCAATAGTTTTATTTACACCATGTAATTGTTATTACTTATTACTTATATATCTATACGATTTAAATTGAAATAGTTTTTATCTATCAGCTTGATATGACTGTTTAATCAATTTCATAGAGTAATACAAATGTATTTAAATATGTATTCATCCAAATATTATAGACGAGGAACGAGGAAAACGTTATTTATTTAATAATATGTCTATGGTCATGTTTCGTGAAAAAAGTTCTCTTAAAAGTGGCAAACTGAATTCAAATTTTTAATGACGCAATTTGATATTTCAGTATTATCATCACTATCATATTGTCTCCACCCCCCTTCCCTATACATACACATACAGTTTTCAAACGGTTCATGATACAAATTAAATTAATTAAATTCTTATATTATATAGATAAATGTGAAAATTTTCCTGTGTCGCTTACCTTTTTATATCAAAACCGTAGAACAGTTTTAGATACAATTTGGCAAGGAGGTACTTAGATTGCATTCTGATGAAAATCGTAGGCTACCTTTTGTTTAAAAATAATAGATTTCTTATATTAAAACACTTAATTTGTTTTGTTAATTTATTGGTTACCAAGGTAACAAATCTATCTGAAAAAATCTATACGTAGATATTTAGTTTGTAAACTACCCGCATTCCACATGTTTTTTTTTAAATTTCAATAGATGCATTAAATATAAGTATTATAGTTCATATGGAAAAAACCGTACATGTTTGTTGCTATTGTGATAACTGATAATACCTTTAATATTGGAATATTAGATACTTATACTATTAATGTTAAACAAATATCAAAATAACATTCTAATTATTCAAGCATGCCCGGCACCTTGTACTCACCACCCACAGATCATTATAATTATTTAAAACAGTTGTTCAGCATGGTAATTTTATACCACATGTATCTGGAGATGATTTTCATGATAAATCTAAAGCTTTTAAAAATATACTCATTGGTAGAGATTAATATGAAAATATTAAAATTGAACCCATGGAAAATATTAAATGTAACTAATGTACTAAATATCTTTATTCCAAGAGCTATCACATACCAATATAATTTAATTTGAAATTTATTTACATTGTTTAAATTTGTGTTGCTATTATCATTAACTACTTGTAAAAGAATATTTCCTAAGCTAAATATAATAAAAACTAAATTTAGGGTCTTTTTTACACCAAGAAAATCTTAACCTACTAAAATGTTAATGGATATTGAAAAGAATATTTTGATTGACTCAGATAAATTGCTTGATACTGTTGAAAACTCATCTAGTAAACTAAAAAAATTACTTTGAAAACCAATTGTACAATTGTATCACATTATAAAATATTAAGTTATATATAAAGTGGTGTCGATTCACTTTAACGCAGTAATTCGACGCGCATCAAATGGACGCGGTCATTTTGACACGGACAATTGGGTGCATGACACATTTCGACGCATTTTTTTTAAAATTATTATTATTATTATTTTTCAAAATAAAAGCGTATATAAAATAAAAAAAAGTAAATTATTAATAAATAAAAAATTTATTTCTTATACATACAAATTTAAATTGTGCACAATCCCTGTTATTTTTTAAAATACATGTATATATAAAATTAAAATTAAATCAATTATTATAAAATATTAAGTATATAATCTTTAGAAATATCTAAAATATTGTTATATTTATACATTTATTTTGTAAAATAAATCAATAATAATAATTAAACAAAAAAAAAAAATGCGGCAATTTTATCGTAAGTCGAAACGAAGTTGCGTCAAAATGACGTGCTTCGAAATGTACTATGCGTCCAATTGTCTCACGTGAAATAACTGCGTCCATTTGACGCACGTCGAAATGACGTAGATTCATATAATATAAAGAATTATTTCTATTCTACATAACGATTAATGTATAATAATATAAATAATCATATATTAAATAACTATGTAATTTACTTAATTTGTTTGTGTATTTTAAATAAGGTACCTTTAAAACATAATACATAGTTATAATATACTACACTACTTATAATCACTTTTTATTATTTGATGAAACATTTTTGGACCCTTATGGAGAAAAGTATCTGAGGCCCTTTAAGTACCAAGCCGGTACTGCGTACAAAAATGATAATCACGAAGACTAATGTTGAATTAGTAATATTGAAATATAACTAAATATCTTTATCTACACTCTGCAGTTAGATTCGAAATCCATTTTAAAACACGTATGTTTTTAGAACTATTACAATAGTTATAGGTCATGCTGCGGTAAATCTAAAATTTGTAAACCATAAAAAGCCCAATATTAATACCTACCTTTATTTTACACGTTGATTTATTTTTTTTTTTAAATAGTTGTTTAGTTGTTTTACGTTGAATTGTATTTTATTAAAAAAAAAAAACTTGAAATTCTACTACATCAATTCTAATGACTATACACAAATACAATGACACAATGACAAAACATAAAACTAAATTTATGTATCTATAGGTATATATTAAAATATTTATGACTACGCGCTAACGTCATAAATAATACGAATAATTTTTAGAGATATTGACCGTCGAATATACAGTATAAATTAATTATAATTCAAGGTCTAAATTATAATACGTTCAATAAAATTAAAATTATGTAGTCACCACTTATAACCAGAATTTTAGACACCAAACTTCTAAATTAATGTTAGCGGGTGTATTCATAATATGGATATTTAAAAATTATTGCTATTTACAATGTTTATGGATTCCATACAATGAACTTAACATTATATTCAATTCGAAAACATTATTTTATTAAATGTGACAAAAACAAATTTCTTGATAATAATTAATGTTCTTAAACATTTTTCATTCAGCAACACTATAGATTGATATATTGATTAAGTATATTCGAATGCCGATGATAACATAATAATTGAGAGGTATATAGTTTTTCAATTTGCTGTTGTTAATGCGAAAATAACTAGAATGTGGATTAAAATTGTATAGGTATTATAAAGTGATGGAAATTGTAATTCTTAGTTGTTGAATTATTCGAGTCGTCTTTTAAATGCAATATTCAATTATTATATTTTTTTAAAAATATTTTTGTTTAACGCCTGTAGTATAGGTGACAGATTATGCACGCGAGCTTGTTACACTTACAGCAGAACGGCGTATATTATGCATATAATTTGAGTTGTTGAATATTCAACAATAAAATATATATTTAAGATTTTAGGTTACTTAAGATGTGTTTAGACTGAGGTAGTCAAACGGGGATGGATGAGAGAGCATATCCTCCTTATTAAGAATCACTAAATTTATATATTATATTTAGTATAATATGTAGGGTGTCAAAAATTAACACATATTAAAAAAAAGACGTGTTTTTACTTAAAATTGTTTTCTTGTTTATAACAGTCAATATACATAATAAATAATTAAATATATCACTATACCCATATAAGATGTACCTAAACTAAAATATAATATTTTATTGTTTTTAAAGTAAAAGTTAAAATTCTTGGTGGGCCAAGAATTATTATTATTTTTTTATGGTCTTTTGTAAAAAAGGTTAGTTACCACTTTTATAGTATACGAGTAGTGATTCATAGTTAAAAAAAACAATTAAATAAATAATAATGGTTCTTAAAAATTATCCTTATCCCCCCCCCATCTCTTATGGCAAAATCATTTGACTGCCACTGTTACTGCAGTTACTATCGATGTGTATCATTTTTTGTTTACATTTTAGTTGAAAATATTATTAGCATGTAAAATTATGTGAAGGTATAATATAGTTTTAAAAATGTTTGTTCAAATTGTATTGTTACTGGAAACGATTATTATTATCGGTACGTTCTCGTACAATAATGGTCAAAAAAGTTTTTGTAATAGTCCTTCTGGATTTTCATAAAAATGGATTATATAATTTTGTTATTTTTATATTCTTTGGTAGTTTAATAATTTGTAAAAACTTCCGAGTTCTTTAAACTACTCTTGAGAATGTTTTACAAAAATAAAACCAACCCTATACATTATCGTATATATAAAACTGATAACATTCTCGTTTTCTCGAGATTTTAAAATAACTAATATACTATTTAATTTATTTTTTATCAACTCTATACTATATAAATATAATGTATTTGTTACACAATATAATATTGCGTAATACATTAATATGTACAATATTATATATATCTAATTAAAATGTCAAAATATCGTTCGGACTGTTTAGAGTAGGTGAGTGACCTTTTCCAAATGATATTCAACTATACAGGGTGATTCACTAAAATAACTTAAATTTTGCATGTATTCAAATTCTGATTTTTGGAATGTTTAAGTGTAGTTAAAATCGATATTTTCAAATACTTTGATTTTTCACAATATTTAAGGAATATTCTGTGGTGATATCAACTTTGGTTTTTCAAATGAAAACATGACGTATTAAAAATTCCGTAAATAGATAGAGTATTCTTTAAATAAATTTTGGTGTTAAAAGTAGAATATCTCGTTAACGGGTTGACGGAAATAAAAAATTTTAACACCAAAATTTATTTAAAGTTATATTCCATTTATTTACAGAATTTTCAATATAGGTTCTCATTGAAAAACCAAATTTGGTATCTAAGTATTTGAAAATATCGGCATTAAAAACACTTAAAAATTCCAAATATTAGAATAATTCTAATTGTTTGAATCAAAATCAAATCAATCAAAAAAATGAGTTGAGCACGCTTAGTGAATCATTATGTATATAAAATACTTACATTAAGTTCCCTTAATTCCTTCACGCATAAAAAGAGTAGAGTTGATTTCCAGGAACTCTTTTTTTTTTTTTTTTGTTTTAGACATTTAGTGATAGTGGGTAATAGCGCAATACATTGAAATTAGTGATTTTCAACCACTGATTTTCAGTATTCTTGTATAGATTCATGTTTATAGAATTATTGAGTTCATATTATTTTAAACAATGAACAAATTTCCTCCACAAAATAATCATGTACTGTAATTTATATTATATATTACTTGTATTCTACTTACTTAATATTTTATAATAACAGATTGTAAATATATTTAATAATAAAAAAGAAAAAAAAGGTTATAACCAATTAATTAATATAGTTTTGTATATTACTAAGAAATTTAGATTTATATATCATTATAAACCATACCGAGTGTCACTGAGTGGATAATACAATACTTTATTTAGTTTCATACAAGGTCTGGGCTGTCTTTATACAAATACGGATATAAATATTATAATTATTTCGATATTTTAATTGCCCAATTATTATTTTTATCATTAAAATGACTTAAAATTAACATTAAATGCAGTTAATACCTATAGATGTGCATTCATCATAGGATTTAAAACACACGGAAATACCTATTGGTTTTGCGGTTTAGACTTCTCGATATTAAATAGGTATTAAAAAAAATATTAACGAACGTAAAACTTACAATGTTAAAAATATGTAAATAAATACAAATATTTTATACATTATTGTATACATACAATTTTAAAAATATTATATTTTACGTGTCCCATATCTCTAGTTTAGATTTGGTTAGGTCAGGTGTTTTGTGTACCTATATATTTTCGAAATATTAAAATAAAATATATATTTTGTATCAATTTTTGGTCAAAGTAGGAAAGAGTACTTAATTGGCATATAATATTTGAAGAAAGTTTGGAAAGTCGTTTCGCCTGATCACTCTGTATTCGTTTATATCTATATCTCTATTAAACTTCAACCTTTGAAGTGAACAATTACTACACATTTCATGCTGTACGTATCATGTATGTATTATATTATATGTATTATATTAAAAAGGTTAGGTCTCATTAATAACAATATTATAGAATTCGTTGTATAGATCGATTGCCGGAATACTAACTCCCTTCTGTATTTTCAATAATTTTGTATATTATAAATAGTCGATTTGATGGTGTAATTTACACACCGTCTTATCTTTTTATATGGTTATACTCGTATCCTAATTCTTTGTGCTGTGCTTCAAGTGCTAATAAGAAAACCTACCGTATTGATAACTGCAGCTACAATATTATTATTATTCTATACAGTCGAAAGTTCTCATTGCGTTATCTATAAATGACTTCGTGATTGTACACGACTTTTGATTGCAGTGTTTTCGATTAGTTGCCGTTAAACCGTAGACGAATGTGATTTACTTTAATTACAATTTGTTTTTGACACTGTCGAGTGTAACTTTCATAGTAGGTACCTATTATAGGTTATAATAAATATTAAATAAAGATGGACGAACACATAATACACGAAAAGGATACTTACGGCACATTTTTAGACGACGCTACATCAGAAACCTCTTTATTAAATGACAAGTACGTACCTACCTATATATACCCAACACAGTTGTTTAACTTATTGTGTAAAATGTACAAAAAATGATTATTTAATCGTGAAATTATTATTCTATTTAGTATACTTACATAGTTTTTAACTAATCATAATTTTATTAAAAATAGGTGTTACCTATAATCATTTTCGATTTTGATTTTGAACAGTTTTTTTTTCAACGGAATACCATCATGAAGAATTTAATCTCATCAATTAGTATTACAAATTAAGTTTGGTTATAAAACCTATAGCTTATTAAATTTTCAAACCAGTTTGAAGAACAAAATGGATTATTATTATTACTGTTTAATTATAATTTCATTATTGAAGGGAAGGGCGTCGGCATTTTTAATTTTGTAAATTATTTTAAATCTGTTGAAATAATAATATATGTTGTGCCTAAACACTTCTCGTAGTTATACCCTAGATGAAACTAATTACTATTTTATAAATTGAGCATTATGCTTGAGTAAATCAAAAATAATTATTTGTGTAGGTTCTTATCAATATGTATGCGTTGTCTTTTAATAACTGATAAAACAGTTTACTGTAGTCTGTGATATAAAATCATTTCAAACACTAGAAATTCACTTTTCTCAATATTTTTGAATACTATAGTAAATTATGTCGTTATAATATATAAATATATAATTATATTGTATATTAATACAAGTAATCATAATAATATAAACTCGTGAAATATATTTATACTTAATAAAAGAGTAGCCATGAATTTCCTGTATTTAATCTACGTGATTTATAAAATTAAAAACAGTGTTTTGGTGATAATTATATTCTGGAATCAATTAAAGTAATTGCGTTGTTTAATTGATTTCAATTTGATGATATATTTGACTATAATATTATTAATTAATAATTGATAGGTTTTAATTAGAACTAAAATATAACAACTAAACATACATATTAATTATTTGAAACAATTATTATTAATTTATTGTGTTTTTTACACGGCAATAATAAAAGAGCTGATACTAATGACGGATATGCCACTGTTATAAGCAGGTAGTTGTAAACGTAGAGCACATAAAACTGTAAATTATATCTGTAAACAACGATAAACCATTGCTAATGAAAAACGATTCGGAGCAAAGTTTGATTATACATGTTTTGAAAGGCCGTAATATTTACAATTTTTGTCAAAATTTGATATGAATTACATAAAAAAATAAAATACTACATTACATTCAATTTTACTTTTATGACTACTAAGTAAGACTTATAATACACCTCTTGTTCAAGCGTTCCTGTTTAATCTAACAATTTTATATACGAGTACCAGGCAAATAAAAATTACGTAAAAAAGTAGCAAAATTAAAATGACTATATATCTCAAAAATGGCTCAAATTTTTTGAAACCCCACGTTTAGAAAAGGCAAATATAAGTTTAAGTATTCTGTGACAATTAATGAATAAATAAATAAATTTGTGAAAACAATAAAAGCATTATTTTCGTAAATTATCCAGTTCTTTCTGTTTTTAATAATTATTAAAAAAACTTCAGGGGAGATCAAAAATACTACTCTCCAACTCACCAACTAAATTAAAAATGCAACAAAAATGGCTTTAATTGTTTTTATATTGGATCAATATTTCTAGTAGAAAACATAAAGCCTACAAATTTGAAATAAAAGAATCATTTTTTTTTTATAAATGTCCTGCAGTTTTATGATTTAGTTGCATGTATTTTGCATATAAGATATTATTTACAAGATATTATACTATGCACATTGATGAAATTACACTTCCAATGAAGTGACTCCTACCCTTAATCTAAAAATTTAATTCTTTAACTAAGTAATATGGTTTTCAACGTTCAGATGTTTAATGTCTTTGGAATTGTCTAATAATTTGTGTTTGTATTTTGGCTCGTGCTTGCGAGCAAACCTTTTGATTTCGTCTGCTTTTGTAGGTTATCATCATATCGCGGTGAATTATATCGTATTTTGCTGAATCTTTTTTGTGATTAATGTTTGATTCAGTAAAATTTGGATGTTAACGGTCTTTCGTAGCGTTATAGTTAACATGTATCAATTTATCACCATTTTTCTTAATTTTACAACATTTATCCAGGCATAGATGTTGTCAATTGACTTTTGTAAGTTATAAGTTATAGTTAGTTGATTCTTATATGTCGAAAAAATTGCCGTATCGTCGAAAAATATAGCTTGTTGTGTTGTCATTGTTTGGTATATCAGTCGTACAGAATAGGTCCTAAAATATTACTTTGTGGTACTATCCATTTGACATATTTTTCCATTCAGTTATCGCTTCTTTATGCATGATTCGGAATTAACGGTCGGTTAAGTATGCTTGAAGAAGTGCATTCCAAGTATGTGGCATTTGTTCATGCAGTTTTCTGAGAAATTCCTTGTGTCAGACTTTATTAAAAGTTTGAGTTACGTCAAGAAGCACTCCACAGTAATACTTTTTTTCTTCGAGAGCTTTATTAAAGGAGTTTGATACAAATACACATTCTAGGTGCCGAGCATATATTTTATTATTACTACAGTCCCATCATGAGTGTGGTCGCATGGATGTTCATTCGATGTATACATTCGATAGCCACGCAACTGTTCCACGTAGGTAAATTAAGAAATTATAATGCCGTGAATTTATCAGTTTTCATTTTTCGTATTTTTCATAATTATTAAAAAAAATATTTAGAAAATCAAAAACCATATTGCTTACTTACCAACTAGATTAACTAGATAAATTAACTATCACTGATGTTTTTTGACATAATTTTTCCAAAACAGATACATTTTTGTTAATTCATTCATGTTCATATACTCATATTACACATACTATATTTTTATATTACATAGATTATTTAAATTAATGCAAATCACTCTGAAATATTAACTGGAAAAATGGATTTAATTAAATTGAAATTATTTTAATATAGCAAGGGCAACTACGGTATCTGAAATATTACAATTTAATAAGCTTATATCTTATTTGAAAATTTGAATGTCGAAAAAACAAATGTTCATATTTGTTTTTAAAGTTATATTTTTTTTTCTAGAATGTGTTTCTAGGTAGGGGGACAATTTCCCGTAAAAACTTTATTTTGGGAGCAGTAAATAAATTGCTTTCCGGTTATTATGAAAGTGCAGGCAGGCACTCTAGTGATGAAGTCTTTTTTTATTTATAAGTATTTTGAAAGGGGCATGGATTTATAAAATTAGTGCAATACGAAGTTTCATTTATTTTATCGGATCAGTTAGAACTGATCCGATAATTTAATCTAGTCTTATAGTACTATACACACAATACCCAACTCTTAAATATAATATATTTAAGACCTATATTATATATTTTTAATATAACAGTACTTGAAAAATTAAGATAGTATTATTTTATATTCAAAACGAATATAAACTGCAGTAAAAAAAAAAAAAAAAACAGGATTACTATTCAATCAAACATTTTTACTGCGTAGTTGAATATATATAATATATATAAATAAAATAAGTATTCGGTTTCATTAAATTATTATATACGAACATTATATTTTTAATTATTGTTTACCCAAAACAATATTTTATTTTAATGAAAGCCGGTCTTAATCTCTAAAACGAGAGTATAACTACAGTATTACGTTGAATTATAAATATTTATTTTAATGTACATTTGGAAAGGCGTCATAAATCATTGTATTCAAACAATTATTATTCTAGGTACAGGCGATTGTAGTATGTTTAAAGGTTTTTTTTTCTTAAAACAAATATATAAACACTTATAAACAGGCTTGTTTGAAATTTCACATTTTTATAAAATTACTGTGAAATTTGATACATTTCATTTCAGAGTACTCGTATCATATTATGTGATGTTCAGTTTTCTATTAACAACACGTAGGTATATTATCTCTTGTTATGGAAAATGTGGTATAGTTTTTCATGTGAAAACATTTAAATCGTTCCTTATTATGTATATTATGGAATTCGACATGTTTTGAGAATATTTAAGAGTATAAATTATGAAAACATTATTTTATGAAATTTTTAATTTTGGATGACAGAATGATCCATGCGGCTACACTCAATGTTTTGAAGTATCTTTCAAGTATAAAGAACATAGTACAGTGAAAAATATGATTGTTCGTATTAGTTATTCTTTAAATAAAATAGCTACATGCTATTTTAAGAGGACATGATGATTATGCTCACTAATTATATAACCGACATAATATAATTTATTTGATCAACTCATTGTTTGCAGTAATTATAAATATTTAATAATTTCGTAAGAACTTATATACTAAAAAGGTCAAATATAAATGTGTGTTAACAGAAGGTCAAGCCAGTAAGTCTTTGAAATGCATTTTTACATTTAATTTATATATTATATTATAGTTTTATAATTGTTTTTTTTTTTTTGTTCTATCGAAGATTGACGTTTGTACGAATACATTTACATTTATATACCCAATTGATCTTATAATATATTCACGTTGCGTAAATTAACTATCATCATGGCGTCTTTTTTAAAATATATTTTTAATATATTTAGTATATTTTATGGTATTTGATTGCGTCTATTGGAAATTCATCACCTATATTAATATCCGTATTGAGATTTATCTAGACGATTCATTCATATAATATTTGTTAATATTTTATTTTATTTAGATTAACAAAATTTATTAACAACTATTTGAAGTTTGTTTAAGATTTAAAAATAAATATCATTTTAGCAATTAACTAGATTTAATTAAAGAAAAAAATATTTTATCTATAGGTACAAGAAAATATTAAACAATGCTATAAAGTTTTATTTACAGTTAAAAATTCGAATTTCCTTGTTTGTGATTTATAAAATTTAACCACTCATAAAATAAGTATTATAATGTTATCATTGATAACATTAATAACTTATCAATTATAGATAATAAAAAAAATAACCTTTTTGTCGAATTTTTTTGAAAATTGAGACTATTGCGCTGTGTCGTGTCTGTTTATTATATATATTAGGATGGATCTGCGGGATTTTCTTTTTTTCTTTTTTTTTTGCTCTTCTCATGATATTATGTTCAACTAGGTAATAAAAATGTTTTCTTCAAATTTATACATTTTCAAAATGTTTTTAAAAGTTGTAAGCATCAAATTTATCAATAATACTTAGTTGTTTTATTAGTATTATTTTTTTTTTGTCTAAATACTCATTTCTCGAAAAAAAAAAAATACAACAGGTAAAGATAATTAGCATAAAAAAAAATAGGTACATTGATATTTAAAAAAAAAAATTGATTCTTATTTGACTTGTAGAAAATTAAATTTTTGAAATTATCAGGTAGTTTTGAAGGGTTTTTTTGGTGATTCCAAAAAAATGAGGGGAAAAAATTATCCGGACCAGGATTTTAACAAATATGGATCAAATCTAATATATATCTTTTTTCCGTTATTTTTGGACATTTTGAGTGACTCCTCTAAGTAAAAACTTAGGAATTAAGAATTTTTTTGTAGTGGTGGTAAAAGTTGAGTTAATTTTCAATATGAACGTAGCCATATTGTTGCGAGTCGAGGGTGTTTTTTTAATTTGTATATCTTTATATACTTCACGAATAAAATTAGTAAAATGAAATATACATAATTAGAGTAAGTATTTACCTTTTGGGGTTTAAATTTTCATCTCCCATCCATACAATTTTTGTGATCAAATTTCACTATTTTTTTTTTTTTTTTTGGACATAGTATATCTAATTGTAGTATAGTATTAGTATTAGTAGTATAGTATAGTATTCGGTTATTTATTATTTGTAATAAGTATTTTATTTTATATTTTTGTTTGACAAAATGCGTGAAGAAAAATTCGGTTTTAGTAACAAAGCACTGCTACTTACAGGTGTTTTTTTATTATATCAAGATAAATTCCAATTTTATATTATCTTATCTAAGATATCTTGATTTGTATACATAGATAATTTTGAAACAATTACCTTTATTTCGTTCATCTGTGTTTCAATACTGATGAGAATTCTATTCTATAATTCTATTCTATTTTATTCTATAATATTGTATTAGATTATTACGCTCGATTTAAAATTAATATAATATTGTCATGTCCGACGATATATATACCTACGTATTATCATATAATTATTCGTGATCATTTAGAAATTATTAAATTGGAATAATATTTTTACAAATATGATGTTTTGTAAAGAAATAGAAAACCTGTGTGTAAAGTATAAATTATGTAAAAATTGTTAACAAATTATACAGTTATTCGTTTTTTTTGTGTGTTTACATCACAAGGAGAGAGGAATACATGATAACTACAGTGGAATGTTAAAATCACCCGTGAACCGCTGTATAAATATAATAAGTGACCGTTTTATTTTAATTTATCGTCTTGTCGGCTATGCCTGCTGAAATTATAAGGTTGTTAAAAACAAAATTAAATTTATTCATGTTGTGCTTTGGATATTACTTTAATATATTCAAGTTACCTATTTATATTTCCCCGGTGTATTCAATACATAATATTGTAATCATTCACGATAAAATAAAAATAATTTTTTATCGTATGAGATGCCGCCATAATCAGCATATTATATTTATACGCGAATCAACAGAATTTTAACACGGTTTTGAATAGGTGAGAGAATGCGGTTTAGTGGTTATATACTATCAAGTTTGGCAGTTTTGAAAAATTTAAGAAGGTCGGTGTTGTTGTCGTTCACTATCTTCGGGTCATGGCCGAGGATTTTGCAAAGATATCGGTGTAAAGATATTGGTTTTTTCGGGGTTCTTAAATGTGTTACGTTGTGTGATACTTTTTAATTATTTTCTACGAGACAGTTGTGTGTTAGTCATGTAGGCCAATTGCCAGGGTATAGAATATAATATGGTATCACACGTATACATTTTTTGCTAACGACAATTTTTCGCGTGTTTAAAGTATTACATATTTTATATAAATATATTACATGTTACACCACATAGGTAAATTTGATAACGGGGCAATTTTTGCCTATTCCGTGGATTGGCCAAGTCAGTTTCCCAATTCATAGCGTATTAAAGTGAATATAGGGTAAAAAGTTGAACATTTCATGAATTGGCAACATGTATTTTTAAAACTTGACTTAATACTATAAACTCGGTTTCTAAATTTATAACATTGAAAATTAATATATTTTATAGGTAGGTATTAATTATTTTTTTGTTGATAATTACATTTTTGTATTTATTATTTTTTACAAATATTTTGTAGAAAATATAATGTTAAAATTATTAAATCTATTGTTGTTTGTATTCAATTCACTTTAAAAACTATATAAATAATTAATATTAACAACAAACAATTTATATAAATTCATAATTTATTAAAATATCGTTTTAACTATAAGTAGTACATATATATTTAAAATAATTGTATGTTACTAGTTTTGCTCAATTATGATATGGGCTATTTATTAAGCGATCATTTTTTGATCAAGCGATTATTTTGTTCATTCTATGAATTAAGAAATTCATTTGATTTAATTCTATTTCACAAAAACTTGCAATTTCATTAATTGGACAAATAGTTTACCCCTGAGGTGTAACATATAATATACTCATATTCATTTATGTATATATATTTAAATAAAATATATATGTATATTCATTTTTTGTATAGATATATGTGTAACTGAAAATATAGCACCATTTTAAAAGATTAAGTCAATTAGTTAATTACTGTTTAAATAGAAACGCATTATTTGTAGGGTGCAGGTATTAAACTATTCTGCTTTAAATAAATCGTCAATAATTATACTTAGTCATACAATATTCATCAATGTATAAATAATAAATATAAATTAATCTATAAGTAATTTAAAAAAATATATAATATTAAGACTATTAGATTTGCACGGAGATTTGATTTCTATTATGAGAAATAGATGCAATGTCTATAGATACCTTGATAACCAGAAATTCGATATTTTCATGTGAAAAACATTCGCTATACCTAATGAACAATTTATTTGCAAATAATTGCCGTGTTCAAAAAATGTACGCGCAAAATATTTTCCGAGAAAAATTAACATGGACCCTCGGAATATATTTTATATATAATTAAGTATTGTTTGATTTTACAGTAGTTTTGTCAAATATTCGATATGCTGTTAGTTTAATTTAATTGTTTTGTATTAGTAAATATAGTTTAATTTCGGGTCTCCGTAGTAATTGCGCTCTGCATTTCTGGCATACAAGTCAACGAAAAATGAAGCGAACGGCATATTTGTTTGACATATGTTTACAGTTTATATACTATATAACTGATTAAAATTATTCTGGTTAAGAGACCATACGGGTGAGATTAGGAGTTTATTTATGATAATGAAGTAATTTGAATACAAAGTTTTTTTTAGATCACAGTGATAGTATTATGAGCAATGGCTTCAGCGGTATAACTTAAGTAACGTACGATAGGATAGACTGTGAGTAATTTTGCAGTTATTTGGTTGCCTTGTTTGAGACACATCAGTATAAATATATATTATTTTATTTATGTACATCTTCTTGTTTTCCTTCGCCTTCATTCCAACTTATTGTGGTCGGCCACCCTCGTTTTAAACTTCCAATTGCCCCGATCTCCCACCTCGAATACACTGGCTGTCTCCATATCATTCTCAATCGCATCCAACCACTTCTTTTGTAATCTTCATCTCTTTCCTCCTACGTTTATTTTCATTAACATTCTTACTGCTCCAGATTTCTGTCTCCCCGTAACATGTCGAAACCAACTCAGTCTATTTCTCCAATTTTTTCTACTATAGGTATCTAAGCTACCTCTTATGTACTCATTCTTTAACATGTGTTCTTTCGTCACTCCATTCATCCACCTAAGCATTCCCATCTTTGTTACACTCATTCTTTGTTCTATTTTTCTGTCTATCTCCTAACACTCCAAACTGTACGATATAGCAAGCCTCATCACACTTTTGTAGAATTAAACTTTAAGTATCATTGGAATCGGAATGTTCTTGTTACATAAAACACCTGACACTTCTCTCCACTTTATCGAACCACGCTTAATCCTATGCTTCATATCCTCATTAAATCCACCGTTTTTTTGCAAAACAAATCCTAGATATCTACTTAAAACTTTTAACTTCATTACTTAAAATCGCTTATTGTGGTTAGCTGTCTTGTCTTGTTCCTCCAAATTCATACTCTGTTTTACTTTATTGGTGCATTATTGACGTGCCGTGCGCTGTACCGCCACACAAATGATACTCCACTACTTTCCTCCCATCCAAACTTAAAAGTAGAATATCTCGTCAACGGCTTAACAGAAATAAAAAATGTTAGCACTTAATTTTTAATAACTAATACTCCATTAATTTATGGAATTTTTAATATAGGTTGCCATTTGAACATCAAAATTAGGTAGTAGTTTTACCCCCAAAAATAAGAGTGACAAAAAATAATATAAACATAAAATTGTAGAGCAGCTTGTTAGCTTGTTTATTAAATGTTTTAGAAAATAAATTCTGAAAAAAGTTAATACTTTCCGAGATAATTAGTGTACCCAATTGAATAGATCACCTGGTATGTATATATATATATGTATATAGATAAGTGGGATATATATATAAGTATAGTTAAGTATAGTTATAGATAAGTCGTCGTCCGTAAAATAATAAAATATTGTTCGATATCGAAATAGCCACGAATATGTTACCGTATACCATTATACAGAAAAGGTCATGACATCGTAGTTAACGGATAAATCTATGGCCTTTTTCCGAAACCTGTTCGAACCCTGCTGTACTCCTCTCCCGTTTCGCACTCGATAACTCGCTGAAACGCACACCTGTAGAGTGCAAAGAGACTACGCATGACTCCGCAGCGAGGACCAAAACACCGCCGTCTGCAATAAGTATCTGTTCAATGTTTATGTCGATTTATAACGTTAGACACTTGTATATTATATTGTTTAAACAAATTTATAGTGTGCAGCGGCTTCCAAACGTTTTAGATGACGGTGTCCGTTTTTTTCTGGCAGTCCCCGCGGTCATCAATTATAAATCGGTACCGCGCTAGAAACACGAATAAAAAATTAACGCAATAATTCTCATCATTGATAATCGGTTAAAAACAATAGAAATTAAAAGCGTTATTATATATAAAAAAAAATGTTTTAAAAATATATTAGGCGGCAAAACGTCTACTTAACATAAAAATGAACAATAACTACTCTGATGTGCGATACATGTGGCGAATTGAAATCCAACAAAAACCGATTTACCTATTACAATAAATTATTGTAAATAATTTGTTTATAGTTCATGTATAATATAATCACCCTATATAATATTAAATATGGGTCGCTATATTATATTATAGTGATCGGTTATGTCCGGCGTATTACCCGGGAATACTAGAATTACCAGTTTTTGCGATCAGGTAGCGAAAATTTCAACACGATTGTCGTGTCGACGCGTTTATAAAATGTTATGAAAATGTGGTTTTTTTCACATTATAAAATATTACGGACGCGTTATTATATATATTGTAGTAAATAATCGTGGCGTTAATTTAGGTTTAGATATTTTAGTAGCGCAGAATTTATTATTATTGTTATATTGAAATTACGAGGGATTATAATAATATGTGACTGCAGGTACTTGTAAATATCGTTACTATTATTATTATTTTTAAATTAAAACCGCGAGAACGATAATTAAAAAAGAAAATAAAAAAATTAAGTAAGGCCGTTTTACCCGAAGATGGGCGGGACGCGTTGGGAGAGAGAAAACGTGCCAAAATATATTTTATAATATATGTATACAGCTACTCGTTATAATTGGCGATTGGCGGTTTTTGCAACAAACAAAAACGATAACGGCGAACAAAAAAAAAAAAAAAACCTAAAAACTTACTCATAAGCAATAATAATACGTTTTAGGCGTATTATAGTTATGCGAAACAACAATCATAATAATAATTAATAATTACGATCGTTTAGCGATAGCGTCGTGTGTACACGGGCGGTTGCGGTATGCGCGGTTTAAAATTAGCAGAATCCGCCGTACGTTGACGTTATCATAGGTCGCATTCGGATGAGTTGCGTGCCGTTGCCGGGCACACAGAAATATTATTTCATTTTTTTATAGTCTCGCGACGACGCGGCGACGTGTCCTCGGCAACGTTGTCAGCCCCGCAGCACGCGGTTCGAATAAAGTGCGGCAAAACCGCGGCCAAGTCCGTCACAACGGTTCAAGTCTTCTGCAACGTCGCCGGCGCAGGTCTGGGTTCGCTGTGTGCCTCATCGTCGCTCGTATTATATCCGCTCTCGGATCGGCTCTCCTCTTTTCTGCTTCTCGTCGTCGTCGGTGCTCTACGATATTTATAATATACCGGTGCGGCGGCGTGCGCTTAACGAACTCGCGTAAATATCAATCGGTACGTGTATTTTAATCGCTCTTTTTCGTTTTTGTATTCGCGTGTTTTCACAACGTACCCATACGGATATTGTATACGTATTATTCGTCGTCGTTTTGATAGTTATTTTTGCTATTTCTATTCTCGCGTTCGAATCTATCGTATCGTTCTTAGTGGTTTTCAACGACTTTTTTCGTCTATGTAATATCAAGCACGACGCAATAAACAATACATAATAATATTAGCAATCGCGTTACATATTATACATTACATCATAATATCATAATATTATTGTACAGAAGAGATAAACATTGTACAGAAAAACGCGTTCGTATATCGTATTGTGTATCGGCTCTGGACTCGTGCACCTGCAGATATAACATAATATAAATAGGTAAATGATTACATTTTTAAAATTTTTTTTATTGTTACCACGTTTTTATCAACGAATAATAAACATAGTAATGCATCTAGGTATGTGCAATTTGCATGTTACTATTATTGTTATCTGCACGAATTTTTTTTTATTACTTTTAAGTCATTTTTAATATTTTCCTTCTCGCGGTATAATAATATGACGTGCCTATGTAGTTTGGCGTGATATAATATTTTTCGTTTGTGAAAAATCGTTGTGTTTCGAATGGATTACCCGTGTCGTCGGTGTTCTGTATGTCTGTCATCGGTTTAATACCATTCTTTACGTTCGCCGTACATACATTACCCAGCTTGACTAGGTAATTGAAATACAGGTGTTTGCATAGTTTGTATTTTATACCTATACACCTTGTACTTACTGATTAGTGAAGAATTATATATTAATAATAAAAAATTAGTAACGGGAGTATAATATATATATATATATGTATATACATATACAATTTTAATATTTTAAATTCAATAATATAAGTGTAGCGAATATTTTTATCATATTACAAATAATGATTCTTCCGATTCGTGTGATTTTTTCCTTGTTACGCGTATAAACACATAGGTATTATAATATAATATATAGTTCGCATTATTGATCGGTATGGCGTAATAATACTGCGTAGTAATTATTGTGGTCAGAAACGATTTTTGAATATTAATATTAATTTTGTTTGAACAACGAACAATTTTCTTTTAATGAAAACTTATAAAATCAAGAAGTGCCGATTTTATCACAAAATAATATAGAAATAAATTAACAAATATTGCTTAAAAGAGAACATGAGGCGGTATTATAAGGTTTTTATTGGACTAAATTGTTCGATTTTCGTGTAAGATGTTCTTCAGTATACGAGTAAACACTACGAATATTATGTTACGATGTCTATTATCATATTATGTAAATTAACGCTATCATGAATTAATCGCGTAATTTTTTTTTGAGTTCATAAAAAAAGTAAAAAGTCAGTTATAATGTAATTGTGTCTACGCGTTTCTCTGCGACAAATAGTTTACTGTAGCGCTTAAATTTACATAATACATAGTTAAAGATAAACTGTATATAGACCAGCGGTTCCCAAACTTTTTTGGTTCTCGCATCCCTAAAAGTAAAAAAAAAATAATCACTCTTTTCATGAATAAATTAATTACAAATTTATTTTATTTAAGTATTCAAACATTTTTATTTTTATGATAAAATAAATCAACCATAAAAATTATTTAATTTCAATTTAAAATATTAAAAATTGTTTTTATGTTTACGAAGAAAAAAACAATGACAATTAGTATTTAATCTGAATACGAACAATGTGTTTGATTTCCGTTTAACAAGTTGATTGCCACATTAATACCTTATTTGGTAATCATACACTGTTTATATCCTAGTCATTCATATTTTAGATTCTGAGCGAAGCGAGGAATGTATTGATTTTACAATAATGTTTTTTTTTCTTTGAACAACCTTTCTACCAGAAATGTTGCTCTGATTTTGAAGTGTAGCATTTTTCTGAAGGAAATTTGACTAAAAAGCATAGCTTGTGGCGGGTGCAGCTGTTCAGTAACAATATTGATTACAATTTTAAATCAAAGAAAAATGTTAAGAGGTATAAAATAAAAAAGGTGAGAAAGAGAAAAAATAATAAATAAGACATATTTAATAAACATCAGAAGAAAATTGACAGACTAATTTTATCTGAATTTAGCACATTTAAATATTTTTTAAAATGATACTTGCTGTAGAACAATCACAAATTGTATACATAGGGAAATACCGACATACTGTTTTCCTATCAAATTCTTTATGGGTATTGGCATATTCAGATCAACTCTTTGTTTATGGCGTGTATAGCAAGTATGAGATGGTGAGTAATTTTTTAAGTCTAAATCATAAATGCTGCTTAGTACATTCAATAAATATAAGCCATTTAATTTTTTACATTGAGAGTTTTGTATAGATCAATAACATGAAAATCATAAGATTTACAAAGAATAAATCTTAAATGAGAGTTTAGCGTGATAAATGATTTAGGGCTAGATTAGATGCATCAAAATGTTGATTAATAATTCTTCCTTAATAGTTCTTCCTTTGTGGTTGTGAAGATTGATAATGGTTTTTTAGTAAATAGGTCTTTCATCCAATTGTACTGTTTGATTCTTTCTAGAAAATATTTCACGAAATTTCTTTTAAGTATCATCAGATAATCAGAAGTTATTGTTATTGAACTCGTTGGTAATTCAAGATCATTGTCTTAAAAAAAATGTTTTAGAAGTAGAAAATAAGTGGTTTTACCGTTTTTTTCTGTCAGTTTTCTTTGCCATAAGTCGATTTTTTAATAAAAGCATCCACTTTATCATATAATTGCAGAATATGAGTTTTGCTTTACTTTGTAATGATGTGTTGAACAAACAGTTTTTCAAAAATATCACATAAATAAGCTTATTTGATTATAAAATTACGTTTTATCGAAATTATTGTTGAACTAAAAATATAAATATTTACCTCGCGTCTTCCCTGTTAAGGACTTGGGCCTCCCAAGGGAAGCGTGCCTCACAGTTTGGGAACCACTGATGTAGACTAGTATAATATCATGTATTCGGTTATTATTCGATATTTAGTTAAATTTGGTTCATTGAATCCTACTATAAGTATATCTATAAGCAGTTATAAACAGTTACAATAAGCTGGATAAGTTAACCAATTGTTTTTAACTAGTTAAAGTTAAGTTATCCTGAAAACAAAAAAAATAACTTAGTTGAATTAAAGTTAATTTTAAAATGGGTATGATTTTGAGTTATTACACGTTAAGTTAAAAGTTACTATTTTAAAATATTGCCTTCAATTTTACTCTCAAAAAATGTATTTTGTACTCTAATATTTATAAACCGGGCCAGTTCAACTTTAGTATAACCATATACCTTATATTATTAGACGTGCTATGAACGTTTATGCCGCGGTCAAACATAGGGGGCGCTTTTTAATGACTAATGTACGATAATAAAATGTCCGTGTTCTTATTACGTTATATGTAACGTAATCTAATGTGTAATAAATTATCATCCACTTTATAAATTGTATGTTAATTCTATTTTTAATAATTATTTACAATATTTTAAATTATTTTGAATAAAAATAAAAACTGATTACAATTTGTGTGGTTAATTCCAGTAATCGGAACTGGTTGACATGTTTCAAGTCATATAAGCATGATAATATAGACAATATCAAAAATTTAGATTCATTATGAGGAAAATAAATTGTAAAAATTTGAAAACATTCAAATTAGACTGCAGATCCTAAAAAATTATTGATAATACATATAATGTGATTATTTCCTGATTCCAATACAATATTATTTTGTACAATAATAACTGTACATATTGGCAAACCTAACGTAAAATGGTGCTTTATCATTGTCGTATGTTTGACCGCATCTCGTAATATATGGAACATACGGAAAGGTTTATTAGTATAAAGTCTATGGGTTTATTAGTGTATTACTAAAAACAAAACTCGTATGTGTACTCCATAGGCTGTATATTCGTGTCTTGTTATATGACAATTACTTTATTTATATGGCACAATAGGAAGACGTTTGACACGTTTAAGTACTAATTACTAGGGCTGTGACACGAACTGAACCCGATACCATAATAAAATTGATTTTTATGTTGACGTAGAAAAAAATAAAAACTGATTTTTTTCATTAAGTCAATTTTATTTGATTAAACCACATATTCGAGCGTCCTAAAATTAAAAGCGATTTATCTTATGCAAGTGGTTTTAAGTTCTTTACATGATATATGAATAAACCGCTTTATTTTTTAAATCATCTTATATATTGTTCATGTAAACGAAGTAAATGATTCTAACGTAAAAATACGTAATTTTCGTCGAAATATAAATACAAAAAACACACGTAGGTACACAACTTTTTAAATAAAATATTCGTAGATAACTTCTTAGAAATACCTTAAATGTTTGCAAATTTTTTGAACTATAAGTTAAGATAAAATTATTTATCAAAAGAAATAATTAGATAATTTTTAACGTTATATATAATTTTTAACTGTTTAGAAGTTAAAAGTTAAAGAAAATTACTTATGTAATTTAACTTTTTAATTACAGTTATTGTCCAGCTTTGAACATGCTTTTAATATTGTGCAATAATAATTATTATTTATTATCCTTGTACTGCAGCCTTGTTGCATTTTATGCGATTTTACGAATATTAATAATTATTATCATCATATATATATAATGTATATACAATATACAATCATACATATTATAATAAAGTTTTGGTATCACATTCGGTGGACACGGTCGTTAGTTGGTTAATTATACCAAATGAGTCAGCATGCCTGAATACGCGTATATTAGTACAATTATTTGTTTAATTGAAAAAAATAACTTTATATTACAGGGTTTTAAATTCGAAGTGTAGTAAGGGATCTAATGGTTTTATTATGATGTGTGTTTTTCTGTATGTGAACAATTTTTTTACCAGTAATCTTGCTCCAAAGTCATTTTTTGATTTTCTTATGGATTCTTATAATAATTGGGAAAACCTGGAAAAAAATTTATCAAAAAAACGGCAAATATTTACGGCATTACCGATTTCATTGTTTTTACTTTTTGCAAACTATGTTTTCTACCACAGATATTTCTTAATAAAAAAATGCCAAGTTACCCTTTTTAATTAATATTTGAATTTAGATGCTCACGAAGAAAGTCATTTTTAGATTTTCTAAGTAGTTTTTATAATAATTGGGAAAATTGGAAGAAGACGAAAAATGAAAAACGAACAAATTTACGGCGTACGGTTTCATTATTTTCAATTTTTTAGGCTTAGTTTTCTACAAAAATATTGTTCCAATAGAAAAATGACAAGATACATTTTTAGTTGAACTTTTAATCCAGTTGGTGAGCAGTAAAGTTGTTTTTTGATTTTTGTTTTAGTTTTTTTAATAACTAAGCAAAATCGAAAAAATTTAGAAACAACGGGAAAATGTGCAAAAATAATTGTTTTACTATTTTTAATTTTGAGTTTTTATTAAAATTCAGATGGAAATATTCATAGAATTGAAATTTTGACGGAACACTTATATTTACCTTTTCTAGAAGCGGTAAAATGTTCAAAACATTTAAACTATTTTTGAGAGATACTCTTTGGATACAATTTTTAGATTAAATAAAAATGATTGAATATTTTACAAGAGAACCATTATAAGTCGTACCTAGTGGTAAAAAAAAAAAAAGAAATAACGGACAAACTTCGCTCAATGGGTGGGCCACTGTTTTAGGTGAGAAGTTAAGAAGGTAGAAGAGAAATTTAATGTATATCTGTACGCAACGATTAATCATTGTTAACAAAAAACGATTCTGAGCGGAGTTCGGTTACACATGTTTTGAAAGGCCGTAATGTTTTATTATATTTTATATTAAGTAAATATTTCGTAAATTTTCCAATTTTCCTACGTTTTATTCTGGGTTTTTCCATTTATTATGAAAATTCCTGGAAAAATTAAAAAAAAGACATTGAAGTACTACTCCAGTCAAATTTCTCTTCAGAAAAAGTTCTACACATGAAAATCGGAGCAAAATTTCTGGTAGAAAGTTTACAAAAAAAAAACATAAAATAAAAATAAGCATCATTGTAAAACCAATATATTCCTCGCTCCGCTCAGAATCTAAAATTAAGTTAAATGTAGTAATTTTTTTTTTCATAAGATTTTAATATCAAATTTTAACGAAAATTGTATTACGGCATTTCAAAACATCCCTGAACTTCGCTCCTAATCGTTTTTCATTAGCAGTAGCTTATCGTTTATTACAGGTATAAATTAAATAACTTTATGTAGCATACTTTCTTAACTACCCACTCATAACAGTCATCAGTAGCAACTTTTTTTTTTTAGCATAATATAATACGTCGTAATAATTATATCAATGTATATATTGTTATAATAAGTAATCAATCCAAACCGTTTGTTATAAAACAGCTAGAAAGAATTATTTTAATCTTTATGGTAAATTACGAGTTTTATTATTTAGTAGAATTGGTTTTTATCGTTCGTATACAGTGTATGTTTTATTATTATATAATATGCATCACGAATCTGGTGATAAAGTATTTAATATCGAGTTGTAAATAAATAACGAGGAATAATAATATATTATTACGAATAATTATTTTCTTAAATAATCACTTTGTAGTCGATCTAACTGTTTTGTTTTTTATACCTAATATTGAATTACATTTTTTAGATTCTGAGTGTAACGACCTTCAAATATATCGATATTTCGCTTAATAGTACTTTGGAAATATTTTTCAGAATTCTCCGAATTTTCGAAATTTTCCGAAAAATTGCTTTTATGTTTCTTTTATTTAAACTAATTTTTGTTGAGGCAAATACTATTTCTTTCACTTTAAAAGATACGCAATTTTTGCTTAGAGTTTATTGACATTATTAGCAATTTACCCCCTAGATTCTTTTTTTTGTTGATTTCTGAATTACCTTTATACAAGTGAAAAACACAACAAAAACTAATATACTATTCCGCTCAGAATCTCTTTTTCGTTTTTCTATCATTGCATACACAGTTTATAAACTAAATAATTATCCTGTATATTATACCTTAATTTAGTTAAGTTATAATTTGATATACCTGTCTCAAATAGACACAATAAATATAGATAATTTATGTACGTTTGTTTTTTGAATATTTGATTTAATTATATTCACGTGTGTAATTTTACTTACCAATTGTTCAAATTCGAATATTGCGGTTTAATATATTATTTTAAATGGTTACCTACTAATAAAGTAATAATGGACTATACTTTGCTGCAGAGAATTAATTATATTGATTTATTCAAAAGATTAAGATGATAAGTTATCGTATCATGATGCTCACAACGGCTGAAATGTAATTTCAAAAAGCCTTTATAGCGGTCAAATGTGTTGTTAAAATTTATCACTTGTTTTTATAATGATGTTAACATTTTTTTTTTACACTTACTTCCGAAAATGAGAAATTAATTTTTAACATTAAAAAAAAAAAAAAAAAAAAATGATTTTTTTTGACATGAAAAAAAAACATTTCTAAACTAGTTATATAATATGTTCCTGCCGTATTTAGAATTTACATTTAAAAAAAAACTATCGTGACCGTTTATAGATAATGACGTTTCATTTTGTTTGCCCGTACTTAATTTATAACTTGGGTATATATTCATTAAGATTAATATCAGCTGTGTGTCTGGTTACACTTTCGGATGCATGAAAAAACTATTTCGATTCATTATACCGCATGTCAGCAGATAGGTCAATTTCAAGGGCGCGCATCTTCAACAAATCCACAGGGGACTTTATATTTTTTCTTTCAATGCGATATTGATCTTTTTCTTTTACTTTCAGACATTATATATAGTACATTCACCATCCGTATTGTGTACATAGTTCTATGGAAACGTCTTCATTACAATACCTACTAATATTATTTACTCGTCACCTAATAATGTATTCCGTTCGTAGGTAATCTAATATTTTATACGGAAATGCTCGCGGGGGAAGGGACCTATGACTACCCCCAGGCCGTCCATTGCGGGACGTGTCCGTGGTTGATTTGTATAATTACAGTTGTCCTTTATTCGTTTTGTTTTTATTTTTGATTGTGTTTTATTTTCAATTATTCCTATCATTATTTTTGTTTGAAACGATAATATAGTATAATGTTTAAAGAAACATTCGTGATGTTACATTCTTCTGAACAGTGCAGTTGTAGAAGATAAATGATAATTCAAATTTTAAACTATTGAAGTAATATATGATTATATATTATTAATGATAATTATAATTATATATAATTTTCAAACATTGCTTTGCAAACTAAGTATTGATTTTGAGTATGTACGCACTACGGTTAAAAACCAACTACATAATTGACATGAGAAACTTATCATTTAATACAGTAGTGATACTACTATAATAAAATATGATTAAGAAGACGTTATACACGCATAGAACCACGCAACATAGCAAATTTTCGTTCAGCACAGACAACTCTGTGAGGTTAATTTTAATATTAATGTGGATTCAACTAGTATCAAACTTAAAGATAAGAACATTATCTATGTCATGTCGTCGTTTTTTTTCGTAATTTTTATTTTTATTACGGGATATAACCATTTTTAAATCGTCATATTTCACAAACTCATGCGAAATCACATTCGGTTATAATAACGTTCTCTTAAGTTTTGAAATCAATCAGTTAGGTGTATTATTATAAGAACTATAAATATAAAGGAATTTTATTTTATTTTATTATTTTTCGGCTGAACAATGTAATTTTCTTAACAAGTATATTCACTACGTCAATTTAGACAACAATTGTTTTTTGTGGTTCTTGCCGTTGAAACATATTTTTACGAGTTTGAATTCGAAATTTAACATTTTTACGTAGAAATACCTAGTTAAAATGCGTTTACAAATATGTTTTTTTTATAGATAGGTACACACTTTTTATGTATGCATGTGTTTAGAATGTATTTTCTTAGGCCACTTGTAAATATTTTCTTTACATTTTAAATTGTTATTATCATATAACATCCCAACTCTATATATAGGTACCTATGCTTAATTATTTCGAATACATTGTTTTATATTATTATGTTAAGTTTTAGGAGAATTTATAGGTTATGTTAGGTTTGTTAAATAATTTAATTATATAAATCAACAATAGTTTTTATTTTTTTAATATTATCGTATAATAATTTATTTTATTTTATCTTATCCGGGGAAAAAATGAATTAAAAATAGATGTGGGAATTTACCGAAGAATTGCTAGATTTTTTTATCAGAACTGAATATTATTGATATAAGAATTCGGTCGGAAATAAATTGCCGAAAACGATAAGAAGAGGAGATTTCGAAATTAGTATGTCGTGGGTAAAGTTAAATTGCACTAATGTTAATAAAAGATATTTAATTAAAAATGTGCGAAAACACAACTTAATTTGAAAGTTTTAAAAATACTCATTACCCCTCGTCAAACTAAAACTATATGAAGGACATACAACTAGTGTATAATTATAAAACGTTTATTGAGCAAGTTAAGTTATTCTAGAAAATAATCTTTCTTTACTTAGTGCAATTCAAATGCAACCATTCAATGTAGGTTAAAAGTGCAATACGACAATCTCAAGTGTTGTTCGTTGGTATTATTATTTAATTTATTGTCAAAAAACATGGGCTATATCAGTAAAGCAAAAAAATAAAACTAATGGTTATTAAATTATGGTTTATTATATATAATACGAGAGATCGCTGAGGCTAAAATATTTATCGTATAACGATAATATGAGAGTTATATGTTTTATTCTAAAAATAACACATCTAATTATTGTGATATTTAAATTTCATACCGGAGGTTGTTTACTTTACCCCGTATGGCGTAGGTATAGGATATTTCTATAAAGAGTACTTGCCTATACGCTCGTCTATTATAACTTAGAACATTACATTAATATATATTCGTTTTATTCACAAGTACTATATTTAATAATAATATTTACCTTTAACAAAGTAATAATATATACCCGGTAAATATTAATAAGTATAACAAGTGTAGTTCGTACAAATTATCTGGATGTGTCGGTTAATAAATTTCTTATTATTATTATTGAGTAGATAGTTCTGTAGTAGTACTTCTTTTACATGAGTATAATATAAGCAATCATATACGAATTAGAAGTTTTCTTACTCAAGTTAAAGTGTTGATTAACGCGTTAAATTTAAGTGTCTTCATAATATTATATAGGTAGTATAAAGACGAGAGTACCTAGTCATTACCTAGTTATTATATTCTGTCAGTATTACACGAAGGAGGAGTTAAACAGATGCGATTTTGAGTAGGTAAGATTTTTTTTTTTATAGGTGAACGTTTCTTAAAGTATTATATTGATTCGTAAAACTCATGACAAACCACATTATGTTTTAATAAAGTATGAAGTGTAGGTATTCGTTGAGTAATTCGATTAGAGAACGATAATACATTATGTGTACTACATTTATTTTATCTATATAGTATAACATTAGGTATACACGTTTTATAGAGAAAAAAGGCTTATACTATTGATGGATGCTTGCTGTTGGAAGATAAGATATATTATATAGTAATTTAATTTACATGTGTACTACGATTAGCTGTTGATAATAAAAAGCGATTCTGATTATTATGAGTTGTATGTCCCTTGTTGTCAAAGTAACCCAGAAATAAATACAACTAATAAACGAATTTCCATTTTTTCCCAATTATTAAGAAAACCTCAAGAAAAATCCAAAAATTACCTCTAACTAACCAAATAGATCAAAAATGCTATAAATAAAAATTCCATAAAGTTTTTGGTCGCTGATATCAATAAAATTGGTGTGCCAATGTTGTATAAGATAAGTTAGGAAGGTATATGATACACACAATTATTTAATTTATATTTGTATTCATATTATTGCTGACAAAATACAGTTCTGAGCGAACTTCGGTTAAAAATATATTGAAATTTTGTGATTTTTATGATTTTCGTTAAACTTTGAAATGAAAACGCTTATAAAATATATTACATTACCTGACTTTACCGAACGGAATACAATTAGGATCAAGCAATATATTGTGTTTCTTGTATTATACTATATTGGCAGTTAAACAACTGAGATTTAGGTATGCGAATTAGTTACCTGTTTGTTGTGGACTCGTGTCAAGTTTGAAAATTGACACATTTAGATTTTAAAATAGCTGCATAATTCGTTTTTAAGTGAGTATGCATGTAATATACTCGCAAAAATACACGACGTTGAAAAAAAAAAACACCAACTTAAAAAAAGACAAAAAAAATGTTGGCATATTACTACGATATTTTTGATATACACGAGTATTAACAGCGAAGGAGTCATTTTTATTATTTGATAATTTTAAATTCTGAGTATAGCTAAGAAGCTAGTATAAAACTGTTGGAGGTAGGCATTTTTTTTCACGGAAAAAACTTTTTAAGTTAGTAGAAATATTTCGATTTTTTCATGTCATACCATAAATTATATCGATTTTTCGCCTGATAGTATTTTGTTTGAATAATTTTTTGAAATTTTCAGCAGTTTGCCAAGGTTATATGAGGTGTTTTTGTTTTTTGGATTTTTGTTTAGTTCTGAGCTCCTTCGGAAAAAAGAGAAATAATCATGGCTATAACATAGAGTAGTATTATAATACTATATTCTGCTAAAAATCGTTTTTCGTTTGCAATAATTTATGATTGCATAATACATATACAGTATATAGACTAAATTATCCTGTTTATATAAACAAATATTTTTATCATCGTATAAATCGTAATAATTACGATGTTTAATTATTAAATTGTATTGAAATTACCCGCATAATAAATTATTCGGTAATAATTCAAGACGTAAGTATTATAATATTATTTATACACATACAGGGTGATTCACTAAGCATGCTCACCCCATTTTTTCGGTAACATTTTTCATATATACAAATATCTTGAATAGCACGTTAACAAGTTGACGAAAATCAAAAAAGGTTGACACCAAATTTATTTTAAGTAATACTTGGTATATTTATGGAATTCATAACATAATTTCTCATTTGAAAAACCAAAATTGGTTTCGCTATAGGATACTCCTTAAATATTGTGAATTATCTAAGTATTCTAAAATATCGGCTTTAACTACACTTAAAAATGTCAAAAATCAGAATTTGAATGTATGCAAAATTTAACCAAAAAAATGGGGTGAACACGCTTGGTGAATCATTCTGTATACAAAAAAGTTGAATTTATTATATACAATGTAAAGTTTTATTTTCGTATTTGGACTACCTACTCGTCCTCTATTGCATAGTTTATTACTGGTTTTTACTGTGCAGTTTTGTAAAAATAATTTTTTAAACAATTTAAGTTTTTATTTTTAGTTTAAAAAAAATGTTAAAAATTGAGCTGATGGATGTTTTACTGTAATAGGTATGAGATTTTGATAAAGTTTAGGATATATAAAGTTATTTAATTTATATCTGTAAGCAATAATAAACTATTGCTAACAAAAAACGATTCTGAGCAAAGTTCGTTAATGCATGATTTTCGAAAAATGTCATCTTCAAACTAATGCATTAAACATTTAAACTTAAATTTGTTTTTAGATAACTAAGTACAATTTATAATGTACTTTTTGTTAAATTTTCAAACATTTCTCTTAAGTCATACAATTTTAATAATAGATACCTACCAAATAATGAAACCAATAATAGATCCCTCGTTACTTCCCTAATCGAATACATATAAAACTACGTAAATAGCTTAAAAATAGCAAGAATGTTTTCAAAAAGTTACCATGTCTACATAAATCAAAAATAAATATTTTGTGAAAACTACATGCCTCTACAATAGTTTTTAACTGAATAACAATGAAAAATCCTAAATGCCGTACACTTTGCCGTATTTCTTACGGTTTCCCTCGAGTTTTCGTAATTTTTAGGAGAACTATACAAAGAGAAAAAGAAATATAAAAGAAAATTAAACAATAACCTTTACTCATAAACTAAACAAAAATGATTTAAAAAAAAATGTTACTTTTGAAATTTGGACAAAAATTTCTGACAGAGAAATATAATCTTAAATTTTTTAAATAGTGAAATTGTTGTGCTGTAATTTGAAAAAATCGTATTTTCCGTCTCTTTTGGTTTTTCCCAATTATTACAAAAAATACTTTAAATATTAAAAAAATTACTTGCTCCGTCAATGGCTAGATATTTAACTATAGATATTAAATCAAATTGATTTCTTGTCACTTTTTGATTGAAGTAATATATTTTTTGGTAGAAAACATAGTTTGAAAATAAAAAATAATGAAACCGGTAACGCCGTGGCACGTCGTAAATATTTGCCGTTTTTTCGATAATATTTTTCTTAGTTTTTCACAATCATTATAAAAACCCTTTGGAAAATCAAACCATGACCTCCCTAATGCACCAACTAGATACAATTTCTATAAAAGGTGCTACACTTGATACTTCGGATAATGATTTTTGGTAGAAAATTCGTTCATTGCAGACAGAAAAAAAACACACATCATAGTAAAACCAATAATAGATCCCTCGCTAGTTACTATTGCTCCGAATCTAAAACATAAAATAGAGGATTCATAGTGCAAGAGTCTAGTAATAATATTGTATAAAAAAATTGAATAAATATGAAAAAAAATTGAAAATATTGTACAGAAAAAAGTTATTTTATGTGTCAGATCTACGTGTTACAGTGAGTTTATCTGTATAGACCTCTCGTATAGGAGGTTACTATAGTAATTTAATTTGTGGCGTGGGTAATTATAACATACGGTACTTTTTATGTACTTACATTTTATTGTTTTTATCATTAGTATTGTATCTTATGATTTTCGCGAACGGTATAGTTACGATTTTTCCACGACGAAAAAAACCGCGATATTTTATAACGTGTATTGCGATGTTCTACTGCACCGTAATTTCTTACACGTTAATCCTATTTGTGTGTAAATATTTAATTAAATAAAAAAAATAAAATAATAAAATAATTTCACATTATCGTATCACAGTAATATACTCGTTGTATTACTGATAATATTATAATACCCTAGAAATAATATATTATTATGACGGTAGGCAATTATTATTATTATTATTATTTTTTGTAACCTGTACACATAAAAAGATTAAACAAAAAGAGTACCTACCTAGTTGTATTATTATAATATTAATAAACGTTACATCAGCACTGTTGATGACTCAAGTGATTTTTTTTTTCATTATACCAACAAATCGTCAACTGTATTAGTATTATGATGTTTTCATATCCGACTAGTATACGGTTTGTGTATTATGTTTATTGACTCCGACACTCGTATTATAATAATATTTTTTATACATTGGTAAAGGTAATAACTATTATAGTGTTCGCTGTTCAGCGATGAGTTTAAAACTGTAAAAGCGATAAGCCGCACAATTATTATAATACGTACATGTCGACACGATATCTCGTTTTTTTTTTAAAAATTAAGCTCATATTATGCGAGCTTACATTTAACTATTTCTACGGTGCGTGGCGTAATTATTTGAACAAATGTTTAGATCAAAACGTTATTTTTTGACTTTTGTAAAACAAATAGCTGTGTGTTTGTTCTAGGTAACGCCGACGACACCGGAAAACGTGTACTTTTCTTGTCAACGATTTTTTTAAAATATTTCTCAATGGACTGTTATACGATCTAATATAAGTGATTGAACCAACACTACGGACGTTACATAATATTATATTATTATTTAGAGCTGTAGGTTAAACAGATTATATAAATAATAATACAGACCGACGCGATATACCTAACGAATTGATGGCTGACCTTTGTGATGTATAATTACATATTATACTAATATGTGTAATAAAAACTTTAATATTATCTATGTATTTATTACTTATTACTATTAATTTGTTCGGAATACGATGCAACAATTATTATTATTATATTTAAGTGGTTAGACGTCGTCATTATGATACAAATTACTATCTATTATATTATAATGATATAGTATTCATAAGCCGGGTTCGAAAATATTTAATTTTTCTAACTGTTTATAATATACACGTTATTTTCTTTGGATTCCGAGCGGGGCGAGAAATATGTAAATGGTTTTACTATGATGTGTGTGCGTTTTTTATTATGTCTGTACAACTTTTTTATCAGACACCTTGTACAAGTCAAAACATTCTAAGATACCTTATTTGTTGCGTTTTGGATCTGGTTGATGCATTGTGGTCATTATTTGATTTTCCAAGCGATTTTCCCAGTAATTGGAAAAAACGTACGAAAAACAGAAAAGTATACAGAAATAACGGTTTCATTATATTCGATTTTAATCTTCTATTGTAATTCAGTAAAAATATTTTAGAGACCCGACATTTTTATAGAATACTCATATTGGCCTCTTATCGACTTTGTAAAATTAACTCATAGGCTACTTATAGGCATTTTAAATTTTTAAATCACGACATTTCGTGTAAAGTGCCGTGATGCGATAAAGTGGTCGCGGTACTTTAGGTTCTGGTGTAGAGAAGGTAATTTGGTTAAACATGTACACTGTACTTTGTACAGCTTTAGCGGTAGCCACGGTTTCGTGTGCGAGTGTAGTTTTGAAATATAATTCATAAATTAATATACGTTTTGTTGTAATTTATTTAAAAAAATTGTATAATTAAGCTCTACTCAGAAACGTTTTTTTATTAGTAATGATTTATCGTTGCGTATTTATGAACTAAATGTATTATACAACTTTATGTATCGTACCTTTCCAAGTTCCCACGTACACCAGTGGCATACTTATTAGCAGTATCATCTCTTTTTTTTTTTATACAATTGTGTTGCGCACCGTTTAAAAATCGCAGATGTCGGATAACTGAGAATAGACAAATATATATTATATAATGTATAAAAAAGGGGAAGAAAATAGGTTGATTAACGCAATTTAATTTATTGGCCACATAAACACGCTCACGTGTATAAACATTTGGTAAGTATTATTACACGATAAAGAAACGGTTTTGTTACTTGTGTTTTATACTATAGAAAATATTTAGTAACTACGCTTCACCACATTGTATATTTTGTAGTTTTATTAAATGTTTTATAGTATACGATTTTCAACGGGATATTGTTGTTATTTTAGATTCAGAGCGTAGTGAGGGATCTATTGGTTTTACTATGCTATGTGATTTTTTAAAAAATGTTTTCTGTCTGTAAACAATTTTTCGAAAAGAAATCTTGCTCCGATGTACAGAGTATAATACCTTTCATTTTGAAAGGAAATTTCGTCTATTTGGTTAATTTTCGAATTGACTAAGAGAGTCCGAAAGAAAATTATAGGTAAAACAGCAAATATTTGCGCACTACGGCATTATCGATTTTTTTGTTTTTAATTTTTACAACTTATATTTTCTACCAAAAATATTGCTCCAATGGAAAAATGATAAGAGATCGATTTTTGATCTTTTTAACATATCCATTGTCAAAAAAAATCGTTTTTTGATATCTAAAGTATTTTTCATAATAATTAGGAAAATGTTGAAAATTTAACAGGAGGTTCCATTATAAGTCAAACTTAGTGATCAGCACTTAGTTGGCAATGGTTTATCGGCGGTTAAATGTATAAATTAAATGACTTAACGTGTCCCACCTTCGTGACTACCCATCTACAACAGTGGCTTCAACCGTCCCTAGTATCAACTCTCTCTTTTTTCTTTTATTACCACTACATATGTTCCCCTTTGGTTTTGAAAATATTTAGAATACTATTAAAAATAATATTATTGCGTTTTCGTTTACTACTCAGGAATTCGGTTAACCGCGTTGACTTATGATAGTAGAAATAGTATTATGTATAGTAGTATTATTCTTTTTACCGACGATGACCATTTTAAAAACTGCGATCACGGAATAATGAATGATATATCTTGTCCGTAACGCTCGTATATTTTGTTTTATACCAGGAAAATCCCAGTGGCTTGATGTTTTGGTCTTGACTGTATAAACTAGAGAAACTATAGATAAATTATATCTAGTATATCTCTAATCTGGACTGTTTGGCTTGAATAACTTGTGTTGATTTTAATTTTTTAAAATTTTGTTATGATTTAGTTTAAAATATATTAGTGATTTTTAATTAATCTAAAATAAATTTAGTTTTGTATTTGATATGCATAAAGTAAATTATTCTTTGAATTTCAAATTGTTTAGATTTTGAGTGAATCGAGGAATGTACTGGTTTAACTATGATGTGCACTTTTATATTCGGAGTATAACGAGGAAATAAATCAATTTTAATTTTATGGTTTTTTCCAATTATTTCGAAAACCCCTTAATTAATCACGTATTATAAATGTAATATTATATAATAATAATAATAAATAATATTATTCCGCATTTAATACGCAGACCAATCATTGAAGCACCGAAATTAATAGGTAGTCTTTTTTGTTGAGTGAGCACAACTAGTATGTACTTTTCAATTTTTACCATAACTAGTTAACACCGTCTCGAAACTATTTTGAGAACTCTGAAACTATGAAACAAAGATTATACGAAGTACCTAATATATTTGCTGTTTAGGAAATATCATTAAAATTCAGCATGTTTACCGTGTAAGTGAAGAAATCGATAATATTATTTATTTTACTTTTGGTCGAACAAAGTGAAAGTTTTTTTTTACTATAGAAAAATATAATTAGCCGAGATTTTATTTTTAAAATGTGTTTGTGATTTTTATCTCCATCGATGGTCGTTTGCAGCACCTATATTGGCGAAAATCGTACAATGGCGGTCGTATACTGGAGTCATTGTGCGTAGTTATAATAATGTATTTGTATGACCTTAAGTCCGGGGAGATGATGCGCCCATGTGGTAAAAATTCGGTGAAGGTTCGCGGTCGCTGCACTGTAGTAGTAATATTATAACCGATCAATAACACACGCAAACTATAATATACTCGTACACTTTTGGTTTCTATTAATTATACGTCATATTATATTTTTTTTTAACTCGACGACGAGAGACTGCTGGCTAATAATGTAATAAACATCTGTTACAAAATCAACAACGCCGTCAACTTCGTCACGACGTCGCAGCAATTTCGTTATTGAGTTTTCGTGCGCGGGTTGACGTTCACTAAAATTATTATTTTTATTTTTCATAATTTAGACCTATTGGAACACGCAGTTAAACTCCTTTAATAAATGCCATTATTGGAAACGAAAATCTATAATTTTACGGTGTTCCCGTTGACGATGCGCACACAGAATTTTTTACGTAGGTTAAATCACAATGGATTGACTGAATAGATTATATATCTGGCGGCCGTCTTCTCATCTATCATCACGGTATAAGATAAAATGATCCAATAGTCCAACGGGCTATTGTAAAAACTTTATCACGTGGCATTATCGAATGCCGCCACATTCATATCGATGAATCTAAAAGTCACGCGACATTTTATACGGCTAGTGCAACTAACGATTGAAATGAAAACCATATTATTATATGTGATACCAAAGTAAGGTAATAATCCCATGGATACACGATGTAGAAAATGCCATCTCTATATTATATTTTTTTCTACGTGGTGCACGGTTAATGTATAAATTATTGTAAAAAAATTGTCTGCTACAAGCGCTAGAGCCCTTATTTTCTATGAGGTGGGTTATTCAATTTTAGTAGTCGTTGGGTATAGTCTTCTAATGGGCTTAACACAGATGTTATATATGTCGTAATAACGCATTATTAGCAAATAGCTAGAGAGGCTCTGTAACTAGAATGTGTCTAACTGTTTTTATCGTTGTTTCATATTATAGTGTTAGTGTTTAGTATAGACCCGGCATTAGAGGTAGAACATTAAAATTATCGCGAAATGGCATCACCCATAATGGGTAACCAATAGAAAATGGTTCCCTAGTTGGCCACTCTCCTATTATATAGGCATTACGATTTATTAGCTGCAATATCAGTATCCATATCTATTATAATTACACGCTATCATTAATCGTAGATTGGTTATCGTAGATCGAATGGTTATCATTAAATTTCATATTTATAACTCACTGCTTATATTGTAGCACTCCCGGTGGAACACAGGATTAACTAAATAATTGTGATCTACAAAAACAATACTACCGCGATGGTAGTTAAAAATATACAGGGTGATTATTTTATCGTTAAAAATTCGTTATTTTGCAAAGTGTAGAATTTTTTCCAAAAAAAAAAGTTTTGAAAATTTAAGAAACAAGCAGATCTATAATGTTAAAATTCTTTTTCACCCTTATTTTTGGGGGCGAAATGACTGCAAATTTTGATTTTTAAATGGTACCCTAGGTTCAAAGTTCCATATTGTATAGATAGAGTATTAGTTTAAATATACATTTTGGTGTTAAAATGTTTGATTTCCATCAACCCGTTCACAAGATATTCCACTTTTAAGTTTGGATAGGGTTCGTGTTAATTCTTTGAATACTGATACAGAACTAGTGTCCACTTGTCAAGGCTATGATACGTATTTCTACCATGTTTTTTTTTAACAAATCCGATGCGCATGCGATTGTTGGACGCGTGGTCCGTGTCCTTGAGATGTCATTCGATTTTCAGTGACGCCGTTTCTGAGCGTGTGAAATGGATATGCGGACAGCAGACGCTTCATCAAAGGCCACTTCATCGCGGATTAGTTCATCGCGGATTAGTTCATCGCGTAAAGACACTTTATCGCGTGTGACACTTCATCGCTTCAAATTACAGACTTAAAGTGACTGTTGATAGTGATTGACAGGGATTATTCATTAGTCCGAATTAAATTAATTTTAAAACATTTCCGATCTAATCATTAAACGAACGATACGAATAGATTAGAACATTTTCATTTATATTTCACGTATTAATGTTAACATTTTTCATATTTTGTTAATCATCAAATGTATGTTAACATCAATACATTATTGATCTGAATTTTGTTTCAGCTATTAAATTGGTCCTGTGTCGATCTTTACAGTGGCTTTTGAATTATATATATTATAAATATATATTACTTGGTATAGAGTGAACCACATGATTATGTTTATAGACATCGTTAAGGGCTATAGATGGATACTTTTTTACCCTATGAATTTGTTTGGGGTAGCAAGGGTGTCGTTTTGTTATACCAACAGAATTCTTGAATTTTGAAAATGTGTTAATTATATTCTCATATTTTTTGTCCAAGTCGTGGTGAAAATGATTAAAATAGTAACGTAGTACTAAGAAGCAGGGAAAAATATCATGGTCGAAATAATTTTTGATTGGTGATGTGTACAAAATAATAATATTATATTATATTCTATGATAGTGTGATAACGTCAATTATTTTTTCCTGTGCGAGTTGTTTAATGATACAACCTATAAATGTATTTCTATAATAATATTTTTTTAATACTGTACTAGAAAAAATAAATTAACTAGAATTAAAATAAGCGGCCAAATTAAAAATAATTAGGTCGGTATTTTTGTTAACTAGTAAAAGTTTAAAGTTTGAATTAATTTTAATAAGAGAGCAATAAGCCAATAAGTTTAAAGGAATACTTGTAACCAGTCTACTCTTCTTAACACGCAGTTCTAAATAAAAAAAGGGCAGTTTTTATTTAAATTTTAAAATGGCAAATTTGAGTTTAAATATTGACAACAATGTAATGGCGTGACATTAACTATATTTGAATATACAGGGTGCCTTAAAAATTTAATATTTTATTTTCATAGTTTAATAACCTAAAAATAATTATTTTTATTTTTCCACTTTTTAACATATATGGCCATTTTCTAAAAATATATTACTCTAAACATTTTAACGTATCGTACATTGATATCCGATTAATAGTTACTTATTAGTTATAGCGTAGCTTTAATGAAGAATAGAAAATGGGCGTAAAAACAATATGTTCATATTTGCTAGAAGATAAGAAATTACGGTGCTGATTGTGATTCCTTATCGCATAACTTGTTATTCTATTGAAAATTAATTGTTTTTGCGCCAGTTATCTGGAAATTAAAACGACTATCACTAAGAGACTATTGATCGGGTGTGCTATATTCAAATTTTTAGAACAATATCTTTTAAAAAATGATTATTTTGAAAAGTGATAAAATAAAATGTTTCAACAATTATGGGATGAAAATAAACACCTGATTGTTCTCTGTACACAAATGTCCCCTTCTCCTTTTGGAGATTGACCGCGGGACAGTAAAAAAAAAAGAAAAAAAAAAAAAAGTCGCTTATACGTTATTCCTGGTCAACAGAACTTCGTCTTCGTCAAAGTTTCGGTAGGTCGCGTTCGGCAGAGTTTTCGGCGGGAAGGGGTGACAAACAGCCATCCGTCTACCCGGACGAACTCTGCGCACTATTACGGGACAGTACAGTAGGTTACAGTGACAGCGCCGGGCTTTATGCGGCCGTCGTCGTGACGTTTGAATTGAAAACTCCGACCGTTGCCGCGCGCGTGCCCGTAATTGAAAATTATTATTTAACATTGCCGTGTCCGTATGAACGAAACAAAAATTATAATAATAACAGCTACAAGAACAATATTCGATTATTCGCGTACAGCGCGCGCGTGTGCACGTGCACGGGCGGCGTACGTATACCCGCGCGTATTAATTTCGTCGGCCGAAAATCGATTCGTTCTCATTTTCGTCCCGCGCGAATCGCATTCCAATACGTTTTTTCGTTATTATTATTATTATTATTATTTGTATTGATTACGTTTCGTCGCGATTTACAATGGCGGCGGCGGCGGCGGCGGCGGCTTGTACCGCGCATCACGTGCGCGCCGGATACGCCGTTAATTACGTTTTTCGTACATACACGCGCGCCAAACACGCAGCGGCGATCATAATTTTACACAATAATAACAATAATACGCGATTTCGATTATGTGCGGTATGTACAATCAACTGTGCGCACAGGGTTCAACGTTCAGACCCCGGGTGTTGCTGTGTGGTGTGCACACTCGCGATGCCTGCAACACCTGGACGTACAATACGAACAGCGTTACAACATACGTTTCGAGTTGATCGCGGCGCCTTAAGAAGATGGGGGCGGGTAAGAAGTCGTGTGCGGACCGGTCAGGTATGGATCGCCGTGGATCCATCACCACCGTCGCCCGCCCGTCACGTGATGGGCGACGGCCGCCACATCCTCCAAGCCGCTGGTTTCGGCGTCACCGTGTACACGGTGTACGGATTTCGAAAGCATTCGATCGGGCGGTTTCACACCGACCCAATAACAGCTATCGCTTTTTTAACAAATATGCGATTTTACAAATACGGACCTTACGATACAGTTTCATGATCTCGTGTCGATACTATCGTTCGGCCGGAAAACGGCTTTGTTGGTTTCTGTTCTATAAATTCTAACAAAGAGTTGGGTGGGTTTTTTTTTTTTTTTAATTTTCTCAAAATATAATTGTATCCCCCGAGGTTTTTTTTATTTTTGCATTTTTATTCGCAATTTAAGAGGCGGACGCAATAACCCAGGCGCAATTTCCATCTTTTTTTGCATATTCTCATATAAAAAAAAAAAAAATAAATCTCCGTTGATTGGTGCAATAAACAGATATATCCGGCCGTTAAGTACGAAAGTATAATACAAATGGAAATGTGTTTTTTTTTTTTGTTTTTTTTTTTGCAATAACAATTAAGACATCTCCGGGGATGTCTGGATTTTTCCTACGGCCATAATATATACGCCCGTTATAATTTAATAGCGTCCACGGATCAAATGGATTTTAGCTCGTAATATTCAATTTTATAATATTTATCGATACAATCCGATGATAAGAAATTACGTGCCGTCAGTATAATATTATTTTAAGTACGTGTTTTAAATGTATTCAATCGTTTTTATAATGATAATACGTAATTAGCGTTTCAAAACCCGTACATTAATAATAATTCTCCTAAGAACAATTAATATTATAAGATTGTAAATATATTAATCATTTGTGTACGTTTTGTTTGTGACGCAGTTATAGTCGAGTCATGGGCAAGATGAGCGGCTCGGTGGTGATCAACGTGAAACGGCCCGTTTTCCAGCTGGAAGATCTCAACGAGGGGTACCGCAACAGCAGCGGCCCGGAGATCGACCTGGAAGTGTCGACGAAACGGAAAAAAGTAGCCAAGCTCAAGTGGTCGGATGCCAAGACCGTGGTGCCGGCCATCGACTGGCTATTCACCAACTACCAGTGGTCCGACGATTTCGTCAAGGACTTCGTTGCCGGCTTCACGGTGGCCGTGCTCAACATACCGCAGGGCATGGCGTACGCGATGCTCGGCAACGTCGAGCCGACCGTTGGTCTATATATGGCCATACTTCCGGTTATCGTGTACAGTCTGATGGGCACGTCCAGGCACGTGTCCATGGGATCGTTTTCGGTGGTGTGCCTGATGACCGGCAAGGTCGTAAACGCGTACGCCAACCAGAACAACAACGGCAATGTCCTCTCGGCCGGGGCGGGCCCGTTTCCGTTTACCCCGGACTCGGTGTCGTTATTGCAGCAAGCCCGTAACGATTCGTCAGTGGTCACGGTGGCCGCCACCGTCGCTGCCACGGCCACCACCACGTATACGCCGATCGAGGTGGCCACGGCCGTCACTCTCATGGTGGGCCTTATACAGATACTGATGTACGTGTTCCGGCTGGGCGTGGTGTGCACGATATTGTCCGAGACGCTGGTCAGCGGTTTCACGGCCGGCGCGGCCGTACACGTGGTCACGTCCCAGATGAAAGAGTTGCTGGGCGTTAAGATCGAAAGTCACAACGGGCTGTTCCAGATCGTGCTCACCTACTACGACATTGTCAACAGTATAACCAACATCAATTTGGCCACTACCGCAGTGTCCTGCATCACGGTGGCCCTGTTGCTCATGTACAACTTGTACCTGAAAGTCATAATCAACAAACGGCTCATCATACCTGTGCCCATTGAACTGCTCACAATCATAATTGGCACGCTGCTGTTTCAGTTCTCCACGTTCTCGAATGATTACCATATAAAATTGGTGAGTACTTTCCATTATTGTCACAGGTACAATTTACGGTCATTAAAGTCAGTAGTATATTATCGTATGATATAAATAACTCGTGAAAAAAAAATCCCTTGTCATTTGCTCTGACAACTGATTAAATATTATAACATGTTATATACCACAATAATATTCACATTTGACAAAATTTCAAAAAATTATTTAAAACCAAAGACCATACCAAAACAAAAGTTTCAACTTCCAAACATTTTTTAAAAATCTATTTTACAAAATGACAATTTTGAATTTTTTTTTTTTTAAACTATAGTACAATTTAAATCCTAAAAAAAAAAAAATTGTATTGGCTGTAGCGCAAAGGCATAATAATTATTTAAATCAATATCGAACAGAAAAAAAGTTATTTCAAGTGTTAGACCATCGTGGGACACCCTGTAAATATATGCTCCAGGGCCTGGTGTATACGACCGGTTTCGACCATCATTAAGTAAAAACAGAACAAAGGCGAAAAATAATACTCGACTGAATATAAAATCAAAATTATGAATAAATAAAAACGAGTGAACCAATTCTATTTGAAGAGATTGTAAAATGCGACGATATGACACAAATTTAAGAAGTTTCGTTTCCTGTGCAATAAATAATAATTTTCCTCATTTATACGCAACAATCATCATTTTGATTTCACATGCAGTCGCGTATTATTTTTTTCGCCTTTGTTCTCGTATGACGATTTTTTGAAATGGTAACACACGATTTTTATTATACTCCAGGCTTTGTTTTGTTATTCTCATAACAATTTATTTATTTGTTTTGCATACATTGCTATTTTTTCCGCCTGTAAACAACATTTCTAACAGACAATTTTCTCCGATATATCAATAGTGTAGCATTTTTTCTGAAAACAAGAATTTCCTAGTTGATGTTAGTAAATAGGTCATTTTTTTTTTTTGATTTTCCAAGGGGTTTTCAAAAGAATTGAGAAAAACCAAAAATAAATTATAGAAAAAACGGCAAATATTTACGGAGCATTATCGATATTATTGTTTTTTATTTTTTACTAACTATGTTTTCTATCAGAATATTGCTTTAATCAAAAAATGCTAATAAGTGACCTTTTTTTTTTATTGAATTTTAGATCTAGTTGCTCACGAAGTAATTTTGTGAATTTTAAAGCAGTTTTTTTTTTAAAAATAATTGAGTAAAACCGACAAAAAAAACGTAGAACAAATGGGTAAGTTTACGAAAATAATGGTTTTATTATTTTCAATTTTGTTTTTTTGTTGTAATTCAGTTTAAAATATCCGTAGAAACTTAAAATTACGATAGGAAACTTGTATTTGCCTTTTCTAGACGTGGTAAAATTTGTAAACAATTTTAGCTATTTTTTCGAGTTATTTATACGTAGTTTTGTATATCATTGTTTGACCTAGCAGAAATGCTTGACAATTTAACAGGAGGCTTATTATAAATTGTCGAAAAAAAAAAAAAAAAATGTAGACGTAATATAGTTATTTTGTTTCTATAATTATTGTTTTAAGATCAAGTATTGAATAAAACCGTAAATATCACGGTCTTACAAATCATGTATGAACGAACTGCGAAACAGATTCGTTTTTCGTTAGTAATAGTTCATCGTTGCCCATTACAGATGTAAATTGATTAGCTTTATGTATCCGATACATTTTAAACTTTTCGCCTACAACAGTGGTGCACCCATCAGCAGTATCGGGTGTTTTTATTTTTTTTAATAATTTATCGATTACGAATTCGAAAATGTTGAAAATCTTTTCACCGCAGTATCGTAGACCAACGACGTTGAAAATCGCACGATATAATTGAAACTAACCCCGTTATATAATTATAGACATATTACCGTGTTATTATAATAATTTTATATTATATTTCAATAATATTTCTATGCAATCGACTGTTCACGATGTGAAACGAATTAAACGTATACCGAGTTCATTACTCGTGCACCATTCTCGATCAGTAATAACGCGTTTGACGTGTGCGTCCGGTTCGTAAACATTATCGTATACCTATGTAATTAAATATTAATAATTATTATCGTTCGAAAAATCCAATGATTCCAAAGTACAATATTTCGTCGAGAATTAAATTGTCTGTAGCGAAAAAAAAAACAGTTTTAAACAGCAAAGGTCCGTGACACTAGCGTCGATTTCCTTCTCCCACGAAGATATGAACGTTGTGATATCTCGGAAAGTATTAACTGTTTTGTAATTTTTTTTTTTATTATTATAATTTAAGAAACAAGTATAAATCTAAAATGTTACATTACAAACATTTTTTGTCACTCTTTTTCAGGAGGTGAACCGACTACTTACTTTTGGTTTTCAAACGGTAACCTATACTGTTTGTAAGTTTTGTCAAATGCTTGTTGGTTAAATTATCAAAAAAATTGTGAATAAAAGTTAATAATTTTCGAAATATCATAATGGCCTCGTAACGGCCGGACACCCTAAATTGTAAACAATTAGCTTAATTTGAGAGGGAGGGTTTTGTAGTGTTGCAAAAAGCTAAAAAAATCCCTCCTCCCGCAACAGCACGGTCAAATCACATTTTCTAAATTCAACTCAACTTTTATTACATCAATCCACGTATAAAACAAATTTTAATTACCAAGTTTGAGTTGATTTAGTCCAGACGGAACCGCGGTTATAGAAATGTATAAAAGTAACGAGAAATATATATTTATAAAACGACACAATAAAGGGCAATTGTCGTTATTTTGGGGAAAAAAAAAAATGAAACTAAAGCTCTCTAATTGAATCGCCAGTAACGCCTTAAATGCACCTAAACGCTCATCTCTATAGTGATTTTTGAAATAATTTCAATTGTAAATTTTGTTCATGAAACATAGACTTTGCAATCTTTGGAACCGTTTATTGGTGTTCGCAATGATTCGCCGTTGCGCATACATAGACTTAATTACCCTATTCTCACCTGCAGCACAGGATTTTCCCTAGGTGTGAAGCATTTACCTATTTATTTATGATGTTTAAAATACCGGGCGAAAGGCAACGAAACTATATCACTGCCTAGGTCTGCGATTTAATAGTATACAAATTAAATGCTCGCATAATGTATACGTTACGATGTGTATTTTGCCTTTTTCCAGATTGGTGAGATCCAACGGGGTCTGCCTGACTTCAAACCGCCGCCGGTGAATTTGTTGCTGAGCGTGATAACGGAAAGCGTGATAATCGCCATCGTCGCCTATTCGGTGACTATGTCCATGGCCTTGCTGTTCTCGGAGAAACTCAAGTATTCGATCGACACGAATCAGGAACTGCTGGCGCAGGGCTTGGGCAACGTGTGCGGTTCGTTCTTCTCGTGTCTACCGTTCGCCGCATCACTGTCCCGGAGCGCCACGCAGCAGACGGTCGGCGGCAAGACCCAGATGGCCAGTATCATATCGGCCAGCCTGCTGGTGGCCGTGGTCATGTGGATCGGCCATCTTTTTCAACCCCTACCCCGGTGCGTGTTGGCCAGCATCACCATAGTGGCTCTCAAGGACATACTGCTCCAAGTCAGGGACATTGTGCGCATCTGGCGTACGTCCAAAGTGGACGCCGCCATCTGGCTGGTCACGTACCTGACGGTGATTCTGGTCGAGATCGACGTGGGCCTGCTGGCCGGCGTGCTCGTGTCGCTGTTCTTCGTATTCAGCCAAGGCATCGGCAGCGGCGTGTACGTGCTCGGCCGGATACCCGACACGGATCTGTACGTGGACGCAGAACGGTACCGGCGAGCGGTCGAGGTGCCCCGGATACGGATCCTGCATTATTCCGGTAGCCTGAACGTGACTAACCGGAACGTGTTCAAGAAGAAGATCTACAGCAACCTGGCCAGATACGACGGCGAACTGGCGCCCATCACCATATCGATAAACGACGGCAAGGAGACGATGGTCAAGACGCAGTGCGTGATATTCGACTTGGCCGGCATGCACTACATGGACACATCCGGGCTGTCGGCGTTCGCCCAGGTGATCGACCAGCTCAACGAGGCCGGCCTGTCCGTGTACGTGGCCGCCGTGTCCGGTAACGTATACGACTGCATGCGGTTCCAGAGGTTCAGCACGGTGCACTTTTTCCCGTCCGTGCACGACGCCGTAGAATTTTACAAAAGCCATGAAAGCTACTGCAGCTGATGCGGACGTGCCCCCTCGGTGCCCGACCCGTACTAGCCTCCCCCCCCCCGCCCGACAACGCCCGGACGGGACTATCCGTTACCTGTATTTATAAATATATACAAACGTGCGCGACACGTCTGCCGGCGCAGCGATGACCGGAAGACCGATTCGTATTCTCGAACCGAAACAATAAAAAAAAAAAAAATCGCGATATATTTTTTATTATTATTATTATTTTTTTACCGAACTCGTCGCGATCGCAATCCGTTCGCGGCCGTTTGTGCGAATTTACAACATTATTATTTGTCGATTTTTTTCGTCGCTCTCTTCGTGTGTAAAACGGCCGGATTTCGTTGCATGTTAAATTGTTTGTCTGCACTTTCTCCTCGCCCCCTCCCCCAATTTCGAGTAATCGTGCATTTGTGCGTAGGTACGCATAATGCGCTATTATATTTTAATCGGGGGGGGGGGAGGCTGTTTCGAGTATTTTTTAACGCGTCGAATAACATCACGACGGCTACGAAATACGGATTCGGCCGTAAAATCGCCCGAATATACCGGATGCCGGAGACTCCGTCGTTTCACCAAGTTGCAATTCGTTTGATGTACTCGACTGCGCCGGCGCAGTATTCCGCATTCGATTCTTTCTTTTTCTTTTTTTTTTTCTTCTTTCTATAGTTCCTATATACATAATAATATTGTATAAAATATGGCCGGTAGAGTGTAGTGTAAATTATTTTTTTTTTACGGGAGCCTATCGGCGGCGCGTTTACGTTTACCAATCGAAATCGGCACCGTATAGCGCTGAATGTAGGGACCCGTCGCCGCTGAATCCACTACAAGCGCCTATTGTAAATTCAGTACTCCGTTACAATATAATAATAATGCAATAATCGTTTTACATTTTCGCCAGTCTTATTCAACTACACAATCGTGTATGCGTATTTGAATGCATTAATTCCCCCTCCCCTCCCCTATGATACGTTACTGATTTTTCGTTGTGTAGATAAATGACTACCTATCGTAATAGCTATGACTTTTTTTTTTTTTTTCCCAAAAAGTCGATGTCTTACTGGTCGCCCATTAAAATGTTAAAAAATAATTTTCCGATCGTACAAAATAGGAGAAAATTTTGAAAACCCGGACTCCTTTTACTTTTGTACCCGATAAAGGATTTTCCCCAACCATTGTCGAACTGTTCCACTTATTCCACGCTAACCGACTCACTTCTCGCGGTCCGATCAATTTACCATCACAAGCACAATACAATTGGATCAACAATCAGATTTCCACGTCTTTCATCATCAATACCGTCACCCCATCACGGTTACTGGGCTCGTGGGAGGGGGAACTGTTAAAATATCGAAAAAACGCCTCGTATGTATACGACATTAGTACGTAGCGTATCTTTCATCATAAAATGACGATTGAAAATTAATATTGAAGTACCTGTAAAATTATACGCCATCAAGAGTGTATAATTGCGGGTACATGTGCGTTATTGTGATTTTTGTTCAGACTTTCCCATTACGTTTCAGCTCGTTTTATGAGAATAATTTAAATCGCGTTATTGTTTTTTTTTTTTTTTAAATTTGATTTCTCAATTCATCACCCGGGCGTCACGGTCGCGCGCCCGGCTATGTCACACGCGTCCATCTCGGCGACATTATTTTCGGAATATAACGTTGTGAAATTCGATATAATATGTAAAAAAAAAAAAAAAACGACTCGTCATCTCGGATGATAAACCGTATTTTTATAATTTTTTTTTTTTATAACGAATACGTGTACCAGCGTGACATCGCGCGTAATACTTGCGCGTTCATCGTGCAACGATATTTACTCGTGTCTCGGTGTAGAGGCGAGATTACCGCAAACACAACGACGGCACTCGTGCAGCAAAAAATTGAAATAAAAGGCCTAAAAAAAAAAAAACCTAGTTATAATATCCGAAAATAGGGACTGCGGTTGGGACGCGCGATTTATTCACATTTAATCAGTGGCGTACCCAGGACTTTTCGATAGATTAAAGAAAAAAACAATTTTTTTTTGAAAAACCCCCTAATTATGTTGGTCCCGACCGTTCGTCATGTTTTTGTGTTTTGGCCGTCGTCGAGAGGATCGACTGCGAATCGGTTGTTCACAGGTAACGTACGAATCGGTTCTTACGAGTTTTCATAATGACCATAAAGCTGTATACATTCAATTGACTGTTTTAAAAATTGATTTTGTTTTGTTTTTTTGTTTTTAAATTATTACCATATATGTTCGACCGATAACAATTTCCCTACTATGTTTTCACAGACCAGGACTGTCTAGAACACTTAGGGTACGGTTAAAAGCGTTTCAGTTCTCCGAATCATAGTTCTGTGATTGCAGATGATTTGTACACGTTGGGAACCAATCCGTACACTTTATTTGACTCGGTAACCAATTCCGTTTATTACCCGTCGAGAAAATACTCGATTTATAAAAAAAAAAAATAAAAAATACCCCCCTCACCGTTTATTCCGCCTCTAACGAAGACGTTCGTTAAGAATGATATTATTATTGTTTACGGGTTTACACTAACCTGATAACCACCCTCTCCCCGTTTATTCCGCCCCTAACGAAGACGTTCGTTAAGAATGATATTATTATTGTTTACGGGTTTTCACCGTCCTGATAACGTGATAAACTTATTCGTTAATATTTTGTAATAATTTTATTTCTAGTTAATTATTATCATTCCCGTTGTGATTTTTAGTTAGATATTATTACATAATTTATTATTATCTATTAAATTATATATTCTTTATAGAACAATGTTATATTATATTTAAACATTTTTTTTTTTTTTATATATAGATTTAAGTACCATATGATATATTTTTTTATTACAATAATATTGTTATATAGCGCGCTGTTATACATTCCGTTATTTATTTTCTTTTTGGACAGGGTTACCTAATATAATATTATTATTGTATGTTGTTGCGATAACGCCGTTTTTTACTGTTTTGTAAGCTTGTTTATTCTTTATAGAACAATGTTATATTATATTTAAACATTTTTTTTTTTTTTTTGTATCAGTTTTACGGATATCATATTATACAGAGTTCGCGCGCCACCGAGGCTGCAGCAGTACATGTTGTTTCGTCCTATTCGATATTAATGATATCAGGTCTATTTATTTCGTCTCGAAATCGTTATTTATGGAATATTGTTTATTTTGTATTAATATAGTTTTATACCCTCTTACATAATATAATATTATTGGACAGATCAAAAATGTACTCATTGTATACACTTATTATTATATTATTGAAACGTTATGTGTAACATATATACGATAGTGTAATATGGTTTTTTCTTTTTGTTTACCGCTAACGTGATTTTTATATTTTATTGTTTTATTTTATATATATACGATACATAAGAAATAATAATAAAAAAAAAAAAAAAAAAAAAAAAAAAAAAACAAATAACATATTTAATATATAAATCGTAATACGAAATATGCATACGTACATATTTGTTGATTGTTGTCGTCGTTCGGTGATTTTATCGTGTACAATACGCATTACACGTATTCGATTCACATTCGTATACGCTTATGGTACCGTTCCTATCTATAAATACACAACCTAACCCGTCGAATGCACAGAAAGTCCGTATGAGAAATATCCTTGGTAGCCGTTTGTGAGACGACCTTCACCGTGACGCTTAGACGATGAAATAATAATAATTTTCATTTTTAGATTTCAGCGAAGCGCCAGTCGGCTGTATATAGGTATACATATAGTACCATTAGTACCTACAAAATGGTGCACGAATGCCAAAAAAGTGAATCGGAGCGCGAATCGTTTTCGCGCTTTGATCGCGTCGTCGGTTTTGATACGATACTCACAAAAATAGTTTTTTTTTTTTTTTGTAAATCGTTTGTTTCTACAAAAATATAATTCGACTCGTTTTTCGATTCTGAGTGAAGCGAGATGAAATGTATCGATTGTACTAAATGTACTGCATGATGTGTCTTTATTCTTCGTGTCTGTATAAAGCTTTTCTATTCTCTATTGGAAAATTTAAAGGAACTTTCTTGTATAATTTTCGATCTAGTTGGCGCATTTAGGAAAATCATTTTTTCCTTGTGATTTTTTCTTAATAAATCGAAAAAATTGGCCATTTTTGTTGTTTTCTGGGTTACTCAGAGAACAGGAGAAAAATCGCCCTTCCGACTTCCCTTCTAAAACAATGGCACATCCATCAGTAATATCGTCCTTTTTTTTTTTTTTATTCTATAGAATAAATTCAAGTAGCAATTTCAAGCGTAGAGAAGAAATAAGGACAACGTGAGTGAGAGTGTGGGGGAAACTTGCATAAATTAACATCACTATAACATTATAATGATAAATCAAAAGTGAAATGAATACGTTGCACATACAGTATAGTAATATGTTAAATTGTGAAACCGACATGATACAAAAAAAAAAAAAAAAAAAAAAAAAACATGAACAAATACCGTGTAGATAATTACAAAAATTGATGATGATGTAGAGTTATAAAGATTACACGTCGGCCGGCCGCGGTTAATCTCGGAGGATTATACAACGCGATAATATGAAGAAAACGAAACGAAAAAATTGTTGACGAGGATGACTAAGTATACAAGTATACAGCGACCCGTTTACAACAATACCTATGTACGTGAAGTCGTAATATCTACATAATGAATATTATTGTCACGATGACGATGTTGCGAATATTCTAGAAGCCGACGAAATCAGGACTGATAAGGAAATTATTGTATGACGGACGTGAATTTTGGTAAGGGTTCTTAAGGCGTAATATTTGCCGGTATACCCACCGGAGTGGCGTACGATTTTGGACTCTAATAGTTTTACGGTTCGCGAATTTCGGCTTTGTATAAGGTTCCTAGATAATGTTTTACTAGGGAACAATTCGAATTTTTTTTTCGGAGAAAAATCAATACTAACGTAATGTATGTTTGTATCGAAAATGTATAGTTTATAATTCTTTATAAAAATAATACAACTTCAAAAATAATAATCTATTTTTGATTAATTTTGTATGTTTTGTAGTGTTTACACCGGGATAAAATAAATAAATCCATAATAAGATATCCAGAGACCGGTATTATTACACTCGATAATTGCAATACAATGGCTGACGACTCATTGGGCTTTTATTGTGCCAGACGGGGTTCCTGTACTATAGTGGTTTGATTTGGAGTTGTGCGATTGGTTAATTTGGTCGGGGTACCTACTGCTGTCAGGTCCATTGATAGTGGTTTCGGTAGGGGTTCTTTTTTTGAAAATGGATTTTTTAACTTGCTATGATCTGCAGATCTTATATTTTCGAATAAATATTTTTGTAGAATAGTACTTTAGCTTATTCTCTGATTGTTTTTTACATTTTCGTAAATTTTGTCAATTCGACATTTTAGATTCTGAGCGTAGCGAGTGAGCCATTGGTTTTACTAAGATGTTTATTTCTAGTCTGTGGACACGTTTTTTCTAAGAAACTTGCTCCAATTTTTACGTGTAGCCACTATTCTGAAAGCTCAAATTGTCTAGATGTTACTTTAGAGAATTAATTTTTTGATTTTCGACACCATTTTTTTAATAAATGCACTTAAGTAGAAAAAAAACCGTAGGAAAACGAACAATTTCACGATTTCAATATTTTATAAAAACATGGACAACGTTTCTATTAGAAAAAATAATTTAATCGAAAAATCACAAGATTCATTTTTTTGTTGCTTTTTTGATTTAATTTCTTATGATATTATCGCCAAAATTTTTGAGCCACTTTTGAGCTTTTAAGGAATTTTAACTTTCGGGAGTTTTTTGCTGCGATTCGGTTATAAATAGACGTAGAGACTTGAAACTTTGTAATAATACTTATATTAGACTTACTTAGACGTAATAAAATTTTCAAAGTGATTGAACGACTTTTTTTTTTTTAATGAGCGTTTTGAAATCAAATTTAAACGAAAATAGCAAACAAAATTACGCACTTCAATTACCAAACTGTGCTCTAAATCGTCTTTCGTCAAGCAATGGTTTATCGTCGCTTACAGATATAAATGAAATAACCTTATGTATCCTACCTTCCCAACTTCTCAACTACAACAGTGGTCGCTCCCATCCCCAGTATTAGCTCTTTTTTAAATTCCATTTTTCTACTTATAATACTGAACTGTAGCCGTGAAAAAACACTATAAATAAATTGTTGCAAAACTTATGCAAGCTGCAGATAAAACTGCCATGGAATGATATTCCATAATATATCAGTGACGGAATGCAATTAAGATAAAATCGAATAAATGGCAAGTATATCGATGTGGGCGTAGCGTATCAACGAACTAAAAATTGTTGGAATTGGTATCGCACCGTGCGCCATCATATAAAGATCAGCAACGTTCCACGATTTTAAAGCGCTTTTATTAAAAATATTTTGGCGTATATAACGGACTTTAATTTTGAGCGTAAGTGGACAACAAAAAAGGTGTGATGAGCGCATGTGGGTTGCGCCGGCCGACGGTAAAAGTAGAGGGACTTTAAATTATTATTAGCGGATTTGAACGGCAAGGTTAGACGGAATCTTTTTTTTTTTCATAGTTTTAAATACACTGACTAAATAGATTTCGTTTCATTCGTTACACATATTGTATAATTATTGTACAATACTATAATGTATACAATATTATTTGATTTATAGACAACATATTTTGCATTTTCGTAACTTATTGGTTTTGTTTTCTACGAATACCGAACGAAAATCCGGACGGATGTGACGTCGTGTTTTTGTTAAATTTACTCGCACCCCTAATTCTCTATTTTTTATATCAGATTTTTTTTTTTTTTTTCAAATCATAAATGTTTGTTCGTTTATTCGTGTCGCAAGATTTTGTATATTAACAAAATGTTATAAGTATAATTGTGTTTGTATTTATATTTATTATAACTTATGAGGTACAGGTGCGGGTTAGATGCCGTACGTGCTGCGCAGTTTTTATTTGCGCTAACAGGCTTGTGCACAAAATATGTGATTCGTCCAAATATTTAATCATCGTCGTGTATACCTAACGGGTACATAAACGAAAATACTCGAACACAAATTGTATTTACACAAGTGACTATTGTGACTTATTCGAGTTCTGTAGGGGCCTATATACTTGGAAATTTTTTCTGCAGTAAAATAACACAAATGTTTGAACGCGTGTGTAAACAATTTCTTGATGTTGTTTTAGCCAAACAATGGGCATGCGATGACCGATATATTTTTAAAATCGCGATTATCATTTACCTATTGTCCATACTTACCTTTGAGGACCTGTGTAACTAAGGGCAGCGGCAGGGTGGCTTCACACTTATACACGTGTTTGTAGCTTACCCAAATCTATAAAAATTATTACTGAGTAGTTGATATTTTAGCGACCAAGGGGCGAGGCGATCCGCCGCCGCCGTCGGTAGGTTCAAGTCCCAGTAACTATAAAAATCCAAATCACGACTGTAAGTAAATTAAATAAAAAATATTTTTAGAGTGTAGGCATACTATCGTTTACGGTTTATACGTCCTTGTTTCGATTTCAAAAATCATCTTCAGGTGATATTATAAAGCATATTTTCACGTATTCTTAATTCTGAGTGTAGCGAATAAAGACTTATATTTTATTTTACTATGATGTTTTCTTTCTATCTTGTGATTTTTCGATTTTTTTTTGTAGAAAACGTTGTCCATATTTTTTATAAAATAACGAAATCCTGAAATTGTACGTTTTCCTACGTTTCTTTCCACTTAAGTGCTTTTATTTAAAAAAATGGCGTAAAAAATAACCTCTTCAAAGTACAATCTAGACAACTCAGGCTTTCAGAAAAGTTTCTACACGTGAAAATCGGAGCAAGTTTATTAGGAAAAAAACGTGTCCACAAACTAGAAGAAGAAAAAAGAAATAAACATCTTAGTAAAACCAATAGCTCACTCGCTAAACTCGGAATCTAAAATCCCGTTGGATATAATATTCATGAAAATATAAAAAGATGGTTTCGTTCGAGTGGCCACCGGCCGAAGTCAACGGACTTTTAATTATTATTAGCGGATATCAATGGATCAAGGTTACTTTATGAAATATTTTGTAGTTTTGTATATATATACTGTTGTAACTAGTAAGTACCATAAATTCGTTTTCGTTTCATTCGTGTTTGTACAAAATATTGTTTGATTTATAGATAACGTTGTGGATATTTTCAGACCGGGTTTTTTATATTCAAATAACTGAGAGAACAGATTACTGTATCTGAGCGCTCGTCAACAGGCACGTAGCCAAGATTTTCTTTTGAGAGGAGGGGGTCCAGGCATAGAATTTATCATCAACTACCAATAATTGTACCAATAATCTGATTTTTTGGTGAGAAGCTTAAATTTCGGGGGGGGGGGGGGAGGGGTGTCCAGATCCCATGGACTTCTCCGGCTATGTCACACGGTAGTGTGCCATGCCAAGTTCTAGCCTTTAAATGAATCAATTCACCCGGTTTTTCTCGCCCTCAAATCTTTGTTTCCAGATTTAAGAGTAGGATCGTCCTAATAGTATGAAAAATGATTTTCATAAATCTTATTTTTTATTTTCATTTTTAAATTCTAAGCAGATGAATATTGTGTATGCATTAATTGAATTATTTACGCGTTACAAGCGCAATTCGAGATCGATAGAAAAAATAAACACAAATGATTTTTAAAACTCGGTAATGACGAGTGCTGCTGCGGTATAATTTTATTTAAATATTATTTATGTGTTTCTTTAAATCTGCAGTAGCGCTGCTTTAACGAATGCCATTATTCCAGTTTTCGTGTGAAATTCATCAAATAAAATAACAATTATTATTGTAAAACGCGGTAAAAATGAAGCCGTGGACGGTATTTATTTATTTTATTTTTTTAAAATAATTTCCGCAGTTCGTTTAAAAGAACAATGATACTACTCTCTCTGTTCAAAAACTAACGAACAACCACAGATATTATCGCCTACTCCGTACATTATTGTATACTCAAATACTACGTCAACCGCCATTTGCACGCAGTTCAATGTTTATAAACCTGATGTTATCAATTCAAGCGATAAGTAAACGACAAACATTTTTAAAACTATGTTTTTAATTATTGCCCGATTTTTTTAAGCTGAAATAGGCGAAAATATAGTATATAACCTACATCGTTTAGTTAATTTAATTTTCGATTTCATTTGTTTTTTGTGTTAAGTGCATGTATTGGTGTGTTGGTGTGCTCTACTGCTCTAATAGTATTAATTCGTGTACGAGCCGTTCAAAACCATCATTATATTTCTAATTTTTCGGTATTATCTTTATACTATTATCGAAACATGCATTATTTATTATCTTTTATTAATAAGAATAATGAGGTAAGCAAATTTTTGAAAATCGAAATTGTAAATTTGGTAAATTTGCATACGAAAAATGTTTAATCACGCGCCGCTTTATCGATTCTTGCTAACGCTACGCGCTGTAATATTAGCAACTTAACGTCTTAACCCGACTTACCCAATATTTTATAGGAACAAAAACAATGCAGTGCTCTAGTTCAAAATAATTATGTCTCTTTAAAATTTTGTCGCCCACGTCGAACTCAAATTTCAATCTAAACGTTCCGCAACAATTTATGTTTTAACAGTGACGTTATTTTGCTATACTTTAATTAACATTATATTGTTATCGATATATTGATTAGTATCTGAAAAAAATTAGTTGCAAAGAAAAGTGAAGGAAATGTTTAAATTACATCTATTAGAAAGAAGAGTGGGACAAAACATTAATAAATGACGGAAGTCGCAGAATTCACTATCACAGTTGGCCTAAATAGAAGGCATGTTTTGGCAACAGATTGTAACTCGTGCGCAGTCTTGTGTGCATAATTACTATAGTGTGACTGATTATAACCGGATTGCTCTGGAACCGTGGTTGCTTGGGAATGTTGGGAAAACTTATTTGTATGCAGAAGGTGTTTAAAAGTTTATCCCATTCCAACTCCAAACGTTTGAGAATAAATCTGCTATGGAGTAAGGACAAAAAGATGTTATTGGTCCACCAATAACATAGGAATTGCTAGGAATTAGCTCGCTCCTTGACCGAGATATTGATATGACGGAAAACCTATAAAAATGAAATAAAAATGTCACTGAATTTGAGAGTCAGAAGTAAAGCGCGGATTTTTAACTGATAAATGATAAATGAGAATTGAATGCATTACCAGATAAGACGAAAAACTAGCTTGAGAATCCGACATTATAAGAAAATTACTAAGGGGGAGAAATTTGATAAAAATTAGTGTTCCTAAAACGGTATCTAATGTGCAGTGGATAACAAGCGGATTTCACCTTTAATGCGTGTTTGACTGAATATATAGAAATATGAATAGACATAATAATTAATGACAAAAGTATAACACAGTTTTATACCCTAATACAGACATTTTGTTTTCGATTTGATAACGCCAGAGCATATATTATGAAAAAAATAGCTATTTGAAAAATTCCAGTTATTATTACATTATTTAGTATTGCGGATAACATATTTTTATAAATTACCAAATATTGTATTTATTGAACCTATTATGTATTTCAGATTCATAATTTACTTCATATTAATTATTTATTAGTAATAGTAATTAGTTTAATTGTATTTAACTATTGATTTGCAGCACCGTTTTATTTATAATGTCTACGAGTACATTAGGTACCATATTGGTGTTTTGGAACACTGGTTCGGTGACCCATAAACAACCTAACATTTTTTTTTTTATTATTATTGTATCTTAAATTCTAAATGAAACGAAGGGTGTATTGATTTTATTTTTATTTTTTTTAGTAAAACTTTTTTATGAGAGTAATCGAAAAAAATGATCATCACTGCATGCTTTTAAATTTTTCAATAAAATGCCTAGAGTTCTATAATATTTCATAAAATGATTGTAGAAACGTGTAGGTATATTATATCTATCTCATACTATTATAACATTACCTATTGATATGAAATTTGTTTTTAAATTTTTTTTCTAAGATACCTTGAAGAATTTTAAATGTCGCCCGCCCTTTATGCATTTAAGGATTGATAATATTCGCGGCGGAATAATATAACGGGGTTTGCATTATTATTTTTCACCGCAAGGGTTTTCGCACGCAGATCGCACATCAACACACCCTCGCGGCGAATCCCTGTGGGGTACCTCATCCTCGGCATCGCGGTCGGACTTTCAGTCGGTACGGAGAAAGCGTTAGAGGAGTTTGGCATTAACGTTTTTGCAGGCACATTTGCGGAAATCGTATCTCAGTACAAATACATAATAAAGAAATCGCTGATTCCTGTAACGGCGATTGCACTCGCGAAACGATTTTTTTTGGTAAGTATAATATAGAATTATAACACAGTTGCTCGTAGTTTAAAATTGTATATATATATGTATATAATTTATTGAAGAAATAAAAAAGTTAAAATTACTCGTAGATTGTATTAATGTTATGATGGATTTTTTTTTTTGAGATTCTGAGTGCTGTGGGAAATTTATTGTGCCGGTAAACCACTTTTCAACCAAAAATCTTATCGTACATTTTTTTTCCAGACGAAAAATAACATTGACTTTTTTGTTCAATTTTGAATCTAGTTGGTACATTAAGTAGGTTGTTTTTTGGTTTTCTAGCGGTTTTCGTAATAATTGGGGAAAAACCGAACAAAACGTATAAGAAAAACGAGCAAATAATTACGCCGTTTACGATTTAATTTGTTTGGTTTTTATTTTTTACTAGAAATTTCATATTGAAGTGTAAGTGTATATATTTTCTGAAACAAAATTTTGTCTACATTGTATATAAGAAAATACCTTATTAAAACTAAAAAAATTTAGGAAAAGAGGAAAAGTTTACGTCATTAACGAATTTGTTATATTTAATGTTGTTATTATTATTTTATTTATTTATAATTTGATTAAAAATATTCGTAAAGACATGGAACTTTCAAAGAAGAATAGTTACTTAGGTATATAAGTTTAAAGAAAATTTTCTTGGTGTGGTTAAATCGTGGAAAAATTCTGGCGATTATTGAACTATTTATAGGCATTTAATAATTTCGAGTTTATTAAACTTTTTAAAGTAGATAAAGTTTTTTTGCTAAACAGAAATGTTTGTAAATTTATTAATTTAACTAAGTATTGAAAAAAAGCTGAATGCAATGAAGTAGTTTTTTTTACGTTTTATATTTAAACGAAAATCGAAAATAATTTTATGTATTCTATTTTCTCAACCTATGGTAGTGTGATACACTCATCTTCGGCAAGAATCGGCTTTGTGTTTTCATAATATTATAGGTTACTTTTGTCATGTCTGCAGTTTATTTTGGAACTGATAATACATAAAAAATGGTATTAGGTACAGAAAATATGTATGTTTATTGATAACAATAATACATTTTTGTTCTATAATTGTTGACGGGTTTTTTTATGCACACAATTACATAACATACGTTTAGATCTTGAGAAAATAAACTCGGATACAAGGCCAATTTAATTCATTTTTTAATAATAATTTATTGTTCTGGTTATCAATCTCACCTCCGATTGATTCAGTGTATGCCATACACGCATTATGTTTTTTTCTGTCTTACAAACGCGTACGAAATAGCGAATTTGCTAAACCAATTTTGTACTTGTTTTAATTTTAGTTTAGATAAATTAACTTATAACCGAAATTAAAGGCAAGTACAATAGTATACGTAGGCAGTTTTGATATTTTAATTTCAAAACGAGATATAAGCATTTTCAAATGGTAATATTTCGCATTCTTGCGTTAATATTAAAAAAAAAAAATAAAAAATAAAGCAACTAAGTTAAATTTAATAATGGCGCAAAATTGTTTCTGCCGAACGAAAATTTGCTATGTCGTTTATAAGGTGGAGACGACGAATGAGTGTGTTGCGTACTCTCATCACTAAAACGCTAAAAGCTCTGTAAGTATGAACCACTCCCTCTAGGTTTTACTGATTTTTTCACACAATTTATTGACATGAGTTTAACGAGTACCACGATAACGTAACGTCAACGAGTTCACTTATGTTATATTATTCGATGTGATGAAAAGTATTACGCTACAATTAATTATTGTACATACTATTATAACGTATTTTTATAGAAGTTGTCACGTTAGATATTAATTTCGTTTAATTTATCTCATTTGGGCCGTATTATTGTTAAAATTATATTACTTATGACAAGGGAGTGGAAAAAAAAAAAAGAAAGAAAAAATTGGAGCAATACAGTATCGATACTTTTGTTTTATAAAGGCCTTACAATTACCTTTATTAATTTCGATCTATTAACTAAATATTGTATTTATCTCGTAATGTATTAAGACGACGAGATTTTTTTTGCATTTTATCAGAAAAAAATTCGCAACGTTAAATCAATTTTCATTATCCAATGTTAAGATATATTAATTTATAGGTAGCTGCATGTTATTTAAAAAGAAAGAAAATCCAAAATTCCATCGAATATATTTGTATATTTACTGGACGAACATAATAATTACATAAATATATTACAGTATTTGCACTAACAATATTATTGAAAATATGATAATTTGTCGGTAGATATGTAATATCTGTGAATGGTGATAAGCTGATAATAACGTGCTATGAAGTTGGCCCACTTACCTTATTAAAAACTGACAAAACTAGTGTCAATATAGCAAGAATTTATAAATTTGATTTTGAAATTTACATATTATTGTTTTATGTTTATATTTGTGATAAAAATAAAAAAGGTAGGCTAATTTCATGTTGACCAACTACTTAAACCATTGTGGAAGAACATCCACGTATCGTATAAGAATGGAAAATTATATTCTCAAACTACTCGTATCCGTATATAAACTTCGTTTCAATCTTCCGGTTTAAAGTGGGTGACATAAGTTAAGTTGGCGTTTTTTAAATTTTTATCGATAATGTGAAAATAATGACTTGCAAATTCTTGCTAATTACTTGCTAAATATTGACACTAGTTTCGTCGATTTCTGTTAATGTTGTATTCCAGTGACGTGTGTCGTGTGCTATTTGTCGTATTCTGATTGACCATTATAGTCTTGAAAATACAGTAACCTGCAAGATCTACCGGGAAATGTCTAAAGTCGGACTGGGTTTGTGTTTTCTTTCGTTTGGATTACAATGATGGCCACTGGTCAGTTGTTATACTTTTGTAGTTTTTGTAAACACAACACGACAAACAGCGTCGCTGAAAATTGCCCGGAACGGAATACCACATTAAGATGCTATACGTATAGAAAAAATATAGTGGACATATTATGATATAAGCAAACAATGCATAACACGATTAACCCTAGTGATGTGCATTTCCGAATAGTGATTTTACTATCTATTTATAGTTTTTGATAGTTTAGATGATCTATTGAATATTTCAATCCATCAAATGAAGGACCAATTATGCATTGAAAGGGAAAAAACAGATTCCTTTCATATGTCACCTATATTTTAATATTAATAATATTTTGATCGACCATCCCCCGATTATTCAATGGTTTCTTCAATCTCTTGATATTCAAAAGATGTCTGTCCACATCATTAGGTTTCTTTTCTTTCCTCGGGGCGGTTCCTTTGATTCTTCTTTTAGCTAGGATCTAGTTTCGTGATCCTTCTTACTTTACTAGAGTGTATATGCTATTTTATGTTTCTTTTTATTCCACTGATTATAGCAATAATCATTCTCTATACCGCATGCTTCAAAATTATAATATCAGGCAGTTAGTTATAGTGATACTTTCATTTCTTATGCTAGGTTTTCATTAAATAAATTTGTATCTGTAAGTGTTCCATATGGGATTCTTATAATGATTTCCATTGGTGTTAATAAAAAAAAAAAAAAAACAAAAAAAACAAATAAAATATTTCGAAAAACTTAAAAGTAGTTTTTCATAACTAATTTATTCTAACAGTTTTCAATTTGTCGAATATTTCGAATGTGATCAACTCTTGAATAGATCGAATCTATAATGACTCTATGGCTGTGAAAAACACTAATATTAATACTTGTATCTAAAACTTAATTTTTGATATACAAAAATATACGGTTAAATTTTGAATATTGATTCGGTGTGATTTTTATTTGACGTCGCTAATTTCGGATATTTCGATTATTGACAATGAAAATGCCGCTGTAGTACCCGACAGCAGTAGGTACCTATATTATTGTAGTTTTACTAAATTAACACACATCGATATTTGTTTTCTGGTTGAACTTGTGCTATAATTTTGATATTAATTTTTTACGGTTTAGCTCTATATACATAAGATAACAACACTATCTATATTATTTTTGACGCATATGTTTAAAATGTAATCCACGATCGTATCGTCCATTTTAAATTGAATACTTATACAACACGACGCATTGTATCTATAATATACCACAGCGTTTTAATACAATTTGTATTAGTTTTAACTTTACTTTTAAGATTTTCAGTATAGATTATAAACCCGAATCCACGAGGCCTGTAAATAAAAATAATCAAACTAATAAATGAAAATAATATTATACAGTTAGAACGTTTTCCTAGGAACCAGTTAAAAACCGCATATTAAGTGGGAAATCAATATAGGAAAATTAATACGTGACAAAAAAATAGTACATACTTGAGCATAGTAAATTATTATTACATTAAATTTATACTTTTATCATTTAAACTCCCATCATTAGCAAAGGATTAGCTTGGTATAGTTTACACGACCAGCGTCCTTCCTCCGAAAAGAAGCGTATTTAGTCACGCCCAAGCCTTAAAATCGTTTTACATAAATTACTTCTCCAACTTCGATCATATCAGTAACCTGAGACGCTCAGATCTATCGGAGTTAACTACTATTAAACTAAGACCCTTACAGTGAGTCCTTCATTATTAAACCATCATTAACCATAATTATTCCAGTAAATGCGTTAGCCTGGTATGGATGACCTTTGAGTTTCATATACAGCAAAGTAAGGATTTAGTCACAGTTTCAAATTTTCAAATCGATAACTACTCAAACTACTGGATATTTGAAGAACCAAAGACATGAAGACAAATCCAATATTTACGACGACCAGCCAGCAGCCAATATCGACCGCCGACTATAAGTCACCTAAGTCGAGGACAATGAAGCAACCTTCGGCTTCTCGCTGCAACGATCCACCAGATCGTTGACTCCTGACTGGGCTCCATTAAGGTTAACTATCGAAACGTGTTGTCTTGTTTAAGTGGCCTAATCTGACACGCCCTGAAATAATTATTAGTCATTGTCCGTTGTGACATTAGCGAATGGTGTATTCCAGGTTGTCTATCCAAATCGAAGTGCTGGCTCAAACTTTATTTTCCGGCCCAGCGTCAGTATACAAACGCGACATTTCCAATCAAGCCTATGATCATCGTATTCCTTCATCCCTTCTAGATTGTCTGGAAATAATAAGGCACCCGAACTTGACATTAACAAGTTGGATAACCGAACATCTGCGTAAGCCACGTCAAATGGCCTTGGCCCCTCTGCCCCAGTTATATTAATTAATCATTTCAAAATAACAAAACAGAATACGTGATACTGATAACTCTTGTGGTATTTAATTTTACGAGGCGGTTTTGCACTAATACGTAGGCACCGATTCAAGTACTTACATCAGAAAATAAAATCTTATCAGTAATTATATGAATATTATATTATTCAAACATAATCCAACTGGTTGGTTAATTTAAAGTTAAAAATAAGTACTAAAAAAAAAAACGGATAAAATGATGTAATATTATAGGCAATGAGATATTTCGAAGTGACATTCTTGTAAATCATAATTTTTTATTGTATCGCTTGTTATTTTTTAAATAATAATCGAAAAAAAAAATAAAAATTTAAATTAGTTTATTTTGTAATCTTTTATTATATTTGTAATGACATTATAACGACGATTATAAAGTATATTTACGTGCCTATCTATACATATTAATTCTAATACCTACTATATTTATTCAATTCTGAACACATCTAGAAATGTATTGGTTTTATTATAATAATAAAACAAACACGAAATTATTAAAATCGTTAATATTCGTAAATAAATATATAAATAAAAAAGAAACAAATGAATGAATGTGTCGTCTGGAGTATTATGATAAGTGTATATACGACCGAACTAAAAATTCATCATTAGGTATATCACAGTCAATATGTAAAACGCGACTGAATATAAAAAAAATAAATGGAGGAATACATAGAAAAAAATTATACAAATTGGTCATTTTACATAGAAATAATTTATTTTAATAGGAGAGATTATTTAAATTGGATTATTATTAGATAAAGAAATGTTAAGAAACATAAATTATTTGATAAATATTTATTATCTATTATTTTTTAAATAGGTTTGTGTAATTAAAATGTCATTAAAATTATTTTTCTTTATTTCATTGTATTTATGTAATTCTTCTAAAACTGAATTGATGTAAATACTATTTTGAGTATTTAATATTTCTAAGTCAGTATTAATATCAAAGCTTTTAGCGAAATTTGAATTAGTGGCAGACTTTTTTAATTTTATTTCAGAAATGTGTTCTTTATATCTTATTTTAAAATTTCTATTTGTCTTACCTGTATAAAATGTATTACAGTTATATTTAAGTTTATACATACCAGCATAGTAGCATTTTCAAAAGAAGGAGGATTTTTGTGAAGTTTTCAGTGCTATTGTTTATGTGTTTGATTAAATTATTATTAGTCTTAAAAGCAAATTTTACATTGCTTGTATTATTCTTTAGAATTTTAGCGAATTTGTTTGACATATTATTTTGATTTCATACTACAATAGTTAACAACATTATTCGGTGAGTTATGTATTATTAGATTCCGAGCGTAGCGAGGGATCTATTGGTTTTACTAAGATGTTTATTTCTTTTTTTTTCTAGTCTGTGGAAATTTTTTTTCCTAATAAACTTGCTCAGATTTTAACGCGTAGCAACTTTTCTGAAAGCTCAAGTAATCATTTCCAGATTTTCGATACCATTTTTTAAAAAAAGCACGTAAGTGGAAAAAACGTAGGAAAACGTAAGGAAAACGTACAATTTCACGATTTCATTATTTTATAAAAACACAGATGTTTTCTACCAGAAAAAATTATTTAATCGAAAAATCACAAAATACCTTTTATTGTTGCCTTTTTGATTTAATTTCTTACGGTATCATCGCCAAAACTTTTGAGTCACATTTGAGATATTAAGGAATTTTAATTTTTGGTAGTTTTTTTGCTGTAACTCAGTTATTAATACACGTAGAGATTTTAAATTTGATAATAATACTTATATTGGACTTATCTAGACGTTGTAAAATTTTCAAAATCATCAGACGACAATTTCCTTTTTTTAATTTTTTTACAATGGCATTTTATTTTTTTTTTTATACTGTAGACTACTTTTATCCTAGAAAACTTGCTCCAATGTATAAGTATAGCAACTTTTCTGAAACTAAAATTTATCTACTTGGTAAATACATGGGTCATTTTTTGATTTTCGAAACGATATTTAGAATAAAAACGATTAACTGGGAAAAATAATACGATTTCGTTATTTTATATAAGTACCTACCACGTTTTCCAGTACAAATATGGTTCCAATTGAAAAACGACAAGAGACCATATTTTTGTTGAATTTTTTTTTAATAGGTGTTTTGAAATCAAATTTAAACGAAAATCGTAAAAAAAATTACGGCACTTCAAATTATGTATTACCGAACTGCGCTCGAACTGCGTTGCTTACAGATATAAATAAAATAACCTTATGTATTCTACCTTCTCAACTTCCCACCTACAACAGTGGCTGCACCCGTCCCCAGTATCAGCTTTTTTTCTTTAATACGTTTGTGTATTTTTTTAATAGTATTTAAATTGAAATTATTTCTATGGGCTTTATTATAGATAATATTAAGCTCGTGTTATTAATTAAATTTATTTAACGAAATACGTTCAAGCCTATAGAATATTGAATTAAAAAATTATATTTTTTTAAAATTAGTGTGATTAGAATCATGTGGTATTGTAGTGTGTAGGTTTTCTGTAAATACTAAAATCAAATTAATTGTTTATTATGGAAATTGTAAGATCTAAGAAATTTAATTTATTATTAATTTTTTTCTCGAATGATTGAACGAAAAATTGAATGTTTTTATTTATTTTATTTAAGAAGTTAACTAAATTTTCTACTTGTCTATTTGATCCTCTAAATAAAATGAAAGTGTCATCAACATATTTATAATATGCTTTTATATATGGACTGTATATTTTGTTGTTAATAATATTATTAGTTTCATAATTTTGCATGTAAATTTCAGATAAAAAGGGCACTTAAAGGACCACCCATAACTAACCCTTCTTTTTACCAATATAATTTATTATTATATTAGAAATAGTTTTGATCAATAATTACATTGATTGATTGAATAACTTTTCGTTAGTATTAAATTTATTACTATGTATAAGTTTATTTTTAAAAAAATTACTGTTTCGTGTTTAGGAAATAGGAATGGATGTATATACATTTTTGACGGAAAGATAAATCATTTTGTAACTTGGCTCAATAATAATTTTATTAATTTTTTTAAGAAAATCAGAAGTGTTTTTTGATAGAAATATCAGTATTCATGTTTAATTTTTCTTTTATGATAAAGTCTAAATATTTATCAAGGTTATATTATATATTATAAGCTGGAGCAGTTTTAAAATTAATTAATGGACGAATCGGATTATCTTGTTTATGTAATTTTATGAATAGAAGTAAGTGTAGAGCCTCTATTTTGTAATCAGATGTTAATAATATTTTTCTTTGGACTTAAGCTATTATTTCTTTCGAATTTGTTATCAGTTTATTAATTTATTCAGTGAAAATTATAGTTGGGTCATGCGTTAAGTTTCGAATATTATTATTATTTATAAAATCTAAAGTTTTTTTTTATGAATTTTATTAGTATAAATGACAACATTAGATTTATCCACCGGCACTATTTCTGAATTATTTGTTTTTTATTTATTCACTATATTGTTAATAATTGTATTTTATCGTTTAACTATTCTATTTTGTTTTAATATTTTATCAGGCTTATTTTTGTAGTTTTTATTGGTGTTGTTTATTAAGTTACAGCTTGTTCTATATAATCCTATATAATTCTATATAGTTTTTTAACCGATTCATATTGTATTAATTGTTTTTTAAATTTATTGAAAGTTTAATTTTTGATACGTATTGAATTTATTACCTTTATTTAATAAATTGTTTTCAGCTTCATCATAATACTTTAAGTGATGCAATTGTTCATTTATTTATTTTTTTCTTTTATATACCCATACATTTTTTATTAATATATTTATTATAATATTATGTGTGCTTTTGTGAATGTCTGAAAACAACTGTTTTATCGGAAATCTTTCTCCGGATTTCAAATCTAGCATATTTTTTGAAAGAAAATTATTTCTAGTTAATGAATTAGACGGGTTATTATTTTTTCTTACTATTTTGATAATAATAAGTACAGACCGGTAAAGTTAACGGAAATAACGATTTTATTATGGTATACAAGAATTCATAGACGACTATAAAATCATAACCTTAACACAGTATATATTTTAAAAACCGAAGAGTAGTAGGAGTTCAAAGGATACGTGTGAATATTACCTCGATGGTCGTCATCCAAACACGACACAATGATCACGTACAACCCAGCGGCCACCCAGTCATAATTCGACGACAGTTCATAGATTCTGACCTCTTGTTGGGAAATGTTTTATTTTCCCCCTATTATTATCTAAATCTAGAGGCATTTAGGAAAGTGACCTTTTTTAAAATATTATCTAAATTCACAATATTTCAAAAAAAAGTTTTTTTGAAGTTTTTGATTGGATTGGATGATGCCATCAAGTTAAAAACCTGAACTGCAATCCGATAATCGAAAAGTTGACATCAAAGGATTTCTGCACACCTGAAAATTCCTGTATAATAAAAAAAAAACACAAACGTGCCGTTACATATATACAGTAACGTGCTGGCTTAACTGCTTCAAACTCGTTGAATTTATTTTAAACGTATACCTGATAACCTTAGAATTTGACCGTCACAATGACCGTAATGACGTAAGTACCCATCTGCTGTCTATATATAATGAACGTATTTTATATTATAATAATATCGTCTTTTATCCGACCAAAATTGTACTCGTAACCGTCATCAGTCACACACGAAAATTGTCGAGTAGATAGATAATTCAATTTTCATATCGATTTCATATAATATTATTTGGTATACCTAACAATACGTTTTGGGCGTTTCATAGGCAATTTCGTTACACGCGTGTGCATATTAGGTTTTTGAACGCGTTTGCCAATAATAGTTCTAAACTTTCAAATCAGATTTCGATTTTTTTTTTTTTTTAGATTCGGAGAGTAGTGAGAGATCTATTGATTTTACTATATGGTGTGCTCAATTCTGAGCGAATAGAGGAATATAAAGGTTTTAAAATGATGTTTATTTAGCTTTGTACTATTTTTTTTTTTATCTGTAAACAAATTTTCTACCAGAAATCTTGCTCCGATTTTCAAGTGTAGGACTTTTCCTAAAAGAAAATTTTATCTGGGTGGTATTTTATGGAGGTAATTACTTGGTTTACAAAATATAAGTATTGTAATATCAAATATTGATGAAAATCGTAAATATTACGGCCTTTTAAAACACGTACAACCGAATTCCGCTCAGTATCGTTTTTCGTTAGCAATTACTATTCTTTGCGTACAAATATACCTTAAATTTTCCTTCTACTTTTCCAACTTCCTACTTACGACAGTGGCGCCACATATCAACACTATAAGCTCTTTATAAAATTATAATAACTAGAACTACAGATAATAAAGTCCCTTGTCGTCTGTCTCTCTTCCTTAAAGTTACTGTGGAACATTACAGTACGTACATTCCTAGCTGAACTCTGAATCTAAAAATAGTATGACGCGCATTTTAGAAAACTTTATATCTACTCGAAGAACCTTTGTTTTTTTCTATTCGATACTAATTATTCAATACATTTGTCGACATTTCCAGAAGGTGAATATTATTAATGGTGTCTGCACACACTATACGCTCTGTCGCTCTGGTGACGGGACGGGACTATTTGGCAATCGCTGTCGAATGCTTCGATTAAATTGTTTTTCGACGGTTGGTGCCTTCTTTTTTTTTTTGAAATATTATTTACCATAAAAAGGAAAAAATCTAACTTACTGGAAAACAATAAACTCAACAATATTATTATGTAATGTATACGCGAAGAATATATTTTGCATAAGAGTGCAACGCGGTTTAAAATATACGATAATATTTTTAAATTTGTATTTTATGAATTCTAGGCTATACGTTGTAGATGTATACATATTATACAATTGAATTTATATTTCGAAAAGAAAGAAAAGGTAATATTCGTATAAAAACAATACTTATGTGCAAACGGCGGGTATTGTTGGGTTCTCACTACTCTCGCTTATGTTATTGCATTTTCCACGATGACGATCGAAATATAATATTTATTTTGTAAATCCAAATACAACAACACTTTCGTTCGTCACAATTGACTGTTCAAATCAGTGGCGTTTGTAAGAATTATTTTCACCGAACGGGCCAATTTACCGCCACCAGCATCTGGGATTTATAATCCCGGAATATTATAATATGCCATAACAATTACAATAGCAGATATACATTTCCTCGTTGATTCCTTAAGAACGTTTTTATTCAACCTATGATATAGGTCGAACAACTCTTTTTAATAGTTGTAGTGGTAACGTTTATGGGTATACAATAGAACATGACGTTGGAAATTTAGGGGGAAATTCATCTGTGTTACATTTCTTGAAATCTTCAATAGTATTTTTTTTTTTTTTGGAATACTGTTAGAACTTAAGAAAATACTTAGTTTCCAGTTACTGATATACAGTTTCCATTTATCTTTCATAATTTATGAATTTATAAGTTAACTTCATAAAATGTTTTTATTTAACCTAAAATTTTACTATGGGCGATGGCCCAGGTGCTTCTTACCCCCATATATATATATATATAGAGAGAGAGAGGTGTGTGTTTCTCGTTAAAATATTATTTAACTCCACGGTATACGATGTCTGGTGTATAAATTGTTTTTTAATAAACGTCATCATAAAATCACACGATTGAGGATTTTGCAAGCTTCTATACCAATAAGTGCCTCCATCTATTTCGACCTATTGGATTCTACATTTTAACTGACTCTTAGATATCCCTTATATCTTTTGTTTACAATTTATTTACTTTTTCTATTTCCAACCACCACTGGCGTTGTCATGTCCTTGGCTTTTTTTTTAAAAAGATTTCTGTCAACTCGCCAAATATAGCCAGCCCACTCCAATCTTTTTGCCCGGAGAAACATTCTGATATTTGGTCTGTTGTACAACCTACCTGGTAAAATCATATAAATTAAATTAAACGCTGTTTACATCCTATTGTATATAAAAACGAACGAAGATAAATGTATACATTTAACACGCGGTAAGTTGTTTTTCGTTTAAAACACCTACGTTTAAGGTGCTCAAATACTTTGCAGTTATAACAAAAAACATATACGAAATGTATATGTTACAAAATGTGTATTGTGCATTCTGTTGATAACGGCAAACAAATATTGAACGCCCTATATAATTACTATAACACTTGGCGACGGTCTACTAACATACACAGCTGAATAAAACTTTAAATTAAATTTCCGTTCGAGTGTAATCGCATGATGAAATAGCTACTATTTTCTGCTCCTTATTTTGATAATAAGTCGGACATTGTAACATTATTATTTTTTTTTAAATATTATTTTCCACAGCGTTACGAAAGAGAGAATATATATAATACGAGATTTTAGCCTCTCTTCTCAACGTAGTTACCGACGCTGAAATAATTTTTCTATTACAATAATATTACACAAAAAAATAAAAATAAAAAAGTAGATTCCTTGCGAATAAAAATTTTCGTTCTTCGTACTGAAATTATTTGATCGGCAGGTTTCATTTAATTGTTCTAAATAAAACAAGGGAACACATTTTATGATTTGTGTTGTAAATTTGTTCGTACAAAATGCCCAAACAAAAGAGACACAAAAATGAACTCATCGAGTGTAATTAATAATACCTATCTAAAAATATGTTACACTCAATAAAAAGCACCTAATAAGATAAAAATATTTCCATTAGGACATTTTGATCCATTGAATATTCTTTAAGATTAATAATTTCTTAGTACCACAATAGGCGTTAAATGATAATTGGAAGGTAAATAATAAATAGTTATTCCGCGTGGTTTAGTCATCTGCCTCAATCGTATTCAAATTATTTAAAACAGTTACCTAAAAATTCAAACGTCATAATGAACGCTAATCTTAATAAAAATAATCAATATACATAAAAGCTGATACTGCTGATGGGTGCACCACTGTTGTAGGTGGGAAGTTGTAAAGGTATAAAGGTATAAACACATAAAGTTATTTAATTTGTATACATAACTAAACGATAAACTAGTGCTAACGAAAAACGTTTCTGAGCGAAGTTTGATTATACATGGTTTGAAAGGCCGTAATATATACGATTTTCTTCAAAATTTGATCTTAAAACCATTAAACGAAATTACTATATTACACGTACATTTTTTTTTTGACCACTTAGTACAACATATAATTAATCTCCTGTTAAATTGTTAAGCATTTCGGCTTACTTAAATAATTATATCTACATAGTACCTACCAAATAAAAACTTCATATAAAAACTCACCAATATAAAATGCCTATAAAAAGCTCAAAAATGGGAAAAATATTTTAAACATTTTACTACGATTAGAAAAAGTAAATATAAGTTTTCTCTTTAAATTTCAAGTCTCCACGAATATTTTCAACTAAATTTTAATAAAAAAATAAAACTTTTCATTAGCAATAGTTTATCGTTACTCACCGATATAAATTAAATAACTTTAATCCATCCTACCTTCCTAACTTTCCATTATATGACAGTGACACATCCATCAGCAGTATTAGCTCTTTTTATTTTAATTTAAATCAGTTTTTTTTATGCATTAACCGATGACTGAAAACGTACAAAAACCCTATACTGATATGCTAAGGTATAAAAAATAATATTTCATATATTAAGTCAGTTTAATTTTGTACGTAATAAATTTAATTATTTCAAACATTTAATTTATGTACCTAATGGTTTTTATTAAAAAGCTCATAACTTATAACTACTTATTTGGTAAAAATACCTTAATAATTTAATTGAATATTAATGTTTATTCACAAAGATTTTTAAAGTAAATTTAGAAATCTTGAAGTAGGTATAAAAAATATATAGGTTACTAACAAGTTAAACAAGTTTAAGCAAAATGAAACTAACCAATTATTATTATTCTTTTCGTAATTTCGAAGAAGATAAAAATTAAATTAAAATTAAATCAAAAATTATGTTATTAAACTACTAATTAAAATAAGAGTTATAAATTATTGATTTTAATAATTCAAATTTATTATGTTTTATTATTATTATTTGCTTGTAGAATTAACTTACCATGGTAAAAACCAAAATACAACTTTTATAGTTTTATTACTTTTAATTACTTTTAATCGTCAAACCGATGTTTGATAAAAACTAAAGAAATTAACTAAAGAATTAACTCGATAGTTTTATTAATAGCGCGCCTATATTTATTAATAATGATAAAATGTGTATTTAATAATACATACAATATATTTTTTATAAAAATATATAAAATCATTTCATTAAGTGTATGCCCGCATTAAGACAATTAGAGGTCTAAATCCCAAGGCTAAACTTTTCAACGAATCTTTCGTTGAAAGACTAATATTATAACATTTTAAACATATTTAGTTATTAATATGTTTTAACAAAAGAAAATTAATAAATAGTATGGACATCATATACCATAGATAAAGATTCAAAAGCCACAAGTATTGTTTAAATAAATAAATGTATTATTTTTAACAAAATTAGTATATTTTCTACTATGTAATAATACGAATAAGAGTAGCCAGTACGGGCCAGTACGGGCCTACTTGTAGGAGAGTTCGACTTCCCGGCGATCTTGATTCCCTCAGCTCAAATCGTCAGGGAGTTGAAATCATTAATTACACTGGGTCACATGGACAAAATTGTTTTTAAATATTTCAAAAATTTGTTCAAAAAAAGGTTCAGACTATTTGCTATCAAAGGATAGGTATCAAATATTATATTGAAAAAATTAATTTCTTTTTCAGCGTTCAGTCTAGAATAAATAAATTCAGCTGAATCAAATTCCTACAAATACGCGTAAGAGTCAACTATAACTGCAACTGCTACAGTATGGACTATATAAGGGAGTTTGATATACGATTAGACAAAGAAATGTTTTACGCCGGAGAACTTTTGGAAGGTCACGTGGTTTTGGACACGATCGAAAACTTCAAGTTAAAAGGTAAGTATCACTTGAAAAGATATTTTTCTAATTTTATTTTAATTCGTCTACATTAAAGATGTACTCACTAACAACACGTAGGAAATCACATGACAAATTAGACAAGAACTAACATTTTGGGTGGGCAGAATTATATTAATTAAATCCGAGCAAGTCTGCTGGTAGAAAATTTCCGGACAGATAAAAAAAAAATTAACATCTTTGTAAAACTATACGCTAAATCCGAATCTAAAAATAACATGTAAAATTCTAGAGCTGCTTGTTTCTTAAATTATCTATAATGAGTGTCTTACGATAGATTAATTACCTTGTATATAATTATTTGTTTTGGGTTACTGTGCGAGAGCTCAATAATCATCAATCATATTTAAATTATACACAATTATACTCAGAGATTGCCTATAAAAATTCATCTCTCGAAACCGTCCGGTTGTTATCCCAGAAATCTCAACTACACATCCAATAAACGCCAAAACGAGTCTATAAAATTCCTCCTATTCAAAAATCATACATTTGTGTGCAACAAAATGTCAAACGACCTCGTGCGAACAAAAGATCTATAGTATTATTATTTATGAATAAGAACACAATATACATTTATTTTTTGAACATTTTACTGAACGCATATATTTTATAGACATAGACAAGTATTATTACTTATTTTTTTTATTGAAATACATTTACAGCAGTTACGGTCATTGGAGTTAAAATAATACAATATACAATATTACTCTTAAAACTAATTACCTACATTTACATATGATTTTATTATTATTATTAATTTAAGTTTTCTATTTTGAATTTCTTTTAAGATTTGTATTTTAATATTATTTTACGTTTAGTTTGTTCTAAATGTTATTGCCTTGTGATAAAGCTCACAATGCAAAATTAACGATTAGTACAGGAAATAAAATGCTTTATGATTCTGTAAACCAAAACATATCAAAACTGTATAACTTTGAAGTTTGAAGTAAATGGTCTCATATATATATTTGTATTACAGCGATGTAACTGAAATCTTATATCTCGTGTTGAGTCTTCGAGGGTACACTGGCACTTTGTTCTCCTCCCTCGGTCCTGTAACATTATTCCGGCTTTGCATCCGCGCCGTCGCTTCGTGTCCTGTATACTTCCGTCTCACCGAGTAGTGTAACCATTTACCGGAACAACGTTTCCTAAATGACTAAAATATATCCTTACTCACGAGGACGATATCACATCGTTTGAATCAACCGGCCCTTAGTCCACTCTGTAGTTGATTTTCCTCCTTAAGAACTTTCCTAAAACAACATTTTCAAACTTTTTTTTTCATTCCCTACATAGTTGTAGTAGTAATTATTTTGTACTGGTTCACTGCTCAGTAACCAAAATCATGGTGATATTCGTGGCATAAGGTGAATTGCGTACCATTATCGCCTATAATCACCAAAAATACTGGGGACGCAATTTACCTAGTCACTACAACATTTTTTTTCCGAACGTAATTTATCAAGTGTGATATTTTTTAATCAATTTTAACAATTTTTCTGTAAACAATTCAGTAATTTATCCGTAAACAAAATCTCTGTACTTTTTGTTATCGATTTTTTATCAACATTTTTCTGGGCTTGCAGAGATTTTTGACATAGTATAGAATATAGATAGGTACTTATAGTACAAAAAAATTTTCATTTTATTTAATGATAAACTATCTGTATCAAATTAGTAAAAAAACGGACAGAGATTTTGGTTACTAATTCTGTATAAAATATTATTACTATATTAAAATAACTTAGTTCCCTCTACTTTTAAATCTCTGCACTTGCACTGCGCTCCAAGTACGTGATTGTTCATTAATAATTCAAGAGATATTTTTTTTACACGATGATACGAACCGTTTTAGACAAATTTCATTTTATAAAGTTTTTTCCGCCAATAACCTTCTATTTTTTTTCTCGCGTATCTCGTCAGACTCACGTTACATATTGTATTACCCTTGTTGCGAAACTAATATTGTCGGACTGGTAATATTTTGTTTTTGTCATGTACCGTCACCGCCAGTGCCGTATTTAGGCGGGGGAGTGTAGAAAACACACGGTGTTGTCAGTGTAAGTATGCACTTTAAGTATATTGACTGCGGCGGGCACCGCGAAATTCGCTCGTTGCTAAGCGATTGCAGACCGATATTCGCGTCATTCCCGGCCGCGTTTCTTATACGTTTTCGACATGTCGTCGGACTAGTTCACGGGGTTCCTGTAGGAAAAAAATAAAATTAGATTTATAGTTTTAGACTGTTGACACTTTGGCAGTGTAGCTGGTATAGACTTACCGGGCGCACGTATAGTATTATTGTGTCAGTCGTTATACCCGCCACCGTACCAGGTGCCTATATAATAGTGACGGTATGCATCCGTTAACTTCCGACTCAAACTTAATAGCATTGGTGTGCACAGGATTTTGTGCCTGTTGCAGTACGCTTTTTTAACCGGCTCAAACAGAACAATAAACAGCTCACTTTATTATCTGGGCGTATCCACGTGGACAGTAATCGGGTGACCCCCTGGGAATATTAAAAAAAAAATTATCATATGATATGATACTAATAAATAAACCGATTAAGGGTTTAATAATCTAAACCGATTATTTCAAATATTTATTAGTAGATAATATTCTATTAAAATTGTAATTACCCCCCCCCCCTTGAATTATTTCTGGATCTCTTAGCACTTCATTAAGCCACAGATATATTAAATACAATAAATAAAAATGCATGTATAAGTACATTTAAAGAAAATGTATGAACAGGTAATACGATATTATTTATTGATTGATAATTTTTCATTTGATCGATATTTATTTTAATTTAAATATTCGTTAAAAAAAAAATATAGGTACTTTTATAGCCTTTTAAATAAATATCAGTAAAATAAATAAATATTCATCGGCCCACTAAATCCAAAACCAATTATCAGGTGTGGTTAAAACACTATTAATTGATGCATGCTATGTGTACACGCCTATATATAATACTAGCTGTCCCGCTCGGCCTTGCCCGTGACAATTTTTATTATTTCTTTTACCCATATTCCTTTTTGGTTTTGACCGCGTCAGTAATGAACAAAAGCAAATAGGCGGAAAGTGGGTGGTCCACCTTCGACGGACTGAAAGTATTCTGTTATGATATGTATTTTTAAATTTTAAACATAAAGTCTGTAGTCTTGATCAGCAGAAGTTTCATTACTACGTATCAAGCGTACTCTTTTAGCATTTGTCGTATTGCGTCCTACATTGGATCTTTGTTTAGGCATGACTAAAACGTAAACAAACTTTTAAGGCAGTTTAAAGTTTTGTCGCATAATATAATATGGTACATATATCTTTATAATTATTTGTATTAATATTAATTACCAGATATCATATTATAGATATCATAGATACGTTTTGACCAACTTTTTACATTTTTTTTTTTTAAATTTCATTTGTGTTACTAAGACAATCCAAATAAATAAATAATGATAATACCTAAAAACCGAATTTCAGGGGATAGCTATAAACGTTCTCCTCGATAAGCCCTTCAATTTAAAAATAATATCATAACGATCGATTTAGTAGTTTCCGAGAACATAGAACTCAAATGTTTTCATTTTTACATTTATACATTAAGATTGATCCGTTTGTGTCATGTATTATAAACCTGCAAAAAACTTTGGAAAAAAAGACCAATCTTAAACTATCCCCATTATAGTGGCCAATAAAAATTATTATGCCCATAGATTGTGTTTATAATAATTTCAGAACACCACATTTAAAACCGTATGAGCTCTATGCGAGTGAATTATTTAACACTATGCGGTTTTACCGTTTCACATTTTACGAGTAAATAAATCATGTCCTCGACTCACAGCTTTTATACGGCAGCATAAAATAACATAAAATACTATTTGACTGTTTCAACTACATATACGGGATAACTGGACAATAAGAAGTGTTACAATAAAATATGATTGAAAAATTTAATAACCTTGTAGTATAGAAGTCTTTCTCTAAACGTATAGTTCTTCCCGTATCATAATAAAAATAATATAAAAAAAAATTTGAATTTATTCCCATAAATTATCGGTACAATTTCAATGACTACGATTTAATGACGCCGAGGAAAAATGTTTCCTATTCCTGTGACTTAACTAAAGTGGATTTTCTATTTCCATTTCACTTGCTTTATATAATGTGAATAGTACTTCTATTGATTTTTCGAGCATTTTTTTACGATTTATTTTTTCTACCAGAAATCATAATAACCATTGCTCTAATCAAAAAAATGACCAGAGACCTTTTTTGTTGCATTTTCGGTTTAGTTATATCAAGTCATTGTAAAGTCAAATAAGTCGTATTATGACAAACCGGAAAAAGGCGTAAAATACAAATGACCGAATTTACGGTATTATAACTATTTCGTTATTATTTTAAATCTTTTCTAATTTTCTCTTCTACCAAAAATACTGCTCCAAATATCAAGAGTGGCAGCTTTAAAAATAAAGAATCTGAACGAAAATTGTGCATAGTTGGAGAGTAAAAAAGTAGGTTTTTTTAATTTACAGAGTAGTTTTCTAGGAAAAACGTAGAAAAACAAAGTAATATTTTATTTTTGCTTAGAGATAAAAATTAAATAACTTTATTATGTGTTCTACCTTTTGAAGTTTTTTTTTATTTCCATTTAGGACTCCCCGTTTGCGAGTACGTTATTTTTTCGTTGCGCCATTCGCGCAAAATCGATTGTGCCAATAATGTATTGCAATAATATTCGATTGCCTCGCTTTCGACGTGACGCTACACACACTACACACACACAACCAATCTAAAATTTTGCCATAATAAATTACATAATTCGCACAATGTTATCCGCTCTTTGTGCCGGTCATGCATTGGGATCATCGGATTTGACCGTTTCAATAGCCGAGTACACCGGGTCGTCATCCCTTCGTTTCTCCCGTTCTCCGTACCTCTATATACATTTATTATACAGGGTACATCGAATACTGTATAGAAATATTGCACTACACTTGTCGTATTTTACAACAAACCGGCAGGTGTAAAATAATTAAAGCGTAAGCGCAGTGTAATCTACTGAGTAAAATATCATATTACGATTATTATGATGGTATATCTCTAGAACAGTGTTCCTCAACCCGCGAGGCGCGACCCCTTTGGGGGTCACCAGCTAATTATTTAGGGTCCCCAAAAATACAAAATATTAAGCCACCGTGTTGTATAAGATGTTTATTTAAGGGTCACTAAAAAATGAAATATTCGTTTAGGGGGTCGCGACGGAAAAAAGGTTGTTGAATCACAGCTTTAGAAGATGATGACTACTGTTACCACCATATTCAGTACGACGAGTATGTGATGTTATTGCTGCGTACATCGTTTTTTGTACACCAACATTTTGCGTAAAATTATCAACAGTAGTGGTATATTTTTAATGCTAAGTGTGGCGAAGATGCTGTTAGTTTTAAAAAGACGTCGATGTGTTTTTTTCTCGGAAAATATACTTTTTCGGTTATTGATAAATAAATTAAATGTTTATTTTAATTCCTTCTCCGCCTAAAAAAAATGTTCATATATAAACTGTAGCGCTGAGACATACTAATTATTTAAAAAAAATGTACATCAAAAATATTGAATAGAACAAAAGTTATTGCATTTGTCGAATCCTCGTGGGGCGCTCTTTATACCGTTTATAATTGCGTTTCGAATATAAAGCATAAATTCTGCAATAGAAATACAAATCAGCAGCATTAGAAATTTCACAAACGACTCTTTGCACCACGACTTGTGCATTTCAACATTAAATAAACTTGATACCTACAAAATATTATCACCCACCCAAACCCTCCATCAAAAGTCTATCATACAAGTAAATCCTAGGTGACCCATATAAATATATACAAAATAACTGGTGTGGGAACTTGGTTTCTTTTTAAAAATCTTCTTCTTGGAGTGCCACTAATAGGCCGTTGTAGTTGTCTCGACCTGTTTTTTCCCAGACTTTTTTCTCACATTTGTTTACTGTAATATTTAAATTACAGATTGTAAATATATTTTTATAATAAAAAATAAAAAGATTTACGTAGTTTAAAAACAAAAAAAAAAAAAAATGTGTACACATAAATATAGGTACCTACAAACGATAACATCATAATAAAGATAGATGATTGTAATATGATAATCGCCAATCGCCAGGCATTGAGCGCAGTAGGTAGCAAATAGATTGCATACGATTTTAAATTATTAGAATACAAGCGTAAGAGGGTTTTTTTTTTCATTACATAAAATCACGAGCGTATTACAATAATCACGGGGTGTTTAAGAAAATCAAGTGACAAAAAAGAAAATCGAAAAAATAATCACATTTATTTTCTTACAATTAAATATGACATCGTTGTATGACATTATAATAATATATTTAATTAATTGAAAACGTCAAGTGGGGAAAATGGAAATTTCAGAGATAATGAGAAACGATGTTGATTTTAAATCAAGACGCAGCCATAATACATATTTAACATCATCGGTATACTATAATATACCATTGTTCCTGCAGTACATGTTTTGATAACTGAAATTATATTCTGAAGTTTTTTTCAAACAATTGATTTTTTAAAACATCTCAATCGTTTTTATGTTTATGCAATTCATTTTCATTTACCCAAAATCCATAATAAGTGAAAACTTAATGATATACTTCCATTTTTTTCATAGTCAACGTTTCGAGTGGGGCAAAAGGAAATAGGCATATACTGTTTAGTCTCACGTGATAACAAAATAATGTTGGCTATGACCGTTTTCATTTAAACTAGAATTACAACGCATACAATCCAAACTGTTTCTTTCCAATTGCCCCAATAGTTTTTTTAAAATTAATTATTTTATAAATACCTATTTTTTTAATACAACCTCCAGCTAAATAAATTATTATATTTACGTCATGTATACCTTTAAAACGCAAATATTATTAAGTTTATACAAATTGACCTATTACCAAACTTAAAGGTAAGTAGATCATATTATTTATCCTATAGCTTTGACGGTTTGTGAGTATGTGAAATATAACAATTTAAAAATGATTATATATCACCTAAAAATTAAAATATCGAAAAAACATCAATTCTAGGACACAGCTGATAATCTTATAACTACTTACTTTTAAGTTTGGTAATAGGTCGATTTGCTTTAATAATGAAACTAACGGTAAGCAACGATAAACCATTACTTACGAAAAAACGATTCTGATCAGAATTCATTTGATAGTGATGCTTTGTCAACAATATATATGTCTTTTTGTAGTAAAATAATTAAACAGGCTTTGTATATTTTCATTTTAATATATTTTATATTTTAATAAAATTTGTTTAATTTTTTTCCAATTTTCCCAGTTTTCCTACGATTTTCTCTGTTTTCCCATGTTTTATACTGGTTTTTCACATTTTCTGGAAAAACTTTGGGAAAATCAAAAATTGACCTCTTTAAAGTACCTTCTTAGTGAAGGTTTCTTTTAGAAATATTTCTATTATTAAAAATTGGAGCAAAATTGCTGGTAGAAAAGTTGTCCACAGAAAAAAAAATCGTAAATTATATTTATTATATTTCGTAAATTTTCCTTTTTTTTTTTTTTTTTTTTCGGTTTTTCGCATTTAATGAGAAAACTTTTGAGAAAATCGAAAAATAACCTCCTCTAAGTACTTCTTCTTGATGATTTCCTTTTAGAAAAGATATTACAAGTAGAAATCCGAGCAAGTCTTCCGGTAGAAAACTTCCACACAACAAAACTATAAACTTCTTTGTTCCACTCAGAATCTAAAACAATATTATTTATTTTAGATAACAATTATTATTTTACATTTATCTGGATAAAATATAATATAAGTAAAATATATTTATCTAGATAATTAGAGACAGATAAAATACAATAATTTTTCTTCAAAATAATAACAATATGTATTATTAATATGAACACAATATATTATTATATACCTATTTGTAGTTAATCTGCCTGGTAATAAATTTCACGATTTGGGACTCAAAACGTATCGAACTTACTCACGCGTGTTTACAATGCCGATTAGAATCGTCGAGTTTGCAGTTTATTTTAGATTTAAGGTGAACGTGCATATTATTATTATTCACTGGGTAAATACAAAGGAAATTAATTTAGTGGGTATAATATAGGTGTGTACCTACAATGCAATAATATATAATATTCGTGAACGTTCACTGCAATTTAAATACAAAATCGTCACGTCCTTTTTGATTGTATAGTTATCTATAGTAAATTAAATTCACGTTATTATTTTGAGTAATATGCAATATAAGAAGATAAACAATTTTTTTACCTTTACTATCTATTAAAAATTCAAATATATTCATTTAATTACACGTTATTGGCTGCACGGTATAATGGTGTGACCGTAAAATTTACGAATTCGATTAGCATTTTACCTAGTATACTTATGCATAATTATAAGTACTACAATAGTAAAACTTGTAGATGTGAACCAGTGGCAAACGGGGACCATGCCCCCCTCCACATTGGCCGTATTTTAAAATATTTTTATTATTATCTTTTCATGGTGGTTATTTTACTTTATGCGGTGTATTTAAAAACTGGGTAAGTTAGTCATTAATTTCGACTAGTTAAAGTAAAGTTAGTTTAGTATAAAACCTGACTAAGTTAGAATATAAGTTAGTTTTAACAATTTTCTAAATTTATAACTTAGTTAGAAGTTAGGTGAAAATAGTACTTTAAGTTAGAGTAGAAGTTCGAAATTAGTTAAAAATATAAATTGAAAAACAAGCTTAAATGTAAAGTATTATGTAAATTATTTACCTTAGTAGGTAACTAACTTAAATTATTGGTGATGATTGAAAAATTAAACTGAATTGATCAAAACTTTCAAATAGATAGGTAATAACTTTAACTTCTTGAAAATAAATCGGTTGAAAATATCAGTTATTAAAACATAAAAAGTTTAATAAAATAAGAAATATACAAGCAGTGTTACATTTTATTTGTCTATGTTGACATAATCATAATAATATAAATATAATCAAATAAACATTCATGATAAGATGAAATATGAATGTATGATACATAATATTAATGTAATATAGCCTAATATTACCTATATTGCATATATTGGTTATATTACATAGTTTTATTATAAAAATAGGCCACGAACATATTACAATAATCTATAGGCTGTATGTCTATAATGCGTCGTGGGTATCGTGTATTACCAATTACTATTGACCACTGAAATAGATAAAAATATAATATAGAGTATATTCGTATCTATCTCAGTGCCATAGACATATAAAAACCAAGGTTTATCGAATATAAAGGTTATCTCATAATCATATAAACAAAGCAAGTCCCTCGCAGTGTTTATAACGTTCGTGACGTCACCGGCCGTACACATTTTGTGGCGGCAATGAGCAGACTATACGTAATACATCTCGCATGATGCCACACCATATGTACTCTTCCACTGCAATGAAATTTAAGTTGTTATCGTAATTTAAAAAATAATAAAAATATGTACCTATTTAGTATAGGTACAAATAAATGATTTCTGAATATCATTGGGATTTGAGATTTAAAACAAATACTACGCACAGGTATTTATATGAAGATACTCATATCTACCTACATTCAGAGATGGAGCCCTCCCCAAACACTATTTTTTATATTTTGTTTACTCTTCTATGTTAATTAAATATTAATAAACTTAACTTAATAAATGATTTACAAAACATTATTATTAATAATTAATTTAGGTAGATAAATAAATATTTTAAAATTTTTGACTTACGTCTTTTAGTATACAAAAACTACAAATTATACTGTATTATCTTTGGATTTATGACTAAAACTTAAATTAAATTCTTGTGTTTTTAATTTGATGTTAAAGGTTATTAAAGATCACTTTTAACAAATAACAATTTTATGGATATTAATACACCTTAAGGTTTTTTTAATTTCCATACTAAAAACGAAGTTATTAGATTATGTGTGTATGTAAATGTATATTAAATATTTTATCACCAATTTAAAAATTCATGAAAATTGGTAAATAGGTACAAGTTTTCTACCATTATGGTTTATATATCTATAACAGCTATGTGTATGTAGTATACAGTAATATATATTTATTATTCAAATACAAAAATACAAAATATATAAAATTTATATGAATTTATATTTAAATTATATAAAATAAAATAAAATTAGTACATTTTTAGCAAACATATTAAACACAATTTTAAGTCATAACTTTTTTTGGTTTTGAAAGTTTTTGTAATTGAATTTTAGTCTTATTTCTATTTTTAAATAACATTGCATTTTGACTAAAATGTTTCATACGGATTAGTATTCGCTGTTTACTATACGTTTGTATTGAATTTTTTCAATTTTTCGATGTTAATTCTATACACAATTTTATTTGTTAACTGTTTCACAATGTTTGGCCCTTTAGGAATCGTCTTCTTAGTAAATTTGTTAAACAACTGCTCAACTCGAAAAATTATCTTTATAAATTCAGAGATAGGTACTATTAACCCACCATATGAAACATGGTTGATCCATGATTTCATAATCATGGCTGAGCGTATTTATAATAATATTATTGTTCACTTGAGCTGTACTATTGCTAATTTCTGGTATATTCGATAATATAACTCAATAATAAGAATAACTCAAACTAATTTTACATAAGCGTGTATTTTGTGTCATGTCAAACAAAAATAAGTGAACAACGGTTAGGTTAGGTTAGGTTTAAATCAGAGATACTGAGCAATGATTATTATAAGAACTAGAAATAATAACTGATGAAAATTATCTAGAGGTTTCTTATTAGGATCATTTAGGGAGCGGAAATTTCAAAATTAAAACCCGATATCACTTTCATATATTTTTATTATATTGGTAATATTATATTCAAAATAATAACGTATACCTATGTATACGTATAGGTACTGGAAATAAAAATACGGAACATAATACTCCCACGAGACTATATTATACACGGATAGATATAATATGTGTACATATATATCTATTCTCCGTAATATATGCGTACGATATATATATATATATATACGTTTGCCCATAAATATTTACGGACGAATAAATATGTGTGTTTTTTTGTATGGATGTATCATATTGCTACCTATACCGTACGCGGTGAATGAATTTTAAAATTAAAGGATACATTTTTGGAAAAATAAAAACCTATATGGATTGTGATTTGCGGAAGCGTATTTACAAACCCTATCCGAGTTTGGCCCAAGAGGTATATTTAAATAAGCAACCCATCGGGGTTTTCCATCGACTAGGTATAAGGTTTACGCTTATAGGACACTAACATTCTTGGGCGACCCGGTTAGGGCTAATAGACGAGTTATTTCCCTTCTAATGACAATTTGTAGACAAATGTTCTTTTTATGAAACTGTATTGATAGGTGTAGGTTAAATAAAAATAAAAAACCTTAAGTATCTGTTTGTTGTGGGCCGAAGGCCAAAAATTAAGAGAGTCAGGGCTTCCTCTTTATTTTAAATGATTGTAAACGTTATAAATAAGCAATGTGGATGCAGGAGGAAGGATGACCTGTAAGGTCATAGTTCCCCCTACAACGCCACGATTCAACTACAAAGAAAGTCGCAGGTTGACGTTTGAAAATCAATTTAAGCTGAGGGTAAACATTTGAAAATGGTGTTAAAATAAAGCTTGAACAAGTCCCACAATGATGGTGAAAAAAACGGAAATCCAATTTACCTGAAATTCTCTGAGAAATTTGCTGGATGATGACGATAAAAGAATCACTCTGAATAATATTGTCTCATGTTCGTATATATTGCCTCCGGTACTTGCAGTACCGATATTCGATTTCAATCTTGAGCACGTGATGTGTAGACACCGATTTTACCTTTTACAGCGACAAATTAGGAATATCCTGTGGAATTCGAAAACAATAAAATATGTATGAGTGAAAAAAAAAAAAACGAAAAAATAAATATACTGAAGAGGAGGCCGGGGATTATTTGAACACTTTTTTTCTTTTTGTTTGTTTATATTTGTTTACAAATCTTTTGAATAACCATTTTAAAATAATTCTACTGAATATATAGGTTTCTATAATGCAACAGTTATTCTAGAATCCAGTCATGCCTTATGATCAATGAATAGTGTCGTAACTATAGACAATGTTGGGGGGGGGGCTGCAAGTCAAATTTATGAAACCTAGGTACCTACCAAAAACTACCGAAAGTTGTAGGTATGATTACATGTACGATTAGTTAAGTATCTTACACGCAATATTTTATAGGGGAAACAGAGTATATTATTATTAAAAAAAAAAAAATGAAATATATCAAACTTATAACAATAAATAATCTGCCATATTAACATATTTTCATATGGACTTACATAAGTTTATAAAATATTATTTAAAAACGATTTTATTGTCTTCCTTTTAAATTACAAAAATGGGGGTACATCCCCTCATCCCACTTATTTTCAACGTATTTGTGTAGTATTTTAGTTACCTATACCTAATTAAAAATTCTCCTTGCCTGGTCTTATCAGATGTAACATCGGTGAATGTTAAAAGAAACGTAGGTACATACTTAATCATACGTTGATTCTTAGCTTTTCGTTTTTATGTACGCGCTTACAATTGAATAAAATACTATTACCCAGTATAATGTAGTTGTCGAATTTTTTTTTGGCGTTAGGGGAAGGGGCCCGGGTCATTCGCTAATTTCTTAAAACGATAGTAGCATATTATTATGATGATACGTAATGATGTCACGTTCTATGACTCTACGCACGACAATACAATAATTTATAAAGTCGACGGTATCGCGTAAGTTGGTGTCGGTAGAAATTGGTCAAGCTAGTTTACCACGCCCCGCGCCCTGCTTTTCGCGCGCCGCACTAACGATTGGAGCGAGTGGCATTGGACTTCTACCCTCGTTCTCGTCCTGAAGTTTTATTTTCCACATTTATAGTTTGGTATTTTTACGTCATCGCGATTTTCATTTTTGCACGTCCCGCGGCCACATCGACGTGTCGTGTAACGGCCTGTTCGCTAATTCGAGAGATTGTAATATTCTGTCAATTCGTATTTTATTTCTATCTTGAGATACGCAAGCGCTTTGTCCTCGTACCTTGGCGACGGTGACTGCGTGCGTGTTTTTTGCACGTTCGTCCGACAGGCGGCGGCGTCTGCGGCACGGGCTATGTTTATGTGAATTTTTAGGTAGTATAATTATCAAATTATCAAATCGTTCTATAACGGATATTGTCGTACGTTTTTTATGAAGACTTCCGTAATTGTCCGCGGCTCGTTGGCGAACGAGCTGCGCTTCTTCGCGATCCAAACAGTATACCTGCCGGTCTTGGATGCTGACCGGAGGTTGCCGTACACATAATATAGTGCCGTGTGTATCTTTCGATACCTAACTGTTCTACCTACATATATCGAGGTAGAGATAGACAATGAATCTCGTTGTATTATATGTATGATAGTAAATTCTTAATATCAAATTTAATACCCTAGCCATGCAGCACATTATAACACTCGACGAAGAGAAACATATTTTATGTGGAATTTATTCAATAACCGTAACAGTTTTGATGCTATCTCTATAAAGTGTGGTCGGCCAAAGGTTTACCACCAAAAGTTTTGCTGTGAGCACCGGATTGAACCACAATAAACCGTCGTCGTTGTTATTTCTACCATCACCGTCGCCGTCGCTCGGTAAACTGCTAATCGAATTTCGATTTTTCGAATAAACAAATTATACGCGGCTCATAAGAAGACCAAAAAATTGTTATAATAAAACGCCATCACTAAAGTATAAACGATCGGGGAGAAAGAGAAATAAGTCAAGTCTCTAAAGCAATATTTGCAGTGCAGAATCAATTTCCTATACACACATATATATTATCTGAAAAAGAATAGTATTCGTAGATAAAGTGCGTTGATATTATGTACAAACTTTAAGTATTTGCTACGCAAACCTTGACAGTCCTTTTTAACCCTTTAGAAGTTGTTTTATCTTTTCTAAGCGACGGCTAACATTGTATAATGAAACCTCTGAGCACAATTTCATGCTTCAAGATACAGTTGTTTAGACTGTTCGTTGATATGCCAGTTTCTTTTTTTTTTAACTCAATGTGTCAAATATTATTAACTAGTGTTAAAAACGCGAAAAATAATATTAAAATAATTAATAAATAAATGCGAAAAATCAACAATAAATTACTGCAATAAAATCAAAAATTTCAAAAAAAATATTGCACAAAAAATGTTTAAATTGTAACACATACATCTACTTCCGCGACTCGGATTTAAAACTTATACTACTCGACAATCGGTATAGAAAACAATTTACAAAATAATTCAACAGTTATACGTCCTCATAATTGTCTTACTTATAAAAAGTTGAATTATGTTATAACTGGGATTCGTATAGTATTTGTCCGATGGACGTTTTGCTGTATATACAGCGTAGGTGTACCTATCCAAACACCGTTATTTAAATTTGCTATCGGTACCTTATTACCGAATTTAATATTTCACTGAAACCCAAAAATCACTAGTTCTAAGTGTCCCGCATGCGTTGATGAAATCGTCTGAACCGAATAATTACGATCGTTACTGATATTATTTTACACGAAGAAACAGTTAAATATAATGAGCGTCAATTTTCGCAGTTACTCCGATATCGGTGTAGTTTTTAGCTTAAAACTTACCTTACGGGAAATACTTTCATATCTCATAAAATGGTTCGTTTTTAACGACCACACTTTTTGGTGGGAAGAGGAAAAGTTCTTCCATTGAACTCCGTTTTTCTGCAATATTTTAACCTTAAACTTATATCATGTCTATAGGGAAAAGTTAATTTTATGTTTTTTTGTATACCATTATTATTAGGAATTGATTGAAAAATTAGAGTTAAACGCTTTAAATGTTGTTGTTTATCTATTAAAAAACAAAACGATACACAAATGTTGAACGGACATTGAGTGATCCCCATTGAGTGATTACATTGAAGTAATTTATTCGTTCGTAAAAACAGCGCTTCCCCCTAAATGGATAATATTGGGCAGTAAATTAGTGGACATTTTCTATTATTATCTAACTGGGCGGCCATTAAAATGTTTAAAAATAATTTTAAAATTTTACAAAATTAGAAAAATATCGAAAACTCGCAATGTCTCTACCAAAAAAAAAAAAAAAAAAAAATGTATATCTTGTTTTGAATATTATAATATTTTCGCAGCCGTTATATGAAAAAAATATGTAAATGCAACAAGTCTCCGATCCCCAGTAGAACAATACGTTATAATTTTAAATATAATTTTTTTAAACCATTCTCCTTCTCCTCATTCTTCTTCCATTCTTGCACTCCCAGGGCTTAAAGATCCTTTTCTACTACGTCTAGCCACATCTTTCTCGGTTTGCCCCGAGACCATTTCCTTTCTGGTTTCCATTTCATATAATCGCTTTGATGATTTCTTCTTCGCTGCTTTTCATCATATGGCCCGGCCACCGAGTTCTTTGTCATTTTATGTAACTAATGTACTGGTGCTTGGCGCAGCTCTTCTTGAAGTTCTGTTTTGAACTTCCTTCTCTATTAATTGGATTTACTTTTTAAGCCATTAGTTGTAGAAAATTTCGTTTGAACATCGCAGACAATAATAATACTATACGCGAGTATGCTGTTATTATTATTATTATTATTATCATCCAAACTAACTTTTATATAAATAAAATAATAAGAACGCCCGAGTCGAAAACGCGCGTACGTCGTGATTTTAAAATAAAAACCGACATCAGATATATATATATAGTTTAATGTATAATATAATAATATTATAGACTTATATACATTTTTGAATCAATATTCCAGTCGCGACGGCCGTCGTCGTCGGTAGTTTTATATATATATATATACATACACTATAAAATAGTATAGCAAAAGCTAAACTTTGGGAATTTCGAGAGATGTAGAAAAAAAAAAAAGTTGCCGTTCGTCCTACATTCGACGTGCGCAATATATAATGTTATATATACTCCTATATTATATTCGCCTCGAGGCGTCGTCGTAGACTCACGGATTTATTATTATTTTTCACAGGGTTCCGCAGTACAACGCGACGTAATTTCCTCACCCACCTATACGTATAACATAATAATAATATATATAGTAAATAAGCCCTTGGTTTTTTATTTTTTTTTTTATTTTTTATTATATGCTACTGTCGCGTCATACGAGTAAACAAAAAGCGATTTTATATCATATACAGAGTGATCAATCTAACGGTAGTATATATGGAGATAATATTATCACCGTCATTATCCGAAAGGAAGTGCAATGTAGAAATTCTCTGAATATTAGGGGAAAAGAGCGTATTATTGATACAGTTATTATTTGATCGAAATGTGGTAAACTTGAATGACACTTAGTAAGACATACAACTTCTTCATAATCGATATAACGGAAGGAAGAATCAATAAACGTAAAGGAAGAGGAAGACCGAGGAAGACATTCATAAAAGACATGATTGAAATGGCTCGACGCAACAGTTATTTACATATTGAGACTCTGGCATTAAAGAAGGAGAAATGGAAGTCTATATATTCGCCATATCCTTTAGTAAAAGAAAAAGATTATTATCGTGGAAAGTCTTAATTTTTTGAAGGAATTTTCATTTTAGAAAATAATATTCTAGAAATAAGCATCTCGGAAACGCTTAAATCTCTACATTTACTCTTGTGTTCGAGGGATGAAATCGCTATCCGTCTTTTGATTTTCAAATGTATTTCCATTGTTTTCAACAGCAAATACAACGAATTTAAATTTGGATAATCCATTTGCGAGATATTGTAGCTCTGTCGCGTATGTAATTTAGAACTTTAGAATTTAGGATGCAACATAGAAGACGCTTTGCGGTATCGTCGAGAAGTAGTTGTAGTACGATTACATCCATAATATCGTATTGTCTTACAATATGAACCAAACTTTGACAGTGAATAACTAGGTATCTAAATATTATAAAATATAACGCATGAATGAAAAATTAAAATTAAAACGCTAATTATTTATTTATTAATATTTTATTATTTATTGTATACAATGCTGTTTAAAAATCAAAATATAGTTATGGTTTTACCCTAGCTATAAAGAATTTTCCTTTAATAATTAAGAGGGAAGTGAAAAAATTTAGAACGGCTCTTGTTTCTTATATTTTTTAAATGAAAAATAAATAAATGCGAAACATTTTCGGAGATAATAAGTGTCTTACGGTAGATTGATCACTCTGTATAATAAAACATTATAGTTTGCTGCAATCAACACAATAAACATGGAGATATTTGACCATTGTGAAAACATTGTGATATCCCGTGGCTATCCAGAACTTATTGGAAGGAACGAAGTATAATATAATATTATTAAAATCCCCTGCAGCCTTATATTATATCATCGTGCTATTTTTATTTATAGTTTAACGCCCGAAAAATCAATTCTCATCAATATTTTTCGTAAATATAACATGAGCTAAATATTGTTTTTTTTTTTTTTGGTATAGTATACTGTTGCAAAATATTTTTATTACTAACAAGTATATTGTGACTAGAACTGGCAATTTAATTATTTTAATATTTTAATGTTCCATAAAACCCCAAAAATGATATTAAAAAAAAATATGCTTTTATGCCCTAAAATTTTCAAATAATACACTTATAAAATACACTAAAAAATGATGTTAAAATCAAAAATTGTCAAAATCGAGTAAGTGGTCTACAGTATAAAAAAAACAATTTAAAAAAAGAAAAAAGTCGTCCATAGATTTTGGAAATTTTATCACTTGCAGCTAAGTTCAATATAAGTATTATTACCAAGTTATATATCAAGTCTCTTTGTGTATTTGTGAAATTAAATCAAAAGGTGTCTTGTTATTTTTCTATTAAATCATTTTTTCTGGTAGAAAACTTCGTCCGTGTTTTTATAAAATAATGAAATCGTGAAATTGTACGTTTTCCTACGTTATTCCTACATGTGTGCTTTTATTTAAAAAATGGCGTCGAAAATCAAAAAATGACAATCTAAACAACTTGAGGTTTCAGAAAAGTTGCTACACCTAAAAATCGAAGCAAGTTTACTAAGAAAAATTGGTCCACAGACTAGAACAAAGGAAAAAAGGAATTAACAGTTTAGTAAAACCAATAGCTCCTTTGCTACGTTCGGAATCTAAAAGAGCAGCACACAGAAAGTTTTAGAAGGAAAGTTTCAAAAATATTTAATTGATTATTATTTAGGTAGGTACTTATTTAAAAAATAGTCTACGTATAAATTTAAACATTTATCATTTTGAGTATTTTGACCGCTCCCACACAATATAAATTTCAGATACGATCGTGGGCTGTAATGGTGATGGCTTCAGCAGTGGCATAACCAAGATTTCCCAATGAGGGGAGCGATAAAAAAACCTTATACAAAATGAATTTGCATTGTTTTAATTTATTTGTATACTCATAATATGACCAGATAAAATACTAAATACATACTGCTAAAACGAAAAATAATATTGAACAACTTTTCATGTATAATAATTTATTACTAACAACTTAAATAATTATAAAGTAAATATTCTTAATGAGTTACTTATTTCTTATGGTTTATGATAAACTACAGGGGCAAAATATTTAAATTTCCAACTAAAATATTGCTCTTTTTTTCCTGTTTAACTCCAAAAAATTACATTTTTCAATAACAGTATATCCATTTTAGTTTATATATGTATACAAGAAGATTGTCGGAAACATTCAGGTTAAAAAAACTATACGTGACTATACACAAGAAGAAATCGCGATTACGGTTCTCGAAACGTCGAGACAAATTCCGATTTTGTTCACTACGGGATTTCTGCAGATGATAGCAGTGTCCGATCGAGTTTTCGATAACTTTTTGCCCCCGGTTGGGTTAATGTGTTTTTGTCACTTCGATGGCCTTTAGAAAAAAAAAAATCAACATGTATTATACAATGCATATGATCGGTTTGTAATTTGTTATGGTGGACTTCGTCGCTCGTACTAAAGTTCTGCTTGTTAATTTATCATCGAGTTAATAAAACATAAAATCGGAATATACTAGATTGCTAACTAGCACGGCCTTAGATGACAAGATTAAACTTTGTTAGAATATTAATGGTGATAAAGGTTCCTTTTTCTCTCTCTCTCTCTTATCAAAATGTAATATACCTTATTAATATCTGTTATCATAATAATATATAGGTGCATAACAGTATTCAAATCACAAATAATATAAATAAGTTCAACCAAATTTTAAATTTAGATGCTTAAATAAACATCCTGTAAACTACTTAAAAATATTTTCGATATTTGTATAAAAAAAACCTTATAAAGATCCCGTATTTAATTTTTTGAGCATTTAACAAGTATATTTCAAAAACTTTTATTCACAAAAAACCAAAAAGAACTAAAATTCTAAACATTGTGTATATAGGTAGCAAAAAAAATTTTTAATATTTTAAAAATTTGTGCACATTTAAAAATTGCCTTTGTTAGTATTCGCCACTCGGTGATAATTTTATCTCTTTATTCATTGAATACTTACATAAAAACAAAATCATAACTAACAAAACTATTAAAGCGTAAATATTCCTTTTACAATTTCCGACTTTCACTATTATTAAGAAAAATCAAAAAAGTATCTTTAGGGATATCCACATGTAAAATGATGAAATATGCAATCATAACAAACCCTTGAAGTAGGTAGATGATTGGCGTATGATATCTGATTTAAAATGTGTTTACAAAGAAAAAAAAACAAACATGTTTGTGTGCTCTATAAGTTTTAAAAATGGCTCTACACTCTCACCCCGCGTTATCTTTTTCTGTTCGTCCCTGCCGTGATACTGTCCCCTTACTTCATATTTTAGAATAATTTTAGATATAGATAATATAATGATAACATTATTTACGGTTGTAGTATTGTGATACAAAGAATGAGTATAACAATGTTTTGTATACCAATAAGTAAAAAAACAAAACCTTTTTGACGTATATTAATCAAACGATTTGGTATACTGGCATAAATTACAAAATATATACCTACTTATTTAGACACACCAATAAAAGCAAAAGTATTTATAAAATGTAAAATGTAAAAAAATAATGTCTAAATAAAACATTTGGATGGTGATTTTTTTAAAAATAAAGACATTAAAATATAGCATCTCCGTCGTGACCTTCAACTCAAACTAAAAATATATTTGCCAGTCCTAGACAAAAAACATACAATATTTAACTGCAGCTTTACGACAGCTATATGTGCACGTAATATTTCACAATATTTTACGTTCGTTTAAAAATTATATGTTGCCAATATAAAACAATAATCATTACCCAACACAATGATTGTTTTTATTTCAAACAATAAATTTTATACAATAATAATAATATTTATTTATAGTTAACGCCGGCTATACAATAATAATAACTAATTGTGATCGTTGATTGTTGATATGATCAATGTTTTTTATGAGCACTGAGATTTCGATGCAATATTAATTTAATTTTTGTAGAAGAAAATTGAAATTTTGTGAAAATCGCCCTAAAACTAAATAGCAAATCTGAGCTGAATTTGTCAAAAAATATAAAATAAAAATATTTAAGGTCACACTTACAACTAATATAAAATATAATTTCTACTTAGTGGTATTAGTGTAGTGATCATTATCAAAAATTAAAGCTCCTCTCTTAGTAAAAAAAAATCCTAGCTACACCAGAGGTATCAAAGTAGATGCAAAGTCTAGATCTAGAAATATGTCAATGTCTGGAGTAGGTATATTATTGCATTTCACTCAATTCATTTCTAAATTACTTTTATTTCAAAATAATATTTTAAGAATATACTCTTCTCGTATCTCTAGAGGCAACAAATTAATTTTAATCAAATTATGTCTCTTTCCATAATTTTATTATTTATTCCAAGCCTGCAGGGTCACACTTCATATGCGCAGAGCAAATCATTTTGTTCACAACATGCTTGTTTATTTAGTCATGAAGCTGTGCCGACGATCAAAATGCTTCAAATGATTTTCAGAAAATCCGTTACCGCTATAAAGCGGTTATTTGAAAATATCATTTTCAATTCGGAAACCTTATTAAAACAAGCAAAGATAATAATAATATATGTGAATATTTTAAACACCATACTTTGTATAACTTCATTATGATACTATATTTACATAAAACTTTGCGAACTCGAAATAGTGGTGTCTACGCATTTTAAAATGAATACATTAATAATATGGTAATGTATACTCGAATAACATTATTTCAATGTACAAAAGTTTTTGTGTTCTAGGACTTGGGGTATAGCTGATATCCGCGCGAATGAACTCTTGACTTTTGCAAGGCCCTTTCCGTTTAGACATTTGTTTTTTGTCATTCGGACACGGAAAGTAAATCATTATTATTTACACATTATAAATGACCACATCGTCGTCATCTTGACAAAATAGTAAAATTAATATTAATATAATTTTTTGTTACAAAATATACATTCTTAAAAATATGTTTTGATCCTAACGAATGTATATGATATATTTATAAAATGGTCCAAAATATTATAGGTCATGGGTTGTTTTATTATTTCCTTCCTCATCCAAGGAATCACCCTATTGTTGAGTAGAACCGAATAGTTTTAAGTTCAAAGTCCGTTTAGGGGGCGGAATGGTGCGAAAACCAGGAAGCAGGGACGGATCTAGAGAGGGCCAAGTGGCCTAGGCACCCCAGACATATTATTTATCCGATTTTTTTTTTTTATAATTCTATTGATCCTGATATTACTATATTTCAATCATTGATTTGTATGATGAAATAATGTACATAATGCATTATAATATATGTAAATTTGATTTGTCTTGTAAAAAAATTGTTTGTTGCTCCCCCCCTCCATCCCCAAATCTTTGCTCGTGCCTGCCAGGAAGAGTGTGCCCTGTGCACACAATTGATGTTTTACATGGGTAAGTATATAACAGAAAAGAGATTAATGATGTCCTATGACTGGCATCACTCGACCGTTGAAAAAACCGATCCCAAAATACCTAAGTACGTATACTAATATTTATATCGATCTTCGTTTTTGACGGCAAAATACGGTAAGAACGTTCTAGAAAAATACGGCAATATGACCCTATAATAATAATAATAAAAAAAAAAATAAAAACAAGGCTGATCCTAGTGATTGGTTAGATTACATTGTTATAAGTGATGAAAGGTCTAGGATATAAAGGGGATGATTAAGTTTAAATCCCGGATGCGACAATAAATCAAAATATGCACAGACAAAAAAACGATTATCTGATTTTTATGTTAAAATACAATTCGAAAACTTATCCTATTAATAACTGTACATGTACTTGTACATTATAACTGTACAAAAATACTTGTAATAATATTTCTACAATTTCAGATGAAATTTTTTAGCGAGTTTCGTTAAAATTTGGTATACAAACTCTATATATGTCAAAAAAAAAAAAAAGATCGCAACCTTATTCCGTTCGAATTTTTTTTTGCCAATAGATACAACCTATATAATGAACGTATATCAAATTATTAATAAAATTTTGATGTAATGTGCGAAATATTTGAATTATATGTAATCCAAAATTTAAATGACTACATAAAATTATAAAACTAAAAAATTCATAATCCGTTTGAGCACATAATATAGCCAATGTTCAGTACAGTATTCAGAATAGAGTATGTCGGCAAAAGAGCACTAATAATTATTCTATTACCTAATATTTTTTAGAACATAAAAACATAAAAATAATCGAAATAATTAATAAAACAAATAATTTCAGAGGGGGCACGCGCTCTAAATTCTCCCTCTCCACGCCAAGAAGCTATGTTATTTATTAAAAAAAGTGTGTAATTTTGATATTGAATAAAATATGATTGTATAATTATTTATACGAGAGAGAAATTAATATTTAGCTCCTCTTTAAAACACATTCGTACCATAACTGTCTAAAAAAACGTACAATTTTTGTTGAAATAAACAAAGCTAATTAATATATATATGGGAGGTAAAACAATGATTAATTTATTTATTAGCACAGTTTCACTTAAGTCAATTTTTTCAGTTGTTTATTGTTTTAGCAGAACTAATAAATCATTAATAATTGAATGATGATAACAAATTTAAAAGTTCTGATCGAACTAAAAATTGTTACGAATGTATTAACTATAATATTAAATGACGAAAATCGTCCTCACCGTTGATATCTATCTATTTATTTTATTGGTCAAGGAATTCAGTGTTAATTCAAGTGTTCAAAGATTTGTTTTGGGTGCAGTTTACTTCCTGTTGCTGAAAATAAATGGAAGTACCTTTTTTGATCATAATAAAAATCCGGGTGCAGCTTTTGTTTTTACATTTAAAAAAAAAGGGCTTTTCGAGCGCAGTTTATGTATATTTTCTCGATCCTCGGCTCAAAATGTAAAACCGATCGTACGCTCATAGTTAAAACCCCATGGTGAACCAGGCACGAATCCAAAGCAAAGATCTGGAGGGGGAGCCGAACAATTTTTTTGTAACAAATACAATTAAAATATAATATAACACATTATGTATATTATTTTCTCATACAAAAGTCTCACTCAAAAATCGGAGAAATAATATGTCTGGAGGGGGTCTGGGCCCTTAAGACCCCCCCTGGATTCGTCCTGCGGTGAACGATGACAATAACTATAATAATATTATTACATATTTGCATGATATCTAAACCTAGTAAATTATTATAAAATGACGATTTCAATATTGCGAAAGTAAGAACGAAACAAAAATGAATACAAAATTATGCTTGTATAAGTACGATTTAATCACATCAGATAATTTTTAAACGCACAATTAAATTACGAAAACGTCCAGTGATTTTAATAATAGTTGTATTATTGTTCAGCAGTCATCAACGGTAATGATTATTATAATTTTATATAGGTACGTGATATGTATATATTGGTGTTATAGCCGCCATGGATGACACGACTGTAAAAAAAAACAAAAAAAACAGACGAGATTAATACAAATAAAAGCGAGTATATTATACTTGTTGTTGCGAAAAAACAGATAATAATTTATTGCACAGAACCTTACAACAAATAAAGTTTCATTTGACTTTACATTTACCGTTTCTTCAAGATCCGAGTTGTTTAGCTATTTTAACTTATGGTGTTTGGATTTATCTTGTTTTTTCGAGCAGAATTATTGTCAAGAATTTTGTTTAATCACGTTAGAACTTCGCATTTACGGATTATCGGATTTGTCTCGTTATCGCATTAAAAATACAAGAATAATATTTTCTCCATCAGAAATAACCAAAACACGAATTTCACTGAAACGTGGAGCTGTTCGGTTATTGCGAAAAACCCGTCAATAATAATTATTTACATCATAGATATATTATATGTGTATTTTGTTTTATTTATCCGTTACTATTTATGGGTATTGTATAATAATTATTAATTATCAATGTTGCCATCAAAGGTTTTTTTTTTTTTTTATCAGAGGTACCTACCTAATATTATTTACAAGGTGATTTATTGAACGTAAAACACTTATTATTTCGCAAAATAATGACTTTTTAAAAGGATTTTTTTTTTTTTGAAAATTTAAAAAACCTGCATTAGCTTTAAAATATTACATTACCTTTATTTTTTGTCACCCTTATTTTTAGGGATGAAATAATAATACTTTATTAATTTTCAAATGGAAACCTATATAAAAAATTCCATAAATAGATGAGTGTTAGTTTAAATCAATTTTGATATTGAAATATTTGACGGAACCGAAAATAGTCATTACTTTTCAAAATAACGACAGAGTTCTACGATAAACAAAATTACCTTGTGTATATAATCTATCTGTAAAATAAGATTTCCAAAAGTGCACAATCAGAAAGGGACATCGCCACCGTGCAGTTTTGATTACGAACATAATAATACGGTGTAACCGGTTTATAATTACAGATTTTCTGCTGTTTTGTTGTTTTTTGATTTATAAATAAATTATTGTATTTACTTATTTTGTGTTTATTGGTTTAAATATGATGTTTTTTCTGACTGTCAGCTTATTTCTATCAGAAATCTTGATCTAATATTCTAGAGTAACATCTTTCCCAAAAACAAAATTTAAAAAAATAATAATGCACGACAATTAACATGGGTTTTGGGAACCCCCCCGAAATGTCCTACTAACCGTAGGGAAGCCTTGAGGGTTTTCACTGATTTTCTGGGGTTTCACTGTAACGTTATCATGCCACTAGTAGGAAATATACCGTTTACGAACGTAATAGAAAGATTGCATTATAGACAGCTCGATATACGTGGAAAGATAGCTGTCCTTAAGGGACCTTAACATTTTGTCCTTCGAGACGAGGTGTTTTAGGGTTAAGGTAGGTTCCACTGTGTATTAAAAATTAAAATATATGATATTATATATAGGTCCAGTGTGATGTCAAACGAAATGTCTCCCGTGACAATTCATAAGGTATGGTCGTATCTACTTCAGAGAAGGGGGGGGATATTATTAGAATTTGACGAATAGGTACAAGATTTTTCCATTTATAATGTGGTCTTCGTTGCACTACGTTATTTTCGAAGTATACTCTTATAATATCATAAAAACATAAATTTGTTTTTAATTGTCTAAATGAATAATTCTATTTTCTATTATATCTATCAGCACTACTGTTGTCGGGAAATATTTTCGCCCCACGAATCGTTTTTATCTTCACTTTTTTATCGGACGGTGAATGGGTGATAAAATACGTTTAAATGTATATCAAATAGGCAGTGATTAGTATTATAATAATAATAGTTTACAATATTCTTCTTCTCTTTCACCTTCGTCCCAACTATTTGGAGTCAGTCACTCTCGTTCTTAACTTCTACTTAACCTGATCTTCCACCTCGTATACATCAGCTATCCTCAAATTATTCTCAATCGCAACCAACCACCACATGTCGGTCTTCCTCTCCATTTCTTTCCTTCTACGTTTAATTTCATTAAAATTCTTACTGCTTCAGATTCCATTTCAATCTATTTTTTCTCATTTTGCCTATTACCATACCTAAGTTACCTCTTAAGTACTTATTCTTTATCTTATCCCCTTCGTTAATATACTAACCTAAGTATTATTATCTCTACTACACTCACCCTCTATTTTATTTTTCTGTCTACACTCTACAGCCAAACACTTCGAATTATGCAACATAGTCTTACCACATTTTTTTTGAACCTATAACTAAGTCTCATTGGAATTCTCACATGAAACACATAACGGTTCTAACTACTTTATCCAACCAAATTAAACCCTATATTTCACATTCACACGAAAGACACCATTATTTTTTTACAAAAGATCCTAGATACTGGGGGCTTTAAATTTCACCAAAAATTATTTTTTCGTGTACTATTTTTTTTTTTATTTTTTTTAGATAACTACATATTATTACAAACAAACTAAAAAGACCTTTTTTTGGTACTTATGCAATTTTTCCAAAATGGATTTTTCCACAAATTTAAACCTTCCCCTATACAAAATGTACGACTTATATCTTAATAATAAGATCAATTACAGATATCTGTACATTGTACTATAGTACATTATAATAACATAAAATATTATATAGTGTAATTTTAATATAGAATGGTTTGTATTTTACCATGGTTAAAATTTTGAATAATAACAACGAATATTAATAAAATATTATAATATATTTTTGTTTTGATAAAAAATGTAAGGTACATTGTTATTTTTATTTCGAAAATGTAATAATTTAACGTAATTTTATTATGTTTATTGCAATACATATTAGTTAAATCCGTCCAACTAACGTAATACCAGGAATATCATATTTCTTATGGGTAGGCGTACATACCCGTATTATCCGAAATGACAAAATAATGTAATTATATTGATTAATTTTGAGAGTTACGTAACATTTTTATTCGAATAATGAAATAATTTGGTTCGTATCAATACAATGACATAAAAGAATAATGCATGTTCGTTTAATTTCCGTCTCTCTCTCTCTCTCTTTTTTTCTTTGGAATAATGGCGAAAATGAGTGAAAATCATACACAGAATCTATAAAATTAGTATGCTCAAAATGAGCCACTTTATTTTTTTTAATAATGAAATATTTTAACTCGAAATTTCCTTCTGGATCAAAAACAGTAGGTATTATATACAGTAGTGAATCGTTCATAAATTCGGATATCGATTTCTCAATTTTTTTTTTTTTGTAACAATTATAGGAATATTCCTTGCCAAAATATACAAATCATTCTTGTAAATTAACATAATCGCAGACAATAAATGAACAATTTACTGATGAATGACCAGCGGAGGGAGGTTATAGATACTTCACACATCTAGCTCTGACATGCCTGGCTTAGGCAAAAAAAGTTTAAAAGAAGTTCTTTCTTTCCCGTTTTCCCATCGGTAAGTATACGTTCTAAAATCAGACAAAAATAATGAAGTAAAATGACGAGCAACTTTGAATTTGCGATATAAACAAATCGCGTATCTTATTATAATGTAATAATTTATTATTCATTGTACGATTTTGCGGCCAACCACCGGAATCTAAAACCGTTTTTTTGCAAATCTTTGTTCAATATATAAGTGATCGATTGCAAAAAAAGCACAGAATCTCAACGTGAGTTGGGACTGGGACTGAAGGGAAAAATGATTACGGGTGAACGATTAAGAACCGTTGCTATTAACTAATTTTTATTTTTACTCCCACAAAAAAAAACCCCCGGTCGAAAAAAAAGCGTGATTAATTTTATATTTCGTTCTTGCAGTGTACGATTTTTTTTCCGAATACCAGCTTGTTGTGCTCAATAGCCCAGCACATATTATTATAAATGATGATAAAAGCGTCCCTTTTATTTGAGTACATACATACTGACTGTTTTAATATTAATAATAAATTCCATTTTAAATCTCTCCTGTATATATGTAAATAAAAAATCTGTTTTTATATTTTTTAGCGATCGCAAATTGCAGCAATAATACAAATCATCTAAATTAAAAAATACAAATAAAGAATAATTATTTTAATAATAAAAATAAATATGGGTACTTAAAAAAGCTTTGATATATAATGTTGGCTTAAAAACACTACGTGAAGTGTCAAAACGAACCTAACATAATCCAGGAACAACCTATGATCTACTGGCCAACCAAAATTTCCAAAATTTTTATCTATTTTTATTAAATTATTTTCATGTTGAAAACCTACCCACCCTTAAATTAAATCAGAACGTATATAAGAGCTTTGGTTTCTTTACACAAATATCGTTTCATACGGAAACTAAAGGATTTCGGTTTAATTAAATGGTTGTGCTTTGACAAAACGTGTTTGCCAGCATTTTTACTAATGCCAATAAAACACATATGAAATTATAGTAACTAGCGAACACAACCACTAACCTAACACAATTCAGAAGATTGAACGTCATCAAATTAATAGCGTGCACAGGGGATGAAGGTTAGTGGTTATAACCTTCCCTCATTATTGGCACTTTATCGGCTTAAAAATAAAAAAAAAATTAAGTAATTTAGTATCGAAATGCATATTACATTTCAGCCAAGTTACGAGGAAAAGCTTTATGTATTTATTAGAAATTGGCTTTTTTTAGAATCCGGCTTTTAAATTACTAGTTCCAATAGTTTAATTGGGTAGAGAAGATGATTTTACGATTCTTATTTGCTTACATCACCTTCCATTGAAAATTCCTGGACACGCCACTACTTCGCAAAAATTGTAAAAAAAAAAAAACCCAGTGATGCAATTTCAAATAATTCGAGTAAAATTATTAGAATAATTTGACGACAAGAGAGTGTAAAGAACTTATACGATATTTCTACTATTAAAATGTATTTAAAATGGCAGTGATATTTTCTTTCATATCCGAAATTGTTTGATGAAACTATAGATCGGGTTTGTCAAATCCAAAATCACGATGTTTTTAAATTAACAAAAAAAATGCATTTGCGTTCTGATAAATAAATCTTTTATTTGTATGACTACTGAAACAAATTTAAATTGTCCGACTTCATACTCAGACTAGTTTGATAATGGTACATTCTAATTCGTGCTAATTTGCTTTTTTTTAAATGCATACACTATATACAATTCATGGTTTTAAAAACAGATTTTATGTAAGAGTTGTTTATGTATTTTTGAATGATAAATTTGAATCAACATAAATTTCGAAATGTGGCAATTTGTGAAAGAATTTCACTTAAAACACACGGATCAGACATTTTCTCAATGTAAACTACATATTGATTTCGAAATATGGGTGCATAACACTATAAAGCAAATTTTTTCAAACGTACAACTTATCGGATATCAATGTCATTTAAGTCAAGCCTGTTGGCGTTATGAATGTATTTTTAATTTAGTATTTTAGATATATTAAACATATCATTTTTTAAATATGTATATTAATTTAGCAAATTTAAATGGTTTACATAGATAAATGCAAATAGAAAATTGAGACAAGCATATTCGGATGACACGAATGATTTGGTGGGACTTTGAATTGGCTTCGTATGTGTGGTACTCATTTTCGTACGGAATCGTACTGATTTAAGAGTCAGCTTGTAAAAATGACCCTTTTTGCCAAACGTACAAAATCGTATATACTGTGCCGTCACACAAATGATACGCCACCACACACCCCCTACAAAAATGTAAAAGCGGAATATCTCGTCAACAGGTTGATAGAAATCAGAAATTTCAAAACTAAAATTTATTTAAACTAATCCCTCATCAATTTATGAAAATTGGTTTATAAGTTTCCATTTGAAAATCAAAATTAAGCAGTTGTTTCACTCTTCAAAACAAGAGTGACAAAAAATAACCGTAATCTAATATTTTAGAGCTACTTATATTTCTTGAATGAACTAAAAACCAAATTCCGTAAAGTTTATACTTTCCGAGATAATGAGTGTCTTACGTTATGTTGGTTATTCTGTATATAAATATTCGATGACATTTCTAACTTACATAATTATTTTCCACCGAATTACAACGAACAATAAAATCTTATACGACACAAACCATTACTGTGTAAATATTACTGTTGTTCCGGCGTTTTTCTCGGGTTTTCACCATTATGATGAAAACTACAAGAAAAATTATAAAAATAACATCCTTATTGCACCAAATATGAGACAGCATTTTATATCATAAACTATTACCCTTAAAGTTGATAATCGGGGTAAGATTTAAATTAGAAAAGTAGATTACAGATTTACAGAAAAAACCACATATAATATAATAGTAACCTATCATAGTAGAATCTGAAATAAATATATAAATAAGTAAGTAAAAACTGAATCTGCAATAATGTTATTAAATAGGGTTTTTTTTTATCAACTATTAATTATTGATTTATGTTTAAAAAAAAACGGACATATTTTGTTCGATGCGTGGGCTACTGATGTAGGTGAAAAGTTGGAAAGTAGGAAAAATCAGAAAGGAATTTCATGTATATTTGTATGCGTTACTATTCAACCATAAATCTTTGCTAATGAAAAACAATTTTGAACGGAGTTCCATTATACATGTTTTTATGGTTTTAAAAGGCTGTAATATTTATGATTTGATATTAAAATTAAAAAAAATAATAATAAATAAATAATGTAACATTAATCTCAACTTTTTCTTGTTTATCACTAAACATAACTTATAAAAAAGCACTTGTTAAATTTGCAAGCATTTCTGTTTAGTCAAACAACTTTATCCATAGAGTTTTACAGAATAAAAACTACGTACGCAAATATATATTTTTGTCTAAATTTCAAGTTTCTACGATTATTTCAAATTGAATTTTACAGAAATAAAACAAATTTGAAAAATAATACGAGCATTATTTTCGTAAATTCCTCATTTTTATCGGTTTTTCCCAATTATTATGACATCTGTTTGAAAAAATTCAAAAAATTACTTCCTTACAGTATCAACTAGATAAAACTATTTCTCGAGAAAGGTGCTACGTTTGATACATCGGAGTAAGATTTCTGGTAGAATTTTTATATACAGTATAAAAAAAATAATTAAACATCATTGTAAAACTAAAACATTCCTCGCTTCGCTGAGAGTCTAAAATTTGTGTATGTGGATTTGGATATGGAAGACGTAGCCTTCCACGAAGTAGGTTGAGTTAAATAAATATAACGGACGCGTCATTCATTTTGTTTAAGTCTTTTAGTTTTGTATAGACGTTTAGTCTCTCTGCTTTAATTTTTCCAATTCGAGGTCTGGGCAAACTTTAATAAGATTGGTCGGTAACAGGGAAGAAAGACAGAAGTAGGTATGGGAAAAGGATGTAACATCCGCCATAAAATAGGGAATCGTAAAAATACAAAACTAATTTCTTTACAAAAAAACACCAAAATTTACGCATTCATACAGAATTTCGTAATGAGCTATCTAACGATCAATAAATAGGGTTTTTTTTTTTAGATAAAAGAGCTACTCAGAGACGTAATTTTAGAATTGAAAAGGTAAACATATTTCTATCGCATACGGATTTTTTTTTTTTCATAACTTTATACAAGTTTCGACAAAAATCAATTGGCATTTTCAGATATATTTTTATTTTTATATAATAGCAAAATGAAAAAAAAAAAAACTGAAAAATTGTAATTTGGTATCTATTTAAAATCATCGCATAAGTTTTTGTTGTTGGATTACCAACGACTCGTCGACACAGATTAACATCAAAATTAAATTTATAAAAACAACATGGACTTTACTAGCGAACCGAGCAGCATATATAGGTTAAAAATCAAAATTTGTATGGTGACCTATAGAAAAAAAATCTGAATCTGAACCTATGCGCGAAGTCCCCGCAAATGTATTTCCTGCAGTGGCAAGCGCAAAATTCGATTATGTGACAAACGAATAATTCGACTGGAACACGTACCTATCTATATATTTACAGGAATAATAAATCGGAGTGCCCAAAAAGAGTTTTCTCTAATGCCGGGTTGTACCAAATATTTACACGGAAATAAACTTGTTTTTCATGGGGTTAAAATAAATTCTGTTGCATAAGTCACGTTTTAAATTTTATCGATTGAAAAAATGTACTTTATCAAAAGTTAAATTACAGGCCCATTTATCGTTATATAAAAATGTATATACAGTTAGATTTCGTTTTCAGTGTTTAGTGTTACTTAAACTTCTGGTATCTATAATATAAATCTCTTTATATGTCTATGCCGGTACAGTGAAACTATTTATTCGTTAACCAGTATTCTAGTAATAACCTGAATATTAAACAGTGATTGAACAACATAGGTAAATTTAACACATGTCAAAATTTTAATTTATTAACCGTCAGTTTGTTATTATAAATATATTTTAACGCGGAATTTATCAATATGTAACGACAAATTTGGTGCCACCGGGCATAAAGGCTTGACTGGTATCCAGATCGTTAACGTCGGAAGCTATAGAGTGTACTAAATTACTAGACATAAACTCAGGCGCGTGTAAAAAAGGGGGGATTGAAGTTCATCCCCCCTCCCTCTACGAAATTTCATGAAAATTATAATGAGAGTAGATTTATAATAGAGTTTCAAAAGTGATTTCTGTGAATGAAGAAGATAAATAGAATTTTGGTTTTATTTTTATTATTTTACTTGATATAGTAGGTATAAATTGTTATTATTGTCATTTCTAATTTGTTGTGGTTTTCCTGCTTTCAGACAATTATAACTGATACTACGATATTGCATAGTCCGCATTATCATCACAATAATATAAATTACGTTATCATTTAGACTGTATTGAGTATTCACTAAAAAAATATTAAGTGTAAAATTTAGTAATAGGTACCTAAAATACTAAAAATGAATGTTATGAAATATTGACATTTTTAATGCAAAATAAATAATCTTGCAATTTAAAGTATGTAAATTTCTTTGTTATAATATAATAGTTATGTTATTATATAATATAATAATTTGTTATGGAATAATATAAGCAGACTTTTAATATTATGCAACAGAATGTCAAGTTGAATATACACGAGACATATTTTATTATTATAATTTGCGTAGTTTTGGAGAAAACCAATCCAATAATGCGACCCTCGATGGAAAATTAATGCATGTACGCGTGTCGTACATAAATGGTTACCGGTAGCTTTTGGATTATACATACAGGGTGTTTTAATTTTATCGTGATTTAGCGATTATTTACGAAGATTTTGAGTGAAACTGGTTTTCGTTTTTTCCTGTTATTATTTTCCCGTATTATTTAACAAATTTTCAAAATCTCACCCTTATTCTGTATTCCATTAACACATAATCTTTTTCTCAAAATGTTTACTAGCGTAATAACACTATTATTTAGAGAAAATAATGAGTTACAATTGTAACTCATAAATAATAAATCGGCTTTACTGTTAACAACATAAAATGTATACAGAAGAAATAAGGAAGGGTTATCATTTAGAAATAAATATGAAATTTATTATCCTTTCTGACATTCTTCTGGTCTATATTTTGAATTGTTATTTCATCAACTCTGTTATAACATAATATTATAAGTGCTGTAACTAACATTTTTTGAAAACCATACTTTTTTCGAAAATGGTTTGAAAACCACGGTGGAAGTTGTTATTGGAAAATTAAAAGTTAATATCTACTCATTTAATAATTATAAATAAACAAATTTAAAATAAAACCTAAACAATTCCAATGGTACAAAAACAGAAACTAAATAATTTACTTAAAATCGGGCTTGAAAATTGTTGGATCATGATAAAATAGTTACACTGTATATTAGCCTCCTGTATTGTCGTCATCTCGGTACTCTATAGTCTATTTTACTTTTAAGCACGTTCTGTAAGCTCCGTATAATAATATAATACACGTATGCAGTATACACAGAGTTTTTACTTTTTACAGTAATAAACTCGGAGACCGGAGGATCGTCTAAAATTTGAAAACAATGTGTTCTATGACAAAAACTAAAAAATAATACTTATGGACGTATACATTCGATAAATAATAATATAGCAATTACGTACATCAAATATTTGTGTGTATTTAGTTTTAAGTTTAAATTTTAAAAATTACTATCGTATATCTGCGGGTACTCAAAGTATAAAACGCGACTAAATATAAAACTGAACAAAATTATTGATTTTTGGAGTATTATTAGACTTTTGTTTTAAGATTACAGCAGTGGCCGCTCCCATCTCTAATTTCAGCTAATTTTAAGTTGTGTCATGAATAAATCGGATCTTTTTTACTAACTGAAAAAGTATTCTTCGAAAAACTTACTTTTTAGTTAAACGAATAGCCTTGTTCTAACACTCGGAATTTGAAAATCGAATAACTTATCTTCGCTACACTCCGAATTAAAAGTAAATGGTTATTAATAACGTAAACCTATTATATAGTGTCAATTTAAGTCATACGACATCGGTAATGATCTCAAACGCCACTATAGTACCTCTATACGTATATTATGTTGTTTTTCGTCGTGTCGTAGTAGCGTAGTTTAAGCTTTTACAACGATAAACAAACTCGAGGATTGTTAATAATTATTTTTGGCAGTCGGTCGATCGAGAGTAGTTTCCAGTTGGTCGGTCTTATAATACGCATTAAATTGGAACATTGTTGTGTACGCGTTTAATTTAATTCATTTCACCCGTTGTCGACAAAGAGCCCCGGAAATCCATATTCAGCATTTTTTTTTCATTCTCTATAATACCGTGATAGTATTATCAGTATCCATTTATAATCGTGCAACCTAAAACAACAAACTACGCAGCGTAATATTTTTGTTAAATATAATTTGTGTACGCAGTTCAAAGTATAAATCTGTAGTACGACTGTCAAGTAGAGCTCTTGCACAGTCCAGTCTTTTCTGAAAAAAGTCTGGAAAAATTGCCATACTGATTGTATAATCATATCATAATGTGCCGGTGTCAACTTGACAAATATGAAATACCTATATGGTTGATAGTTTTACACTTAAAATCATATTATTACGCCCTGAGTGAAATTGCATGTAAATCTTGTTGAACGTTTTTATCTTGTGATTCTTTGTTTTTTTTTCAAGATGTATACTTTATCTAGTAAATTGTACATGGTGCAATGAAAATACTAAGAGAGACTGATTAAAAAATTAGTAGAAATAAATGTAAATCATAGAGAATAAGTTGAATCCATAATAATAGTAATATGTCTGTTCTTCATTAACGTCATGAGAGCATATTTAAAATCCTATGTAAAGTATTAATAACTGTCCGTCCCATTTCTTCCTTCTCTTAGCTCTATGTACACATATATTTATGACGGAACAAACTTCTTAGGGAAAGGCTGTGCGTCATGTACCGCGCCACTAAATTCGTATTATATAGACACCGATCAATACTTTTTTCTTTGAACTAGGATACCTATAAATGAGTGTAATTTTAATCAAGGCCAAATTCTAAACTGTTCAAAACGTAGAAAAAAAAGTCAGAATTAGATAAAGATTTTCGATCGTAAGACACACGCCCACAAACGATTTGTATACTATAATAGTATGCTATGTAAAATAGAATATATTTGGTTATGATACAATATATTATTAAATCGAAAATCGAATCGTTAAATCGTTTTAAATCGATGAAAATTTATATTGTGTTCAAATAATCGTTAAAGTGAATATAAATAATACATATATATATATATTTACAATAATATATTATTGTAGTAAATATTACCCGAAACGGATGAAAATCACGTGTTCTTTCGACAAAGGACAATTTATAAAATAGTATACAATCTATCAAGGGAGACAATAACGTCACTGTGACTAACGGTCTATCTCCTTCAACCCCTCTTCTCTCCCCCCCCTTTAACCACAGATATTTCTTTTTTCTGACGGCCATGCTGACAGTTACAGGGTATTATTAATTCAACAATTCAAAATATATTTAATTACCCAGTATAGTTCAAAAATTATGTGCAATAAATCGTTACAAATTTACGATTTTTTTTTAAATGTAAAGTAAAAAAAAAAAAAAAAGCAAAACATTCTTTGCTCCATTGGTGGGCCATTGTTACAGGTTTAAAATTGGAAAGATAGAACAAAATATATTATAACGCGATTTATTAGTATATATCTGTACGAAACGATAACATATAAATTATTTCAAACGATAAAGATTCTACCGTTATTGAATACGTTTTTCCTCTTTCTCTGGTTTTTCTTAGTTATTAAGAAATTAAGAGAAAATCAAAAAAATAATCTCTTAAATACATTAACTGGACAAAATTTACGACCGGAAACTACCCTTGATGATTGAAACAAGATTTCTAGAAAAAAAGTTGTAAACAGACAAAAAGAAAACAAAAAAAAATTACAGTTAGAATTTAAACAAAAAATCATACACGATTGATAAAAACCTGGAATTAAAAAATTCCGGAACGTAGAACCCAGAATCACAATAATTCGGAACGTAATATTCCGGAAAGTAACTTTCAGGACATAGAATACGGAACATAGAATTACGGACGGAAATAATCCAAAAGGTAAAATTCCGAAATTAAGTTAAAAGTAAATGGTTCCTAAATCTTTCGAATCAATAACCTCGTTTTTTAAGTTAGATAGCCTTCACACTTATGAAAATATTTTAGAAACCATTGATATTATCTTTGGAATAACGTTGCGGATTATTGTGGACAGGGAAATTATAATATTGATTTTTTTTGTTTCGGATTATTACGTTCAGAATAATTATAATCCGGATAATTGCATTATTGCATCCCGGGATTTTACGTTAGAAATTAGGATTATTGCATTCTGGAACATAACATTCCAGAATATTACATTCCGGATTATTGCATTTCGGATTTTATAGCCCTATATAGTATCCTAATATACAATTTAAATCCTCATTATATTCAAAATCTAAAAACGGAGGTTTAAAAAAAAAAAAAATAAATGGAATATTAAATACCTAATCGTTAATTTTTTAAATATAAAATTATTATTATAACTTTTCACAACGATGTTACCATGAAACTATCATTAAAGAAGCATTTGTGTTCTTTAAACATTTTCATAGTCGTCTTCAAAGTCATCTTAATTCCATAGTCGAGGATCTTTACACCCTACTCTTACAGAAAATCCTTACCACAGACTTAAAAGCTTATGTAAAACCGTTTTTTTTTTTTTAAAAAATTCTTTTAGAGAGGTTTTGGAATGAAATATGAAATGAAAAAATATTAAGTACAATATAGTATAATTTCCAGTTAACTTAGAAAAATATTGTTTTAAATGCAATATTCATTACAACGTCTACTATACTATACCACATCCGAATAAGTACTTTCAAGGGAGTTATAAAATGTTATAGAATATTGTACTGAACAAAAAAACAAACAAATATAAATTGTAAAACTTCATGAAAATATTTATGTTTTAGTGCAAATGGGTAACGTTAGCGTCAATATTGTATACGCTGAAAATACAATAATATAATTTATTGCATACAAACAAGTACTAACGCTTTTTTTTTTTCATCAGCATGTTTGTAAACATTTCACAACTCGTATAATATTATTTGTTGTACAATAAATAATACTAATATTATAATGTTCCGTCTTAAAGGACGTGCTAACTCTCGTATTTAAAAGGTAACGTATAGGCAGTTCTTATCAATTTCGAAGTTATGGGAAAATTAAATTTTATCAGCTTTTATTCAAATTTACTTTCAAATCCGTTCACCTGTAATCCCATTATCACTAGTATTTATTGTGTAATCATGAAATACATGTTTACGTAAAACCGTTCCGCGCTTGCAAAAACTAGAGTCATTAACCAAATGTTCATCATAAAACAAAGAGAACTTTCACTGCACAACGATGGTTTAAGTTTATCGATATTGCTATTACGAAATAATTTATTTAAGTTGGAAAAACTTTAGCCTAACAGGTTTTTAAACAATAATAGCTTTTTATGTACTTGTAATATCGAAAAAATAAAATCAACGTACGTTATACATTACGCATTTTCTTTTGTCTACATTAAAAATATTATCATATTTAGTCTTAAGAGATTTCACAGTGAAATTTGTCGTCTCATTAGCGTTTTTAATGGGCAACATAACAAACATGTTTTCAAAAAACGAGAAATGCCTTAAAAACCGATTTTAAGAGATAATACACTATTATAGAATCTATAAATAATACCATTTTAGCGTATAAAAAGTAGTATTTTATTATTTTGTTTTTATTTTTTTTATACCACAGCCTTCTATCTTTATATGGTAAATAATCTCCTGTAACTTAAATATAAATTTCATTTCAAATTCCCCACGATTTGATACATCTCCCTGATAATTTGTATGGCTGTTGTTTACATGTTTACCTAAATTTATCAGCGAATCAGAACTTTTTTTATGAAATCAGTAAGCTCGAATCGCCTCCCAATGTCAACCGTATCGTGTTTGGAAAATATTTACCTCGTACGAATAAATATTTTTATTTCGTTTTCCAGCATTAACAAACTTCATGTTCAACGTAGAAATAACGAAAAATTATTAGACGATTCTGTAAAATTTTCGGGGCAATGTGTCTAGTAATGAAAATAATGAAACAGCCAACATATAAGTTTTGGAAAATGTTAACCCCGCGCAACCAAATATGGTGAAAAAAAACACACAACCGATTGATTTAGGTAATAATAATAAAGAAAACAATAAAACGCTAGTGAGGTTGTTTTTAAAATGTCATAATCTACAAATTGTACGAGTATTAAAGGTGTTGTGTGTCTAAAACCGAAAACATGCTTTTTCAACATTTTTGTTACATTAACCATTAGAGACATTCAAGACAGCGAATCTAACTGCAACGGCCTCTTACATATAATGTTTAATTTATTTTAGTTTTGGTATAGACGATTAGAACTAAACAAATGGTAATTTTTATTTTTATTTGCGTTAAACATTTTTTTACGAACACCTATGGATCGTGTTATATACAAATCGTTGAATGGAAAACTAATTTGATTTTACATTTTATATATTCCGTACTTACTGTGGATATTGGTTAACGAGAAAAAAAAACACAATTATGTAAGAATAATTTTATTCGATTTTAATTATAATAATATTATGCAATGTATAGTGTATACGGGAAAACTGTAACAGCGAAATAAATGTAAACGGGTCTGTTGTTTAATGGGTAAAGTTTGATTTATTTTCTTATTTTATTGTTCAATATAAGTATTGCACACTATTTTTCATATAATAATTATAACATCACAAAAGAACTGGGAAAATCGTTAAACAGAAATAATAATGTAAAATACTAGTATAGGTACAAACAGAAAACAAATAAAATAACAACTCTCAGTCTCAGTGGCGTATTTGCGGTGTTACGAAACATACGTATATTTTAAAACCCAATTTAATTTACAATTAATTGTAATAATTAATAATACAAGTTAAATTTGATGATAAATAATATTATGCGTCTGTAGGTACTAGGTAAGTACCTATTAAGGAGCGTTCACCCAAATAAATGGCCTTCTTCACCTTTTCACCCGTAGTTTCACGTTCAATATTTTGGGAACCAATTATGAAAATTAATTACCTATGTTAGATATTAATTTATTATAACTTACCAACAGTGGCGTATGCAGGATTTTCAATGGGAGGAGGGGGAGACGTAAAAATAAATAATGACTCTGTTGTCAAAAGATTAAGTTTGAAAAACAAACTTGGTGCTTTCTTAGTTCTTATTTATATTAAAAGTAAAATATTCACAAAAAATATGAAAACAAAAAAATACATTAATATTTAAGTAATCATAAAAATAATAGGTAATGAAATACAATTTTACTTTTACTTTGTCCATTCTAAGAACTGTAGACGTTTAGGTGAGTTTTTAAAAATTGTTGAACTATTTCAACTTCGGTAAATTCGTTTAGCTTCTGAGCGGAGCGAGGAATGTATGATTTTAAAATGATGTTTATTTTGCTCCAATTTTTAAATGTAGTACTTTTTATGAAATAAAATTTGACTGAGATGGTACTTTAGGAAGGTCATTTTTGATTTTCTCAGGGGTTTTTTTAATAAATGGGAAAAACCGAAAAAAAAAATAGAAAAATTTACGAAACGTTTTATTTTCAAACCATACATATTACGACCTTTCAAAACATATATAACCGAAGTCCGCTCAGAATTGTTTTTCGTTATCAATGATTTGCGTACAGATATACATTCAATTTCCCTTCTACCTTTCCAACTTCTCACCTACAACAGTGGCCTACCTATCATGCGAAGTATGTTCACTAGTTTTTTTTATTTATGTTGGCTATAGTTAATTCATTAAGACGTTCTTCCGTCATAATTGATCAATCATATCTAAGATCATATGTATGATTTCAAACGTTTTAATATTAAAAATATTCTCTCTGGTGACACTGAAGTAATTTGCAATGTTGCAAACAGTCTTAACAGTACCTGAATATTTGGTATAAATGTATACAATGAAATAGTGTATCAATAGCTGATTGTTTTTTATCATCCCTGTCATTCTGCTGACGTCTCCACATATGCAGTTCAGCTCTAGGACATAAACTGTCATTATACGAAAGTTCTTCATTATAAATGGTAGCTGTCTTTAAAATAGAGTAACCATCGTTAAAACTGTTGGAATCAGTTTATGCAGTGGCTTAGCATCAAATATCCTATCATAAAATCATATGCAGAGCTTAAATTATGATAATTATGAAAAATTATAAACAAAAAATTATAAGTGCACAGACATTCTAAAATAAATTTCTGGATCTGTAACATCTATAATTATATGATGATTTTCAAGCATTTCTATTTAGTTTATTAATTTGTATCCATAAAGTACCTACCAAATAAAAATTACGTAAAAATCTTGCAAAATTAAAATGTCTATAAATAGCTTAAATTTTTTGAGAATTTTACCACGTCTAGAAAAAGTAAATATAAGTTTTCTATCAAAATTTCAAGTCTTTTAAACTGAATTACATTAAAAATACAACATTTAAAATAATAAAAGAATAATTATTATTTTTGTAAATTTTCCCGTACTTTCTGCATATTTTTCGGGTTTACCGGTATATATACAATAAGGAAAAAACCTCTCGGAGAGGATATGCAACCTCTGTGGAATTTAATTCACTACTAAGAAGTGCACTACGCCCCAAGAACTATGGGTAAAGGGAATGGTTTATGCTACGATCGCGTAGTTTCAAAGGTATAATTTATAGTGAAGTATAATATATTAGTTATTGTTTAATACTTGATTTTCTATAGGACCTAATATTCAAATTGTATACGATATATCTCAAGAATAATTTTTGTTTTGTGTTTTTGCTAATTGTACTAGTGTTCAAGGCTGGATCAAGGGTTCAGTGGGCCTTTTACGTCGAATTTTGATGGGCCACTCTTTATATAAAATATACATGTCTGTATTACAAAAATGTTTAATGAACATTTTCATGTTCTTACATAAACGTGGCTCCTGTTCTCTTTTTTCGGGTTTACCAGTGGTGATGCCGGTGTTTCAATTATAGGTAGGTAATCTAATTTTACAATTTCTACAGTTCCAATATCAATCGTTTCAATCCACCAATGAATACTTCATTGCTGAGTCTTGATCAGTGGCGTTTTCAAGAATTTCCAATGGTGGGGGAGGGGTTGTGAATAATTCCTAGAAAAATGTATAAGGAGCTATTGGCACACACCCCTCTAGTTATGATGTTTAGTATTATTTTTAATAATTATAAAATAATAATACAAAATTTAATGCACTTTTTATTTTTTATAATATAAAATCTAATATCCAAGGGTTTTTTGCCAGATCATCTACCACTTCCTCAGCTGTTAATGGAACCCTTCCATGAATGGGTAATGGCTAACATTGTAAGCTCAATGAGCAGGGTCTAAAACAATTAAACAGATACACTTTAGTACTATAGTTACCAATAAATTCAAAAGAGGTTCCTTTGTCATTGTACTCACAAATAACTTTTGAGTCGATTAGGACATGAAAAAGTTCTCTTCGGAGTTGCAGTAGAAACTGGTAGTGTATACAGCATTTTTAACAGGCGATAGATATTTGGGAACATCTCTTCATTACATAGTCGTAACGTTTCTAATGCATTTTTCGTATGTTCCTTATTTCGATCTAATTGTTTATGCCATAATTATAATTCAGATTTTACAATTTTATCAAATTCTTCAGAGTATATTTTAGAAATTAAACACCTGAATCCTTGGAAAGAAAACGACCAATGAAGCGGGTGGAGGTTGAACCCCATAAACACCCTCTGTGAGTAAGCCCATTGTCCTAACACAAATGGAAATCTATAATAGATTTGATAAAACGGATGTGACGTTTTATTGGGATTAATTAACGGCGTCGAATCAGGAAATTTTATAAAAATGATTATTACCGTTTGAAAATATATACATAGATTAAATAATATGTTGTAAATTTAGCTACACACAAGTTCTTTGATATCCAAAATTTTTCATAGTGTGTTAAAATGTTAGAGGCTCGTCTCCAGTCCTTTTTATTGCCATGTTTTCACGAAACAAGATCGAGACACTGTCGTCGACGCCGAGTTGATATTCGTTTGTGGCCATATTATAATATAGGAACGATCCGAAGGCAAAAAAAAAAATCGGGTTACCGAATTTGTAAAATATTCCACGATGGGTTAAATTCGTTTATATACTATGGAACGCAATCATTAAGATTATTGGTTGTAAGATTAACAAGATTTAATGTGATATAAATTCGTTTTTACTGTAATATAGAAGTATAATATATTATATTATACTATTATATACTCTAGAGTAAATATTTCGTAAAATGTTGATACCTATCGATTTCAACGCACATTATATTATTATTATTACTAAACAAAATGTAAAAGTTTTAACGAAAGTTGTTTCTTTTATATTATAATATTTTAAGCGTCTCTTATTTTGTTCTCGTTCTCTGAGAAAAAAAAAAAAGAACCAATCAAAACTTTATTATTCACTCACATTCTCTATGCGGGCAACAGACAATTATAAAACTTATAAGTAGGCATATTTGTAATAATAATAAATCGCAAAATAAAAAAAAAAAATCAATAATTAAACCAACGGGTTTGACAAAAGTGGATCTAGAATTTAATAAAATAAATTTTATTCAATACTAAAAAATAAATATATTTAAAAATTAAAATTAAAAATATTTATCTATAAAAATTGTAAGAATAGTTATTGTAAACGATTAGGGACGCTTAGATAGATCTATTTAATAACAATTTAATGTTTTATATATTGTTACTTATAAATTTTTAACCTGGACGTTAGGTCAATAAAGGAAGGTTTCATTCTTATGATTGCTATTACGGATTTTAAACTTTGAGTAAAACTTTATGACCCGTGATACTACATCAAATTATTTACTAACGGACAGATGATCAACGCGTAAAATATATTAATAGATTAAGATATCAAGATATCCTTTGCTCCATGAGTCCAGACGCCACCAATCCTGAACTTTTTCAAAGTAATAAAACTGCACTATATCAAATTAAACGGGCAAAACAAATGAAGGTCTATAAATCGGTCGATAAAAAAAAATTGGTTTCTACAAATGTAATTTTCATATTTTAAGGATTCAGTTCATGTGTAAGCCCCATCTGGGGGGGGTTAAATTTCCTATTTAACACCCTTGGATGTTGGAACTAACCGTGAAATTTTCACCGAACTCGATCGAGTAGTTTTTAAGTCTATATTATATTATAAATAATTGTGGTTACTTGTACGAATGATAAGAAATAATACAAATATAACAATCGTTTGGTGATCGATTTGATAGGTTAGATATTTCAAAATGAATTGTATAAGGTTTGGGGAGGTGTTCAAATGAAAAATTCATTATAACAAATCTATATAAATGAAATAAAAATATTTCTGACATAGTGTTTGAGTCGAATATGCGGATGCTAGTGTGACGGAGCTTCTTCGATACACTCAGAGTCTATAAATAAATTATTGTTTATCGAGTACCTACCATGTGACACGTGTCTATGCGAAATGAAAATAATATTAATTTTGAACTCTATAATAATAATGTTAACGATTTTTACGTGCATATATACTGATATAACTACGACTTACCTACGTCATGACGATATTTAAAAATAAAAAAAAGTCGCAATAGAAATGATAAAAGCGGCCTTGTTTATTTAGGTGTCTGTTTATCGTGGGACTCAAGGGGAAAAGCAAACACTCTATTTAGAGTTATATTTTGCGAAACCGACAGACTTGCGTTTAGTGCCAATACACAACGCGACAGCAAAGGTTCAATGTTAAACCAGAAAAAAAAAAAACGAATAAAAATTAAATTATTTCATTAAACTTTTTTTCGCCAGTTATTAATTCGCGACCCGTAGAATTCCATTTGTTTTTATTCTGCGTGAGAATCGCAAGTTATTTGTATAGTTTTTTTTTTTTTTTTATGGCTTATCCAAACCATTTTTTTTTCGATGACGTTTTTAGAATTAAATAATTATACCGTCGATGTTGCAAAAAAAAAAAAAAAAAATACCATTACTGAAAGGTACATTTGATATATCCATTCAGTTCTTTTAAATTTATACGCGTTTTATTTTTTGGTTTTTGTTCAGTTTTTTTATTTTTTTTGGTTTTTTATTGTACGGCCACTCGTACGAATATAATAATAGACAATAGTGAATGTACTTTTAGAGCAACGCGTGATGTGTTTGCTATAAGAATTATACGGGCCAGCTCCCAGTATTTTTGTTCGATTGTAAGGTTTTTTTTTTGTTTGTTTTTTAATTAGATTTATGGTAATTTACTTTCCAATGTTTTTACGTATATAATATATGTATAATAAAAGCACCCGATTTAGAACACGACCGCAGGAACAGAATTCGGTTAGGGTTCTATATTATATTAATATATGCGGAATCAAAACAAAGTTTTGAAAGTGTCGAAAAACCTGCGAGAAACAAAATAGCACAATATAGGTATATTGAGGTAGTTTTGGGACAACACGAATACCGTGGACATTTTGATTATACATTAAAATGTCACTTCAAGGTTACTTCACTCGCTGAAAAACGAAAATACTGTTTCTGTTAATAAACGATTTTCATCATGGCATCGGTGAGATGAAGGGTTATGTGAAGGGGTTTGTATTGTTTATTTATTATTATTTTTAGTTTATGTTTGTACAATATTTATAATTTCGGTAAAAAATATGACTAGGACAGTCCCAGTCAAAAAGGGATTTTTTTCTAATAGTAAAAATGCTCCTAATTGTTCTCATCGTACCTCAAAAGAAGCGGCATTTTTTGACCGGGGGTACTTTATTTGATTACATTCTCAGCAGTTTTTCTGGAAAACTAAAAAACAGTCATCAAATGACGATACATAAGTTTTAGCTTTGAGTCATACATTGGCTATAAAGGCAAAAACACGACTAATAACCTTATGTTCTACAATACAATCTTAACAGTTTATTAAGTTCTACATTCCACTCAAAATTGGTTTTTTGATTTTAATAATTAAGTTACCTTCAGTATATAAAATAAATATATTCTATGTATGTATTATACGTTCCAAACTTTCAACCTTTAATATTATGCCTGCCCTACTATCTATACTATGCTAGATCCTAGATAAACCTATCGATTTTCTGTATGGACGCAGCTGATGTTCCTAAAACTAAAAATATTACATTTTAAAAGATTTAAATTGCATTATTATAATAAAAACAACATTGGGAAGGTAGAATACATAAAGTTATTTAATTTCTATCTGTACGCAACGATAAACCTTTGCAAACGAAAAACGATTCCAACTATTCTGAGTGAGATGAGGGTAATATACATGTTTTGACGATTTTCATCAAAACATAAATAGCTATAAATAGCTCAAAAAATACCAGAACATTTTAAAAATTTGACTGCGTCTATAAAAATTTATTATCAGCATGTAATCTGTGAAAATTATGTGGCTCTGTGATTATTTTTAATCGAATTATAACAAAAAACAAAATCGAATATAGTGAAACCGTTATTGCTGTAAATGTTGCCGTTTTTCATAATAATGCCAAGAAACCTCGCGGGTGACATCGAGAAATACCCGAGTATTCCCTAACTGAGCAGAAGCACGAATGTCCTTCTCCAGTTATGGTTCGTACTTCATATTACCTTGACAGTACTCCGTACCTAAATTGTCACGCAAAATATAAATTAAAAACATAGCAGCTCTGAATTTTCTACAAACAGAATAGTCCGGAAATAGTACGCTACGCCACTAGCTATTTTCCACCTCCTTCAACCTAACCAAATCCGTGGAACATGTCGCGCACCCGTCGGGGCTTTTCTGGCCCGCTGTCAAGGTACGTGTCCAGGAAGTAATCGACATCCGGCTCCACCTCGGTGGCCTCGCCCGGGCTGTCGGCACCTGCTGCTCGACTGACCAACTTGCCATTGGCGGCGCCAATGGATTTTCTAACACGCTCTTATTTTAACGTCGTATACTTTTCTGTGCGACGTGGCCATACACAACACTTCTATAGAAACGACAACAACAAAATATGCGTTAGATTGAAAAGAATTTAACGTATACGTACTTATTATTGTTATTATTATTATTGTTATATTATTGTCTAATCCGGGATGTCTGACACAAAACAGATAAGACAAAACATTAATCGATAAGCACTCCATGGTCGATTTTTTTTTTTGATTTTTCTATTTTCTAATTGATATTCTGTCCGGTAGGATAAAAATTACACGGCCCTAAGTGATCATTTTTATAAAAAAAAAAAAAAAAAAAAAAAAATTGTCAGACGCAACTTCTGCTCGTATTTATGATAATATATAATTATAATTGAAACGTACTAAATATTTAATTATTTTAATAATTCGCAGCAGTACGGATAGCTCTCAGGGGTAGAGCACATGCGGAATGGCAGGTATTGGTCAGTGGAGATCGTTCTGCGGTCAAGGATGATCAATATTTCATCGACAACCGTTCTCTAATCTTCGGAAAAGGTAATAAAAACGACACGACGTTAATTATTAATTACCTTAACTATAATAGTATTAACTAGGTTTTTAAATTTATTTATAGTTGTTATATACACGACGAATGTTCATAATCATTACGTGCTTACTTGTGTAAATAAAACGATACATACAGGGTCTTCCAAATTTTATGTTACAGTCAAATTTTCCGTGAAATAATTATTTTCAAAAAAAAAAAAGATTTATGTAAAAACTCTTTGAAATAATATGTCCTAAAATGTTATGTTTTCCCCGTTTTTTCACCTTTATTCGCCGTTTAAATTACTACCTACCCGCTTTTGATTTTCAAATATTAACCGAAATTAAAAATTCCATAAACAAATAAAGTTTTAGTTTAAATACATTTTGATGTTAAAATGTTTAATTAACGCCACGTGCCGCAACCATAATAGAAATTGAGTTTTTTTTAAAGAAAAAAAGGAAAAAAAAATGTTTTGAAAAATGAAAAACATTTCAGAATATATTATTATTCCAAACAATTTTTACAAGCCATTTTTTTTTTTTTAAATAATTATTTCATAGAATATTTGATTGTAATATCGAATCTGGAAGACTCTGTGTTTAATGCAATATGATAATAATATCTCATATTTTGGTTAAAAACAAAATTAATTTGCTCTAATAGATCGACAAGAATGCAAAGCACATATTTTGCCTCGCGGATTCCATCACTTCCCGTTCAAATTTCAACTGCCCCAGAGCTCGTTGCCATGTTCGTTTGAAAGCAAACCCGGTTACGTTAGATACTACATCAAGGTATATACGTATATAATAATAAATTATACGTGTTTACATTTTTTTTTTTTTCATCACTCAACTTTCCTGCAGGTGACCCTCGACATTCCGTACGCATCGCCACCCCAAGGGATGAAATACTTCACCATCATTGGACCGCACATAGACTGCATGGACGATCAATATCTGGTAACACGTTATTTTTAACGAAAACATTTTATCGAAAAATTGCAGTAATTTTAACTTGGGTATTCGAAAATGTAATGGTCAAGATACTTGAAAAAAGTATCTAGATACAAGTTACCGGAAAATAGATACAACAATTTTTACCTCCAAATACAATATTATAGAAATATAATACATTCAACATTTATCAAAGAGACACTGTATAGCAGAGGTTCCCAACATTTTTTGACTCACGGCACCCTTAATTATTTTCTATAAACCCGGAGGCACCCTATGGCCTATATGGCCTATACTGAATACGCAATAGTAATATATCGTGTATTTAAATGTATATTTTGTAACTTCGGTTTTATTTAGCTAAGTGCCTTAGTATAAACAAAATTAGTAGGTATTGGGTATATACCCAATACCACATATATGGCATATATGGCCAACACATATGGCATTTTACAAAACAAATTATTACATTGAACATTAACTATAGCAATGGATAGCAATCGAACCAGTATGGAAATTAAAATAGATCGCAGTATCACTATGTACAAACTATATGTATTATATAAATAATATATTAAATTATATTTTACATAATTAATTATAAACAATAATCTGTATACTATAGAGTTTAGTACTATAGTCTGTTTTATTACTCACAGTGCTATATTTTTCAAGAAGTCGTCTTTTTGAAAAAAAAATATATTTCAAATAATTTCGCGGCACCCTAAGTTTAAGTTCGTGGCATCCTGGGGTCCCGCGGCACCCTGGTTGGGAGCCACTTCTATATTGAATATAGATACTAGATATATTTTGTTTTACCTTGAGATGCAATAGATACGCTGTATCTAAGATACAATAAAAACAAAATGTAAAATATTTCGATAAAAATTATTTTATAAAAAATACACGATAATATTATATTAGATTAAGGAAATGCCATAAAGTAGAACAAAAAACTGACTTTAAATGTATTAAGTAACTATAGTATCTTTACATAAGAAAAATTAAAATATACAAGAAACAAATATACCTATCTAAAATACGTACCTTACAACCTTAAATATAAGTACCTAAGACACTGTCCGTCCCTGTTTTTAAATATGAAATTACGAAATTTATAAATAAATTCACCCACAATTGTGATACCTTTTTCGTTAGGTATACTTCTACATATTTACTGTTCTTTTTTTTTCGTCCGTTCTTGAATGCATCGGGCGGAGCACATCATGTACGCCCCGTGTTTTAGCAAACGAACATGAATGATGGATGAGAGTAGATCGATGAAATCGGCAGACGGTATCTCTCGTATTTTAATTTTCTAAAGAACAGAAATTTCGCGTACCTATGCATTTAATACAGAGAAGATAATATATGTAATTTGTTTTTTTGGCATTACGTTTTATTATAATATGTCGTACCTATATAAACTATAATAAACTGTAGAATACTAATACGATAAATATTAACTCACGTGTAGTCGCGCACACTATGAATATAATAATATTATAAAACTGATTATTTCCTATTGACAAATTTCGATTTTGTCAATTTTACGGAATTTGCACAGTTAGCGTTCAAAATACAGCAAAACATCTCAATACGGTTTTTCGGTATCTCTGATATACAAGTATAATATATTAAATTAAGTTTGTAAAATAGAGGAACAGATATAACCGAATGCGACGTTTTATACACTCGTACTGTATATCAGCGACTATCTTAAAATAATATAGGCATGTGTCTTTAAAATACAGTACGACCGGCTATAGCTATATTTCCCATTCAAAAACTAAACGCAAAAAGGAAAACGGTATATCCGTAGAAAATTGATGTCAGCAATTTATAAAGTCAATAGTAACAATATATCAGTTAGGATATTTCTATTTATTTTTTTTTCTGTTCTTGTTTATTCGGGATTTTCATAAATTTTTTCCGAACCGCACGTGTATACAAACAAAAATGTCCGCGTAACGGCCTTGGGTAACTACATACACAACTCAAATAACAATTTTACAATAAATGTTCTTTTTGGGCTAAGGACTGGAAGTCGCCGATTTTAAATTTTACACCTACTCAAAGGTATACTTAATCGGTAAATCCCTATATATGTTATTATGCTCTAGAAATTAATGATGCGGCGTGGAATATTTTTTTTTTTAATTAAATGTTTCAAAATATCAATAATATTATTATTATAGTATTGTGTATAACTACGGTATCTAAAAAACAAAAAAACAAAAATGATAATAACAACGAACTTACGATCAAAAAACCAAATTAATATCCAAGTAAAATATAAACTATGATTACTACCGTAATGTCCGTAATTAATATTACCTACTTAACCCGTTTTCGGATAATAGTACACGTCATGTCGTATCGATTGATTGATTTATGAAATAACGTCGCATTAATATCAATTAATCAAAATAGTATAATATATCAAGGTGCATTGAAACATACTATTAATCCACCTTGGTACATAAACCGCGTTGTAAAACTTGTAATGATTTTCCTGGATTCCCGAAATGGTCTAAACATCACTTATATATAATAAACAAATCACTTAGTGTGTTTACCCAAATTTGTTGGTTAGATTTTGCATACATTCAAATTCTGATATTCGGAATTTTTACATGTAATTTACACCGGATATTTTAAAATACTTAGACATTTAAGGAGTATTCTGTGGCGATACTAGCTTTGGTTTTTCAAACGAGAACCTATATCGAAAATTCCATAAATATACGGAGTGTTACTTAAAATAAAGTTTAATTTCCGACAACCCGTTGACGAGATATTTCACTTTTAAGTTTTGTTAGGGGGAGAGTAGTGGAGTATCATTTGTGTGGCGGCATGGCACGTGATGTTTTATTACTAGTCCACTAAATCTCATTTAAAAAACCAAAGTCAGTATCGCCAAAGAATACTTCTTAAATGATGTGAAAAATCTAAGAATCCGAAAATATCGGTTTTAACTATACACTTAAAAATCAGAATTTGAATACGAGCAAATTTTAACCAAAAAAATTGGATGAGCGCACTTAGTGAATCATCCTGCAAATTTATTATATTAAAATATTTTAAATATATTATCGATATATTTACAGAAACATAGGTGAACAACGGGCCAATATTATGTAATAAAAAAAATCATTATGTAAGTATGCGTGTACACGTATGCATTTTTGTGACGTTTCGTTCATGAGACTTTTAAACTACCTACCTATACACAGACCATGCATAATATATATTATAAACAAACGTGCAGTATGATAATTTGAAACAAAAAAATAACAATATATCATCTACAGGTTTATTCGGGATATTATAAAAAATCGATTATACAAAATAAAATGTAAAACCCGGGACAAAAAGAGAGGTTAGGTTAGGTTAATCCAACCAACTCTATACTCTGACTTCTTGGATATTTTTAGCATTTAAAATGCGAAATAGCGTTGTTGGAGATATTTCTTTTTTGTCTAAAAGAATCAATACTTATTTGGTGGACAATTTTTAAAAGTAGTTGGAACCTTGAAATGTAAAAATGTATTTTCTTTTTTTCTTATCTATACACGTTTATATGGAAACTTGTGATGTTGGAGAAATTATTTTTTTGAGCAAAATTATTATATTAAGTTTATTGAGCTTTTTATTTGAGATTTTTGTGGAATAACCTGCACAATTTTGTTCCATTTAATCGTGATATGGTGCAGGCACGTACGCAGGGAGTGTTTTGGGTGTTCAAACGACCCCTAAATCTAAAACGTCACAATACGTTATAAATAAAAAATAAAATTAAAATAATTTACATAATGCAGTCATATTTTATGTACCTATTTTATGTATTCCTAACATATCGGTTACATCCGAGTTTGGGTTCCAGACCTTAGTGGTTTTGACAAGTAATTGGGTTCAAATGGATTTTGGTATTATAAATAAGGGTCTACTATTGTTGGGTCTCGGATTTCTTCAACTAATACTCATATACTAGTTGAGACCTAACGTTTGCCGAAAGCATCCCCTCCTTATTTACGTTACATTACTTAAGTAACATCTTAAAATGGTTTTTATAAAAGTTGTAGTTATTCAGGAGTGCATGAGTAAACGCCACAATTCGGCCATCCGTTAATCAACAGGTGTTAGAATTGCGGTTTTCCCCTGTATTTATTAGAAGGGTAAAGAATTTGAAAGTTCCCTCATCTTAGATTCAAGGAAAAGAAAAATCCAACAAATATTATTAAAGAAAATATTTAATGCACAATTATTTTACTATAATATAACATATTACTTGTGGACAAAACAACACTATCACTGAACTCCGCTCAGAATCGTATTTTTGTTGGCATTGGTTATCGTTGCCTATAGAGACACACATTATATTCCCGTCTGTATCCTACCTTTCCAACTTCCCACCTAGAATAGTGGCTGCACGTCATGGGGACGGCCATTATTCTGGGACAAATTTTTTTCATGTCTTCCATAAGTTTATTTGTTTATTGTTTGGAAAATGTACACACATATGATAAAATTAAAATACACATTGTAGATATGGAAAAAACAACGAAAATAATTGGTTTGGCTATCTCTGTTTCTATAAATAATTTATCTACTTTGCTATTTTATTATTTTTACAAGTATCAGAACATTTTTATTATTATTATAAACTTCTAAATAGATTCTTTTGAACATTTTGTCTAAGTGATACTTTAAGGATGTCATTTTTTGATATTTCAAACGGTTTTCATGATAATTGGGAAACAACGTAGAAAAAATGTACGATTGTATATATATATTGTATATTGTAATAAAATTGTACAAAATATATTTAATAAATATACATTATATCTTATAACTCGATGCTAAGAGGACGCTACACTGGTATAACAGGCTATTTTTACCCACTTAATATATTTACCCTTTCCTGTTGAAAATATGCTAGGATATTCTTACTCCCAGTAAAATTATCCTGAATTATAGTAACCCCTCCCCCTAATATTTCAAGGGGTTAACAATATACTGGTTAATTATTACCCCTCACACTTTATTTGCTACGTCCAATCATTTATAATATTGTATTAACATTTTGTTCAGCAGAACCATATTCTATTCTTAGTTCACCAAACATTTTTGTTTTTCCATTATGTAAAATTAACATAGAAATGTTTACGCCCTCTCGTCCATTTTATTCGTGTACGTAAGAATAATGTACTATGCATTTACCTCCATTAATCAATTTTATCGGGAAGGTTACAACAATGTAGGAAATACTTAACCTCTTTTATGCATTTTTACTATTACGTAGGGTTAAGTTAGATTAGGTTAATTAGGTAAAAACCTAAGAAAAACGGGTAAATTTACGAAATTTATTATTTTCAAATCGTAAATATGTAAATATTACTCGTTTATGATCATGAATTAATTAATAATAATAAAACTGAAAAAAGTACGTGGTTTTGGAAAATTTTATGTATTTTAAAGGGATCACTATTAATTTATGTCTCGTTTTTAGACGATATTTTATTTAAATTATAGAGAAGAGAGAGAAAAAATAAGAGGATTGCACAGTAGAATTTTTCAAACCTATGTCAATTGGTCGTGGTATACATTTATCGTGGGTATAATATACGACAAATTTTTTTTTTTGGGGTCGCCAAAATATTTAAAAATTTTGATTTCAAGTTTTGGCACTTGACTTGAGAAAGATTCGCCACTTCTATAGTACACTCTTGGTCGCATTGTTAACTGGTCGTAGTATAAATTTGCCGTATGATTAATAAGTCTCAGACCTTTTCGTCGCGAAATATTAACATTGGTTTATGTAACAGTATACAAATGGCTAAAAATAATTATTACCTATGTATTTATTTATTTATTTATTCACTTAAATTTATTACCTAGTCAATTTCAGTACTTTATCTTTATTATTATTATAGGTATTAAATTAAATGAATTATACTAATATAATTCTTATAAAAATCGAAAAGCATTCTAAAATTAATTGGATTTTCACAAAACTGATAAACTCCGATTTCGAAAACTCATCATCAACTCATAGATTATATATTAGTCGAATGTATTAGTTTTTCCTATATAGTGCATCCACATTTCAGTTATCCGTAATAGACTGTGTGTAGTGCAGATATGTAGACTAGTGTTATACTGTATAGAAGTAGTTACTAAAAAAATAATATAACTCTAGATTTAATAAAAAGTGAAAGAGGTGAAGATATATGTGTGAGGGTTTTTTATATCGTTATGAGATCTACAAAATGAAGAAATGCTAAACCGTCGAAAAATGATTCAATTGTGCTGGAGTAGAAAACGAAATAAATATAATGATACCGTTGAGCCGCTGAGAGAATAACCAAAATATGCCAACGATTTATTAAAAAAACATTCGATGAATATACGAGTATGTCAGGGATAGCTCATGAAATATAAATATAAATATTATTTTTTCAAAATTTATAATATTTTTAAGACAAACGACAACGGTATTGTTTTTACACAATTTACATATTAATTTATTCATATTTAATATTAGTTTACAATATTATGTTGTATTACAACATAATAATTTTGTATACCTGTTTGTGGAGTTGCTCACGAAAACTTTTTTATTTGACGCCAATAATTTCAAAAATTACCAATTTATCAAACGGCTAATTAACCGAACGACCAATTTTACCACGACCTACAATCGACTGTACCCCGAATTTGTCATCTCTGAAGTTCATATCTCATTAATAAATTTTGAACTTGATGTTTGTTAACTTCGCATTTACAACAATGACCTACTTATTATACTAACTGCAATATATCGAGTAAGAGGAACATAGTATAGCGACGATATATTATTTAACACCCGCAATGGACTAAATGGCAAATGCTTTGATGACGTATAGGCAAAGAAATTATTTTAAAATGTCACCTAAATTACTCCAAATCGTTCATAAAGTCGGAGAATTGGATCAGGTTTTAAATGCGTATCCAGAAAACAAAAGGTTACGCCGTCACAAAATATAAAAATGTCTTCGGAATAAGAGTAAACAAAACAATATACTATGCAAACAAATAGACGCATTGATATTCGATTCCAAGATATTGTATAATTTAGTGTCCGACCATATTATAATATAAACTGTGAAATATAAAAAAAATAGCTGGTCCTCGATAGAAAGAAAAATAAATAACTTGTTCAAATAAATATTTAAAAAAACAATCTAATAAGATGTAATAAACTAAATAAATTGAAACTTTAGTACTATAGCATCCCTCTTAGCGCTAATTTTTTTTTTTCGTTTGTGTTGTTTTTTTTCTATGTTATTTTTTTTTATACTCAGTAAAAAAACGATTGAATTATCTAATAAAACATCCCGTTTGTTTTGAAATAGCCAAAATACAATAAAAGCAAACAGCGTATTAATTTTATTTTTTAAACCGACATTCGAGAGTATGAAACTTTTTAGATATATTTTTTACAATGCTTTCAAAATTGTCATTATATATATGTATACAAAACATAATTCTTCCGAGTGAAGGAATTAAAATTTAAACGAGTTATTAAAGTTACCTACGTCGTAGTATATTTATTTTTTCATATGGATTTACACAATTTCCAAAGCATCGAATTGGAAAATTAAAAAAATAAATCATCTTTTCGCGATCAATATTGGAAATATTTCGTAAAACTTTTCGAATATATTTACTGTCCGAAATTGTGACATCGCTGTAAAACCATTTGCTCCGTCATCCAATTGCTCGTGTAATTTAAAATGCTCCATATATATTTTCTTTTAGTTCAGAATTCGTTAAATAAACCGCAAAATCACAAAATAGTATTGCCTATATGATTCATATATGTATGTTATATTTAAAACATATCTGTGACCCTTTTCCTCCAAAAATATGATAAAACTGTTTGCCACCACTTTATAACAAACTAAATCTAGGTCATACTCCTTCATCAAAAATAATAAAATGTTCTTTACTATAGACAGATAATGTTTATAGATAAATTTTAATATGCAAAACGATATATTTCATTTTATTATATACAAGTAAAATTGATTTTGGTTTTTAGTTTGATTGGTTTTATTTTTTTTTTTGATCTTATTCAAATTATGTTCAAAATATCACCCTTATTCCGCATGTACACTATAAACACTTATCAAATAACATTTGAATATAACAATTATAATAAAAATCAAACCGAATTTAAAAACAAAACGTTTTTCCAAAATTTTAATAAAAATTGGAAAAATGCACTAAAATAATTAAAATATTACTATAAAATCAAAAAATTCAAAATAAAATTTCTTATTCGAAAATACATAAAACAAATTTCAGCTATATCCCGTAACACGGTTAAGTTATTCTCTAAATAATATAGATTTTCACACCAATTAGTAGAATTTAAAACGACTGTTACTTAGAAACTATTCATCGGTTATAAATGTGTGATACATTAAAATTTTCAGAAAAATAATTTTTATAGAATGACTATCTTAACATTTTCCGAAAATAATAAAATAAAAAGTTATTTTCTTTAATTTTTTCAATAAAAAAAAAAATTAATTAAAATATAATTATTTATAGTCCTCTTCCTTGTAAGTAATATATATATAAAAAAAAAAACAGAATTTGATTATCTTTTTTATTTCCGAAGATATTCAAGGGATGTATCTTCGTGGGACAGCCTGTATAACGCAGCAACATTGGATTTAACATCATCCTATTGCATCGGTCTACATTTTAAAACTGTTCTAAACTTATAACTCAAACACGAAATACATATCCGATATAAATGTTAGATGTAACAACATTTTTAGAAATAAATTCCTGTTTCGAATTTGTATGTTGAAAGGAGGTGATTGAGCTTTAAAAAGCAAAAGTTAATCATTAAAATTGTAACGAGTATGTGTACAAAACGTAAAAATATCGCGTTGAAAATAAAGCTTCAACATTAGCATTTCAATAACGATTGAAAAAATTAAGAAATCAGTAATAAAATTGACTTAATATCCTCCGAGAAAATCGCTGGATCATGATGATAAAATAATCATCCATTAGCTGTATAGAATAATACAAAGGAAATTGTTAGAACAGTCAAGTTAAAATATTCCTCGCGTCGTGTCGAAAAGCGCCGTTTGAACGATTTTGAATTAAAACCACTCGCATTTTATACACGTTGGGACCTCCGAAGAAACGATATTGAAATACAATCGAATATATTATATATTATACTGCATCTAACTAATAACACAGTTTCGCGAAATACACGTGAACGCTTTTGATCGCAACAAAGGGAACGCACGTATTTTAATTAATTAGTTATTTATTTCCATGTTATAAACGACATTTCTACTTTGTTACTTTGTGTGTTTGTTTGTGTCTGTATATTATACTATACAGTAAGTATTAGTTTGAAGTTTTGATTCAATTGATAAACTTACGGGTTATAGGTTACAGTATATCTCGACGCATAAAACAATTTTAACTAGAAAAAGGCTGTGACAGTTTGGTGGTGTTCTGCTGTTTTAGAAGGGATATCAGAAAGGAATATATGTATTTATATATATATACATAGAGCGAGAGAGATAGAGAGACAGAGAAAGAGTAATTTAACTTATATTTTACACAATAATAAACCATTTCTAATTCGTTTCTGAATAGAGGATTATTAATATTTTATTTAGAAAATTGTGTAAAGTTATTTTTTATTTTTAGAAACTAATAAATGAATATAAAAATAAGATTTTTCTTTATGCAGACAATCTTCTTAAGATAAAAGCAGATAGAAAAAAAATTGAATATCAAACGCTCTAGATAAGTCTGTCAAACGCGGTTGGACGATTGCTTTTAAAACAGTTAATATGCTTCATATGGTTTTTAATTTTTTCTAATATTTTCATTTAAAATTTCAGTGTAGGACGAATAATGGAATTGAAAGACATTTTAGTCTACATGGTTCATTAAGGACAGAGCAATTTTGTTTGATCACGCCTATTCACTTTCGTTTATAATTTCTAAATCTTTATGGAGATAAAATAGTATATAGTTTCGAATCAAAGATTAGATTTCAAGAAATTTGATAGGACATAAAATTGTTATATTTGACAAATTGGGATCTTTGAGTTAAACATGAGTTGAGTCGTGAGTGGTGAAAATAAAAGGTCGGCAGATCCAAATTTTTGGATGCATCAGAACCTATACCAGTTTTAATTCGTACGCTTTCTTATTCTTGAAAAACATAAATTATTTATAGCAACGGGAATATTTTCTTTTTACAAGTAGATACAAAATGCTGGGTAAAAATATTAATGATGTTTTGGCCACCATTGGTGGTTCTAAAAACAAAAATTAATCGACTCCTCTGGAAACACACAAAATAATGAAAACTGTTAAAAAAATGGATAGCAACAAGGTATTTTAGTAATATATAATATACTGTATAGTATAGATGTATACTCTATAGTAGATGAACTAAATTGCTCTATATACACCTTCCAACTACCCACCTGCATCAGTGACCTACCCGTGAGCAGTATCAACTTTTTTTAATTTATCAATTTGCACTTGCTCAACCATAATAATAATTTGCCGGTGGCCGTGGTGATTGCAGTTTATTGTAATTTACAGCGCTACCTACTATATTAATATATTATAATATATAGGTGCGTGCAGCATTTTAATAAATCAACGCGTACAGACGAGATTATATAATAATAATAATAACCCGGAGCTTGTGTAAATTAAAAAAAAAAAAAAAAAAAAGCCGTTTGGAATTTCGTTAACTTTTAAGTTTTAATTTATGATTGTTGTAGTTTATATTGTAATTATTAATAACTTTTTTTTTTTTTTTTAACGCGATAATTGGGTCACCGCGTGTGTTATATTATTATAAATTCGGTATCCGACGAGAAAGGCAGTGTCACATCATCGCATATATACATTTTTTACTATGTGGTTATTTTTTTTTTTTTTTCATTCACTCGGCGGCTTGAACGTATACATAATATAATTATATTATGTAAACTGCATTTTCGTAGATTGATAGACCCCACTGAATAATATATAATGTATATTCGTGTTTTTTTTTTTTTTTTTTTCATGATTGCATACATTTAAATTCTCTTCTGCGTATATTAATCGATTTCAAAAAAAAAAAAATTTTAAAAATGTGCACGTGTAGGATGAATATAATAATAATAAAAATAATAAAAAAAAGTAAGTAATAATAATGGCAATGATAACCCTAAACGAATATGCGACGCAGGGTCCCGTGAACTCGTAGTCGTATACACGCACGGAAACCATTTTGTAGTATGTAAAAAACTCGATACAGTTAATTTTTTATTTTAAATCTAACATATGAGGAATTTTTACGCGTGGTGTTTTACGGGTAATTTATATTCCGACGTGCTAATCAGAAATCAGAATCTAATATTAATATATTATGCGTGAAAAAAAAAATAAGTAATCAGCGTCAGTCTTCAATAATATACACCGCTTTATAGCAATAATTAATAATTACTATAAAACTTTATAAACTTAGAACAAACGATTCTATAATTTTTTTGGGAATTATACGATCGCGTGGATCGTTTGAATTTTAGGCGTTACGTTTCTTGAGTATCGTCTGGCCGTTGCGTATTATATATTACATATTAGTCATGACCTGCAATCAAAGCGCTAATCGAAATCCAAATAATTTATTTGATTTGATTTATTTTTGCCATTTTCGTAAATTTTTGTTTTCGCCCATCGCGCGTCGAGTAGTCTTACTATAAAATTATATGCGCTTTTTCCGTGTCAGCGAACAAGTTTTCGACCAATTGACTTGCTCTAATCGGCAACTTCAGGGGTGATTTCTGGTGCTGAATATCGTATAGTACGAGTTGTTGACGAGTCTGGGCGGTAATCTGTCTTTCATTGTTGTACACAACGATTTCAGTTCATTTCGATTGTGTTATTTTGTTGTAGTTCATTGAAAAATAATCGTATAAGACCAGAAAATTTCACAGAATACTTAGCAACTTTTAAACGCGGTGCAATTTTCAAAACATTCTAGGCTTTTTGTATAGCTGACTATCGCTATTTGAAATTGTCGAGTTTTTCTTTTTTTTTGGTTTTTTGTGGGTAACATATTTTTGATGTTTATCTGTAGCCATCAGTTATTTTAATAACAAGTATTTGAAAAGATCATATTAATACGAGTGTGTCGACGAAAACAATAAATACACGGCATTTTCCTTACCCATTAGGAACTTAACTATTCTTATAAATACACGCTTTCCGTTCATGTTGAATTAAGTTGAAAGTCATATTATATCTTACTTTCATAAACGTTTTAAATTTAAATGAATGATAAAATATTTGTCAAAAATAGTTGTAATCTATTTATTTTTTCACAAATTAATATACAGTTTTAAATATATATGTTTGAAACAATATTTAACAAAATGAAAAGTTTTAGCTCATCTATTCAGATTATCATCGTTTTTCGTTAGCATTAATGATTTATGAAATATACTATACACTTTACAGTGCGCAATAAAAAACGATTTTGAGCGGAGTATCGAAAATAGTACAGTATTAGTTGTGTTATTTTACTTGTTACTAAGGTAATCTAGCAGAAACCAACAAAAATCTAAAAAATAACCAAAAAGAGTCTAAGGAGTAAGAGATAAAAACTGAAAAATGTCGATAAATGTTTCAAATTATGTACCGTACCTATCCTACCGGGTAGAATTTCCGTATATTTTGAAGTACCAACTGAATGGAAAAAATTTGAACATTAGTCTAACTAAAAAAAAAACCATAAAAAGCAATTATTAAAAAGAACATTGGGAATTTTTAAAAATGTTTCCATTAAAATACCACCAGTCAAACAATGTAAATTTTTTGAGGTATAATAAAAATGTGTTTCTACTATTACTAATAGTTCTAACTTCATCATCGTACTTGAATCTAAAACCGGCATGTCATATTTTCGTCAGATTTTTACATTTTTTAAGAAAAATCGTAGAAAGTCTAGAGACATAATATTTTTCAAATAAGTATATACAGTGATAGGTGAAAAATCTGTATCTTTTAAGATAGGAGAACAATTTAGATTATTTGTATTTATCGAAAGTGTTTTCCGAGAGAAAAAAAATTACATCTAAGTAAAACTCATAAAGCTTTTCGCTGCACTCGTAGTCTAACAACGATAATACGCCGCTAAAAATATTACCCTGTATATTGTAAAAAAAAAAATGAATTACAATAATTAAATTGCATATAACTATACGCTAATGACTCGGGAACTCGGCGATGCCTAATTTTAATCAAAATGAAATTATAATGTGGTTATTATATGTTTCCGAGGTTTGGCTGCTGCAAATTAGTACGGTCTAATACAATTTGTTTACATAATATATAACCTAACCAAATGCATAATATTATGAAAACGAGATAGTATTTGTTGTTTTTTTTTTTTTTTTTGTGGTATTCAAATTATTGTGTACAGCGATAGTCACAGTAAAAAAATAATAATCGATTGATTTTATATAACATATACCTAAATACCTGTATATAGTAATGTATTGAGTTTTAATGTATTATCTAAACGCGTACAAATAAAGAAAAACCAGATGAATTACATATATTATACACAGGTACATTTTAAATAACAGAATTTTAATTCACTCGCGTATACATACATTTCAAGTCATAAATAATAAATGTATAATAGCAGGTATAATAAATATATAGTATTATACAAATTTTACTATAAAATGTCGTTTTGTCTAAAATTCCCTTTCGAAACCCCGAGAAAGTAATTTATTGCACATAAATATGTCTGCTATATAATATGGATAATTGAACCATACTAAGTTGGTTCACTAAAAACGGGTAAGTATATATATATATATATTTATAATAAATATTATTTAAAATAAAGGATAAAAACCGTATAAGATGGGCGGGAATTTTGGATTTATGTGGGTTAAAATGATGACGACTAAACCGTAGCGAGGGTCAAAATAGAACAAAACGTTTAACATATTTTACGGGTGATAAAAACTTGACATCCGGTTGCGTATTTACAGACCCTATTCGAAAGGATATTTTATAGAATTTTCACTAGGCGCAACATTGCGAAATAAAATTGAAATCTAAACGATAATTGAACCCAAAATGATTATTTTTTGTAAACAAATAATAATAATAATAAGTGAATATTTTTATCGACTCTTTTCGTAACAGAACAGTCATTAAAAACAATAATTACTAGACAAATTTGTGTCACTTAGTGAACTAAGAGAAAATGTCCACAGTAGAGTACTGACAAGTAGGTTAAGTTTTGTAAAACTCTCGAAACTCTTAAAACTAACTCGAATACGTTTCTGCTTAGACCGAACTCAGATAAGGTCTGTAAATACGCGACGCTGTCTGTATACAAAAGTATATTTGAAACATCTAAAATAGGAAAAAAACGGGACATTACAACTAAGTCATTCAAATTTGATTCCATTTTGAAATCGGTGATAATGTTTTGTAGAAACCAATTGGTGCGCTGGAGAAACGGACAAAATGCTTTTTGTGTTGCAAAAGCAATCTAGTGGTATTGCAGTGTTTACTGGAGAGGTCGGCGTACGTGTGCGGCGAGGCGTTAAGATTAAAGGCCAACATAAAAAATCAAAACCAAAAGGACATTAGGCTTAAAATCAGATTATTCCAGGTAATTTTTTGTTTTATTATTAAACTAAACATTTCACATATACTAACCACACATTATTATCTTTGTTTGTTTATTTTTGTTTTTTACAAAACTTTAATAATACCTATCTTTAATTAATTAAAGAGCATTTTTTATTTGTGTTAAATTTAAAATGAAATATCGTTACGCGACGACAAACATACAAAACAAATAATGTTACAGATAATAAATACGTATTTATTTCAAATATGGTCAAACTCGAGTCTAACAAAAATGTTAAAAATATACTAGCACATATACAGTGTGTCACATCGTGATCGACGGATTTTTGTTGCGCTGTTAATATAACATTTTTTTGATTTTTTTTTTTTTTTTGTTCAATCGGTTTGTCTTCAAAGGGACGTTAATTTGAAAAAAAATGTTTATTTCCATCCACTGAAGACAAAAAAAAAGGAATTTTATTTATTCACTTTAGAAAATTTTCAAAAGAGCCATTTTGTAAAAAATATTATTCAATCAATTTTAATCACACATTCATATTCGATGAATAATTTCTTAGGTATAGCCGTTTTAATTAGGCGTGAAAACATTAAAAATATTCAATAAAATAACACGTTATGCGATAAGGAATTACAATCAGCACGATAATTCTTAACCTTCTATTGAAATTAAAATGGCTATGATTTGGAAACTATTAATCGAATATGAATGCATGGTACATTAAAATTTGTAGAATAATATTTTTTACAAAATAGCTATTTTGAAAATTTTGTGAAGTGAATAAGTAAAGTTATTATTTTTTTTTATGTTTAGGGGATGAAAATAAAAAATTAATTATTCTCCAAATTGATGTTCCCTCGAAGAAAAACCTATTGAAAAAAAATTGAAGAAAAATCGCCCAAGAAAAATCCATCGAACACAATGAGGCACATTGTATACTGTTCGTAAACATTTATACTAATATTATGAAGACATAATAATTGTTTTGTATGTTTGTAAATGATAAGCTCAAAAACTACTTAACCGATTATTTACCGATTTTTTCTGTATATTTGAATTAAACAATTTATAAATATTTTGTATAATAAGTTAAAATGTTAAAATTAAAGTTACAGAGAAAAACTGCGATACAGTATTGTTTTTCTTTTCTAGAGCTGAGGCGATTGAGTTTGTTATACGGACACACGGTATACTTGATGAATTGTGGAATGACGGTTTCGAAAGTTAAATTGCGTGTTAGGAATAGTTTCCGAATTATTTATAATTGGGCTAATTCTTTTAAGAACTAATTTTTCGACAACCTTCGAGAAAAGAGGTAGAAGACTTATTGATCTATACAAAAAGGGGATACCAGAGGGTTGCCAGGTTTTGATACAACTTTTATAATTGAGAATTTCCACTGATGCAGAAAGTAGGATAAACGGATAATTACATTAAAAATGTACGTGAGGAATATTATAGCTTTCTTTGGAAGGTGTTAAGTTACTTTGTATGTTATGAAATCAAAGTCAGGATCCTCCTTTTTTGAGAATGTAACGAGCAATATAGGACTTCAGCTGCTGAAGGTAATGCTTTGGGACTATAGTCATTTGCAAGGGGGAAGACAAGAAGTTTTCAATTTCGTTGGAGAATGCAGGGTTGTTAATATGTCTATGAGGTTTAAACACTTCGGTTAAGTAAGTTTTAAAGAGTTCTCCTTTTTCTAAGTCATCAATAGCGCTCGTCTTGTTGAGTTGTTTTAGAGGAGAATATGAAGATTTTTCTTTAAAGACTTTTTTTATGCTTTCCAGATTAATCCATCTTGGGTGGATAGTGAGACCTATTGATAGTTCGTGAATGATTCATTTCTTCAATTAATTAAACAGCATTTTCTATTTTTGTTAAATTTAAAACTGAGTGACAACAAACATACCAAACAAATAATGTTATGCATAAGTACATATTTATTTCAAATGTGGTCAAACTCGAATCTAACAAAAATTATTAAAATATACTAACACTATACTTTCGTAAACATTCTATACTAATATTTTATGATACCTTTATAATTAAATCAATATAATAATGTCATATTTTTATACTTTGAAAGCGTACAGCAAAAACTATAAAGTATACTACTCTAAAGTACCCACACTTTCGATCTATTTAATTAAAATAACAAGATTTTCCTCATTATCTCGAATACTAATAAGAATTTCAAAAAAATAACCTCTTTAAAGTACCATACAGAGAACATTTCCTTTCAGAAAAAGTGCTATACTTGATAACTGGAGAAAGCTTCCTGGTAGAAAAAGTGTTCACATAAAAAAAAATAATACAAAGTAAACATCATTGTACAACCAATAAATTTCTCGCTCAGAATCTAAAATCTATTCAAAATTATGAAAAACATATGTCGTAAACACATTTTAGATTCTAAGTTTGGCGAAGAATGTATTGGTTTTACAAAAATGTTTATTATTATTTATTTAAATTATCTTTTTATGTGAACACTTTTTCTACAAAAAGCTTACTCCGATTATCAAGTATAGCACTTTTTCTGAAATAAAATGTTCTCTGTGTGGTACTTTAAAAAGGTAATTTTCTAAAATTATCATTAATATTCTAGATAATGAGAAAATTCTGGTTCTTTAGATTAAAACAGATCGAAAGATTAATAATAAATTTATCATTAGCAACCGTTTTTATTTTTTTTTGTTATTATTATATTTACATTACTTTAATCATTGTTGTCATGGAAACGCACATTTTTGTAAACATTTTACCATAATATGACATATATATTGTTAGCAAAGCAACACTATCAACTGAATCCCGCTCAGAATCGTTTTTTCGTTATAGCATTGATTATAGAATATTCTAAAATCAATGGTTATAGCAATGATTTATCGTTGCTTACAGATATACATTAAATTCCCATATGTATCCTACCTTCTCAACTTCCCACCTACAACAGTGGCTGTACCCACGTGCGAAGTATGTCCGTCTTTTTTAATAGGTATTTTTCATTACAATAATATATCATTAATTTTCACGTATATACTTTATACCATCGCGTCAATAAGGTTTCATAAGGGTCGGTTAAAATACATTTATTTGCGCACCAAACAAACTCGTATAATGGGGAAGAAAAAGGTTTTCGGTTGTTTTTTTTTATTTTTTCATTCTATACGTTTCAGAAAAAGTACTAAAAATTCGAATTCTACGATAAGTGAACCAAAATTGAAGTACGGCCCCATATATATCCTCGCCGGTATCCCATAGGGATTTACCATTTTAAAGTGGTTAATCTAATCTATAAAATATATTGTATACATAATATTTACTTCTAGGACTTTTTTAGATAATGTAAATTAATGTAACATTGTAGCTGATAATTAAATTAAAACTATTGTAATATAACAATAAACCGATGTAGCATATGTACGAAATACAAAATGTATGTACACATTGACGCAACCAGAATTCAGGAGTATTCATCATATTGATACTTTTTATGAATTTCAAACAAATTTCTCGTCAGGTTTTTGAGATAATTAAATACTAAATAGATGAAGTGAACGACATCTACGTATTCAAAATTATAAGGGATCCCTAATGTCCGTAATTTCAATAAGAATTATGCAACTATACGTATGAATTACATAGAATTTGAAAAAATCTTAAATTTCGGGGAAGAGGAGGGTTATAATCCCTCTGGTTGCAACACTATATTAACGAATTAAAACTCGTGTTAATTTGATAATATTTTATTCAAATTGGGTCAGGGTTGGTGGTTTTAAATTAAATCTCAAGTACGTAGCTTATTATTATGTCGATGCGACCATCGTCCGTATTAAAACGTCATTTACCTCCCATCGGACACATAATATTATATTGTACAATAATTCGTTCGCATTATTCACTTGAATTAACCGTTCGTAACCTACATTCATCAAAATGTAAAGGACATCTTATAAATAATAATATTATATTATCGTATTAAATAGGAACCTATATTTCCCCAGAGTGGACCAAACGAAATTGAACTAACACACCCCCGCCACCACTCTTCCTTGGAATCCTATTATTATAGTTCGTTTGAATATTCTGTAGATAACACAACACAAATCGATTGGTGCCATTATCAAAGATCCGATCTGAAATATATCGCGTAAATATTAAATAATAAATATAACTCTTCAGAGTATTTACGGTTGTTTTTAGGTATCTGCAAATGATATAGTGTGTAAAAAAAAAATTTTATCGCTTTGCTCGCCAACCTTTTGTTAATTAAATAACGCTTTTATTTTAAAATCTTAAGCCTTGACTGAATGGCCTTTAATAATTTATTAGCGTCATCAGCCCCCTGCTAAACTCCATTTTGAACAAGCCGACCGAAATATTAATATCACCTGGGCGTCACTCATTTGTACTCGAATACCTTTTTTTTTTTTTACTTTTAAATAACCATTGGTCACTTAAAAACGTTTTATTTTGGACAATATATGATATAGTAGGTATTATACCTACGCTGCATACCTATATGATACGGTACTTTCGTAGGTATATTGTCCGGACTACCCGCTTTGGATCGAAAACCTTACCTATAGCTATTTTTCCCCCAGGTTTTGCCAACTATTAAAAAGACAACAAGGAATATAAAAAAATAACCTCTTCAATGTTTGGTGCAAGACGATATTTGCTACCAGAAATTACCCCTTGATGTTGATGATTATACTCAATCATTACATACTTATTATAGTAGCCATTTCTAAAAGTGGTACAATTTTCAAAACATTCTAGCGGTTACTAGCGATTTGAGGTATCTAGGTATTTAAAAATGTTCTTGATTTTTTATTTTTTATTTGGTGTAATGTGTGGTGGATATTATTTTTTGGAAGAAATGGTTAAATATTCAACATGGGATTTTTCGTAAGTTGTATATAATACAATATAGCGATAAAAAAAAAAACCGAGCGTAATATAAACGTTTTAAGTTCTCAGAATTGTTTTTCGACATCAATGATTTAAATCATTGCGAACACATGTATTTATAAATTTAAATTTAAATAACTCTATAGGTATATCCCATGTATCCTAACCGTCCGAATTCGCTCTTGTGTATCTTTTTTGTTTCAGAACGTTCACTATTCGGTGGACCGCGGCATGTTGGGCGTGAATCAAAAGGTCGTCCAGCACTCGGTGTTGGAGTATGTTGGCGAACCAATACACACCGGGTGCGAGTCGCAATGGGATTCCGCCGAGGGCCTGGTCTTGCCGGTCATGCCGCCGACATTGATCGGCAACTGCCGGCTGTTACAAATATATTACGTGCTCAAGGTGAGATGAAACGTGAAACCCTAAACAATTCGTTTTCTTGTCATCGAATTTCCCATCTCCGCCACACTGTAGCGTGTCGTCGTTCGTTTCACAGGATTTTGTTGTTCTTACTTACCTATATTCGCGCCAGCACAAATAAATTGAAAAAATCGTGTCCGCGATTAATACACGTCCCGACCGAACACAGGAGTGAAATTATTTGGTGGGCGGGAGGGCAACGATGGGGACGCGTGCGCAAAAACTAATAGGTTATGTATACAAACTATAATGTTCATAGAGTATAAACACAGTTAACGCGCGTTTAAAGCGTGTAAAGTTTAAACATTTTTGGTTTGTATACGGGTTTTTTATTTTCTTAATCAATTTTAACATTTTGAACACGTCCGTAATCTCTTCGATAATATTTCACTGATAATAATACAATAATATCGGTACATATTCTTGAATCGCCTAAAAATATTATATTCGACGATATTTTGGTAAAGTTTATCAAATTTCACTTTTTTTTCAGAAAGCCAAAAAAATAGTAAAACAGTTTTTAATGATGTTTATTGCAAGATATACATGCATTAAATGTGGAATACGCCCTTTTAATAAAACACCATCAAATTATACTAGACACATTCTAGTGCATGTACAAACTATTTACATTTTTACCTATGTCCCATGGTCTAAAACTATGGAGAGCACCAGATTAATTAAGATAATTAAAAAAAAAAACAATTACCTATAATATTTCACTTTAATTCGTCCAATGTTATCCTGAACTTAGCGGAAATATTGCCATTATGAAAATTAAGAAAATTAGGAAAAAGTTCATAATACCAGCTGAATGAAAAATGTTGGGGCCAACCAAGGATGATAGGATAGTGTTGAGTGGAGACGAAGGAGGAAGAATTTAGACGCCCTATTCCAAAGTACAATAACAAAACACATAATTATTGAACGTTCTAAAACACGAAACAAAATGTTCAGTCTAGTTAGTCAACTTTCATGATCCGAATATTGGTTTAGTTTGCACTGGCAGTCCTGGTCCACTAAATTTAATTGAATCATCAGTCCGATTCAGTCTAAACAAAAAACTTAACAGTCGTCAGTTCGGTGTAACTACGATATTTTGTCTGACCCGGTACCTAAAATAATGAAAAGTGCAAAACGCTTTTAGAGTTTGATAGAGAAAGCCAGAGAAAAAAGAAAAGCACGTACTTATTCGTTGAAACGTTTTCAAACAAATTTGAATTTAATGGATTATCGAGTTCCGTGCGTTAAATGTATTACCTACCTAGACTTTAGGGTATGTACATTAAATGACACGACTTGATCAGTAATATAAGTAATTTAATTATTTTCTGGCGTAAATCAATTTACACTATACAACAATATTATGACATTACAGAACCTACACAAACTAATTTCTCGAGTTCCGCGTGTTTAGATATGCAAGTTGTGTAATCATTTTCTTTGTTTCGTGAAACGTTTACATACCTATAAAAGAGGAATTTCAAAAACTGCACTTTCATTAAAATCAATTAAAATCCTATTTAAATATTGTATAAATATATGTGTCTAAAAAAATAACCGATATATTTGTAGATTAGGTTAAGTTAATAAATAATTTGAAAACTATACTTAGATACCAGATAATTTATAATAAAAAATACAAAAAAAAGCAACTCCAAAGATTATACGAAAAAAGAAAGAATTTTTTAAGTTTATAAGATTTAAAAAAAACCATTATTGGACAGTAATTAGTCTAAATAAGTAATAATTGAAGCATAGTAAATACATACAAAAGTACAAATAGTGTGTTTAATTTCTAAAAACTAGAGAAACTTATTGTTGTTATCCACCACAGACTTAATAAATTAAGTGTCCAAAATCTGAAATATTGAGATTGTGTAGAAAATATATTTTTCAAACTGTGTTATAAGTTATTTTTATTTTGCACGATGCATTCTTTAAAAATAAATTGAAAAAAATATACTAAAATAATGGAGATGGGTGTAGCCACTGTTATAGTAGATAATTAAATGTATACCTGTAAGCAAAAAAAAAAAACGATTCTGAGCGGAGTTCAATTGATAGTAATGCTTTGTCAACAATACATATGTCATTTTATAGTAGAATAACTAAACAGGCTTTATATATTTTCTTTAATAATATTTGTTTCATATTGTAGCGGTTTTCCCCCGTATTCCTACGTTTTTCTCGGTTTTCTCATGTTTTATCCCGGTTTTTCATATTTGCTGGGAACTCTTGAGGAAATCTAAAAATGACCTCTCTTAAATACCTCTCCACGCCAATTCCCTTTCAGAAAAGGTGCTACACGTAGAAATCCGAGTAAGTCTTGTGGTAGAAAAGTTGCACACAAATAAAAAAAAAAACCAAATAAACACCAAATTTTAATTTGGATAAAAATTTGAATAAAAACCAAATTTTAGAGAATACTATTCAATCGGGAGTGGATTTAAATAGCTATAAACCTTCCCCAGACAATGTGAAACAACTTCCCAAAGTTTTATGGCAATCACACGAATGGTGTAGTAATGCATAAAGGACAATCAGACATATAGAAGAAGATTGCTATCTCAAAAATACGAGACAATTTGAAGAAACTAATTATTAGTATTATTTTAATTCAGCATTCTCAAATTAATCAATATTTATTCAAAAAACCTTGGCAACAAAAATGTATTTTATTTTTTTATTAATCAGAGTAACGTTTTAATATAAAATTAAACAAAAATTATCCGGTTTTATTACAAACATTTTAGATTCCGAGAAAAATAGAGGGTCTATTGGTTTTATGATGGTTTATGATGTGTGCTTTTTTTTTACTGTCTATAACCAACTATTATACCAGAAATCTTGCTCCGATATATCATATTACCTTAGCTATAAAGGAAATTTTGTCTAGCTGGTGTATAAAGAAGTTATTTTTTAATTTTCCAAAGGGTTTTCGAAATAATTAGGAAAAACCTGAAAGAAAATTATAGATAAAACACAAATATTTACGGCACGATGCGACATTACCGATTTCATTGTTTTTAATATTTGAAACTTTACAACTTGTTTTCTACCAGAAATATTGCTCCAATCGAAAATGATTAAATATCTATATTATTCTTTTTAACATACAGCCACTGAAAACTGTCAGTTTTTGATATTTAAAGTACTTTTTATCAAGATGGAAAAACAGTGTCAAAGACGACGTGGAGAAAGTGAAATGAGGGGTGGAATGGAAAAAGTAATCATTGGATAACTTTTAGAGACAAATTTGTTGGACGGCATTATCTTAAAGGCCGGAGTCGCAAAAGAAGAAAGTATTTTTAATAACCAATGGGAAAAACCAAAAAAGAATAAGACGATTTTTTTCAAACTACGAGGCAACGATTTTAATATTTAAAATGTTTAGGGCTAATGTTTTCTATCATAAATATTGCTCCATAAAAAAACGATCAAAATCTTTTTTATTGCATTTTTAATCTAGTTAGTGAGTATGAAAATCGTTTTTTTGATTTTTCTTTGTTGTTTGAAAACTATACATTTGATAAAATAAATTGTTTTTACAAAATTGTTTAAAATAGATACTGATGGATGCAAAATATAACTTAGATACGTTGTGCGCAAATTATTATTATAGGTACCTATTATTAGAGCGTCGAAAATACTTTGATACAGTTCACTAAAATACTGATAACCGTGGACGAAATTTACTATCGCTGGATTTAAGGATAATACAGGTTGTATAAGTTTAGCGAATTTATAAGTTGCCCATGTTCATTCTTAAATTTTATACCGACTCGTACCATGGGTACCTATGAGAGGGGGCAAGTCTAACAACTTGCCCCTGTCTGGAAAAATAATATAAACTAATAATTTGGATAAATTGAAGTTCAAGCAGTCATCTAGCATACATTTTGAGAATCCTTTTTATTTTGACCTACAACTGAAATTTCAACCTATGGGCGCCTGCGACTATCGTACATAGAAAATGGAAAAAAACGTATGAATTTATTTTTAATTTTTTTTTTTTTTCTTTGCACTGCGTTACACGGTGATAATGTATTGATATTCAATCAACCACTATCTAATCTATTCGAATAATAATATGGCTGTTATACGCGTATTATATAAATGATTATCTTTATTAATTATGTTTAAGTTTGGTTTGCTCATTTTTTTGCCCCCGAGTTGGACAACTGATTTATTATTAATGCCTGAGCAACGCCGGATAATGGCAGCTAAAGTTGTATGTGTACAAAGAACATAAATATATAAAATAATATAGGTACCTACCACCACGGTAATTCTATTTTCGAAGTGATCTCGTCTTGCAGCGAACAACCAGAAAATAAGAATAAATAAACTCTAACAACAGTCAATACACGACTTATCAATACAGGACTTATCAATTTTCGTGTAAGCACCAGAAAAATAATTTTTTATTAGTAATAACAATATTTATGCTGTACCATGACCAAAAGTGACATAAAAATACAAAAAACATTTACACATTTTAGATTCCGAGTGAAGCGAAGAACTTATGATATCAGAAAGATGTTTTTTTTTTTTTTTTTGCGCAACTTTTCTACCAGAAATCTTGTTCCGATTTACAACGATGGCACTTTTTCTGAAAGAAAATCGGACTAGGGGGTACTTTAAGGTGGTAATTTTTCAAATTTCTCAGGATTTTTCTCAATATATTGGAAAAACCCGAAAAAAAGAGAACGGAAAGATAGGTACAATATTGAACGAATATTATTAAGGAAAATGTTTAATGCATATATAATCATTTACCATAATATGACATATGAAGGCTAATCAAAACTTCCATACTGGAAGTATCACTTGAAAACGGAGCATCGAAGAGCAGTAGGATTGGTATCAATTGCTTCTATGACTTTTTCTGAGTACATTTGTTTTTATTGAATCCCTATAAACTTCTTCGGTTTGATTTCACCGATATTTGTGTAAAATATATTTTTCCAGTTTGGCGATTTTGTAATGAATCCAAAAAAGAACGTCATTTGACAGTTTCGGAGATTTTAGAAAATTCGTCTGCATATTTTTTTCAGTTTTAGAGAAATGCAACATTTGAACGTTTATACCAATAAATATGGCAGATGCGCCGTCGAGTGGCAGCAAGTTTCGCTTCTTTTGGATTCATTACAAAATCGCCAAACGTGAAAAATGAATTTTAGAAAAATTTCGTCGAATCAAAACGAAAAAGTTTATAGAGATTCTTTAAGAATAGATGTACTCAGTAGAAGTCGTAGAAGCCAAAGTTCCAATCGGTTTGCTCTTCAACGCTCGGTTTCCGAGTAATATTATCAGTCTCGATACTTTTTGATTAACCCTCGTATGTATCGTGGAAAAAGCAACACTATCAACTGAACTCCACTCAGAATCTTTTTTTCGTTAATAATGGTTTATCAATGGCTGCTCACAGGTATACTTTAAATTCCCGTCTGTATCCCAACTTTCCACCTAAAACAGTGGCTGCATCCACGTGCAAAGTATGTTCGTCTTTTTAACATCTTTTGTTCGATAAGTATTATACCGTGGTCAAATTTTAGATTTTCCTATTTTTCGACCGCGATTCTCGCGCCTTTTAGAAACGATTTTTTTATCTTTTAAAATAAAATTTAAACGTAAAGAAAATATGTTCAGCTACAGTCTATTTTTTTAAGAGTTTATATTCAAATGTGAAATACACCTATTAAATAAAAGAACGAGTTCCAGCGAAATGAGACAATTTTTTTTTTTTGATAAATCACTCCTTTTCACGTCGGTGGGGAAATTCGCTAAGTTCAATTTATCAAATATTTAAATGACGTCACTGTATTTAAACAGCGTTCTTGTCACAACGACGACGTTCGAATAATAAATCATATCTGCAAAAAACATTACGTTTGCCGATAAAAAAAAAACTCCAATAATATACATAATCACTTACAAAAATAATAATTCACCAAATAGTATCTCACCTGCTTAGAGACGAAATTTTTATTTTATTTTTTCCAAAGAAGTGTATACCTCTCATGTATATATCTATATATCATATAGGTAGGTGCAGTAATTGGTTTAACGAATTTTGACAACCGTCGTATTTTTCAATATAAGATAAGAATAACCCAATATTATAATACATTACTTTTATTAAAATTCCGGTTATATTGTTGAATATTTTAAAAGTGTACAGAAAAAGATGGATATGAAAATTCGATGAGGAACTTAGGACCGAATCCCCCGTATCCGACCCCCCGGCTATCCGGAACTGCATCGATATTATATACACGCACCATGCTGTAATCATTTATCATATTAAATTATTTTATATTTTATAGGTCTGTGTGGATTTGGGTAAAGGAGACGAAGACCTGAACATAACTTTTCCGATAACAATAGGCACTGTACCGTTCAGAATACCGAATTGCAACAAAACTCCAAACATTTTTTACAGTGAGTACTAATCTATTACATAAATGTATACATTAGCGGTGCAGTAGCGTATGGAAGAGAAAAAGAAAATTAGTTGGGTAAGTAATTTAATTCATACACTGTACGCAGCAATAAATCATTGCAAGCGAAAAACGACTTCGAGCAAATTTAAAAAAAAAAAAAACAGATTTCCAAAATCTAAAAAAATATTATCGATTTTTGCAAACGAAACCAAAATCGAAAGAAAACAAAACCAATATTCAAAATCGACATTTTTTTTTTTTTTTTGGTTTCGATCCCTGTTAAAAAATATAACCTAACGTGCGAATGCTTAATTATAGGGATCAATCTATCGTAAAACACTAATCATCTCGGAAAATATTCACTTCCGGAATTTGTTTTCTAGAATATTTAAGAAACAGTAGCTGTTCTACAATTTCATGTTTATGTTTTTTTGGGAGTAAAACCACTACCCACTTTTGATTTTCAAATGGCAACCTATATTAAAAATTCCATAAATAAAAATGAAGTAGGTATTAGCTAAAATAAATTTTGAAGTTGAAATTAATTCGCGATACCCACACATGAGTGATACGCAAAAAACAGTTTGATAACCTCTGCTCCAGAGTGATCTGCTGAAATGCAATTTATCAAAACTTACCAAATTATTTCATAAATTAAATTAAATCAAATCACACAACTAAACATTATATTAGTACATAAATTCTAGTAATAATAATGTATTTATTTTATTATTAATTTGAATATTTAACTGTGTAATACACTGATACCTTTTATTAATATTTATCGTTTATCATAGCAAGAAATATATTAGTTTTATTTATTTATTCATTGAAATATTCAATGAGTTAGGTTAGATTGGTCCCATGTGTAAAATTAGTATACTATTAACTACCTACTTTACTATGATGTGTATCTGAATTTTTTTTTTTTCTATTCCTATAATTTATTGACCAGAAATCTCGCTCCAATCAAAAATAACGCATTTTTCACGTAGTCGATGTATTGCAGGGAGGGCATTTTTTAATATTCAGTATATTTTCCGTAATAATTGAGAATACCCGGAAAAACGAAGGAAAAATCGGATAGTTTACGACATTCACGATTTCATTATTTCGATTTTGTTTTTTTTTTTTTTTTGTAATTTGGTTTAGATGATAGAGACCTGAGATTTTCATAGAATACTTGTATTAGACTTTAAAATCAAAATTAGATAGATACAATTGTCATACTCATATCAAAATATTCTGGCGATTTATGATTTATTTATAAGAATTAAACATTTTAGACCTTTTTTTTTAGTATTTGATTTTACGTGGACAAAATTGTTTAGCTTAACAGAAATGTTTGGATACTTAACACGAGGTTCATTAAAAGTTAAACTTGATGATCAAAAAAAAAAAAGTTGAGTAAATTTAGTAGTTTTTTATTCATAACGAAACCACTATTTGCGTACATTTTCCCGTTTTTCTTACGTTTTTTTCCAGTTATTAAGAAAACTGCCTACAAAATATCAAAACAATTTTTAATTGGAGGAAGTTTTCTTTTTTTTTGTTCAATTGAATTTTTGGTCTAAAAGGCCATATACTTACATAACAATAACAATAACATTTCCACCCCTTGAATTACTCGAAGAAAATGTGTTATCTGTTCACTTTTAAAAATAGCCACTGCCGCCACTTATTTTATAATAAATATTATTCTAAAAATTGAAGTCTGACATACGTAGTACATTATGTACATATACATGTCCGATAAATATTTTGTAGCCTTAAATTATCACGACTACTTTTTAAAAGAGATAATCAATTTATTTTATTTTCTGAATTTTTAATCAAAATGCTTTATTAAACTCAAAAATTACTTATTATACAAAATAATAAAGAACTTATAAATTTTTAAATGAATAAATAAACAAATTGAACACTATATTTTTGATTATTTTAATAATTTATGAAGACAAATCTGAACGATAATTAGAAACTATGATCCATAATAAAAAGTAAAATTTCATATTTCATTACATGAAACCAATGATAATTTATACGTACTATAATTTAACCAGCTTCAATGTACTCAAATCGTTGCTGCGCTTTGATAACTGTCCATTTCGCCAACCTCTACATGTACGGCACTGTTCACTTTATAGTTCTAGCTTCTAGTCGACAAAAAAAATTTGTGCATCGCCGAACATAAAGCGATTCGGTTGTGCTCATTCCAGGGCCAAATTTAGGGGGTCCAAAGAACGTTCAGAAGAACTTGGAATGGAAAGATTAGAGATACTTACACTATTTAGTAGTAAATTTCTTTTGCGAATTTTAATAAGAATTTGTTTTTGTACATTTTACCTCTACTCTGTTTACCAACGAAGGCCTCTGGTATCTGGTGGTCCTTCCCGTTACACATTATATCATTATATATTATTTGCGCATATCCATAACTATAATTTTGCGTTGCGCCTGTGCTACGCTGTACATTAACTATTGTTGTTATGCGTGCGCAAAGGTGTGGCGTGCGATCACGTGGAGGGCGGTAAGTACATCGGACCGGAGTTTCTGCTCGGCGGTCACGTTTACGACGGGACGCAGACCGAACAGATCGTCCTGTACCGGCCGGTATACGTGAGCGTCCGCGAACCGAGTAGCCCGACGGCCGAGACCGCGACACCCGCGTAAACACACACGCCGTCAACCAGGCGCCGCATTCTCGTCAACATCAGCAGAGTTCGCGGCTGCCCCGTCAACGTCTCGCCGGCATCTTCAGCAGGCCGCTGAAAAAAAAAAAAAAAAAAACAAACACATAATTACAATAATGTTATCGTCTGTTATCGTTAATTTCTTTAATTGCATTTAAAATTATACCTACTACTTATCTATATTCAATCAATTACGAAAAATGAACCACATCATATACCCCGCAAAGTATGCATTTCGAAAATACGGCCAATTGGAAAAGGGGAGGGGGGGGGCGCATGACCCAGTGATCACCCTGGCTACGCCGCTACAGAGTTAGATTATAGGCAAACATTGAAACACTCGTCTACCGAAAAACGTTTTCAATGTAGCGATTATTTTATTATATTGTGATCCGGCGATTATCTAACGGTGGTTTTGTGCAAAATTGATTTTGGTTAGATATTTCCAGTCATTACGTGGAGTATCGTACGACGATCTTAATGTTCACAACATATTATATTATACTCAATTTCACTCTTATTATTCCGTATCTACGAGTACGCCATAAACACTTAGGTAGGTTAGGTAGGTTAGGTTATTATACTCAATATAAGTCCGTCGATTCTGTACAATACGCTCTGACGAGCAACGCCATTGAAAAAATTCAAATTCGCAGTGAAAATCCATTAGAAATTGGTGGTGTAGAAATTAGAAACAATCGACACGAACGTATGTTCTAAAGATAATTTGATTGTAACCCCGTAAAAGAATATTATTCACTACACGGGGTTGGTAATATACGTAGGTAACTATTATTATTATAGGTACCTGCGCATATTATAGGACAGGCAGCCTTTGGACAAAACTCGTTCCGACGCCACTGACCTATCGCGACCTCCCGGCCAGATAACACCGCATTGGCGGTCGATTTTGAGTCGGATATAGGTTAGGAGATAAATGATTCGTTTGTAGAAAACATTTTGTTTTTTTGTTTTCTGCAAATCGTACAACAATCAATTCAAATTTCAAATGAATTCGTTTGCACAGCAGTGCATCGCCATATTTATATGGGTACCTACCTACTTAATGGCACCTATGTAATACAATTAACTACACACGTGTCGACGACGAGCGATGAATTTTAGATTCAGGCACGAGCGGGAGTTAATCGAGTTTTCCGATCGATTGTCGCATAGGCAAATATACCTAATCCGTTTGGAAATCGTATTATTAGCCGATGTCCGGACAAAATCCCGCTGGACATAAATCCCGGTCGGACGAAATCCCGCCAGAAACGAAAAAAAGTGAAATACGCCCAATACGAAAAAAAAAAAAATTAATACAAATCGACAAAAGTATAACACGAATGTTCGAACCGAGAATGCATTGGACGGGTGTAATTTCAAACGCGTGTAACGTGAAATTAATTATATAGACAGGTCCTACACCTGAAAAAGTGAGAAGGAAAATTTGTCGACAAAAAAATAGTCACATTATATTTTCGTCCAGTTTTGCTTTTTTTTTTTTTTTTGCGGGATTTTGTCGGAGAATCGAATTAGCTCCGCACCTACCTATATACACGGTAATTCTTTCATTGCGATCAGGCGACTTTCTCGGGGGCATAGGTATTGATGTATACATTTAATTTCTGCGTTTTTGTTCATAACCGTTATGGAATTTTAACATTTATTTGTGTACACCCATTGCTTAATTATACCATAAATGAGTGATTAACACGTGATTTTCAAATGGCAACGGGCCCCTTTTCAACACAGATTTGGAAAAAGGATATGTTAATATGGCTGATTAATGTCGGATACAACGTATAAAAAGTTATAAATGTCATTATAAAAGTTCAACATTTAGACCAGAGAAGTAGGGGAAATGGCATGGTAAATCGTTTATTGATAACAGCCCTTCCCTAATCCTCCGGTCGAAATTGTAAAACGGTTAATATCCATTGAAAAAGAGTGGGGATCGTCATTTTAAATTCAAAAGCTCATGCGTTTAATGGCGTGGGTAACCCACGGAATAATGGTGAAATGTTAAAAACGATTAAATAATGACTAAAAAAAAAAAATAAAAACAACAACAAACTTTATTACTCAAACTCTTCATGGATAATTGCTGGATCACAATAAAAAAAAAAATCATCCGGTATAAATGTGTAATACACGTGTAGTAACACCTATTATGGTAAAAACAAAAATGAAATCAATGTCTAAATTAGCATACAATAATCAAGTATTTTGGATCAAATACCCACTACCTACCTACAAGTTATATATGAATTATACAGTTACAATTCGGAACAATAATAATGTTACCCATGTTAAAATAATATTATCCTACCTTTTAACCCTTGATGATTTCACGTAAGGTGTTATTTTAATTCGTCTCATACCTAGTCTATAATTATTTACACAGTAGGTAGGTATCAACGATTAATGTGACCGGATATTTCATAGATAACTTAATAGTTAACGTTATTTTGCTATGGCATGCGTTAGTAAGGCAGAGAGAACACATGCGGGAACGATATCCTATTAACCAAACGATTTTAAATGTATACAAATTCTTTGTAATATTATCGCGACTGCGATGCAACGTTTTGTCATAGTGCACAAAGTTTCCTAAATTTTAAATGCACATCAAGAGTATATTGGTCATTGTAGTACATTTGTATCAGATGAACGCTATTGACGTACGATAAATTATTATCAGCTGATGTTTAATAATTAATTAATTAAAAACAATTTATGTTTTGATCTGTAAATCGATGTGCAGTTTTTCACGTAATAATAATTGTTTCGACATTAAGAACGAAATAAAACTTTTGATTACATTAAAATTTGTATGTGAAATAGTTTTCCTCATTTGGATTTAACACTAGCGATTTTAAACAGTATATTTAAAATAAATGTTTAAACGCGTCATGCACGACAAGTATACAACTAGTAAATAATTATTATTAGTTGATGACATAATAAATTTGATTATCCGGGCTTTTTTTATTAACTTTAGTTTGAAAAAAAAAAAAACTATTTCATCCGACTATATTTGTTACTAATTTCGTTATAAGTATCGAAATCAAAGAATGTTTAACGTTTTTCACTACAGCTAGGTACCTAACTTGGATACACGGACCGGTTAATTTGTAAAGATTTGTCTATAAGAATATTATACAAATACAAACATTTAATTTATATTAATTTATCTTTTATACTTGTCGAGTTGAAATAGTGTGTTAGTATACATCATAATTATATAAGTAATTTAAGTATAATTTGATGTTTTAAAAATCAAAATGGTTGTACCAATTTCTTTACATTTCACCTATAATAATTATAATTAAAGGAAAAATTAATTGTATTATTATTATTTAAACCATCAGTCAATTAATAAAATTGTCAACAAACGTCAAATCTGTATAAGTTTTTGTTTTTCTCTGTCGTCTTCTGAAATGGCATGGTTCAGCTTGACATACCTATGTACCTCAAACTTTGTGTGTGTAATCAATATATATATATATTATAAATGATAATTCCATATGTTTTTAATAATTGTCGTACTAAGATTATGATAATGATTTATTGAATTTTAAAAAAAAATACAATAGCATAGTTTTAAAATAAATAATTTGTTTTCGGTGAATGTATTGTATAACTTAGAATAATATGTATGATTAATACTATACAAATAAATAACAATAATATATTAAATACACAGTTTTAAATACTATTATAACATAAATAATAATTATAATAAAACTATTTGCAGGAGTTAATAAAACAAAAAATGGGAATTCTAATAAATTAGATATAATAATAATAAAATTACAATGTCATGTTCTGTTCGAATATTGGTATAAAATTACTCTGTATGAAAAAATTGGCCAACGAGTTTTTGAGCAAGTATTTTATTAACAAACAAAAACTATTGACTAGTACATTAGAACTACCATAAGGATGCAAAAGTGTAACAGGTTCGATTATCATCATGACATTAGAAGAACACAAAATACCGCACACCTATAATTTACAATATTATAAGTAGTACTAACATGTTAAATACATATCACTATGTAATAACATTTATGTTTATTGAAATACATTTTTTTTTCTAGCAAAAAAAAAATACAGTATTCTCATTATCCTTGGAAGAATTTATTATCTTCTAATGTCATCGATCTATTATTAACACTCACTATTATAATATTATAATCTTAAGAAAATTAATAAATAATGTAAACATGTGTGAAATATATAATAATAAGTGGCAAATTGTGTTTGTAATATTGTTTTATATAAAAACAAATAAAATTTACATCCACAGATTAAAGAGCGATCGTATAAGAGCTTATTATTATTAAAAATTAAATTTGTTCATTAGATTAGTAAAGTAAATTTTTAATATTAAAAACTGAATAATTAATAGTTATAATTTATTGGTATCAACAAATTGTATTAACTGGTACACAGTTTATATGATACAACTATGCACCCCTCAAACATATAGCCTGAATCAAATATTTGATAAGCATTCAATTTTCTTTAAATAATATCAAATTAAATTAGGTATGTTAAGTTACAAAAATATTCTTTTATAATATTTCAAGGTTAAACACTTACGGGCGTTTATTTTTATTCTAATCGAACGGTAAATAATTTTTTTTTAAATTGGTTTTTTAATAATAATAACAATAATGGTTTTTAACATTCTATAAAATACATATTTTTGATATTTTTAATGTACATCATAAACGACTAATATTTTAATATAAATAAAATATATTGATATTAAATTAATTGTATAGTTTTGATTTATGTATTTTAAATTTGATAAAGTTTTGAGTACCTACTTCTATTTGTATGTTTTGTTTTTAAAGTTAAAATACATTACGTTAAGATATAATAGTTACCATAAGGAACATGCGTGTAATCCCAAAAAATTAAATAAAAAAAAGAAAGAAATACAAATTAACACACTAAAAACTGACTAGATTTTGCATAAAATCAATAATCATATTACAATATAAATAATAAAAACCGGATTCATACAAAATTTATTATTACATATACATATATATTTATTTAAAATTTTTAAGTTAAAATGTGGAACTTTGGTAATTTATTTTAAAATAAATCCATGTGATGCTGAAAATTATTTAGTGGCAATTTGTTACATACATTGCATTTAAAAACATTACTTTGAGGACGGAGTTATACATGTACATTTTTTAGTAACTTTATACATCAAGAAAATTCATCGGATTGACAAACAATAATTTTAAACAAATAAAATAAAAATAAATTATTTAGTTGTATACATAAGAAAAATTGGTTAGTAAATAAACATAAATAATCTCCAATGAACCTATCATAACAAAAGACTAATGGGATGATTAAATCAATTTATAAATCTAATTAGTTATTCCTTTACATTTATATTAAATAATTTATATTGCTTACAGTGAAATTGTTTTTTAAAAAAATATTATTTGTTAAAAAATTTGAGGGTAAATCTAATATTTTAAATACCTCATATTACAATATACCCTGTACATAATATTTCAAAAAACAATTAATAGATTTCTCTAATATTATAAAAAAAAAAAACTAAAAAGTTGGACAAAGACAAATGATCCACTAAATATTGTCTACTCCTAAAAATGTTTACAATAGTAATCTTTATTTATTTAAACACCCACATTTTGTTTAGTTTATTATTTAATGGCTTGAATATGTATGTAATTAATAATTTAATTGTTATGGATGATAATATTGTTTTAGTTGATGAATATTTAGTTATAATATGGAGTCTTTCGTGTTAAAACCAAAAGAACCCCATAATCTTTTGGTTAACAAAACTTGCATGTACCATTTACGAAACCCGAGCAAAAATTGACAGCGATTGTATTAAAGATGTGATATTAGAGGTAGTTGTGACGTAACATACATAAATAACACTAGAATAGAACAAGAAATCATTATTTTTAAAGGTCTACAAACTCATATTGCGAACCCAGCTGAAATGGGAGCGAGAAAAATAGTAGCACAAAATGAAGCAAACTGTCGATGAAGAAGTGCATGCATTTATTACCAGAAAAACTAAAATATAAATAGCTCATAGATATCAGGAAATATAACTCTCTTCTCCTAGTCTTGATCCTAACTATTCGGGTTGATTATACCAAAAAATATATCTAATTGTTATTATTGATCCATGTGGCAGAATTATAGCTAATGCATTTTAATACAATATAAGTATATAAAAACAAAAATTATACATAATTTTTTAGAGGAAAATTACAAATAACGGGTGAAACTTAAGATTTATATCGATTTATATAGATTTGTAAGTTTATATTATTAATGAATATTACTACAAAATTGGAATAATAATTATAATTTTGATACAAAAAATATTATTTATTTATCAAGTTTCAACTTCTGTGGTATTTTGAGTTGCATAGTTTGTTTTATTTTGATCAAAAATATTTTGATTAGAGATATTTAGATATTTAAAGATATTTATGACGTAACATGCATCAATGAAACAAAAGCCAGAGCTGTGAATGATAATAAAACAAAAGTAATGGAACTGCTGCTAACCAACAACCATGCTAGCAATGTGGTAATTCAAGGACATTCATTTGAGAAAGTGAACCAATTTATGTTCAAAACCGAGAAGAGTGGAAAAGGTGTTAGTAACGGCAAAAACTCTTGAAGAGTTGTGATGTCAGAGAAGAAAACCATGCATAAATAACACTAGAATAGAACAAGTTGGTTCTAAAACATTATCTTTACAAAGAGTGAACTGATTCCAAGTGAAAAGTGATGTGTGTTCTTGTTATTTTACTAGAGGAATACAAATCTTCATCCGCAACTAATAATAACACAGCAAGTAATATTCGGGCATCCAGTGGAGTGTTCAGGGAGTTAGGGGTGGTTATAGGTTATATTCCCCCCACCATTGGCTTAAAAATACAAACAAAATATATGAAATCTATTATCAAAATGCATATATTTCGGCCAATACGAAGAAAAGCTTGATGCATTAATTGGAAATTGGTGTTTTTTAGGATCCGGCTTTTAAATTACTAATTATCATAGTGGAGTTGAATAGATAAAAGAATATTTTACGATTTATTCATAATTCTTATTTGCTACACCTCCTCTCATTGATAAATCCTGAGCACGCTACGGACATCAACTTTACTTATCAACTCGCGGAATTTTAATTTTGAATGTTTAATTATATAAGTGTACACTACACACACTGCCAAGGTCAAAAGCCTTTATCAGGATTTCTATTGCAGTCAAAATAAAAATTTGAGAAAATATATAACAAAAAATAATTTTTGTAATAAATAATAATATAAACTTATTATATAGATTTAACTGGTATCCTATATTTATTGTATATATATATAACTATTAAACTATAAAAATAATAAAAATCTTTGAAAATAGACATTATGCATGGGAACTAATATTGCTAATACAATATTTTTTAAAACTTAGAAAATGTTTCCATAGTTAATTTCGTAAAAATATTGATCAGTTTTAATTTAATTTGATGATAGAAAATTGGAGTTTAGAGATCAAAATACTAAGTAAGCTAATATTTTAAATAAACCAATACTCATATTAGTGTTGTGATTGAAATGTTTAAATATTATATTTTGTCCTTGAATATTTGTAAAAAAAATAAATAAATAAAACAAAATTTGTTCTTGATAAGATTTTAAAATATTTGTCTAATAACCATACAGTTATCAAAATTATTTGTATTTAACAGTTTTTCAAAAAAACAACACATAATGAAAAAAAAATATGAAGAGACTTATATCAATGTTTTTAAGTATCAATGGAATTTATACCATAAAGTTTAAACAAATAAAGACAGTGTTAATCAAATGAGATCCAAAATGTAGGATATCTACTTCAGTATAATGTATTTCATTTTTGAACCATAATTTTGAATAACAGTATTTCAAATCACACAATGTAATGTGTTGTTATTTATTTATTTATTTATTTTATCAAGTTTATTTAAGTTAATGGGTAACATATTATACTGAAATAAAATTGTAAAAATAAAATTAATCTAAAAAAATAACACCTATCAATAAACCTTATTATTAACCTTTAATTAAATAAAATTTTTTTAAATGACATAACAATCAGATATAATCATAGAAGACGGGTTCAAAAGTTTGGTGTATATATATAAATGAGTTAGTTTAGGGCATCTGTTAGGAAATTCATTATTCTAAGCAACTAAGTTAACCCTCAGCTAAAGCAAATCAAGATGAAAAATTGTAATATTTATTATGGATCGTTTTAACTTTCAAAACCAAATATTTTATCTTGATATTTAATACACCAATGAATTCAGTCTGTTAATTATTAACCCATACAATGTTTTTTTAAATAACGTACCTTGGCATTAAGTTATATAAAATGATACATTTTGTGTTAATATTGATGGCTTTGCAAATATATAATCGTTTGCTAATCGATCCTGTCTAGTTACTTTTGCCGTTACTATATATCCCTTACTTTCTAAAAATGATCTTACCCCATCATCACCTTCTTTTACATGAAAAAACTCAACTGATAAAGTCTAGAATGAAAAAATAAACATATTAGTAGATCATACTATTTAAACTGCTATTTCTACTGAACTTACTTTTATATCAATTTTATCAAATGGTATAGTTTTTAATACATTCAATTCCGATCCCTCGACATCTAAACTAAAATAATCTATAACTGTTATATTTAATGCTAAAAGATATGTATACAGAGGGAAACACTGAACATTGATCATAGGTGATTTCTTTGTCTCAAAGGTATTAGATATAACTTCATCTTCTACAACTTCATCATCTGCTATGCGTCCCATATTACTGCGCTGAAGGAAAGATACCTTAGAACAAAATATAGATACTATATATTAGTAAAATTTAAAATAATTTTAAATCAAATTTATTGATATATCTAAGTTTATGATTAAAACTAATTATTATCAGAAAAATTGTACATGAACATAATTCAATACCTGGTTCAATAGATAACAGTAAATAAATGTCTATAAATACATACTAGGATAATCTAATACATATTATTATTAGTATAAATACTAGTATTTATAACCAATAATAACATGTATAGATTTTAAGTAAGAACACAAATATTATTCAAATTATTTTATCTATATTAATACAACTATGTGTCAAAACCTCGTAACTTCAAATTTTTCTTTTCATGATTTTGGTTACCTGTTATATAAACTGTAAAAATAATGGAGTGTATAATTAAATTATTTATTTGTTTAAATTGTAAATTCAATACCTCATATATTGAAGTTAAATCAAAAAACTTTTAAGTTAACTTACGAGGTTTTGTTATGAATATAATATCGTAACTAAATACCAAAAACCACTTATCTCTGTTATATCTCGGTGTTATTTTGTATTAATAAATAATAATTTGAGTAACATTAGTTAGAAAGTATCTAGTTATTTTAACTAAAACACACGAAAATATTATATAATATTTTATTAATGTATACCTACTTCTAATACACACACAAAAAAAGATAAAACTAGACTGTGTTTTCTTACAGTTATGTTTATAACACATTTAAAAATATTTTGGTTAATACCAAGATTAATACTGTATAGTACAGTTTGATAGTTAATTGCCGGCAATAAATAATAAAACAATATAATGATAATTTTCTATCAGAACTTTTATGGTATTAGTCAAATATAATAATATTGATCCATCCACAATAAAATATTAGTCTAATACTATTAAAAAAAGTCTAGCCATATAAGTACATATTTAGTATTTAGTTTGAAGAATGTATTCATTTTAAAATTCACTAATTTATCCAGAGCACCTAGAAGCTTAGACGTATAATTGAAATAACAAAAAAAAAAATATTAATACTGACTTAAGGGATCAATTCCCTCAACCAACTAATGAATTGACTAATGGTATTTGTATTGATGCTTAAATTCAACATGGTCTCAATGAATTGGAAAATGCAAGAGAAAATAATATAGAAGCTAATCATTATTTTGAACATGAAGTACTAGGTAATATTTTTACAATCACTCGTTACTTAAAAACACTTAAACTTAAAAATACTGGATACCTATGACCATTTTTTTTTTCTAAAAATTAATAATATTCTTTTCATATTTTAACAACACAGTAGTCATTTTTCGACCAATTAAAATAAATAATGAAAATAATTGTAATATTGAAAACATCATTATACAAAGTAATATTTTTATAATTTTTTGTTTCATTTAAAACACTAAAACCCGAGGATGCATAAGAACCTATGCCTCATTTTAATAAAATCACAATCAGAACAAGTATTTATTCTGGATCACTGCAAATAAAACCTATAAGATAAATTGGAAGTGTTTCAGGTGCAATGCCATTCATGACAGCTTATTTTAATAAACTACCCCTTTTACCATCACATTATTACTGTTCAAATACAAATTAATTGTTTTTAGAACCTCAATTTGAAAGTGAAATTGACTTTTATAAATGTTATAAAGAAGAAGCTCAATAATCTGATAATGGGAATATTATAAACAAAACAAAATTTTACAAAAAATTTGAAAAGAAAAATATTTCCTCTTTACACGACTTACAGATTATATTAATGTATGCAGAGATACTGGACCAGTAAACCCTTATCAATTAAAATACTTAGATTACACATGTTTTTAAGACTTCAAAACATTAAAATATTACTCAAGTATAATACCAGGTCAATGTCATGGGGATCCTACTGTTAATGATATAAGATGTTTATAGTACAGTGAAGATGGATTTATGAAATTTAAAATAAAGGTAAATGATGAATGGAATATAATGCCTCAAACACAAACATATTATAATGTCTTATCTATTGAATCATCCTTTTTATACAAACGTCAAATTAAATTTGAGTTTAAAAATATTGAACCAAATAAAGGGTTTTTTTATCTCATGGGCAATTTGTAAAAATTGAGTTACATGGTAAATAGATGTCTATTAATTGATGATCAACTTACTATTTCAGGATAGGGATTAACACTAAGACAGCTGGGTGACAAATATGCTTGCCGTCCTTTATTTAACATTTTTACAAAATTTAAAGGATCTGCTTCAATCAGTAATCCAGTCCAGCCATAGTATCGTTCAAAATATAATGTATTTGATCTTGTTTCACCGTCTAATGCGCCACATTCAATAAAAAAACCACCTTTCTAAAATTAAAATAGTAATTTTTACATAGAAAACAAGACATTAACTTATAACTTATTATTACTGTATAGTCAAGGATTTTTGCTATTTCAGTAGCTTGCCCCATTGACGGATCTTTTTCTGACATGTTTGATAAATTGTATCGAATTCTTTTTCCTTTACTTTCTTTAATGGGTTTAACTAAAAAATGTTCTCGTAATTTTCTTACAAGATTTGAGTCATCCATTGATATTTTTGGGCCATTCAAATCATCATCTAAAACACAAATAAACAAAAATTTTAAATACACACTAAATTTGTTCACAATATATATATTATATGAAAAAAAAATGCATTTTAGAATAAATCAATTCAATAATTTACACTTAAAAAAACTTTAATAACCCTAGTAAGCAATTTAATATTAGTAACTTGATAATAAGTACCAAACTGAAAATATTGAATTAAAAAAAAAAAAGAAGATACGTGGTATAACCATATTTGTATTCATCATAGATTAAAATCTTATTTGTTAAGCAGTAACAGTATAGCAGTTACAGCAATATACTGCTGTACAAACAATTATAAAGAATTGAAATCTATAACATATTAGATTAAACAATTTTAAAGCAGATACATAATACTTAAACATAAATAATGTAAAACAAAATAAAGTATTTAAGAAATAAATGGGAATAAGTTCCTAATATTATATTATATATAAAGCCAGATGAATTTATTTCCAGTATTGAGAGTTTTAATAAAATTGTAATAAACTACTTAAATGATAAAAAGTACTAGATAATGAGATAAAGAATAATTGCTTCAATTTTCAACATTTGCGGTAACATATGCAGTTTATGGCATATTTACACTAATTAAATTTGATATTATATTTTAATTAATGTTATTAAATGTCTTACATTTTTGATAGTTGTAAAAAGTCTTGAACATTTCTGAAAAAAAAGAAATAAAAGTAACAAAGTAAGATGGGTAATACTCGCATTAAAATTTAAAACAATTTGACTTACCGTCATAGTTTTTCAAATCATTATTATTTTTAGATGTAAAGACGAAAATAAAAACAAAAATAAAAAAAATAAAAAAATAGAGACACAATTTTTTTGACAGACGTTTCATTTTTTCCCTATTCACCGGTGGCCTCTACGACTTAACTTTATACACGTCGATTGTACCTACAATCAATGGCGTATTAACTATTGACCATTAACGAACTTAACGTCAACGTTGTATTCGTCAAATAAAATCACCGGAAACCATAGAAGGAAATATTTATTATTTCGTTTCTTTACTAAGGAGTACCGAAATAAAAATTAAAAATAATAAGATAAAATAAATTAAAATTGAATGTAGAAAAATAACACGGTAAAAATACAATTTTGATAAGACTTATCGTCTATACCAATAGTTGGGAGGGGGTTTTTTAAATTTGGTGTATAATGTTGTCAACACTGTACGAATCACGTGCGTGTACCATCAATCATCGTCCCTTGTGGTCGTGTCATAGACTACTCTATGGGTCCGTACCCCGTCTGCTGTTCCCGTATTCCTATCACGCATAGACACGATTAAATATATTATCTTTAATCATGCTCACAGATCACGAACTAAGATATACAGGATACCGAACGAACGTATGATAAATGAAACTCAAACCTTCTTACTTTTTGGCAAGGCCATTTACATCATCTAATATACTTTTTACAAACTGTGTCAATATTTATTATAGAAGTCTAAGGCCGTGTTAGAACAGACATCCAATTTATTACACACCCTAGTTCTCCAGTCTAAACTTTAAACTGGTGTTAGTTGATTTTGTACCAATTTTGTCATAAAAGTACTAGCCGTCTTGCTAAACAGTGAGAACCAGGCAGACTCAGAAAAACAAAAATTAACAAGACCTTTCCGTTCGGTATCTTGTAAATCTTAATTCGTGTTACAGATCCTAGAGTGCAAACCCATTCTTCGTTTGGATATTAATTATTTTAACTATTTATAATTCACTCTTCCCAACCGACGACGTCGCATTAACCCGGAAACCAAAAAAATATAAATGTTAAACAGTAAACACTATTGTACACGCGGGGAGTTATCGCCTCAATGTGTTTTAGATAAAAATGAGAATACACGTGTACACGGATTTATCAAATTCATGGTTTTATAAAAACGAATGTCAATTTTAATTTCACGTGAATACATGAAAACGTGGGCGTGTGAATTAATAGCGAACTCTATTATTTACTTATTATTTATATAAATATATGGTTATACAAGTAATCATTTTTAATAACCAGTTAGTAAACACGGTTAGTAGATAGGTACTTAATATAATTTTCAAGTGACAAGATCAATAATCAATATTGAAATATCATGAGTAATAGCTATCGTATATTTAATATATAATACATTTCCAAGAATAGATATATTCGTAATACAGATTTTATCAAAGTGCTACGAGATTTGAATATTTTCTCAGTAAAATGTTAGTTCATCGTTCATAATAGGTAACCTATTTTATGGTACAGTGCCCCCCCTCCCCATAATAAGTATTTATTATAAATATTTTTTCAGGTTACTGATACCAATTAAAAACTCAAGCGGCCAAGCTTGTCAATAAAAATTATAATAAAATAAAATATATAACCTACTTTTACGCCGTAAATAACAATTATAGGCAAAATCTATATCATCTCAACAAAATGTATAATAAGTAATAACATCATTTGGTATTGGGTAACAATTATTTATAATATTATTTTGTTATAATAATTATAACAATTGTTATTTTCAATACAGTTTGTTAAAATTTATTTGTAACAAATTAAATAGTTAAGTTATGAACAAGAGCCACTTAGCATAGTTCGTAACTCTAGAGACTTAGTATATTAAGTAGGTCGCTTACCTATATAGATTCAAATTTTAATAAATGTCAGATTATTCCGAATTTATTATTTTAGAATTTAAAATGACTGGTCTATCATTATTTGTAGGAATAAAAAAACAAAACGATATTTTCCTTACAATGTCATTTAGCGTATTTTCCCTTACAGAGTCCACTATCGATAACCCAAATAACACGACTTATCAAACACAGCAGTAATCGCTTTACTAAACACTACTTTTCTTGTGTTTTGTTATAGACACCATCCTAATTAGCTGCAATAAGAAAACCAAAAATTAACCTCTCTAATGCTCAGAATCGTTTTTCGTTGGCAAAGATTAATATTGTTTTGCGTACAAATATACATTAAATTACCCTCTATATCCTACCTGGTCAAATTCTCACTTACAACAGTGGCCTAACTATCATGCCAAATTTGTCTGTCCTTATTTTGTTATGCATATTATAAATATAATTCAATAATTATTTATTCACAATCGAACTCTACGGTGCTTCAGCGTTGCTCAATGACTATAGGCTGTAGAATTATAAAAGTCCGATTATAATTAATGATATTATGAATTGGAACGTTGCTAAAAATGTAAAATAAAAAATGGGTGCCTAGGTAGAGGAAATAAGTGGGTTTAGTTATCGTGTACCGACTTTCGCTAAGCTCTCACTGCATTATCGCCCAGAAATATCAAATTAAAATAGGATAGTTTATCAAATAAATTTAAATCATTTATTAAATTTTCTTTTTCTCGTTTTGAAATAATTTTGAATATTAGTATACGAATTTTAATCGAACAAGTTTATAAAGTAAAGATTGCCGACTGAAATTCTAATATGATCAAGGGGGGAGTGTCGCACCTCAGACTTTAGACTATAGAAAAGTTTTTCTTCTTTTTCTTCTCTAGCTTTTAAGGTCTTTGAAGGACTATCGCTGCCTCTACTATGTTCCTCTATCTAGTTCTGGTCGTACTGTCTGCTTTGTCTCTTAATGTTTTTATATGTATATTACAATAATTTTTGTGAACAAAGATAGTCCTGAGCCTACACACGAGTTCCTTTCAACAAGGCCCAGTAACATTGGGTATAGGTAAAATGTGCAGTGCAAGGAGACTCTATATTTCAACAAATTTTACATTTTAATATACCTATCATGACTATTTGTTTTAAATGAAGCGCGTGAGACGGTAAACATGTTTACATTTTTATTAAATATTGAACTTATTAAAAAAAAAAAAACGCGTTTAATTTTTTTTTTACCACTAATTGCAAATCCTTTTGTTAAATTTTCAAGCGTTTTTGGTGGGTAAAAATTGTTTTTATCACTTAAAACCTAAACAAACTCGAACATTTGAAGTGGCTATAAATAACTGAAAAATATCTAGAAATTGTTGAAAATTGTACTGTATTTGGAAAGAACTATGCATTGAAGAGTATTCGTATGCACATATATATGCATATAATTATATTATATAATATATATGTGAAAGTGTTCGATCAAATTTCCAGGCTTTATGATTATTTTTACTGAATTACACAAAAAAAAAAATTGAGTATAATAGAAACCAATGTAATTATTACGATTTTCCCGATGTCATTATTAAGATTTTCCAAATGAGAATCTATAACAAAAATTTCATGAATGGATTATTAGATAAAATAAATTTTGGTGTTGACATTTTTGATTGACTTCCCTTAGTTTAGGCAGGAGGAGATTAGTGGAGCACTATTCAAATACCATTGTGCTGCTACACAAATTATGCTCCACTTCTCTCCTCCTGCCTAAACTTAAAACTGGAATATCTCTTGAACGAGTTAACGAAAACCAAACATTTCAACACCAAAAATTATTTTATTTAAAACTTTATCTATTTGTGGAATTTTAAATATATGTAGGTTCTCATTTAAAAAAATTAAGTTGGTGCCATCAACAAGATACTCTTTAAATATTATGAAAAATCGAAATATACAAAAATATCGTCTTTACTACTCTTAAAATGTCCCAAAATCAAATTTGCGTATATACATTATTTACCCCTAAAAATGGGGTGAACATGCTTAATTAACCACTCTGTATGTACTTATTAGCCTGCAGTAGTGTTTTTTTTTTTTTACTTTTTTTACGCCTCCTTTGTAGTTTTTCAAAATGCTCTTTCCTCTTTTAACAAACATGATTGATGAGCAAACGTTTTTTTTTTATTTCAACGACATCAATCAACGAATGGGTTTCATTTCATACCAACAACTGAAAAATACGGCGCTCGATAGAGAAGATTGGTTACTAGGACAAGGTAAAAAAAAAAAAGGTGATCAAGGTATCGATAAGTAAACTTAAAAAATACAAACAATTTGTAATTATACAAAAAAATAAACAATTAAAAATTAAAAAATAAAAAAAATTTATATTTAATAAATATAAATTTTACTTTGTGATGACTGCTTACGTCTCCCCAGCGTTGTATACACACCTTCCTAGGGGACGTGCCCCTCCCTATTGAGAAACACTGATATAGTAAACCTTTAGAATAAAAGTTGAGCCAACATATTCTGTGGTTGATGTATACTTTAAAAAATCACCGAGTCTAAATTTATTGAAATTGAAAAAATAACTAGATACTTAAAATTAACCAATATATTGAACCAATATTGAATAACTGTTAAAAGTATAAACACTATATGAGGATTATATTTTTTTCTTATTTAAATTTGACCTATAGTTTAATTTTAAAATCATAGCAGCAGGGGACCAAACATCATATAACCAATCGTCCTACTGTCAATATATTGTGGGGACGAAGCGTCCTTTTACCGATATACGTTAAACGATTATTGACCAAACACAATAATGTTCTGTGTGCATAGAAATATGTTGTAAATCCTATTCAAACTGTATATTGTTAACCTAACTCGTCTTTATAGACGTATAATAACGAATCGAAAAAATCGCATGCAAATAATAGTTTAAATAGAATAAAGATAAAATGGTTGCAGTTTATAATATTATACAAACATCGAAAACGTGATATTGCTGGAGTTTCAAAGATCAATACCTACTTTAGCCACCTCATAGAGTAATGTATAAATTATTTCAATGGTTTTTTTGTATTCATTTATTTTTATATTGTCCTTCGGGAAGAAAAGAGAAAGTCCGAGTGATTACCTACTCAAAGGAAGGAAATATCAGCATACTTAGGTACCTATCTATATATTACTTTATAAGGATATAATATACTCGTATTATATACACAATAATTTATTGGTACATATCTATTCGTCTATCATATGTATACAATATAAAATGTGCTGTACGATTATAGGAATAATGTTAATGGCCATATTTGCACACTGCACGTGTATATAAACGTCGAAATATTTTAAAAATTGTATATGTACCTATAGTAATAGATTATAGATTTATAATAATCTATATACTTAATTTAAATAACTCTGAAT